CCTATCGCAAAGGCCCCCCTAAGAGAGGGTGTGAGTTCAACACAAGAATCGACACGAGCGGGTGTCATGGCAGAAGGCCAAATGAGAGCATGGTCATACAGATAGCCAAGTTAGAGCCTTGGCCGGCTGGGTACAGTGAATGGTGGATCGGAATCGTCACGCTGGAAGCGGCACGGGATGCTGGGCACTCCAGTGGATGACAGGTTGCGCGCCCGGCAGCTCCTCAAGCGCGCAGAGGACCGCGCGGTGGCACCATCGTGCCGCGAACTGCTCCCTGGTGATCATCGGGTCGCGTCCGCGAAGCCAGTCGCTGAGCACACCTGCTGTCTGCCGGACGTTGACGGTCGCGAGCCGCCAATCGGCAAGCAGGGCCTTCTTGCAGGAAGACAGGATGCGAGCCGCAACCGCTCCGGGGGTGATCGCCGCCGCATCTGGCTGGTGGCGGCCGCGCTGATATGCTGCCCACAGCTGACAGATCGTAGCGAGCCGCAGGCGATCCCAGAGCTGCCTGAGCTGCCGCGGCGGTCCCCAGATCCTGGTGTCATCGGCGAGAAGAAGGTCGGCGCTGCGCGGTGGCGCGTCGTCTCCGGTCACCGCGGCCCATGTCGCTGCGAACCAGTCCCACACCCCGGCGGCGAGAGGGCAGATGATGAAGACATGGGTGAGTGTGGCCAGCTGACCTGCACAGCTCGGATGCGGGCAAACGTGACCGGCGGGATCGGCGCGGTGGACGTGACGCGCGAAGCCGCCGACGAAGAGCTGGCCATGCAGCAGCCTCCACGCTGTCACGCGCTGCCGCCGGTCCAGATGGGAAGCGTGCACCACTTGCCACACATGAGCCCAAGGTGCTGATGGGTCTGCTGTGACAGCAGCAGCAGGATCAACAGTGACATCTGCTCCCTGTGGCACTGGTGAAGGGCCCGCTGGCGCGCGTGCAGGCCCGCCGCGGTCCCGCAGCGGAACCGGACGTGGCTGCGGCGCAGCCATCCAGATCGCCCAGGAGGAGGGATCAGGCTGCCCTCGAGGCCTCTTGCCTAAGACCTGCGACGCAGTACCAGCAGCTGCAGCCCTGGCCTCCCATCGCGCCTCGAGCGCCCGAAGGCCGCTGCGCTGATCATCTGTGGTATCAGCCCAGATGGCTGGTCGCAGCGGGCCCGCCGGGCTGGCCTCCCCCTTGCTGATCCTGTGAAGCACCTGTCGCCGCGCGGTGGCCTCCCTCACCACAAACTCATGTGCCGGCCGCGTGCCGAGCCCCCAAGCCTGAGGGTCCTGTACCTGGGATCCCCAGAGGCCAAAGAAGTATAGTGTGGGCGGCGGTGGTGGCGGTGGCTCCGGCAGCTGCTGCTCCCACTCCAACTGCTCCCCTGGCTGCTGCTCCACCTGCAGGTGCTGCTCTGGGTGCAGCTGCTCCGCATGCTGGCGCTGCTGACGTGTGCCGCTGCGTGGATGCCAGGGCCTGGTGATGTCCCAGTGCTGAACCAATGCAGGCTGCGCGGCCGGAGGAAGGAAGGCGTGCATGGCTGCAACGCCTCCGTCCACTGGCACAAGGGCTCCTGTGCTGCTTACTGTGTGGCTGAGAAGGTAGGTGCTACCTTCGGCTGTGCGAGACCAGACGCGGCGGTCCGACGGGTCCGGCGATGCGCACCACATAGCGGCCGGTGGCTGCACCTGGATGAGCGCTCTCCAGGCTGCTGGCAAGGCAGCCAGAAGGATGGGCACGCGCTCTCGCACCATCCGAACCGGATGCTCCGGGCCGCGCACGACATCGCGCAGGTGGCTGATCCTGACCAGGCCAAGCCTGGCCCAGTCCTCCCAGGCAAAGGGCTGCTTGTCTGCATCTGTGAGCTGCCTGTTGAAGAACAGTGGCTCACCCATGACTGCGTCGTAGCCGATCGCTTCCGGCTTCCGCAGGTGATGGGGCCGCAGCTGCTGGTAGGCATGCAGGTACTGGCGGACGCGCTGCGGGGCCTCCACATGCTTCGCTGCAAAGGTGGAGAAGAGCAGGAATCTTCCCAGCTGCCAGATGTGCTGCCGCCGCGCTGACACCGTGCCGGGTTCCTGCGCTGCCAGCCAGGCTGTGCTCCTGTACAGCCAGTGGTCGAAGTAGGCCTTCCAGGCCAGCTGCTCCGGCTCCAACAGCCTGCCCACCACCTTGGCCTGGAGAGCCAGGATCTGGGCCCTGATGTCCACCAGCGCGATGCCGCCGTGTGCGGCCGCGCGGAAGCAGACGTCCTTGCCTGGGAACAGCGCCGCCGCTGCGCCAGGGGTCACCGGCCGGTTCGCCGCGACGAAAGTGTGGATGGCTCTGCAAAGCCTCTGTAGCAAGTCTTGTGGCACCGGTATGAAGGTGGCATGGTAGGTGACCATGGAGGCCAGCACCTGTTTTGCGACGTACGCTCGGCCCAGCAGGCTGAGTCTGAAGCCGGACCAGCGGGCGATGCGGGCCTCCACCTTCTCAATGATGGCTGTGTATAGGGCTGTGGCAGCTGCAGCTGGCTGGGTGGACAAGGGAATGCCCAGGTGCTTGACGCCGTCGCTCGAAGCCGCGAAGGTGACTCCTGTGACTGGATCGGGCCCGGCGAGATGGCTGAGGCTGCCAAGCCCTAGGGCCTGGCTCTTGCTGCGCTGCAGCCTGGCTCCTGTGGCTGCGCAGTGGAGGCCCACGCTGGCCCCCAGCACGATCTGAGCATCCCGGGGAGTCCGCGCGTGCACGCTGGTGTCGTCCGCATGCTGGTGCATGACTGGTGCTGGCTCCCCTGAAGGCAGTCTGATGGGCTGGAAAGCTAGCTGGCCTGCAAGCATCCTGGCATGCGCGGCCATCGGCTGCGCGGCAAGCACAAACAGCAGCGGCGAGAGGGGGCTTCCCTGGAAGACGCCGGCGGCCACCGGGAAGGCATCGGTGTGCCAGCCGTTGAAGGCCACTCGCGCGGTCGTGCCGGAGTGCAGAATGTGCACCCACCGCTGCACACCGGGCCCGAAGCCCACCGCAGCCATGCACCGCTCAATCCAGGCCCTGTCAAGGCGATCGAAGGCCTTCTCGAAGTCCAGGAAGACCTGCACGCCTGGCTGGTGTGTGGCCTCCAGGTAGCTGATCTTTTTTTTTTTTTTTTTTTAAAAGGGGAAGCCCCCGCTATTACACAGGTGCCAGTCGCACGCTTCCCAGCACGCATGCAATAGGATATTTGGGGAAACCTGTCAGAGTTGGGGCACGCAGAGCACTCCCGCAGGAGGATAATGCGATACTTAAGAGAAGCGCAAGCATGAAGGCATACCACAGAAAGGCAACAGAAAGGCTCCTAGCGATGGACATGTCCCAAGCACCAGAGGGTTACCTCATCCCCAGAGGCGCACTCCAGCCCGCCGGCAACGCAACACCGCTGAGGTGACGTTGGAGGACCCACGGGGCAAGCCTAGGGCTTGCAGCTGGAGGCAGGGGTCACAGCAAAGCAGGCAATCATCAATCACTGGCAGGCAATTATTTTTTTTTTTTTTTTTTTTTTTTAAAAGGGGAAGCCCCCGCTATTACACAGGTGCCAGTCGCACGCTTCCCAGCACGCATGCAATAGGATATTTGGGGAAACCTGTCAGAGTTGGGGCACGCAGAGCACTCCCGCAGGAGGATAATGCGATACTTAAGAGAAGCGCAAGCATGAAGGCATACCACAGAAAGGCAACAGAAAGGCTCCTAGCGATGGACATGTCCCAAGCACCAGAGGGTTACCTCATCCCCAGAGGCGCACTCCAGCCCGCCGGCAACGCAACACCGCTGAGGTGACGTTGGAGGACCCACGGGGCAAGCCTAGGGCTTGCAGCTGGAGGCAGGGGTCACAGCAAAGCAGGCAATCATCAATCACTGGCAGGCAATTATGGATGTGCGGGCAACCAGTGGTGGAACAGACATGAAAGGCACGTTTATACGGTTGGCCGACAGGGATGGAACAGGATCGCGTTCGGACCCATTACCACTAGGTGCCGCTCGGGGCTGGCAATGTGACCCTAAACTATGCCTCAATCTGCCAGCAAGGTGGGGCACAAGCAAACGGTGGCATATGGGAGATATGAAGCCGCAAATGAGGCGAAAAACAGGTAGGCTGGCGAGAACTCGACCAGATACACACACCCACCACATTGGAGGCGGGGATAGGCAGGAGGCATCATGTCCAAGGTCCTAGACACCCGCTCAGGTTCAAGGGTGGATACTGGGGTTGGAAACCCTAAACCCTTCAGATAGCCTTCAATGAACTACTGTGAATGGTGAGGAGGACAGACACTAAGGCAGAAGGCCACGGATGACAGGCCAAGGGGATTGTTGGGGCTGCCGGTGAGACAGAAACATCGGAGGATCACTGGAAAACTATTGATAGCCTAAAGCCCTGGGCAGGGTGGTCTTCTGTAAGCTTGCGCCAACGCTCTGGCTCTCCGGCACGGTACTCCACAGGTAGCGGGGCGCACGATGGATCCGTCTGGCCGAGGGATACCCAAGGGGTGAGCCGCGCAAACACGTCCGGTGGTGGGCGAGGCCACCGGCACTGGGTGGCGAGGCCAGTGCCCCAGGGGTGAAGGAGGCACCCCCGGGGCCGTGTTGGGCCGAGCTCGACAGGTCCCTCGACCAGTGGAAGCACGTGACTCGGAGCCCCATTCCGCGCTGGCAAAGGTTAGAGGTAGGAGAGGCGCAAAGCTTCTGGTAGGCAATCTGTGGTCCCAGGGCTCTAAGGCAAAAGGGGTCTCAGACAAGGAACGACAGGCCGGGCTTTGCCGGGGTGGGATCGGGACTGGTGAAAGGTTAGTCATCCGTGCCTGACTATGGTATGACGAAGGCTCTTAGCGCCCATGTGCCCAGAGCACCTATCGCAAAGGCCCCCCTAAGAGAGGGTGTGAGTTCAACACAAGAATCGACACGAGCGGGTGTCATGGCAGAAGGCCAAATGAGAGCATGGTCATACAGATAGCCAAGTTAGAGCCGTGGCCGGCTGGGTACAGTGAATGGTGGATCGGAAGCGTCACGCTGGAAGCGGCACGGGATGCTGGGCACTCCAGTGGATGACTGGTTGCGCGCCCGGCAGCTCCTCCAGCGCGCAGAGGACCGCGCGGTGGCACCATCGCGCCGCAAACTGCTCCCTGGTGATCATCGGGTCGCGTCCGCGAAGCCAGTCGCTGAGCACACCTGCTGTCTGCCGGACGTTGACGGTCGCGAGCCGCCAATCGGCAAGCAGGGCCTTCTTGCAGGAAGACAGGATGCGAGCCGCAACCGCTCCGGGGGTGATCGCCGCCGCATCTGGCTGGTGGCGGCCGCGCTGATATGCTGCCCACAGCTGACAGATTGTAGCGAGCCGCAGGCGATCCCAGAGCTGCCTGAGCTGCCGCGGCGGTCCCCAGATCCTGGTGTCATCGGCGAGAAGAAGGTCGGCGCTGCGCGGTGGCGCGTCGTCTCCGGTCACCGCGGCCCATGTCGCTGCGAACCAGTCCCACACCCCGGCGGCGAGAGGGCAGATGATGAAGACATGGGTGAGTGTGGCCAGCTGACCTGCACAGCTCGGATGCGGGCAAACGTGACCGGCGGGATCGGCGCGGTGGACGTGACGCGCGAAGCCGCCGACGAAGAGCTGGCCATGCAGCAGCCTCCACGCTGTCACGCGCTGCCGCCGGTCCAGATGGGAAGCGTGCACCACTTGCCACACATGAGCCCAAGGTGCTGATGGGTCTGCTGTGACAGCAGCAGCAGGATCAACAGTGACATCTGCTCCCTGTGGCACTGGTGAAGGGCCCGCTGGCGCGCCCGCAGGCCCGCCGCGGTCCCGCAGCGGAACCGGACGGGGTTGCGGCGCAGCCATCCAGATCGCCCAGCACGCATGCAATAGGATATTTGGGGAAACCTGTCAGAGTTGGGGCACGCAGAGCACTCCCGCAGGAGGATAATGCGATACTGAAGAGAAGCGCAAGCATGAAGGCATACCACAGAAAGGCAACAGAAAGGCTCCTAGCGATGGACATGTCCCAAGCACCAGAGGGTAACCTCATCCCCAGAGGCGCACTCCAGCCCGCCGGCAACGCAACACCGCTGAGGTGACGTTGGAGGACCCACGGGGCAAGCCTAGGGCTTGCAGCTGGAGGCAGGGGTCACAGCAAAGCAGGCAATCATCAATCACTGGCAGGCAATTTTTTTTTTTTTTTTTTTTTTAAAAGGGGAAGCCCCCGCTATTACACAGGTGCCAGTCGCACGCTTCCCAGCACGCATGCAATAGGATATTTGGGGAAACCTGTCAGAGTTGGGGCACGCAGAGCACTCCCGCAGGAGGATAATGCGATACTTAAGAGAAGCGCAAGCATGAAGGCATACCACAGAAAGGCAACAGAAAGGCTCCTAGCGATGGACATGTCCCAAGCACCAGAGGGTTACCTCATCCCCAGAGGCGCACTCCAGCCCGCCGGCAACGCAACACCGCTGAGGTGACGTTGGAGGACCCACGGGGCAAGCCTAGGGCTTGCAGCTGGAGGCAGGGGTCACAGCAAAGCAGGCAATCATCAATCACTGGCAGGCAATTATGGATGTGCGGGCAACCAGTGGTGGAACAGACATGAAAGGCACGTTTATACGGTTGGCCGACAGGGATGGAACAGGATCGCGTTCGGACCCATTACCACTAGGTGCCGCTCGGGGCTGGCAATGTGACCCTAAACTATGCCTCAATCTGCCAGCAAGGTGGGGCACAAGCAAACGGTGGCATATGGGAGATATGAAGCCGCAAATGAGGCGAAAAACAGGTAGGCTGGCGAGAACTCGACCAGATACACACACCCACCACATTGGAGGCGGGGATAGGCAGGAGGCATCATGTCCAAGGTCCTAGACACCCGCTCAGGTTCAAGGGTGGATACTGGGGTTGGAAACCCTAAACCCTTCAGATAGCCTTCAATGAACTACTGTGAATGGTGAGGAGGACAGACACTAAGGCAGAAGGCCACGGATGACAGGCCAAGGGGATTGTTGGGGCTGCTGGTGAGACAGAAACATCGGAGGATCACTGGAAAACTATTGATAGCCTAAAGCCCTGGGCAGGGTGGTCTTCTGTAAGCTTGCGCCAACGCTCTGGCTCTCCGGCACGGTACTCCACAGGTAGCGGGGCGCACGATGGATCCGTCTGGCCGAGGGATACCCAAGGGGTGAGCCGCGCAAACACGTCCGGTGGTGGGCGAGGCCACCGGCACTGGGTGGCGAGGCCAGTGCCCCAGGGGTGAAGGAGGCACCCCCGGGGCCGTGTTGGGCCGAGCTCGACAGGTCCCTCGACCAGTGGAAGCACGTGACTCGGAGCCCCATTCCGCGCTGGCAAAGGTTAGAGGTAGGAGAGGCGCAAAGCTTCTGGTAGGCAATCTGTGGTCCCAGGGCTCTAAGGCAAAAGGGGTCTCAGACAAGGAACGACAGGCCGGGCTTTGCCGGGGTGGGATCGGGACTGGTGAAAGGTTAGTCATCCGTGCCTGACTATGGTATGACGAAGGCTCTTAGCGCCCATGTGCCCAGAGCACCTATCGCAAAGGCCCCCCTAAGAGAGGGTGTGAGTTCAACACAAGAATCGACACGAGCGGGTGTCATGGCAGAAGGCCAAATGAGAGCATGGTCATACAGATAGCCAAGTTAGAGCCGTGGCCGGCTGGGTACAGTGAATGGTGGATCGGAAGCGTCACGCTGGAAGCGGCACGGGATGCTGGGCACTCCAGTGGATGACTGGTTGCGCGCCCGGCAGCTCCTCCAGCGCGCAGAGGACCGCGCGGTGGCACCATCGCGCCGCAAACTGCTCCCTGGTGATCATCGGGTCGCGTCCGCGAAGCCAGTCGCTGAGCACACCTGCTGTCTGCCGGACGTTGACGGTCGCGAGCCGCCAATCGGCAAGCAGGGCCTTCTTGCAGGAAGACAGGATGCGAGCCGCAACCGCTCCGGGGGTGATCGCCGCCGCATCTGGCTGGTGGCGGCCGCGCTGATATGCTGCCCACAGCTGACAGATTGTAGCGAGCCGCAGGCGATCCCAGAGCTGCCTGAGCTGCCGCGGCGGTCCCCAGATCCTGGTGTCATCGGCGAGAAGAAGGTCGGCGCTGCGCGGTGGCGCGTCGTCTCCGGTCACCGCGGCCCATGTCGCTGCGAACCAGTCCCACACCCCGGCGGCGAGAGGGCAGATGATGAAGACATGGGTGAGTGTGGCCAGCTGACCTGCACAGCTCGGATGCGGGCAAACGTGACCGGCGGGATCGGCGCGGTGGACGTGACGCGCGAAGCCGCCGACGAAGAGCTGGCCATGCAGCAGCCTCCACGCTGTCACGCGCTGCCGCCGGTCCAGATGGGAAGCGTGCACCACTTGCCACACATGAGCCCAAGGTGCTGATGGGTCTGCTGTGACAGCAGCAGCAGGATCAACAGTGACATCCAGAAGCTGCAGCCTCATCGCCGCATCACCAGCCAGACGAGCTCAGCCACGACGCGGTCCTCAGCAAGCCGCTCTTCTTCAACAGGCAGCTCACAGCCGCCGACGGGCAGCCTCTTGCCTGGGAGGGCCTCGTCAGGATCAGCCACCCCGCGACCTGTTGAGCGGCAAGGAGCACCAACACAGCATCAGCGATCGCCTGCCGACTCTTCTCGCCGCTCTGCCAGCGTCATGGAGACAGCTCATCCAGTCCCAGCCAGCAGCGGCCTTGTGGCTGGAGTGTCCTGATCCGGTAGAGCGCCGGGTCTGGTCGCGCACAGCTGCAGGACACAACCATACAGCCAGCAGCACAGGCGCCCTGCACTGGAGCCTGCAGTCGAGCCAGCACAGTCCCAAGGCCCACCTTCAGACACAGTGGACGCCGCCGCGCCCGCTGCCGGGCAGGCCGCACCTTGGGCGCATGTGTGGAGGGTCATTCACACTTCCCATCTCGACCGGCGGCAGCGCATCACGGCCTGACGACTGCTTCACGGCAAGCTCTTCGTCGGCGCCTTCTCACAGCACATCCGCCGCGCAGATCCAGCAGGACACAGCTGCCCGCATATCGGCTGCGAGAGTCAGCCCGCCACACTCACCCACGTCTTCATCACTTGCACCTTGGCAGCAGGAATGTGGGACTGGCATGCAGCGACATGGGCAGCCATCACAGGGGAGACCGCGCCGCCTCGCAGCACAGACCTGCTGCTGGCAGATGACACCAGGGTGTGGGAGCCGCTCAGGCCTATCTGGCAGCGCTTCTGCTTAGCTACCATCTGCCAGCTCTGGGCCGCCTACCAGTTCGGCCGTCATCAGCCGGACGCCCACACATCGCCCGGGCAGCTCGCAGCCCGCATCTTCCTGCAGGAAGGCTCTCCTGGCCGACTGGCAACTTGCCACCGCCAACATCCGGCTGTCAGCGGGCGTGCTCAGCGACTGGCTCCGGGGACGCAACCCCACACTGAGCCGGGAAGAGTTCACAGCGCGCTGGTGCCACCGCGGAGTCCTCTGCACAGTGGACGCCCTTCCAAACGCACAGCCAGTCATCCGCTAAAGCGCACAGCACCCAGTGCCGCTGCCCGCTTGATGCTCTCCTCCACCACACATCGTACCCGGCCTGCCTTGACCTTAAACAGGTGGCCTGCCTTGGCCTTAAACAGGTGGCCTGCCTTGGCCTGAAACAGGCACTCTGTATGACCATGCTCTCCTGGCCATTTGCCATGACACCCGCTCGTTTCTTCTTATACTTTAAGGCCTGGTGAGGCTCAAGTGAAGCATGCGAAGGTGGAACAACAAGAAGTGACATTCGAGAGCCCTGGGCATGGTGATATGGGCTTCCGCGTACTAGCGACGGCGCTTCGGCGCTCCGGTCTTGATCTCCACTGGTAGCGGGGCCCACGACTGAGCCGCCCGGCCGAGGAATACTCATCTGCTTTGCTGTCACTGCTTTGCTGTGACCCCTGCCTCCAGCTGCAAGCCCTAGGCTTGCCCCGTGGGTCCTCCAACGTCACCTCAGCGGTGTTGCGTTGCCGGCGGGCTGGAGTGCGCCTCTGGGGATGAGGTAACCCTCTGGTGCTTGGGACATGTCCATCGCTAGGAGCCTTTCTGTTGCCTTTCTGTGGTATGCCTTCATGCTTGCGCTTCTCTTAAGTATCGCATTATCCTCCTGCGGGAGTGCTCTGCGTGCCCCAACTCTGACAGGTTTCCCCAAATATCCTATTGCATGCGTGCTGGGAAGCGTGCGACTGGCACATGTGTAATAGCGGGGGCTTCCCCTTTTAAAAAAAAAAAAAAAAAATACTCATGGTGTGAGCAGCCCGAGCACAGTTGGTGGGGGGCGAGGCCACCAACACTGGGGGGTGAGGCCAGTGTCTCGCGGGTCGAGGGTGCACCCCAGGGACCGTGCAGAGCTGAGCTCGGCGGGTCCTTCGACCGGTGGTACTCGGTACTGGGGGCCGCATGCTTCAGGCCCCATTCCGCGCTGGCAAATGGTGAAGGCGCAAGGAGCTCCGTCGCGGCAATCTGTGACCCCAGGGAACTAAGGAAAACATACAAGGTGACAGGCCGGGCTGACCCGGGGTGGAACTGCAGGAGTGAAAGCGGTCATCCGTGCCTGATACAACCCAAGGGGCTCTTAGCGCCCAGATGTCCAGTGAATCTGCCAAAAAACTGTGGTGGTGACCAAAGTAGGAGAAGAACGAGCGGGTGTCATGGCAAAAGGCCAGGAGAGCATGGTCATACAGAGTGCCTGTTTTAGGCCAAGGCAGGCCACCTGGTTAAGGCCAAGGCAGGCCACCTCTTCAAGGCCAAGGCAGGCCGGGTACGATGTGTGGTGGAGGAGAGCATCAAGCGGGCAGCGGCACTGGGTACTGTGCGCTCCAGCGGACGACTGGCTGAGCGTCCGGCAGGGCGTCCATTGTGCAGAGGACTCCGCGGTGGCGCCAGCGCGCTATGAACTGTTCCCGGCTGAGTGTGGGGTCGCGTCCCCTGAGCCAGTCGCTGAGCACGTCCGCTGACAGCTTTTTTTTTTTTTTTTTTTAAAAAGGGGAAGCCCCCGCTATTACACAGGTGCCAGTCGCACGCTTCCCAGCACGCATGCAATAGGATATTTGGGGAAACCTGTCAGAGTTGGGGCACGCAGAGCACTCCCGCAGGAGGATAATGCGATACTTAAGAGAAGCGCAAGCATGAAGGCATACCACAGAAAGGCAACAGAAAGGCTCCTAGCGATGGACATGTCCCAAGCACCAGAGGGTAACCTCATCCCCAGAGGCGCACTCCAGCCCGCCGGCAACGCAACACCGCTGAGGTGACGTTGGAGGACCCACGGGGCAAGCCTAGGGCTTGCAGCTGGAGGCAGGGGTCACAGCAAAGCAGGCAATCATCAATCACTGGCAGGCAATTATGGATGTGCGGGCAACCAGTGGTGGAACAGACATGAAAGGCACGTTTATACGGTTGGCCGACAGGGATGGAACAGGATCGCGTTCGGACCCATTACCACTAGGTGCCGCTCGGGGCTGGCAATGTGACCCTAAACTATGCCTCAATCTGCCAGCAAGGTGGGGCACAAGCAAACGGTGGCATATGGGAGATATGAAGCCGCAAATGAGGCGAAAAACAGGTAGGCTGGCGAGAACTCGACCAGATACACACACCCACCACATTGGAGGCGGGGATAGGCAGGAGGCATCATGTCCAAGGTCCTAGACACCCGCTCAGGTTCAAGGGTGGATACTGGGGTTGGAAACCCTAAACCCTTCAGATAGCCTTCAATGAACTACTGTGAATGGTGAGGAGGACAGACACTAAGGCAGAAGGCCACGGATGACAGGCCAAGGGGATTGTTGGGGCTGCCGGTGAGACAGAAACATCGGAGGATCACTGGAAAACTATTGATAGCCTAAAGCCCTGGGCAGGGTGGTCTTCTGTAAGCTTGCGCAGCTGGATGTAGGCGGTGGCAATTCGCCAGTCGGCTAGGAGAGCCTTAATGCAGGACGACAAGATGCGGACTGCGAGCTGCCCGGGCGATGTGTGGGCGTCCGGCTGATGATGGCCGCGCTGGTAGGCGGCCCAGAGCTGGCAGATGGTAGCTAAGCGGAGGCGCTGCCAGATAGGCCTGAGCGGCTCCCACACCCTGGTGTCATCTGCCAGCAGCAGGTCTGTGCTGCTAGGCGGCGCGGTCTCCCCTGTGACGGCATTTTCCTTGTACAGAACATGATGCGGCCCTGTAGCAGCGATTGCGGCAGCGCTGGACTGAGCGCTGGCGCTGCCTAAGGCCTCCTGTCTGTGTGGTCCGGACCGGATCCATGTCGGCCCAGAAGAAGTCGTACGAGATGCAGTGAGAACTCAGACTTGCATGCGCTTGGTCCGGGGGAGTTAGCCATCAGCCGTGCTTACCGGCCATGCAGCTTCCAAATAGGTGAGCCCAGGGGCTTTGATTACGCATACGTAAAGTTTGTTTTGGGTCCTCAGCTGATAGTGTCAGTACCTGATGACAGCTGATCAAAACAATTGCGTCATAGGAAACGGTACAAGGGAGGTAAATAATCATAGATGTACAGAGAGAATTGGGGGCACAGATTTGGATATATCGCCTCTAGAAAATTCAATATTGACTGACCTGCCCGTTCAGCATCCTGTGGAAAGTACTCCAATCAGAATCTGTGGGGGGCATCTGGTCCTCCTATGTGCCCTCCCAAATCAGAGTCCTCCTAAAAAGCAAAGCGGGCGGTGCAGGACCACCGACTCAGCACAACTCAAAAAGCCAAATTGAAATGTGCTTCCCCAAAAACCTTGATTTCCCCTCCTGATGGCGAGAAAGTTCCAAACAAATGATTGACAAAAATCTATAAATTGCGTATACTTCAATGATTGGAGCGAATCAAGTGCAATCTCAGAAACACATCAGAAACACTGCAGGGCACGCTGACTGTCAAATGTGATGTTCAGGCCTTGCTCGATTCAGTCATCATCAGAATCAACTGTGAGGTCCACTACATCTTCCTTGGACTCCTTCAGGGATCTCTGGAAACTAGGGCTGCCCCTCGCAGAGCAATCCAGTTGGGAGTTGTGGGAATGTGCTGACCCTGAGGCACTGCTTGCCTTTGCTGTGTTTTGAATGCCTTGCTTATTCCAGGTGGTACTGGCACGACTTTCTTCTACAGCTGCATGTGATGCTCCGCTGGCGGCAGGCTGACCATTCTCGATTGCTGTGATGTCTTCATTGCTGAAGTCTGTACCAGAACGATGCCCGCATGCACATCCAACGTCATCCTGTGCTCTCCTTTCGGCTGCCTGGGCTGCCGCCTGCATTCATGCCATATCCGGTCAGGAGTGGGCAGGCTGCTGTTGCATCCTTTTGCGTCAATGGAAGATATTGAAGCAAACTGTGCAATCTGTGGAGGTATAAAACATTCTTGCCGCACAAATGCATCACAGCAATATGCCAATTGTGTTTCTCATACACACACCTGTTGTGGTGTCAAATTCTGGCTGATCCCTCCCAAGCGGTGGGGCCCTTTCTGCATCAGGTTCCCAGTCCGCGCGCGTGCCTCAGCGGCCTGGACACCAACACCAGCGCATGCTAAATTTAGAGTGTGCAACCATGCAAGAGTATCGGGTGAGAATTTTTTTTTGCAACCTGCAGGACAAGACTTCGTAATGTCGGTCTGCCACCCACCTGCAGCATCTTATTGCGCAATAGAGCAGGGCTGGGATTGTGGCCACCAAACCCTCCTGCGCCCAACCGACCCATCGATGGCGCATCAAACCCTTCCCCTGTCCCAGTAATCCCCTTTGCGATAAATTCATCCAGCTCCTGTGCATCAGTTCCAGAAGTGACACATGGTGCCTCCAACACAAGCCTTCCGCTAACAGGGTGGACTGCAGTGTATCAGCATCAAATGTCCAGGGAATCTAGAATAGGTGTGCTGCTACTCACATCATTGATCTTATCCAGCAGTGCATAGAAAGTGGCATTGTGAGGACCATGCACGTTGTGGACGAGCTCATGCAGCATCGTGCCGAGGATGAAATCGTAGGACAGGAAAGACGCGCTGCTGCCACTTTCTCGCAGCCGCAGCTTGATTTCCTTGGTTGTCCCACCGCCACCCCCAATGTTGAGTCCCTGTGACAGTGTGCCTTCAAACATCATGCATAAAGCAGAAGCTTGCCTCTCTGTCAAACACTGCATTGTTCACACGGGCACAGCAGACATGAAATGCATGGCTATTGAAGTTTAGGGCTTATTTGCAACTGGTTTGCAAGAGTATTCGACGTACCCAGACCCTGCTATTACAAGAATAAAGTTCTGAGAGGAGTGGCACGCTCCAAGAGTGCTTGCGCATCACAGGCTGTACCTGTTTTGCCACTCTCTCTAGCAGTTCCTTGGCCTGAAGAGATCCAGTACCAAAGCTGATAAGTTCCTCAATATGAAACACATGTGCATGATTATTTCACTATTGTTACCCTTTGGACAATACCCATCAAGGATAGCACGAAAAGAGTCTCAGATCGAGAGTGAAAAGCAATGCTATTACCTTGGAGCTGTCTTTCTGAGAAATGTCGCATCGTATGTCGCACACCCTGTACGGATCTAATGATGGATGGACAGGCATCATTAGCAAGCAAATGTACTACGATAGTGCCATCTCACAAGTAGGCACGACAAGTTTTGCATGGCTGATGTCCTTCTGTGACCGGTAGCGCAGCAGATTATTCATTCAGATTTAAGATTCAAGCTAGTATGAACAAGCAAGTAAATAAGTAAATTTCAGAATTTGTTTGTAAGTTTCCAACGCATGCTTCGTGCATCCTGGTCTCAGAGGGGGAAGGGGCAGCTTCGTTCAACTTCATCATGCCCTACAAGGGGGATATGAAGATCTTAATACTTTCGTCATGACCATTCTGATCCAAGGGGGCTCATTTACTACGTTGATCTTGTCATTGCTCTGCTTGTTGGGTGTTGAAGTATTCAATCCGAATGTGCTAGCAATTGCTACCCCAGTGGCATGATCATGCCACTGCCAGTGGGAAAGCCAGTTGTAGCACGCGGATTCCCTTTACCCCGCTTTGCCGCACTGCATGTGGCATAATGGTGTGTGAAGTCACTGAACATTTCTATCTATGCAACCTCATGGAATGTCATATTCTTGAACAAGGTATGGGATATGATTGACCTAATTCGAAAGGAAAAGACGGTTGGCCTGGAAATAAGCTCATTTGATGAGCTAAGAAACTTGCATCGTCCAATTGGACGCGTAACAAAACCATGAGAAAGGCAATTGATCGTTTGCAAAGGTCCTTGTCCACTTCGTTACAATAGGAGAAGCCAGATCCTTGTCATGACTGATCAGTCTACATACAGTGCTCCGAGCATTGCGGCGGCTCTGCAGACACCCTGTTGCAGCTCTACAAGAGACCGCCATCCTGAGAGTAAGTATCCAACGTTGCTTTCAGCAGCAGCTGCTGAACAGCCACATCACTACCACAAAGCTCTGGCCACATTCAGAGTGGCCCCATGTTGCACACTGGGAGGTTCATCAACTCCGTCAGAAATATGCCAAGTGGAAGTACCATCGAATTGTATTGTGCACTCTATTTTTAAAGTTGACAATGCCACACCGGCTGTCAAATAATGAGAACATCAAGGCGCTTCATGCAGCACAAAATATTGAAGTTCTGTCACTTTACAGGACCAGTTGTGTCCTGGCATAGTTGTACTGCGCTGGCATGACGTTCAATCCCGAACCGAAGAAGTTGGTAAGCAGAACGCTTTCTCACAAGGTCCAGAGACTAGCGCTCATGGCAATCACGGCATGTGATCTTACTCGATCACCATTGCCTTCTTCAACAGGTTGCTCACGGTGTCTGAAGGCACTGCACCAACCTCCAGCCACTTCTTGATGGCAGGAGCATCCAAATTTGTCTCCTTCTTCAGAGGGTCGTAGTGGCCCAGTCTCTGGTGGGACAGCAAGAACAACCGGTCAGTGAGGTGCAAGTGAGGGTTGTTGCCACCCTGAGTGATGGACGTTGGGCACTGATGTGATCAGATGATCGAATATAGGTCACTGTGGTTACCTCAAGAGGCCTGCCATCTCTTCTGGACCTCGAGTCAATTGCCACCAGTCTGTGGTACCCAAGCAGAGCTGTCAGCACACGTCAAGGTGTGGACAGGCAGGAAGTTATCGACAGGCAGGTCGCCATCGGCAAATTTCGAAATACATACAGACACACAGAAAAACTGACCTGTAGAAGGGTTTCTTCTTCCTTCCAAACCTCTGAAACCGTATGGCAACCTTATTCTCGATCTGTAGTGTGGACTGCCGCAAGCAGGCCCTTTGAGCGACCTGTGAGCATACTTTCAACTCAAACACCAGTGCATTCACTCACAGGGGACAAAACTACGGTCAAATAACAAAGCATGACCTCTCCCTCACGTATAATTTTGCAACAAACGGTGACAGCCAGGGACATGCTATGGTGGCACCACAGCACGATCCAATCCGCAAATAGCTTGTAAAAGACCCAGCTTCAACGGAGTTCAGGTGTTGTGGAGACAATTTTATCATATCTCACCGGTCTCAAACTCTGAGTGCTGGCCAAATTCGCAACGGAGCTGAGCCCACTAGTAGATGGCGCCAGACTGGTGGAAATCATTATGATTCTTTCTACGATCGTGCAAAAGTCTCCGCCACGTTTCACAAAACCCAAATGTCCAAGCTGTTCCTGAGCCACCACCAAATGCTATCTGCAGGAAAGAAGACTAAGGATTGCGTAAGCACCCGATCGGAAGCGGCGTTGGTAAATTATGCGTGCAACACATCAATCGTACATTTGTGTCCTTGACAGGGATGATTCTCGATCTGCAGAGTGTCCCGTGACAAGTCTTGGACCATCATCACGAATTAGAGCAGGATATTTTGTTCTTGCGTGCACCTTTTTTTGTGAGACGTGAGGTGCACCGATACTGTTCATTCTTCTTATGTCCCCATGAGCGTCACGTCGCCTACGCATCTTTATCCAGCTGTAACACTGCTTGACAGCGACGACGAGGAACAGGCACGCATTCCTGCTTTGAAGCGTTGAGTCCTGCTTGAAAACAAGCGCTCCTGAGCCTGTTCCATAAGTCCTGGAAGCCTTCCCAAAATGTGACTGTCCCATTCACGCGTTCTTTCATGCTTTTTCTTATTACGTTCATAAAAGATGGCTCAATGTTACGGCGTGACTCACTGGTTGATTAGTGCGGAAAGCACTTGGCTGCAGCACACCCAAGATACCCTTCATTTCGAAACAAAGCACACCAAATGTTTGTTTTACTATCGCCAGGCGGGACCCTCTGGCCGGCCAGCACATGCACACTGGCAGAAGCCCGCAGCAAATGCCAGAGCGCAGAGGACTGCAGGTGATGCACACTGTTTCCTTTGCAGGGCTCACTACTTCATCAGCCTGAGCAACAGTGCGTGCATGCCCACACTACTGTATGTCTTGTTGATGTGAGTCACCATGCTGACACTGGCTGTGCTGGTCCCAGGGAATCGGCGCCCTCAAGCACGGGTGAACTGGAGGGATCCTGACGCCAGCAGAAGGAGCGGCCCTACGGTGAGTCCTGAGTGAGGTAGTTTACACTTGGCTGAGCGCTTTCTGATGGGGTCTTAACGGTCGTTCACAAGTCCAACGCTTCCCTTGCTGTTGCTGGTTCAGGGCAATGGTGGAAGTGATGGACCTGTCATCGACCTCACATCATCCAGTCCTGTTGATGACGATGTGATGCTGGTGGCAGCATCACCTCCTCCGCAGAACAGCAGAAAGCGCAGGCGAGTTTCTCTATTGATTGAGCAGCCCCCGGCTCCCCCAGCGCCCAACGCCAGGGAGGAGGCTCCGTCAGCTGATCCGCAGTGTGCAGTCTGCTTGGAATCAATGATGCAGATGTCCTGCGGACCCTGCGGGTGAGTGCCATACCACGTCTCCTGCACATTCCAAGCAATAAAGTATGTACAGCAGAGCGCTTGATTTGCTCAGACATTCTGCGTGCTTCTCACTACTGACTTCAAGGTCGCATGCAGGCATGTCTTCTGCGACAAGTGCCTCCGCGCAGCAGTGAAAGCACAGAAGAAGTGTCCAACCTGCCGCAAAGTTATGCAAGTCCGCCAGATTCACCGTGTCTATTTAAATGTTCACTAGCTTCAAGAGTACTATTGTATTCAAGTAGTAGGTGTAGATTCTTGTTGAGGAGCAGGCCCTGCAGAAGACATGTGGAACTGCTTGCTTGAACAACATGAGAATTTCAATATCAAACTGAAATGCAATTTAGCAATTTGCCAGTGAAATCACTAGCTCAAATTAATTACGGCGCACAAAAAACTGCTGCAACCTGACATTGCGTGCAGACGCACCATGCAGGAGCAGAACGTAAAGATTAATCTGCTGAGCAGAGATGAAGTTGTTACTATGACGTCAAAAGAAATGCATTTCAAGTCGCCGTCTATAGATAACCAAGCACATGTGTCTTCAATTGTGGAAGGATTCTGTTCAAAGTTCTCTTGATCACTTGTATTGATCCACAGATATCTATATCATCGATGACAAGATGTGCTTCAGCATGTACCGGTATCTGAAGGTGACAGGAAGTCTGCAGACTGTATCAGAAAGACTCGAAGCCTTGCAGCACGGCAAATTTAAGCGTCTTTGGGCCATTTAAGGCAGACTTGGGTGGAAGACTCTCCATAGAGCCGGGGGCAGATGCAGTCACTGCCTATACGGTATACCTACCACACTCTGGCAGAGTCCCCTCAGGCTGACATGGGATAGTTGTTTGAAGGTGCAAGACCTGGAGACTTCGAGGTCATCACAACTTGCAGACTATGAGAATGTTTTTGGAATTCCTGAAATACTGCAGGAGATACAGGAATGCACTTCCAGCTGGACAAAATCACTAATTGCGGACAGTATTGTGTCATATTATTACCAGCCTTGCTATTACATGCTTGCTGTTGCCACAGTTCGATCTGCCAATACAAAAGTAGTGTCTTGCAAGCTTCCAAAGGTGACAATCTCAGGTGAGGCTCAGCTGGAAGGACTCCCAAGAAAATTGGTGCTTGTATTGATCTCCTCAACAAAAGGGTATTGATTTCATCAAGGTACTGAAGGGCCTGCAACTTGTACACTGCGCCTCTTCGTAGCCACGACTGTGTCGCATACTTGCTGTTGATCTTGCGTGACTACTTGACACTGCCATCGTGATGATCACCATGAAGCGTCCACATGCTGCAGCATTGCTGGCTGAAGCTCAGAATCCAAGCTTGGTACGGCGCCAATGCCTCCTCTTTGCATTGTATCTGTTGGACAACAACACAATGCGATCTGAGTCTCGAGTGCAAAGAGAAGACTCGAAGACCCTTTCACAAGCACTACTATGATATCCCTGTTTGCTGTCACCGAAACACGCCGCTGCTCCAGGGATGCCGTAACCAGACAGGAAAGGCACACACCTGATCTTGTTGTCTGTCCGGAAACGAATCCACTGGGGGATGGGGCGGTTCTGCTTTGCCTTCTTGGCCAGCTTGCGCTTGATGAGGAAAGTCTTCTGGGACGGCTGCATGCATCAAACAGTTGTTAAACAGAGGCCCCTAACGATGGAATTTCGCAATGACTTCTGCCAACTTCGAGCATCATTCTCATAACCAACTGGGAAGGAACAGCTCCCAGAACGATTCTGCTAACTATCACACTGCAGAAGCCATTCTCATCATGGTTCCGACAAACAATATTCGTTATTACAACGATGTACAGCCTGTAATCATAATCAAAAAGCAGTCATCTCAAAAAATTTGTGGCCGTAGCCCAACACCCTGCTGTATACATCTCAGAACCTGGCAACAGAATCCCAAGGCTGCGGGGCAGGATGAACGCTAGAATCAAACAATTAGGCGACTTTGAATGACCCATCAATGGCAGAGGACACCACCGACAACCTCTGAACCAATACTAAGGGTCTAATCCACCCTCCCAAGGATCGGACAAGTTGGAGCAAAACTGCTCAAAGGAGCACCATAGGCCGTCAGAAATTCCTGTAATCTCTGTAACACTGTTGATACGTTCCAGGAAGCAGGGCTGCTCACCATGGCTGCAGATCAGAGCTTGGCCGCCACTCTGACTCCTGCCTGAAGCCTGCAGCCTTTTGCCCGAGGCCGCTTCCAAATTTGGCACCTGCAGCCAGCTGCCAGGTCACCTTTCTGGCCAGGTGCGCCCACGTGAAAGGTGGCCCTGGCATGGATGGCGTCAGAAGAATGTGTGAGTTCGGATGCACTTGCAGCATCAATCTTCAGGTTTAGCCAGTCGTTGTATTGCAGGGTTGGGGATGCCGGACCCTGTGGAAATAAAAGCTTGGTCCTAGATGGGCATCGGTGATGCGGGATCATTCTCTCTCATTGCCAGTAGATCAGAAGGTAGCAGACGCGCAGTACATGGATGACGATAGTCTCCCTGTCGGCGACATGCCGGATGAGGCTCAGGCAACGAGAGGCGTGGAAGGCGATCACACAATACGGGGGAGCAGAGGGGCTTCAGGACTGTCAGAAGGTTTGAGGGATTTCGTAAATGGATCAGTAAAACTCAATATATCCTGCTGTGTCTTTTTTATTTATTTAAAATCTTGTCCCACAGTCCTAGAAGGCAGGGAGCTTTTTCAACAACCTTGCAGCAGCAGTGTGTCATATCACAGGAGGGCCTGATAAAGAGAAGAAAATTCTGCTGAAACGGATAGGACAGTTGCATAAAGCTTACGCGGAAATGCAACAAATCACGGCACAGAGGGAGCTTGACGAGAACAAGGTATCCAAGACGTGCGCAGCAAAACCGGCCTCAACAGCTGCATCATGGAAGATGTTTTATTCGGCTATGATGTGCTCACAAGCCATACTGTCCCTTATTGGTGCAGGCGCGCACGTCTCAGGTCCTGGCCGAGAGGCAGATTGCTGTCACCTGGCCACAGCGTCGGATACAGAGCACAGCTGTGCTGCGTGCGGCCAATGAGGATGCTGCTAATACGGAGCCTTCAAACAATACAAAACATGGCAAGGTATGCCCTGCCAGACTTGCACCAATATTTGTTGGCTCGCAAACCTGTGAAACCTGTCCTTTGATGACACGCATGTCCTGCAGGGCAAGGGACACGATCAGAAGATCAAGGTGCACACCTCTTTGCAGGGCACCCTTCCCGCCCCTGCCATCAAGATCCCATACCAGGAGAGAGTCCCACCGTACAAGTCATGGTCGTACCTGATGTCAAATGAGCTTGCAACTGAGGTTGGCGGTCGCATCTTCTACACAGATGCCACAGGTGGGTGCGCATGGCGAAGTTGTTGCAGGTAGTCTTGCGCAAGGCATGCAGGGCATTCGTTCTGTGCATTCCATAGCCTGAGGGGAAATTGGCTGATTGTGCAGGCGAGACCATACCTGCAAGCGACAGTGAGGACGAAGACAGGAGGGGGGAGGGGAATCTGGAGGGTGCGCACAGGGAGAGTGAGGAGTGGGTGATGCGCCAGCTTGCAACAGAAAGGGGGATCACTTCAGACGTGGTGGAGGCCCTTGCAGATCGGCTCGATGCAAGCACCTGTGAGTTCCTCCGTCGCGCTGCATGACCTCTTATCACATTGAATTGTTGACTTGCATCTTGCAGACCGAAAGCACTGTTGTGTGCATTCAGCTGCCGTGGAAGCTCGGCTAAGTGCCCTCCTAGCGGATCCGAAAGAGAAACTGGCGCAAGCCCAGACGGTGTCATCCGTGAAGGACGGCGTGGAGAAATGTGCCAAGAACTTCTGTCGTCGTTGCCGCACCTACAGTTGCCACACGCACATCAGCGGGCAACACGTGCGGTGAGACTTCTCCACCCGTATTTATCTTAGAATGCTGTTGTGACATAATTTGGTGCGCTTTCTAATCTGCTTTCTTGTGTGCGCCTGATGCAGCCCACACCACCGCTTGCCTGCTTTGAAGACCACAGCAGAGATGGTATGCGGGCCGGACTGCTGGCGGCTTGTGCACTCTGCTCCCAGCCAGCCATTTGCAGCCGGCGAGTCATCTTTACACAATCCGCATGCTCCCTTGGGCAGCCAACACCAGCAACCAACAGGACCGCAGCATGCTGAGGGTAAGTGTTCTGTGCTGGTCGCCCTGCCTGGCTGTGCAGATTCAATGCGAAGACACGCCCAGTCCTGGACGTGATTCCTTCTGCAGACCGGTCACTTGTACTGGTTAAATAACAAGAAAGCTAGAAACAAGCAGCGCAGAGACAAGCATCCAGGCATGATCTACAGGCTGGTCAGATCTCCATGGCTGTGAGCAAGTATGTCCTGGTCTGTGCAGGTGGAAATCTGCAGGAGTCCAGCTCTGTGGCAAGCGCCGGTCAGGGAAGCGGCTCGCCTCGAGACATGCTCCTAGACACACCGGCACGAGTGAGGCAGAACAGAACTCCTGTGCCTTTGGACCTTGTACTGGGCACGGCTGCATTGAGTGGCAGCGGTGAGGCTCATTTATGCATTATGACTGCTCCCCTGAAGTATTCTTGGAATTGCTGGCAAGCGTCTTGTGGAAGGATGCAGGTGACACTGAAACACAGATGATTTTGCAGGTGGACTGGAAGGTACTGTGCATGCAGCCAAGAATGGCGGGGAGCCTGGGGAAGTCGTAAGCTACTCCGGCCCTGGCACCGACTGGACTGCTTTCGAGGTATGGTACAGACCATGTGCCTGGGTGTGTTCCTGCCTGTGGGCCTAAAACAAACGCTGAACTTCACATGCTCTTATTGACTTTGCAATATATTTTGCATCTTCAATTAATGACAGGGTGTGAGGGCAATTGAATGCTTGCCGTGCAGCTGGACGCAGTACAGTACGGCAGGAACCTATACAGGGGGGATGTCTGCCGCACTGCGCGGCTCGTGGGCACACGGAAGTGCTCGGATGTGCACGCCATCATGAAGGACCTGCCGCCGTCTGCTGCAGCCGCCCCCAGCAGCCCGCCCCTGGGCCCCGCCAGGAGAGTGGGCTCCAAGCGCAAGCCAGCTGCCCCGCAGCGCCGCAAGAACGCCTCCCAGGTGATTTTCGGTTGTTCCTGGTCATTGCGTTTTGTTTTGATCAAGCCACTGACATTCCTGTGATAGCCTCACCACTCAAAAGAGACTGGTTTGGGGTGGAAACAAGTGTGCAGGCTTGCTGGAGGGTCCATCTCACCACACAAAAGCTAAGAGGAGCTGGTGCGGTGACCGCAGGTGGTCAACAAGCGTGCAAAGCACGACATGACCAAGCCTTGGCCCCTGTACACCCCATGCACCTGCACGGGCCCCTGCAATGCTGAGTGCTCCTGCGCAAAGAGTAAGAATTTCTGCGAGAAGTTCTGCGCGTGTGGCCCCACCTGCTCCATCCGCTTCGTGGGCTGCGAGTGCAAGTCTGGATGCACCACCAAAGCCTGCCCTTGCTATGCAGCTGGTGGGAGTGCGTGACACTCACCAATTCCTGTCATGAGCTGAGCTGGCATTACACTGGCAAACTGTTTCCCCAGCCAACTATAAGAAGTCTGGTAAGGAAGTGCAACAAGCGAGTGGCCTCACGTCTTTCGGCTGTCTGCACCGCAGGGCATGAGTGCGATCCGGACGTATGCACGGGCTGCACAATCGGCTGCACCTGCAACAACATGCGCCTGCGCTTCCGCCAGCACAAACGGGTGTGTATGGGCAAGTCTGCCATCGCGGGCTGGGGCAGCTTCCTCCTGGTACGCCCCGCTGCTAAAACTTGCTGCAAGCTCCCACGAAGTTGTCCATGATCAGACTGCTTGAAAGGCGATGTCCAGAGCATGATTCACTTGGCTGAAGGCAATGTTGTGTCAAGCAGGAGGGTGCCAACAAAGGGGAGCTGGTGGGGGAGTACACGGGAGAACTAGTCACGCAGACGGAAGCTGATCGGCGCGGCAAGGCGTATGACAGGGATGACAACTCCTACCTCTTCAACCTGAACGAGGCATGGGTCATCGATGCACGCCGCCAGGGCAACAAGCTTCGATTTGCAAATCACAGGTACTTCAACCAATCTTCCTCACCGTCAATTTTGCCTTGGAGCTGCCTAGGACGATCCCTGATGGCAGTTTTTGGCAAGAAAACTGTGTTGCTGTTGCTACAGCCGATGCTGTCCTCACATTGATACCTCTGTTGCATGCAGCATTGACCCAAACTGCGCTGCCAAGATCCTGATGGTGGATGGGGATCACCGTGTGGGCATCTTTGCATGCAAGGACATCGAACCAGGCACAGAACTGTTCTATGACTACTGCTACTCGAAGGACCAAGCCCCAATCTGGGCTTTGCTACTGACCAAGTGACAGGGTCAGGATGCAAATTCGGTTGAAGGCAATGATCTCTTGGTGGTTTCTGTGGACACCCTCACTGCTTAAACATTGCGGTGTTCACATATATCTTTTTATACTTAATTCCTTAATCACGCAAGCCCCAGAAGCTGGACTGTTCAAATACCGGCCATGGTGGATGCGAAATAGAGAGCAAAGCTTCATCGGTCTGTGAGACACCTCTCACATGGTGGCCTTGAGTAAACCTCTCAATAGGCTGGCTCCGAAGTTTCTGATGACCGAGTCTGTTGCTTTATGTAATGTATTATACTTATTAGCTTATGCAGCTGTAGTGTGACATATTCACCTCCGACGGGGATACGGCCGCTGGCGTGGCAAAGCCACATTGTCTGCATTTCTGAAGATCTGCCCTGATTTCTACATCGTTGTAAAATGGTAAGTCACAGCTGGAGTCTGGGAAGGTGGGATCATAGGCACATTTAGTCAATAATAAAAAGCCCTTGATATGCACCAGATAGTTTACATCAGCAATTTGTACAAGGGAACCGGCGCGCTGGCCGCATGTTGATACAGCCAACCCTACAGGATATACTTTGAAAGGTCCTTTTTCTTGAGCAAATCTCCAAGCGCATCAGAGATATGCTGCTCTGTCACCGTGTAGGTGTACCTCTCCCCTCGATCAATCGCATCCTTTGCCTGCAACAGAACCGATACTCAGCTTGTTCCGCAGTATTTGCATGATCTGTTCACAGGACAGCAATCCGAAGCGCAGCTAGCATTTGGGATCAACACTCACAGTCATGCGCACGCGTACGCTCCTCAGAGACGGGTACAGATACAAATGCTCCATTTGGGCGCGTTGTTGCCCAGCATGGATGCAGGGATGCGCGTCACCTGCTCAGGTGCAGAGAAGGAGATGTCTTCCAAGATGCGCTCGAGGATGGTGTGGAGGCGGCGGGCGCCAATGTTGTCCACAAGAGTGTTGACCTCCTCTGCAACCTTGGAGATTTGCCTGATGGCTGCATCAGTGAAGATGAGCTCCACGCCCTCTGTGGCAATCAGGGCCTGCTGCTGCTTGATCATGTTGTGCTCTGGCTCCGTCAAAATCCTGAAGAAATCATTTGCCCTGCACCAGCCCAAACTTATCAGTCCTGTAGCTTCATCAATCTCTGGTTTCTTGCACACCGCTCAGAAACACAATTGATACATGGTGGGGTCATGAAGCGAGACGGCAGTCAGGGCAGTTGCAGGGAGCTGCGCACGTGAGGCCCTTGAGCTCGACGCGGATGGGCAGGCGGCCCTGCAGCTCTGCCAACATGTCGCTGGGCTTGCACTGGTGGAAGGCGCCAGAGCATATGAAGAGGATGTAGTCTGTGCTGACGTTGCCGTACTTGGTGCTGACCTGGCTGCCCTCTATGATTGGCAACAGGTCACGCTGCACACCCTCACTGCTGGCATCCGCACCTGTCACAGACGGTAATGCACTGTCAGAAGATGCATCTAAGTGAATAGAATAGCAGTGTCCAGACAAAACCAACAATGCCACACTGTGGATTAGCTGTAGTCAGAAGCACACAAACACAGGAGAGGTTAAGAAAAACATTAATATACCGTAACGCAGGTCCTGGTTGACCACAATCTTGTCGATCTCATCGATGAAGACGATGCCATCCTGCTCCACTGCCTGAATTGCCTCTCGCTGGACCTGTCATGCAGGTGTCACATCACCATCAGTTGGCTGCTGCAATCTTCTGTCAATCAAACCTTCTCAACAACAAGTCTGTGAAATTGCACATGCTGGCGATGCTGCACATGAGTACTGTGACAACAAACCGTGATAAGGACAACTTACTAATGGCTTGAACATGCTGAAAGCATCTAGGCAACATGGAGGGACCAAGGACTCACAGCATCGTCACTGATGAGCCGCTCAGACACCATGTCCTCAATGATAGGCCGCGCCTCAGACACTTTCATCTCTCGCTTCTCTCCGCTGTTCTTCCGCGAAGCAATGACCCTGTCCAGGCGGCTGAGCATCTCCTGTTGTTGCAAAAATTGATGGTAAGGCCCCACGATCCTCTACTTACTTTTCTGCTGCACATTGAGCACCCCCAGTTGAGAAGGGCGCTGTCACCTGCAAAGCCTGCCCGCCAGGTCCATCCATGTTTGTGACGCTGACTCGTGACCCCGGGATGTCAACTGTGATTTTGCGCTCATCTAGCTGTCCCTCCTGATACAATGCCCTGAAAGACTCCTGCAATACACAAGCAACAAGACGACGTGCTGGTCAATCCTAGGAGCCTCTGCACAATGGGTGGATGCTCCATGAAAGTTTGGCATGCGCAACAGCAAAGCATCAAAGGAGCCTTACCCTTGTCGTGTTGGGCCCGTTCTCGCTGACGGGGCCCACAAGGCAGTCAAGGATCTTGTCTTCCACGGCCCTTGAAATATCTGCCCTCAGCTGCCTTTTCATCTTGGCTCTCGTTGAGATGATGGCTGCGTCCACCAAATCCCTGACAATCTGGTCTACATCGCGCCCATGGAACCCAACCTCTGTGAACTTTGTGGCCTCGACCTGTGAGGAAAGCAGCGTTCAAGTCAATGCAAAGCAGACTGCAACATATTAGAATTTCTTGAAAATCTGGGCATTGAGATCCTTGTTGGAAAGGGCCCAACCTTGACAAATGGTGCATCAGCCAGTTTTGCAAGCCGGCGTGCAATCTCGGTCTTGCCACACCCTGTTGGACCGATCATGAGGATGTTCTTGGGGACGATCTCTTCCTGCAGCAGCCCCACCAGTCAGTAACCCCTTGTCATAGATTTACCATTTAGCAGCTTGGACACAGATTTGATGGACTTTCATTGAAGTCAATCAGGGGCGAAGACAGAGAGCTGAGCACAGCAGCACCTTCATGGGGCTGGCAATCTGCCTGCGCCGCCACCTGTTGCGCAAGGCATTTGCAACAGCTCGCTTGGCATCCGCCTGCATCAAATACCCTTCAGCGCTGTTCGTTTTGTGGGAAACTTGGCCGTGGCATGGCAAGTACAAGCAGCAAAGGCGGTGGTGCATCACCTGCCCAACTATGTACCGATCCAAGCGGTCAACAACTTGCTTGGGAGTCAGGTCTGCATCAAACTCATCGTCCTGGGGGTGACAGTCTCAGGTCAGCTCAAAAGCAGGCAGCACGAGAGCTCGCAGACTCCACTCATGTACGAGCTCTATATTCTACATACCTCATCAAGAAGATGCTGCTCTGAGGCAAAAGGAAGAGCAGGGGCTGTCTCAGAATTTACTGCGCCCTCTGTCTGAAAAAATCTGCTGCAGGCCAGAGGGCTGGCTCTGGAAATTGTTGCTTGCTGTGAACACGCCTGAAAGATACGAAAAGCATTTAGGCTAGAATTTGCGGAGCAGAACATGTGTTTATTTTATCAAAGTGGATAAGGACTGTTGATCGGTGTCAAGGAATTTTGCTAACAACAGTAAGTTCTTATACACCTTTAAGACTTTAGGCATGACCAAATCTATTACTCCACAGCAGAAGCTGCTGTCCCTTAGGACCGCTTGTAATGTTGGTAAGTTCCAGGTTTCTGAAGGACAAGAGGTGATTACCAAGGCTGATGTGCTCCTGGCAGTCCTCAAGAGGCTCAGCAGCATCATGGGACTCCTGAGGATTGAACGGATGTATACTGAAAATGCAGGAGACACTAGATGACTTGCATGTCTGGCACGCTATCACTTCCAGGACCTTGGCCAGAAGCGATTCAATAATGACAAATCGAGTTTTATAAGGGAATTTGCTGTGCAATCATACTGGGCTTGATCGTCTCGGAAGCGCAGAGCTTATTTGGTGGGGTCAGCCTGCCACGCTGGCGTGTCTTCAGATCAGACCTAGGGAGCCTTTTGATTCCAGCACCGTCTTGCATGCCACCATGGGAGAGACTCCTAGGAGTACACACCTCCAACTGGACTCAGCTTGCTATACTTCTTCCCCTTTGCTCCCTTAAGTAAATTATGCCGCACACCGTTGACTCAACGCCATGTCATGCATTCAATGCATTCAAGTTGATGGTACCGTACCATGGGTGACCCCCGGTGGACCCACTCGCATTCAAAGAATTGGCAGATGCTCATCCAGGCAGTCATGAAATATTGATCAATATTAAGCAGAAACACAATATCCTGCGGAGAAATGTGAGTGGTGGCACTTTATGAATAAGCCAAATCATGTACAAGACCTGCCACCATTTCGTTGTGTTGACTCTCAAGCTTAAACAAGCGATAACAGAGCATCACATACTTTTGAAACACTGGCAATATACATTGATAACTCAGGGCTGATAGGGCGTATTAACAGAGCTGGTCAAATTGACTGCCTCTGCAGCAGCAGACCTCAAAATACACACCGACAGAAACAACGGCATCCCATCTTCCAAGCCATTCTTGGAAGAAGTCTTGACCAGTCCTTGCTCGTGAAGGAGCCCGGCAGAGAAGTCCTTTTGGACTTAATACAGTATACTGCATGGCCCCACGGTACTGCACAATGTGTCTGCCTTACGACACTGCACCAATCAATATACACTGAAGATCAGCAAAAATACAGCACCTACATCCTCTCTGAAACTTGCGGAAACAGCACATCTCCTCAAGTCCTCCACAGACCTTCACAGAAGGTTGCTTTCACCATTCCAAGAACCGTTCAGCGACTGGACGCTATTTCCAATGTCACCTCACTTGACTCAGCGCTTCATCAAGCAATCATGTATCACTTTCCCAAGATCTCTCGTACCAGTCCACACTCTCTCCAGGTTGTTCAAAAATTTTGCCCAATACTCACTGAGGAACAGCTCGAAAGAATTTGCACTGCTTAAATGCGCTGCTCAGTCACGCTGCCTTTTCTGGAAGGCAAACTTATGCAATGATGCAAACCCCACTCCATGCAACATCAAGCATGCTGCTGCAGGTGCACTCAGATCCCCAGTTGCCCTCCATAGCATCCCCAAAAAAGTGACCTCAAATGCAGCCATCAATGCGGCAACATTGCCAGCCATCTGCTGTCGGTGCACCCAATTTGCCGCCTCAACCTGCACACCCAGCCAAACGTCTCCAACCAGAAAGCTGGTGCGATCTTGGGGTAAGGATGACATTCTCAAACACAAGTCTTTACATCAAAGACAGGGAGATTGCTGCGCTGAGAGAGCCTGACCTTGAAAGCTCGAGCCATGCGCTCGGAATCATCCTGGCGTCCGGACGTACTGACTGCCGTCAATCGATAATACCTGTCCGCGTTCCTGACAGCAGCATCAACAGCCTGCACAAGCATATGCATACTTTAGTGTTCATCATTCAATGCTCAAACAAGAAGCTCACGAGCCCAACAGTTGCAGGTTGTGCATGTGCTTGGCTTCCTGAGCTTGGGTTTTAAGAAGGTACTCACTAGTGGTGGTGCTGTGTCCACAGGAAAATAAACTTCCGACTACGGGAGACCGCACAGGTGCGCACCTCGTACTCTTCGCCAGAGATGCCGTGCTCCAGGTAGCGCGCAAGAGCTGCAAGGCTGGCTGTGGTGATCAGGGCCAGCGCCGCCGGCAGATTGTATGGGACATTGACGCCGGCGTCACGCAGGTACTCAGCGTATGTGCCAAGCGACAGTGTCAGGGCTCCCTGAGCAGCTGGCAGCAGCATCAACAGAGTAGGCAGCGCCTCCGCCATCATCACAATTGCAACCTGCAAGTCACATTAGCGGCTTCACACCAGGAGCCATAAATCTGCGTCATGTTCATGCAGTCAGACTAGCCCCTGCAGGCCAATCGCACACTGTTCATGACTGGGTATTCACAAAGCCCACACCTGTAGGCCAGACATCCTCTCCAGCAGCGGTTTGAGAACATCAGCCTCCCTCTCCTGCATGTCCTGCAGGGCGGGAAAGGAGCGCCGTGCAGCCTCCGACCATGTGCCTGCCTTCAAGGCCGCCAGGGGCAGGCTTGCCAACAAGCCCAGTCCTGCTGCTTGGCCGCTCTCCAGTGAGAGGTGCGCTCCACCTGAGACCCGCCGAAAAGACACATTTCGATAAGAGCAATTCTTGTTGAGAGCAGGTCGAGTTGAAGCACAATTTTCCCAAAATGAATGAATACACAAAGTTGAATTTCCATGCATAACGATGGAAGTATAACCACACCTGTGGGGCTGCTCCCAGATAGCCAGCACACAAACAAAGCTCCCCCACAGATGACACTGCCAGACAGTAGTGCCAGTAACAGCTTGGACTCTGGTGGCTCTGACAATAGGATGTCCTCCAACATCTCTTGCTCTCCGTCCCTGGCCACGTTCACCCAAACATGTCAGCGCCAAACCCCGCAGCGCCCACGTCCAGCACCGACAAGCTGCTGGAACTCCGAGCAGAATTCTGAATACAAACTAGCGATACGGCCGTGGCGCGCATGCTGTCCGCGCAAGCAGAGCACTTTGCAGATCTGTACGAACAACCCTCGAGATATTCTTCCCCAAGCCTCGAGGTTTCCCGGGGCCTGGCAAGGGCACGGTTGCACCGGATCCTGCATCCGTCGGATCGCAGAGCCACCATGACTCACCCTTGGACGCGATTGATGAGGGAGTGAAGCCTGAGCCTTGCAGCTGTCTCCATGTCAGGGAGCCTCTTGCTAACAGCTGTCTCTCCGTGCTCGCAGCGGGGCATTGCCCGGCTTATGCAGCGCTGCGCAAGCCGCTTTCGGGCAGGTAGACCCCCAAAGCTTGCTCTGCTGGGTAGGGCACCAGCCCTGGGAAGAAAGGAAGCCCTGCCACTGAAGCAGGCATCCTCAACGGCAGCGACAGCGCTTGGGCAATGGGGCACTGCCATGCTTGCACTCACTGTGCGACTGCAAGGACTTGTTCGGTATCGCGAAGGAGAGTAAACTTTCACGCATGTTGGCTTGGCTTCAGGGCGTGTCCTTTCACGAGGAGAGCCTGGTTTGGCTTTCTATCGTTACGATATATTTAGTCAGCCCATGTGGCTCGTGCCATGTGAAGGCTGACTGGCCACTGACTCAGCCTGGTGAGAAAGCACAAACAATGGCCTTTCCTCACAACAAAACTTCCTGAGCTCCAAATGTACAGTTGCTGACAACAATGATGGCTGTATGTTCGCAGCGAGGCATGCTCCACCGCCCTGTGCAGCGGCAGCTGGCAGGAGCAGCAATGCCAAGGTTTTGCCTCAATACTCGTGGCAGGTTGCAGATTGGGCGCACCTGGGACAGCTGTGCACGCCTGGCCCGGCGCCGGGGCACACCTGCTGTCAGCGCTCAGAAACAAACTAATGGAGCCACCGTTCGAGCTGTCAAGCGGGAGAGCAAGGTACCGATTCGAGGACCGACCTTGTCACAGAGTTTTTGAGGGAATCTTGTACAGTGACAAGGACTGAAAGGCTTGCGCGGGGTGCAGGCTCAGGACGATCCCACACCTTTCTTTGAGCCTCTGCTGCGCTCTTTCCTGCTGGGACTCAGCGCGGGCGCTCTCTTTGAGTCGGCGCACGTAGCACTGAAGGTGCGAGCTGGAGATGGTGACGTCGTTTTGACTTTGAATGGGAAGCTGGTTCTGGGCCTCTGCTGTTGGCCTATCGGCACTACTTTGGTGCTTGATCAAGCAGTGCGTGCTTCTGAAAGATTCTGACGGGGACGCTCTTGATTGTGAGCTGCAGTTCTTCGGACTCATGGGCGAGGTGGGCGTTCACCAGGTGTCAGACGTGCTGCCTTCCGTCACCGAGCGTTTCGCACCGTTGTTCCTTGGAGATCACGTCGTCGCACTGTGCGTTTTCTCTACCCCCCGAAGAGAGTAGTCCATCGGACTAGGAAAGTTGGGTTAGTGTCGTGTGCTGCAGATCAGCCGTTAACGCCACCGTTGGCCCATCTGTTATCGCCGTGCAATTTTACCGAGGTCGGAGGGGTGCACAGGTGCCATTTGTGGCAGTGTGACTGCTCTTCCTTGGATTTCGCGCGGAAAGCGTTGTTTTTGGCGCGCGTTTTGACCTTGTTGGTGGGATGTGCAGGGGCAGTTGGCTGCTGTTCTACATCATCGAGGCAGTGGCGGTGTACAGCGTCTTGAACAAGTATCCCAACGATGCTGAGGCCGCGGTGCGTTCCCGGGGTTGTTGAAACGCTATCTTCCGGTTTCGGCTTGCTCAGCTAATGCTCAGAAGCTCTGGTAACGTGTACTAGTTCTCAATTTTAGATATCCTGCGCAGGCGCGTGCTGTGGGGAAGCTCGTAACGCTGCCCAAGAAGATGCTACCCATGCGCCTGCAGCTCGTCAAGCAGTTGCTGCTGAAGGGCCCCAACAGCTTGCGGCCAGCAGCTGCCACTGCTGTGGCAGAGCGCCCCATCACCATGACCATGCCGTTCCCGTGCGTCCCACTCATGCTGACTGCTCTTGTCAAGCCGTAAACCCTCTTGACTGTCCTCCACCTTTCTGTTCTGTATCTTGATAGAGCTGAGAAGGTTTCCTTTCCTTGTCCATGCAGGTCAGCCACGACCGTTGCTCCGCCAAGACCAACAGTGCCCAAGCGTCTGCCCCCAGCACCGCAGCAGGAGCGCCCCGCTGCTCCAAAGGTCGAGCCAGAGGCTGAGCCGAGCAGCACAGGCGGCTCTCTGGCAGAGCAGCGGCTGAAGAAGGGACTGCGCCCTGGCCAGCTCGACACCGACATCAGTTTGATCGGCCACCGCATGCGCGAGCTGGCAGGGCGCCGCTCCTACCTGCGCAACTTCTGGTATGCAGCGGGTGAGTTGCACCAGGCCCGCTCTTGACAGAATTGCAAGAGCTTACATGCATGTTGGTGAACTCGCGGCGCGTGTCATCTGTGCCAATGTTCACTGTGCTGTGTCACAGGCATCTCAGAGAATGTCAAGGAGAAGCCAGTGGGCGTGGAGATTCTGGGCGAGAAGGTGGTGTTGTTCCGTGACGGCACCGGCACAATCCGCTGCATCAACGATGTGTGCCCCCACCGAGGAGCCCCGCTCCACCAGGGCTGGGTGGCAGAGGTGGCTGGCCACGACTGCGTGGTTTGCCCCTACCATGGCTGGGCCTTTGATGCAGAGGGCATCCTGCGCGACGTGCCTGCGGCTGAGACCAGTGAGGCCTGGCCGCACAAGCCCCTGGTTGACTCGTACCCTGTTGAGGAGAAGGTGAATCAACTGGGCTTTTCCACAAACTACACTGCAAATCCCGTCAATCAGACTCCACATGTTCTTGCATATTCAGTGGCAATGCAGCGTTTGCTGTGGACTGATTTTGGGTGTGCCTCCGTTTGCAGGGTGGCTTCATCTGGCTCTTTTACGGATCCAAGTCGCTGCCAAAGGACGAGCGGCCCCCCATTCCCATTGTGGATGAGCTGGAGGACCCCTCCTGGAAGCCAGTGTACGGGGAGATTGAGTTTGAATGCAACCACTGGAGCGTCTTCGAGAATGCCATCGACATGGCGCATATCCACTACCTGCACAACGACACATTCGGCAACCAGGTTTGGCCTGCTTCCCTTTTCCACAACCGCTGCTTGTTGCAAAATTCATCTGTGCACTGATTGTCTCTGATGCTTTTATCTGCACAATTGGTAGCATTATGACGTAACAGCCATGCCAATAATGCTCTTGCACCTTGCTGCAGGGCCAGCCGCAGATCAGGGGCATGACATGTTCCACTGATGCTTACGGAGTTCACGCTGACTTCCGCCTGCACAATAAGCCCGTGAATGCCATGTGGGAGTTCTCGAAGGTAGTTACCCGCCCTCTCTGCTTTTCAATGCCATGTGTACTCAGATGCCCTTGTACTTGCACCACTGGGCCGTAGTGCTGCGGATATTTTCACTTGTTTTATGATTATTTTTGGCATGGCACAGGTCCCTGAGGTGCACGTGACTGCGCAAGCGCTGCTGCCGAGCACGAGTGTGATCGCTTTCACTTTGGGCAACGGCCTGTCCTTCACCACCTTTGTCAACACGGTGCCCATCAACGAGAATCGCACCATCAACCGCTTCGCCCTCATCCGGAAACTCTCCCTCGACAAGCTGGGCATCTTCAACATGGACGCCTGGGACAGATTTGCGCGCCAGGCCATGATCAGGTGCGCCTGCCATCTTATTCTCCATGTATGCACCTGCTAAATTTGAATGCAATGCATGCTTCTGCTATACAAATCACCATCCGCATATTCTGCTGTGCAGTCCATTCAGCAGCAGCCCTTGTCGACTATGCTTACTATTTATGCTGCTTTCTGAGAAGGTCCTTAGGAGTCATGCAAGTCATGTGAATGCAGGATCCTGTCAGAGGACAAGGCCATGGTGGAGCAGCTGCGACCAGACATGCTGGCACGCGAGATCAGCGTCAAAGCAGATCTGCCCCAGATCGCATTCCGCAAGCTGCGCCAGGAGTACATCGACATGGGCTACGGCAGTCTTCCGGAGGCCACCAACGAGAGCCGCTTCCGCTCCGACCAATAAGTGTATCCTCAACAGGGCATGTATCAGTAGACAGGCACTTGTTGAAGAAGTGTGTGATATAGGTGGAGATTGCAAACGCCTTGATCAGGGAGGCTCCAATGAGCAAATCCAGTCATGGCCAGGTATAGAAGAGCCCGTCCCCTGCCAGTGCTGGTGGATGTGGGGCGAAGTCAAGTTGGTGGCAGAGAAATCGAGAATTGGAAGTGTACGATATCACCTGTACTTATTTTGAGAGATGGGAGGGCAAGTGCGCCCTGGGGTGAGATGTTGCTATTGTGAGATTGCCCTCTCCAGCTGTACTCTATCTGCTGGCATGTATAATAATCTGTTTGCGAGGATTTGGACAAGAGAATGGTTCAGGCGCTGATCAGCAAGGTGGCCACGAAGATCTGGCAGAGCTGCTAAAAGTACTAGGAATCCTCCTGCTGTATTCCATGCACGAGTTCCCCTTAGTCGGGGGAGGAGATGGCCTGTACTTCGTACAAGACAGCCAAACGCACCCATATAAAACCAGGTTGTTTTGTATATAGAGCGGTTAGATAGACTTGCTGTAGACCAGCACTGTCTGAAGAGAAATTCTGTGTTCAATGAGTGCTTGTCTCTTGGGCACAATGTGCCGCCTTCTGGAAGCGGCCCATCTTAGGTAGCAAACTTGAGGTCAGGCGCTTGCCCATCTTGGGCCTTTCCTGTACATTGATGTTCAAAAACGGATGCTCCTGTAACATGCCTTGCAATGTGAGGGTGTAGGTGTGCCTTATGCTGCGGGTCAAAATCAAGACAGGGGTTGACTTAGGATGGCTGAGAGGTCTTAAGGCCCCTCGCTGAACACAGAGCACTCACTTTGAGGGGCTCTGTTGCCCGCACATTGCAGGGAAGTAAGATTGGCCTTTCCTGGTTTCTTTTCGCCTAATATTCTTGTGTGCAGGAGCACACCCGGCCGTCTGCACTTTGCAGTGAGAACGCATGCTTGGTCAGTTTGCACGATTGCAATAAGTTGCCTGTGGCTGTAGGATTTGATACTAGCTTGGAGGTCATCCTGCATGGCTGTATCCTCGTCTGTTGTGGGAATCATTGATCAGGATGGCATGATCTAGGAGTTAGGCAGATCTCGAGGTGTTTTGAGGTGTATCTCTGTATTTCTCCTCCAAGCTGGATGCTGGTTTTAATGTTGCATGCTGCCACAGCTGTCTGCACTGGTTGGAATTGGTTGCTTCAATGCAAGTGAGTCACTGTTACATCATGTTGTGAACCATGTAACATTTCATTTCATTGTTGGCCCGGGAAATGGCTTCATTTCAATGATCACATGTGCAAGCGTCAAGCATGCCCGGCTCGTCTGCAGCGCATTGGAGAGGGAGCTTTTGGGTGCAAATCACCATAGGTACAGCAACCAACACTGAGCATGATGATGATCATTGAGCACTGTGCTCATACTTTGATTGGAGCCCACCTCGGCGACTTGGAGATGCACAGTGCATTGCAATATTGTTTGCAAAATTAATTGTGGTGTCAACACCACATGCATGGCCATGTTGGCCCAGGCCTGCAGGGCCATTTGTCTAGCATCATGATGCCATGCCCATGGTGTGATCTGCCGGATCAATAGTGTTTTGCACATGCACGTGGAATATGCGATGTCAACAACTTAATCCTGGGAAATGGCTCCCTTCTACACACAGACACCAAGTTGCCCCAGCAACTTTAGGCACATGGGTGCACGTGCGGAGAGAAGCGTTCCTCCAACTCGAGTAGGAAGAAATGGCACTTCAGAGCGGTGCTTTCGCAAAAATATACTCTTTAAACTCCCCTGATATGACAGCTTAGGCAGACGTCTTTCTTGATCAGCCTGAGCATCAGGTAATACCTGTGTTTGCAGCAAAGCTTTTGCTTGCAGAATAGGTAGTGATGTGACTAAGTCGACCGCAGACGTCCAGAATTTCGACATTGACGATCGTACGTAACTGGCCAAGCAAGAGGTTGGTGATCAGTCAAAATCTGGAGGGTTGTGATCCAGTGAGATGGACACTGTGAAAGCGGTTATTTTGGACTTGGACGGTACACTCCTCGACACAGGTGCCTCCCTTTTGTTTGTGATGCGGCATCTTTCGAGCATGCTTTCATCCCTGAAGCGCTGCTTCCACCCCTATCGCATCCAAGGTTAATCAGCTAGCTGCCTAGTACACTGACCCACTCCGTCATCCTGGTTTGCACAGAAAGCTTGGTATTGGAAGTAGCTCGTTCAGTCTTGGAGAAGCATGGCCAAAAGCTTACTGCAGCAGTCCAGAAAGCTGCAATTGGGCGCAAACCCATTGACGCTTGGCAGGCCACTATAGATCTGCTGGACATGCAGAACATCACCGCTCAACAATTGTTTGACGAGAGCGAGCCGTTTCTGAAGACAAGGTAGAGATTCGAGCGCTCTACTGCAGAGACAGGACCCTTTCCTTTCCAAACCCTTTCCAGCAGACTTCCATTTTTCCATGCCAAATGCAAGGCTAGATTGTGCTGGTGCAGGTGGCAAGATGCTCGGCTGATGCCGGGAGCCGCAAGGCTGCTGTGGCACCTGCACAGCCATGGAATACCCCTTGCTCTGGCAACCAGTACACCGCGCGCAACGTACGAAAGAAAAATGTCGGGGAAGGCAGCACAGGCTCTCACTGCTGTCTTCCAGGTAGATCTCGTCAACAGACTGGTACATGCAATGAAGATTACCACTGCTCATGTTCCTGAGAGAGCTGTTGGAAACTTGACCTGCGCAGACCACAAAGTGCGGTGATGAGGTGGAGCACGGCAAGCCGGCGCCGGACTGCTTCCGAGCCACGGCGCAGAAGATGGGCGTGGCCCCGGAGCAGTGCCTGGTGATCGAGGACGCTCCCAGCGGCGTGCAGGCGTCCAGCGCGGCCGGCATGCGCGTGGTGGTTGTGCCCAGCATCAGGTGCACTAGATCTTACTCTGAGTTGACATGCATGGACCTATATGTTGTGTTGCATGCTCCTCTGAAATTACATCGTATTTCTTCAATGCTTGGGACTCCAATTTGCAGGGACCTGGACGCATACCCCAAGCCTGACCCCGGCTGCACATCAGGTGCCCCCGCCCTCACATGTGCTTGTGATTGATGCATTTTATGCCTTGGAAAGGTATAAATGGCGCTGAACACTTGCACGCATATGCACAGGATGGTCAATTGATGGAGGAAGATGGAGCTTTCCACTGTTTTGAATTGTGCGGCTGTTCTGTGCTTTCAGGCTGTATCGCCATCCTTCCGTCGCTCTTTGATTTCCGGCCAGAGACTTACGGGCTTCCACCCTTTGATGACTTCATTTGCGGCGAGGTGGTCCCCATACAGCCGCCTTGGCTCATCAAAGGCACCGTTGTGAAGGGCTTTGGGCGCGGCTCTCGCGAGCTTGGCATTCCCACTGCCAATCTGGACAGCGAGTCACTTCAGGTCCGCCATTTTGATCCCAGAGGCTGCCACCTTGTTTGTTTGTGTGTATGTAATGATGATCTGGAATACTATTTCCAGGAGTGCTGCATTCTTAAGTGCAGCCGCCCTGCCTTTCACAGTTTTGATTGGTGACGTGCAGGGCGCTCTTTCAGAGGCAGTATCAGGTGTCTACTGCGGCTGGGCTAGCATCGGCAACTCTGCCACAGTCTACAAGACCGCCATGAGTATTGGCTGGAATCCCTTCTACAAGAACAAGCAGAAGACAGCAGAGCCTTGGCTGCTTCATGACTTTGACAAAGACTTCTATGGTGAGCACTGCTTTGCACGTTCTGTCGGAGACGCCTATGTGCACCGCCTATTCCTCTGTCCTTTTATATTTTTGTGGTCTGAAGAATGCTTCAGCTGTTGCTTGGATCAGGCTTTAAATATATATCTTGCTGAACCGACAGATGCATTGTTGCTACAGGAGAGGAATTGAGAGTTCTCGTGACAGGCTATATTCGGCCTGAAGCAAACTTTGAGTCTTTGGAGGCCCTCATAGCTCGCATTCACAAAGATGCAGACGTGACGCGAGAAGCTTTAGAACAAGAGCAGATGGCGTGCCTGACTACAGATCCCTTTTTGCAGCCTGTTGTTTGAGAATTTGATCAAAGTCTTCGCCAGATACTGCACTATTCAACCAAAATATTGCAAGTTTTTCAGGATGCAGTCAAGTCACGTGTACACATGCGCCACATGATTATTGTTGCTTTTCAAAGCGTAGCATTCAGTTTTCAAAGCGTAGCATTCAGTGCTTACACAGTGTACTGCTGCTACACAGTACTCTGCAGTCGATGTAATCTGCAGTCATAGAGGCCCTTCTGATCAAGTCATGAAACAATCTACCGCAAGTGTGCATATCAACAGGTTGCAAATTCACCTGTTTAATGTAATGAGTACAACCAGCTTTGCTTATCATCCAAAATTTTTGCATAACCTTGCAGTCACAATCGCAAATGATGGCAGTTTGAGTCCGCATGAAACACGGCACTTAGTATATACACACACCACTCTCGACACACTCCAGGGATCCAGATCTGCCAAAACAGCAGCTCTGCTCACCTTCTACATGTCACTGCAGACAACAAGACAGAAATGTTCAGCATGCACCCTGCTTACATGGGAGTGTTATGCTAGTCTAAGTTGCCATCTGGATCTTCACAGTCCAATTCAGCAGCCTCCAGCTGTGGCGCTCTCACCCTACCGCTGTCGAATACAACCGAGTACTGTGCAGCTAGCTGCCGGCCAATGTTGCTGATCATGGGCATGACAGAATGAGCAAATGCTAGGCGGCCTGAGGGAGTTGCAGCCATGCCCAAAGCCGTGTGAGGTGAGATCTGAGGACCGTCATCTTCGCTGGATGCACCCTCAGCCGCCCATGACATGTCTTCGCTGCCATACTGGCCTACGCAGACATGCATGCATCAGGTGCAAGCTTGTGCGCACATGTGAAGGAAGGGCTGACAAAACCTGTCAAAATAATAAAGACGAAATTGAGAGTCACCTGAAGACCTTGGGGACAATGCATGTGCAGGGGGTGTATTGCTGCCGGCAAAGGCTGAGTTCTGGATGAGTCTATCCTGCAAGTCCTCATTGCTCTGCTCCATTTTTGTGACCTGCACATGGCAACAGGCTTTGACAAGTTACATACCAGGTTGAAGGCAGGCGAAGCTGAACTTGGACAGCCCATGGAAAGGCATGTACCATCAGAATCCTCAGCAGCACTCATCACCTGCTCTCCACGTGACCATGAGGGAAATCGGCCAGTTGCCCTCCTCTTCACAGGAACTTCCTGCGCCGAGTCTGCCCGCAGTATTGCCTGGTCCGGGCTTGAACGACTGTCGTTCACAGGAGCACTATATGCAGGCCCTCTGGGCTGAGAGGAAAGTGCAGCAACATGTGTTGTAGCAGGCTGGGCGCCCCATGAGTCCCTGGCAGAGTCCTCTGTTCTGCCCGGGGTGTTTGGCCCAAAACTGGTGGTCTTCCTCAAATCTGCTATACCCAAGAGCTCCGCTGCTGTGCAAGCTTGAGAACCCTGACAAGCACCCCATGCATTTACAAATTAGCCCAGAGCCCAGTTCCACATTTTGGATAAGGCAAATTGGATGCGCAGAAGATGCAATGATGAACACAGTGCCTTAAACTTGTGTCCTGGACTGCAGAGGCTCACGCGTGTCGACAAGCACACTACGGGTTGACAAGGGGTGAGGCATGCATCTGCACCTCCAATGGGGGACGAGTCAACGGGGATGGCGGATTGAGAGAGGCAGGGGCCGATGCAGACACTGCCTGATCTTTGCTGCTGCTGCTGTTGCGGCTCATGCCTTTCTTGCTGCCAAACCCCACAGGCCAGCACCCAGCTGCTGTCCCTACTGCAGAGGAGCGGGACCGATGCAGCAGGCTCTCCCTCAATGCCTCCTGCCCGCCTGTGACAGCAATGTCTGGCCCTTCAGGAAGGTATCACCCAGCATTGTTCGATGTCCTTCAATCGAGGTTGATCCTGCCATTTTCAACTTACAGGCATTGTGTGAGCGCACATGGGCATCACACACAGCGGACGTGACACAGTTCAGGCTCTTGAAGCCTTTTGTGCAGTGAAGGCAACAAAGCAATGAAGATCAGGGCCACACCTGATGAGGATGCCGCAAGGAGTGCATCGTCAGGATCGCTGAGGACTTCAACAACCCTTTCAAGGGCCTGCCTCGCTCTGCGGTCACGGCACAGCTCGAGTTCCAAGTTCAGATACATGAGCCGCGCCCTCTGCAGCTGCGCGCTGCGACGCACTTCTGCCTCGGCGGCATCCAGCCTCGCATGCAGGGCCTTCAGAGACTGCTTTTGCTCTGCACATCTCAGGTCCAGCTGCTCAGACATGCCCTCCACCTGCACAGTGAAACAGATTGTCAATTGATATATTGTCAATCCCACAAGCAACTCGCTCACCCACATGCACAGATTCTGACAAAATATGCAAGAGGCATGTCTGGATTTTTGCGAGCTGAGATCATGCCTGCACAAGAGCAGCCGCCAGGTGGGCAACTCGATCTTCCAGGCCGCTTTTGGCAATCTCCAGGTACCACTTGTCAGACTGGGTTTCTTTGAGCTGAGCGTTCAGCCAAGCGTTCTCATCCTCAAGGCTGCCCGCCTCTGCAATCAGACGCCCCATTTGCGCTTCCAGGTTGCTAGTGCGCCTGCCTAGTTCTGTCTCCGAGAATCTATCATGTTCGTGACATTGCCCGACATTCTGCAGCACTGCAAATGTCAGGCATTCCTGAATGCGCACACCACATAGTTGTCAGTATTTAGCTTGCCGCTTGCTCGCACCAGAACATTCTTTGACAAATGTTTTTTTGTCACAATGTCATGATGTCGCACTGCTTCATGCTTCCAATGACCCAATGTCAAGCAACTTGCCTGCTGAGGGGCGCAGAACCCGGCTGCCAGACGATTCTCCCTTTCCCAAATGCCTTCCGGCCTGACCGACGCAGAGTTTGCAGCCGCTGCACAAGTGCACTGCCGTAATGACTGACCAGATTCCAGAGCTGTTGGCAATTGGTGCCCTGGGCTGCAGAAGCCTTCTCCAATACGATCAATCCTCCTGTGAGCTTCCTCTCCCAGTGCAAATGCATTGCATTTGTCGACATCCATGGCTGCGATGCTTGTGTCACCAGTTTCATGTCTACTTAGATCATTGGTGCCAATTTGCGCAGCAGCCATGCCTTCATCACTGAGCTGCCCGGCTGAGGCTGGTCTGCCGGTAAGTATGGAAGGGAGCCCATTGAGAGCCATCGCACAGCCTCTGATTTATGGAAAGCTCTGCCACACTGTCAACACCGCCCAGCCACATTTACTGCGTCTGGCCTGCCGTCCATGCATGCGCCTTGAATCTTGGTGATGAGGTCTTGGATGTTCGCGCCGGCTTGCCCGATTATAATCCAGTCTTAAAAAGCCAGGGAGATTGGATCACTTCTTTAATCGGCCGAAAGCAGACGTCCTCACAGATCTGCAGTCAGCTGTTCCCAGTTAACAGTTGTAACGTCTGATCCCTAGACAACACTTGGCATGTTACGTAAACCATTACATGCCTCAGCGTATTTGAAGCAGGGGCAATAATTGATCGTTAAAAACTGCAGGTTGACAAAGCAACCAATCCCACCTGAAACCGCTGCGCCAGGTGCTGCCCCAATACCACTTCTATGATCAGCACTTTGTTACTACATCTATATCAGTCTGGAGGCTGCACAAATCTTGATCGCGACGCCACAGCTATTGTCAGACCCGAACGAGGCTGGACATTCGCCTCAGGATCCTCCACTCCGAAACTACCAAAGTCTTTCAGGAAGCAATGTTCACCTTCCAAGTACTTTACGACCTTACTAAAAGTGAATCAATGTGCTCAATCGAGCAATTCATCGTCAGATCTCAGATCGAAGAAGACCGTTATCGGAGAGCGTAGGGAACGCCCCTGAACATGTTGCAACTACTGAACTGGGAATGCATGTGATTTACAACAAGGATCACAGTTCCACTGAGTGGCACGCTCTGCTTGAAATACCAAATCCTCTTTCAGATAGTTCTGTCGATAAGATTGTACTTGGCGACGGCGATTGTATTGATGGTTACCTTCACGAACTGGAGTAGCGTTTTGATCACTCGTCTTGAGCCTCATATATAGGCAAAGCTTTGGGAAGTGTAAAATCCGCGTAAGATATATCACACATATTTCGAAATTTTCTTCAAGGTCTTCAAGTAGGTTAAGATTTGATCAAAAGAAAGCAGGGTGGCAGTAGATGAATGCTGAAGTTGCCCATGCATACCGAGAAAGGAAGCGTGAAGCAGAGCCGCTTGGGGAAGATGCTTACCAACTACGTGCTCTTCAGCACTTGAAGCTAAAGACTGTCGTGAAGGTTGGTTGCCGATCTGATGAAATAGAAACTCCACGAAACAGCAGGAGTCCCTCCCTTTGAACTATGCAATGCAGATGCGATTGTTGGATGATGCCGGTATTCTCGGGTCAGTTCTCAAACATGGATGCAATGTGGCAATTTACCCAGCGCATCGCTTCCAATGTAGCAGCGACAATAAAAGCATCTTGTTATAATGTCAGAGTTTTCCACTGGGACCAGTCATCAAGCTGCTGAGATGTGGGTGGTGTGGTTGGCAGGAAAGTCACTGCTCGCCTGCCAACGATCTGTCATTTAATTTGGAAGACAGACAGTGCAGCAACTTATTTGCCACAGTTGGCGGGAATCAGGCAACTGTGTATGATGATTTGCACATGGGTGACTACATTGCTGTAGTCCTCAACTTTGTAAACGTGCAGACTGAGCACACCAAAGGCGGGGTAAGCATGGCACTGCGTCTTACTTTTGACACTGCTTGATAGCCAAATTAAGTCATTCTTCCCTAATTGAGGACTTCTCTGCAATACAGGAGCTGCATGCCTGCGCATGGCTGAATGCTCGGGCTTCTTCAGATTACCCACATGGCGACGCATATCTGGCAAGTTGCATGCTTCTCAGTACCAAACGAATGGCATTCCTCATTACTCTGTCCGCCTGCGGTAAGGGGCAAAGTCAAGGAATGGTCTCCTGTGTGCAGGCTGTGGCAGGCAACTGTGGTGACATCTCTGTGATCAGCATTGTGGATGCTCAAGTTCTCTTTCTCTTGAAAGGTTTGCAACTGTTGAATGGCCGATATGCCCAGGTTTGCTGACCATCAAATGCAATAAAACAGGAGTTTAATATGCAGCACAAATGTGAAGCTGTCTGTGCGACACAGGTCACACCACAGCAGTAATAGACTTGGCAAGCTGTTCAGCTAGACCTGGCCTGCTTGCATCCCTCAGCAGAGATGGCAACGTCCGTGTGTGGGATGTGCTGTCTGAGACTTGCCTGGCATCGTTTTCTGCAGATGCCACTGCAATGGTATGTAGAAGCCCTGCAGCATTTCCTTGGCATGCCAAACGAGTAACGAGGTCCATGAAATACACCCATGCCCCGGCACTCAATTGCACTTTAATCAGCGTGCGTCCGCCATGCAGGCTTTCATTCCAGAATGGAACTGCTTAGTGACTGGAGGGCGGAAGGGTGTCTTGCACACCTGGCAATTGCCAAAACAAGGCGATGCCAAATCCGTGGAGAGTCCTGCAAAGATGGCTGCAAAGAAGCAGAAGACAGGGTCGCAGGATTCCATGCGCCAGGTATTCTGCACAATTTGAGACTTCAGAGGATGTCACAGATGCAGTCACAATGCTCGACTTTCAGGCTAATCATGCAGGACAATGAAGTGTGAGCTCAGAAGTCAGAAATTCTGCAGGTACTGGACATTGGGGGCGAAGCAAAGCACTTTGAAGCCATCGACTGCATGCGTGTTCTTCCCGGCAATCGCCTCGCCACCAAGTCTGGCGATGGGCGCATGATTGTGTGGGATCTGGCAGCCAAACACCAGGTTGCTTCCTGGAAGGTAAGGTCACCTGGTACATATGGGTCAATTGCCAAAGCACTCACTGCATTGCCGAGCGCTGCTGCACATCCGGCAGGTCCCAAGCCTGCAATCCAAGGAGTTGGTATCCCAATGCAGGTGCCGTCATGCACTTCAAAGGGAGGGTTCAAGGAGGTCTGCAGGTTTGGGACAACATCACGTGGTGACTTCATCTGTGCTGGGAACAGTGCCGGCGACGTCCGAGTATATGACACAAGCACTGGCAAACAAGTCGCCCTAGTGTCCCCCATCAAGGTGAGAATTTCACTCAAATGGACCTCCATGCAATGCCTCTTTGAGATTTTATCTGGGCTCATCTCAGGCTAATTTCAAGTCTGCCTGACGGCGCATGTTCTTGGACAGATCTCTGCCCCTGTGCGAGCCTGTGGGCTGTCTGAGGATTGCCGCCATTTACTTGCCATCCTTGGCAATGGATACATCTTCAGATATGAGTACCGAAAACCCAGTTCAGCCGAAGGGGCACCAGCAGAAGACAGCCCAGCAGAAGAGAGTGATGAAGACTGAGCGACAATTAGTAATGCTCACTTGGAACCCTGCCAGAGGCACAGTTGGCAGCTCTTGAAGTTGTCAGAGTGGTATTGCACCTGTGCTACGCCTAGGCTAGTAGCGGTGATGCGCCAGGATAAGGATGGCAATTGCACAAATTTCAATGCGGCCAGCGTCGGACAGATATCCTGAATGACATGTCAGTCTGAAGATCTCTGCTCAGAGTCTGCCACTCATTCTTTTGTGAGTCAAAATTACTTGTGGCTGTTTGCACAATTATTCTTGCCTCAGCCAAGTGCACTGTTGTGATCCTCAAGGGTAAACAGTATTTGAACACAGAAGTGTACACCAAAACAAGCAATCATTGGTCCACTAGACTGATCATGTAATCACGGTTAGTAACTCACCCGTCCAAGCCTTGCTCTCGAATTATCTCGAGATTGCATTTTCCTACTACCAATATTGCGCAAAGCAATTCTATCTAAGTTACAGGAAGCACTATTGCGAGTGAATTCGTCGACAGCCAGCATCAATGTTGGCATTACTGTGAGCACACTACATGGCTCTCCACGTTCTTATACACAAGTCCTTGATAGTAGCAAGAACGGAAAAGTCAAGACCGGAAGCAAAATCATGCACAGGGTGTCACAAACTTGCATGTGGCCGGTTTCCTTCAAGTTGATATTGTACAAGAACCCCATATTGCATCCCCACCCTACGGCGCAGCACTATTGCAAGACCTCAGGATTGTAGCCAGTGATACAGATTTATAAACACTGTACAAGGAGGAAGTTGTCCTCTCTGGGGAATATCCCAGAGAGGACAAGATCTAACAGCTCACTGCAGTTTGGACAGGCACAGTCCAGCCATCATCTGAGGAGGTTGCGCAACCACAATTCCAGAGAGCTGTCATCTGCTGGAGGCCTGACAAACCATTCCAGTACAGGAATGCTTGCCAAAAGCTGGTGGAGATTATCTGCAAGTGCCTTCACATCAGACCTCTCCTGCGACAGAAGCCCACGCTGATTGCACTATCGACAGGCATTTAATCTAGAATTATGTCATCTAGAACCTACGGATTAAAGCGTAGCACATCGCATGCAATAATGAGCAAGGAAATAGGGAGAGCCAGTAGAGGTACGACGGCAAGCCAAACTACTAGCGTTTTTCAGGCAGGTATAGCCTTACTGCTCTGCTGTGCAAGCATTGCCACATACCTTCAATGTGTTAATTTGCATGAGCACCGCATCAATCTTCGGCTCTGCTTTCCTGATCAGAGGCCTCACAAATTCTGTATACAATCGCCTTGCACCCTGATACCGCCTCGATTGAAGCCAGAGTAGTATAAGAAACTTGAGGTGGTAGTAGCCTGGAAAGCGCTGTGTCATGAGGCTCTCAACTGCTGTGACGCCTCCAAATGCAAGCCAGTAGCAAAGCCAGTGTGATTTCTCCGTTGATACTGGTTGGTCAAGCGCCTTGCAGGTGGCATAAGCAGGATATACGACACCCGCTACCTGACTGCATAGCAGTAATATACGTTCAGTGAAGGAAACAGAATGTCGCCCAAGGAAGAGATTGGTAGCTGAGGGTTTTTTTATCTGTCAAGGGAGACAGAAAAGCCTACCAGCCAATATTTGCAACCACAGACGAAGCAGCTGGCTGCAAAAGAAGCTGCAGCCCCACCTACAAGTACACATGACGTGATCAAGCTTTTTCTAGGACGATCGCGCGTACGTGACGAAACTTTCCTGCATTCCGTTGGCAGACAGTTGATATTCCTCACAAGCAGCAAGTCACGTGCAGATCTCGTTTATCATGCAGCGATGAATCTAATGTACCTGGGCAGCTACAGGAAATATGACAGCCATTTGATCCCTTCAATGAGCACTCATCAGTGGCAGGTGCAAATGTCAACAGCCCAGAGATTTTTCTGAAGCTATTGCAGATGTTGGCTAAGAGTGCCAAGCGTCAAAAGAGCTCGAAAATATGCAAAGCGAAGGATATTCAAAGGTGTTCAAGCTTTGAGAAAGTGAAATTCTTGGGAAGCCATGCGTGGTCAACAACGCCGTTGCAGACGAACCTGCACTGGAAGTTTTTACGAAACGGTGCTGTTCTTGTCCATAGACTCCATGCAGTGGGGTTCAGCTAAACATTGATTGCTCCAAAAAATTCTCTGTAGCTTCAGGGCATCTGGTTAATATAGGAGTATGTCCTCAAATTCGACGTCTTCTGCTGGTGGAAGCAACGATGAGAATACTACTGCAGTCAACCCTTCAAATGCAAAGGTCGATCATCTCATTACCATTCATACTTCCTTGGAAGAGTTATGATGCCAAGCTTTCCATTATGAGTTATTCACTTCGTTAATATGTGCATTGATGGTACCCATGCTTAAAGGGGCTGAGACATCGAAAATGTTCTTTATATAGCTCTCCTTAATCACTTTATTATCCCTACAGGATGACAAGGTCACAGAGTCGCAAGTGACGGAGGTCACAGGTACTTTTTGCAAGGATGATGAGGCTGCAAAGCACTCAAATTCGACAGCGTTGAACGAGGACGATGAAAAGGTGATAGCAGTGGTATCCCCAAAATCTAACACGAGCATCTCTCAATCATGCTTGCAGGACCTTGAAACATTGCTTTCTGGCACTTCTTCAGATCTCTCGTGTTGTGCATGTGCAGAGATTGAAAGAAGCAGAGCTGTTGAAAAAGGAGGGCAACGAGCTCTATGCAATTAATGACATTGACGGTGCCGTCGTAAGTGACCTCCCAGGGCAATGCATTTTCACAGTCTCCTTCATAGAGATCACTGCGCAGGCAAGGTGCCTGTGCCGCACAGGTTTTGCCTGCGATCGGAAACTCTCAGCGCCACATAATCACACATATGCAGCAAACAACTCTGCACTGATGCAGGCCAAGTATGAGGAAGCCCTGCAGAAAGCGCCAGAAGCAAGCACAAAACAGCGTGCTGTGTACTATGCAAATCTGGCCGCGTGCCACTTGAAATGCAGGCAATTTGAGGACGCAGTTCAGGATAGCACAGCTGCTCTGGAGCTGGATCCTGACTATGTGAAAGCCCTCATGCGGCGCAGTGCTGCTTATGAAGAGCTGGATGACATGGAGCATTCCCTTGCAGATAGCCAGAAAGTGAGTCCTTGACATTTCTGGCCCTGAAAATGCGGTGATCTGAAAGCTTTTCCCATATTAGAATTTGATCACTGCTGTGCTGTGTGACAGGTGATAGAGCTGGATCCTGACAACACGCTTGCCAAGAACACAGTGCTGCGGCTGACACCTGTTGTGAAGGAAAGGCAAGAAAAGATGAAGGACGAAATGCTAGGTGAGGGTCGTCGATGCTTCCTGTAGTACTTTGCCATTTCTGCTTTGATTACCGCGTGTTGTTGAATTTGTGCTTTTGCTGTGGGCGTGCAGGCAAGCTGAAAGACCTGGGAAACACATTGTTGGGCAAGGTCGGGCTGTCGCTGGACAACTTCAAGGCCGAGAAGGACCCCAACACTGGATCCTATTCCATCAACTTCAGTCAATGAGCTTTTGCAAAGACGCAATGCATGTCTAGGCCTGATGATCTAGATGTGATACTATGATACTGCGCATGCTCGAATGTCACAGCTTGATGAAACACCACATGTGCACTGCCAAAAGCTGGGTGCTGGACACTGGCCGATGTCAGTTGTAACATTAGTATATTTGTCTGCATTGATTAACCCTGGTTGCTTTATAAGCATCAGCTCGAATAATGTAGATCCCAAATTCTACGAAAGATGTAATTGTGCGAGGCTGGGTCGTGGGTAGAGAAAGGCTGGCAGCTGCGTTACGGAGTAACCGCACCTGGGGCGTCGCACATGTGTTCTATTATCACGAGAACAATGGCGCAGTGCTTTTAATATTCAATTGGTAAACTCCATATCTGTACATTACAGTGGTATGGTTCCGTCTCACGGCAATGTCGGGACAGAGAGAGGTCGGTTCACGATGGCGACTCGAAGGAAGTGGCTCAGGGTTGACGCTGCAGGCGAACTCAGCTTTGTCGCGGTGCGGGTGTACTGCATTTTTAAAAACCACCAAGATACTTGATTTTCAGTATTTGTGGGATCTCAAAATTTTCGTGGTTAACTCCGCTGCTGACTCAATCTGCCACAAAACAGGCGGACAAGCACACTCTTGTATCGACTCTGGCCATTCCTCTCAGAGATCTTCGCCTTGGAGAATCTTTGGTAAGAGTGCACTTGTTGGATCACCAGCTCATGAACCTCCCACCTCTTCTCAGGTTACTTAGTACACCAGTTCCTGCGAACTTGAAGACTTTCAAGACTGCTGGCCCAGGTTGCGAGCAGCAACCCTTCAGCGGCCATTTTCGTCAGGGAGAAGGCGCTTGTGGTCAACCTGGAACGCCTGCGGTTGATAATAAGCAAGGACCAATGCATCATCTTGAGTGCACCTCACAGTCTAGTCTTGCCTGGAATGCATGCGTCTCCTGAAGCTCCTTTTGTGAAGGACCTGGTCATGCGGCTTCGCCAGGCCAAAACACCATGGTGCGAGTGCATTGCATGAAGTTATCCTAGCATATCAATTGGAGACTTCCAAACCACTCTACTTTGCTACATGAGGTTCACATGTTCAGGGACGACACGACAAAGGATGAGCGGAAGCAGCTCAACATAGATTACAGCCTACCTTATGAGTTGCTGGCTCTGGAGTCAGCACTGGCAGCTTACGACAAGGAGCTTGACACAGAGGCGACTGAGATAGAGAGCCTTGCTATTCCCTGCTTGGAGCGCTTGGCTGCCAGAGTGAGTCACATCCTAGAAAGGCTTCTATGCTTGGTTGACTGGATGGAGGCAGCAGCACAGGGTGAGAATATAGGCACATCGAGTTATTGCTCAGCCGGTAGTCCTTTGTACTTGAAAAGGGATTGTGTGTGCAGGTGTCACGGAAAGAGCTAGAGAACATGAGGAACTACAAGAGCACCGTCAACCGCTTGTCGGGCAGAGTCTTCAAACTCATGCAAGTGTGTTAAATACCTATCCCTGGTACCATCCTCAATTTGAAGCTGCGTGTTGAAATTACAAAATTGATAGTGAATTGCGGGCTTCAACGGCAGTGACAATGCATTTTGCAGGAGATTGAATCTATCCTTGACAACCCCACTGAAATGGCAGACATGTACCTGGGCCGAAGAGATGAAGCCGCAAGAGCAGAGTTCCAGCATGTATGCTTTGATACTTTGCAAAACTCCATCATTATACTCTGCCGCTGCTGCCAAAGATCCAGCTAGGGATGTACAGATTTTTTTTCTTCTCAAAAGCGATTTTTCTGAACATCCAATGAAGCTTGTTTGCCTTGGGTGCAGATGACTTCAGCCTTGGCAGAAGAAGCAGCAACAGCTTTGGAGCCCTTCCCAGAAGCACATGAGGCGGAGCAGGATGCTATCAGAGCAAGCGAAAATGCCAGTCCCGGGGTGCCGCAGGCGGACTGCCAGGCAGACACGGCTGAGAATATGGTACCTTATGAAAGCACGGCAGGCGCGGGCTCTAGGGGACCAGATGAATCCCAGCCATTGCTTGCGTCTGGGTGTTCAGCTAATCTGCATGCTGCAGGCCAGAGGGGGATCCGACCACCCACACCTGGAAGTGAAGCAATTGGTGACACAGGTAAGTTATCCATACTCTTTACTCCACAAGGATTACCCATGCACATGCACCCGGATGCCAGATCACCTGACGATATTGTATTGACATCATTGTGTGCAGGAGGGGTATCACCCAGCACTCTGCGCCTGAACAGCCTCAAAGCTGCGGTACTTGCGCAGAATCTGCGCACACGCACTCTCAGCACCATGCTGGTGAGACACCTCCCGCTTTTGTTACCTGCATCTGGCAGCGAGCACCCTCTCTTGAATGCATACACTTTCTCTAATCTTTTCTCAGATGCAGCATGTGAGTTCATTGGCAGGCTGCAATATCAGATCTGCGCAGTATGACAAAGCACTGTGTGCATGCAGAGCTTGAACAGCCACGCAGGAAGTACCCTGTTCCGGCAAAGCACGCAGAGAAGAATGACTGTCGAGCAGATGGGTGACCTGGACAGCGCTGCAGATCTGGGCAATGCAGACGAGATCCAGACAGTGATGTGGACCAGAGAACTGGCCAAGCGGCTGCTGCTGCCGATGGCCGACGTTGAGGCCCTTGAAGATCTGCTGGACACCTATTTCATGCAGGCAGGATGTTTAGAATCTTACTTTAATGGGCTGCAAAAACATCTGAACGCTGCTCTGATTTCAGATGTGCTGCTTTCGTTGGGAAGACCGTGGCAAGAAGCTTTGCAGGTTCCATTTAAACATCATTCCCTTTTCATTCCCTTCAAATTGGAATTTCCCAAGCAGTGTTGGCTGAGAGTTGAGGCATATCGGCATGTGGTGGCAGGTGGATGCTCTCTTGAGTCGGGTGAAGGTATTGAAGGAGCGGATTGAGGCCACAGAGTCCCTGATCACTCTGGACCTTGATCACCGCAGAAACAACATCGTGGAGTTCAACCTGGTAGACATCTCCTCTATCTTATTACTGGAATGATGCACATGTGACCTCAGATTTTCCTGTCCTTGAGTGGTACAAATGATCATATGCTGCTTCTCATATGCCGCCCTTACATACTCTTCTTGGTCTAGTGATCCCCCTGTGTGCCCTCAGCTGGTCAGCATCATTACTATGTGCATCGCCTGGGTTTCCATGACAGCTGGTCTGTTCGGACAGAACCTGTACTTCAATGTGGCAACCACCCCTCTGGTACGTCACTGGCACACTGCTGATACTTGCTTTGTCTGCACGGCTAACCTTGAAAACATCCAAATTTATACGTGCCTCCATCATGCTCTTTCATGACTCATGTTCTCAGAGAACAGCAGGCTTACATCTAATCAAAGTCCATGTCTGCGCCTTGCAGTGGTTTTGGCACGCTGCAACATGGCCCTCAGTTGGAGTCTCCTTGATGTTACTATTTGTAACCCTGTTCCACACCAGGAAGAAGGGCCTCCTGTTTGCTCCTTTAAATTGACAAAACCTGTAACATATATATCAGCGCTGGCATGGTGCACCACGTGATCACGTGATCAAGATGGTATGATCAGGACCTAAAAGTGGGGCTAGACACTTGTAAAAACTTCCTATGATCGTCTCTTTTGCTAGCTATGGTTCGCGCAATGGTTTACACCGCAACACTGGCATGCCATGTGCATGCGCACTGCCGTTGTGACAGTCATTATAATGTCTAATTACATTTACTAGACGGTCTAGTAGACGGTCTGCATGTCCACTGGCATGCCATGCAGTGCATGGCTGCCATCGCAAAATTCATCAATGACAGACGTTTCTGCAAGAGTTTGAGTCGAGAAGTGAGCACATGTAACAGCCAACTTTGCTGGAGACTCCATGCCAGCAGCTGCCTGTAGCTGCATGTTCTCTAGCATGCATGACGAGGGCCACGGGCCAATTTAGGCCGACAGCCGCTTTCTGCTTATCAAGCTAAAAATTGAAGTTCAGGAAGCGTTAATCTACTAAGTATACACTGGAATACACTAAAGGAGTTATTTTTGAAAGCTTCAGCTTGGACCTCTAATTATGTTTGTTTCAAGTATAATTATAGTGTTAGAATGCTGACAGCTATAGTCCAAGCGAGGTGTCCTCTGCATCACCGTTGCAAAGGCACCTTGTATTTGACAAACACGCTCTCTAGATTTTCAATTTACTCTAGAAAGGCGTCGTTACGTGCAAAAGTCCAGCGGAAGCACGCCTCAATAAAGAACGATCTGAAATTCCACAGAGCAGGCCATTGCAGCTGGACAAGGCAAAGAATTGTCTCAGAAGCCGGTTCAAGGGCATACGTTTTCAGCAGCGATGCAGAGGATGACGATATTGCCGATCCTGAGGGAGCTGGCGATGGCTTCCTGGATGCTGTAGATGAGGATCTGGACACAGGTGCAGACCTTCTTTCCACAGTGTCCAGCACCAACCGCTCTTTATAAAACATGCCACACACCTCAAGCCTGACGGTGGTGCTAGCGCGTGGAAAATATATATTTTCCTGTCTTGGCAGGGTTCGAAGAGGACAGCCTTCTAGCAGGTGCTGATGACGATGAGGACATTATCCGGCCTCTGAGGGCTGGCGCAAGGCACATCCTAGACGATGACGCCAGCGACGGGCTGGACATGATTGCAGACGAAGAAGAGGACGAGGGAAGGGTACGCTGCACCCCACAACAGACTCACCACTTGCTGCAATCTGACAGCTCTTTGCAAACAGTCGATGGGCAACAGCGTGTCCCTTAATACCGTGCCAGATGGAGAGATGAAGGATTGAGGGTGTCTGCTGAGGTCTGAAGCTGTGATGCCCGCGCAGCCGCGAAAGAAGAGGGCAGCAGGCATCATCCTGGATGGTGATGTGGACGAGGATGACGAGGATTCAGAGGACACAGAAGCAGTTGTGCCCGGCTTAGTGGGAGGCCTGGACCTGGACAAGATCATTGACAGCAGCGAGGCCGCTTTGCCTTCCACGTTTGAGGGTGGGCGGCCCCACTGCTGAATGCTGCACCTCGTGGGAACTTGAGCTTCCTGATTGTGCCAAATTGAGCTTCCCAATTCTTCATGCAGTCTGAAGCAGAGATGCTGATCATAGCGGTTGTGTGAGCAGGCCTGGGGGATTTCTTGGACGCTGAAGACGGTGAGGAGCAGGAAGGAGATGAAGACATCGAAGAGCTTCCAGGGCCATCTTATCCAGAGCCCCCACTGCGAGAGTGAGCACCTCTCTGGCATTGACCTGTTGAACGGCGCTGACTACGAAAATCCATGCCAGACTCCTGCAGGTTTATCATTACTGGTTGGATTCAGCATGACATTACTGTGCCTGCAGGTATGCACTCGGGGACTTGCTTGAGATGGCTGGGTATGGCATGATTGAAAATTCTGCCAACCAGGTCAGAGTGTCTGGCATGCACACCGACGCCCAGAAGGTGACACACAGCTCATTGGTGCTTGGAGAATGCCCGCTGTGTTGTTCAATTTACTTTTTTTTCCTACTATTAATCCTTACATTAAAGTTGTCCTGGCTTCTTTGCTAATCAAAATGGCATTACTTCAGATTGTGCCTGGCGATCTGTACGTTTGCTTGGAGGAAAATTGCGATGACCTCGTAGATGAGGTCGGTAGCTTCCACCCGTATGCTTGTTTGATCCTGCCGACTTGTATGACTTACCACGTTTGCATGCATGTGCTGTTGAATTATGGACTGCAATTGTGATGGCTTCTCCCTTGAAAGGTTTCTCATGTGCGACAGGCAATTGAGAACGGTGCAGTGGTCATCCTGGGGCCGAAGACCCTTGGGAAGAGGGGCAATACCCCTGTTGTGCAGATTGCAAACCCCCGGGACGGCATGCACCGCATGGCAGCAGCTTTCTACAATGACCCATCACAGAAGATGGCCGTAGTGGGAGTCACAGGTCTGGCTGCTGTTGGCACCTCTCTTTCCTACCGCCCCTGATGCGTACCTCTCCTGCCATGATTCCCAGAAGGAGCTGTGCGATGCAACAGAGATGTTTCCCAAGTGCGTGGCAACGGCGTGACTTGTCTGGCATGCACATTTGCGTGCATGATTACTGAGGTGGTTCTTCATGAGCAGGCTCGTCTGGGAAGACAACAACCTCCTGGCTCATACGTGGGATTTTTGAGGAGTGGGGAAAGCTGACGGGCATGGTGGGCAGCATAGAGAACGCGCTCTATGCTGACAAGCTCGACACTGAGGGAGACCTCTGGGCGCCAGATGAGGCTGACCCTACTCTGGACAGGTGCGCCTGAAAAGTGACCCCTTTGAGAGGTACATTTTTAGATGGACTCACATTGCTTGACTTCGTGGTCTTGCAGTAAATTGTGTAATCCACTGGACCCTAAGGCCAGCCTGACCTCTGTGGGGCATAAAATGACATGGTAATCATCAGGTATGTGAAGATAGGCCTGGCTCGGTCTAGTTGAAAGTTGAAGGGCGATTGAACCTGGGCCTCAGTGAGATGGTGTCTGTCCTCTTGCAGGGATTGCAGCGCTGCCTTCCATCTGACTCCCTACCAGGGCAAGTACGAGGCCCCCAACGAGGCACCAGACGGCCTGGAGGTGCAGAAGCTACTGGCTGGCATGGCCGACAGGGGAGCAGATGTGGCGGTTGTCGAGTGCAATCCTGAGGGGCTGGACCAGGGCAGGTGAGACACGTAGCATGAGCTGCCCTCACATTCATCGACGACTTAGTCTTGAAAGACATTAGTCCCCTCAGCCTGAGGAAAATTCTCCTAGTACGTGTATGAGCGTCTCCTGATGGGTTTTATCAAACTAAACGAGCACTTTTGTTTGTGAGCAGGATGGACCATGTGGACCTGAACATAGCAGTGTTCACCAACCTGGCCACGGACGCGGCGGAGGATGGAGACTTTGAGGAGCTGTTGGAAGCTCAGGGCGCCATCTTCAGGCGGCTGACTGACCCAACCACGCAGCGCGCCATCATCAATCTCGATGGTGCGCCAAATGCTGTGATCCCTGAGCATGCTTCTAAGTTTCTAAATTTGCTTTTGGAGTGCTATTAAATGAGACGCTAGAGGCTGTTGGAACTCTGCATGAGCTGCGAAGGCCTGGGAAGCTCGACAGCGTGGATGAACCGGTCACCTTCAGCAGCATGAGTCATTTTGCATGCATGCAGACCCTTACGCGGACGACATCCGTGCATTTGCCGCGCAAGTGCCGGTGGTGACGTATGCGATGTACAACAAGAGTGCGGATGTGTGGCCGGAGAAGATGCGCTTCAGCATGTGGGAGACGGAGATCAAGGTGCAGACGCCGGTGGGGCCGCTGCTCATCATCACGCCCCTCATCGGCCGCCACAACGTGTACAACATCCTCGCTGCAGTCGCTGTCGGCCTGGCCGTCACCGTGGACGGCGATCCCATCCCACTGAAGGTGTGCAGCTTTTCTGTGCACAGCTTCCCAGCCTGCTTGACCTCTCTTACAATGGAGGCCTCTTCCATTGTAATCATGCCAAGTGTCTTTTTGTGCCGAGGTGCCTTCTCATGAAGAGGATCTTCCAGCTTCACCATCCTTTGCTTCTGAATTCACGTCCCTCCAACGCAGTGGTGAGAATTTCCCATGCTGAGAGCTCTTCCATGTAACATGCGCTGACTCTGCATTGGCACTTTGCGCAGACGATTGTGCAGGGGATTGAGGCGACAGAGATTGTGCCGGGCCGCTGCGAGGTGATCGATGAGGACCAGCCATTCGGGTGTGTGGTGGATGCGGCAGACACGCCGGCGGCGCTGTCGCGTCTGATGGACGGCCTGCGCGAGTGCCACCCCAAGCGCCTCATCCTCGTCCTGGGCTGCCCGGGTGAACAGGACCAGGGCAAGCGCCCCTTTATGGGCGAGATTGCCCACTACAAGGTGCGCACACAACCTGTTTCCACAGCTCTGTACAACAATTCTTACGCCTCTAGATTTACGCTTTTCCACACCAGTTTTGCTGGCCCTCACCAGGCGTCAAGATCAAATGCAGCCTTTGGCCAAGTAATTATCTTCCTTGTCAGCAACGTCGCTCCCGCAAATTTTGCAGAAACCTATGATTTGGCCGGGAGGGATGCAGTGCATGCTTGGCTCACGAGTAGATCTTGCAAAAGCCATGACGTGGCAGGCAGGCGGTGCGGTGCATGCTTGCCTGAGGAGTAATTGGTGCACTGTGGAGCAGGCTGACTTGGTCATCATGACAAATGACAGCCCGCGGGGGGAGGCGCCGAACGAGATCATTGCAGACATGGTGGCCGGCTACCCGGACAGCATCCTCAAGCGGAACGCCTCCGTCCCCTACCAGCCTGGCTTCCTGCAGGACCCCGGCCGAGTGGACTACAACGCCCTCGAATTTTTCTGGCACAACTGCTACGAGTGCGCCACCTTCTCTGTGCCTTTAAGTGCCTCTGGGCCTCACGCTTGCACCTTGACTAGGTCCCATGTGTTCAGACTCTAAGGCAAAGCAGCCCTGCTAGGTGAAGCAGTCACCAATATGGGTGTATAAACTGTGGATCAACACTTGAGATGTCTTCCACACAGGTACCGGAGATATGTGGTGGAGGACAGGTGGACGGCGATCCGGTGGGCAATCGGATCAGCACAAACGGATGACTGCGTTGTCATTGCCGGCAGAGGCCACAAGGACTTTGTGGAGTGGGGCATCGATGGCGAGAACTTGCGGGTGCGCCCTGTGCCACACCTCCTCTACACACAGCTGTCAATCACCATCTGCTGCAGGAAATGTCCCTGTTTAATTTGCATGGGTTTGTGCCTTCACATAACATGTATATTCAGAGGATCTCTTGTTATGCAGGGTTGGTTCGATGACCGTGTGGAGGCTCGCAACGCTCTGGCCAAGGTGGCCAAGCTGTGGCAGATCAGCGGCTTTGACCATGCAGAGCTGCCGTGGATGGATGTTGGCGAGCGCGAGGGCCGCATTTTCAACAAGCTGCTTGTGTGATGCATGCATAGCGCAGCCCCTGGTGGCCTGAGAAATGCAAGCCTACTAGACATCACATGGCCTGTTGGCGGTAGCAAGCTGCCGTCCGATGGTGCTGTGTCTTGCGATTTTGTAGTCTTGACCCAGTCGACTATAGACATCTAGACCTTTTAGAGATGTAGACAATACACCTGCAATTTTCTGCGAAGGTGTGACGGAGTTGAGCATCTGCATGACAACATTACATGCTCCAGTCCGGTTGCCTGATGAGGCTGGCATTGCTACCTGTAACCCAGTCTGCACATATGACAGTTCTTCGCATTCACCCAGCCTAGGTGCCAGTGGCTTGTCAAATGTGGTGTTGACATCAACAGCCCATAGACGTCGCCGAGCGCTTCACATGCATTTCGAAATGATTTCAGGCTTGGCTAGCATTACTTGATACCCGTGCTGTTGCAGGTCTAGAGATCAGAAGGTCTGGGGAGACAATTGGCTGTCACACCTTGACCTCTGTTGTTTCATTGCACATCACTCTAGCTTCAGGAAGGAAGGAAGGAAGATTACATCACTCCAGCCGCCTAGGGCTGATTGGATGAACTGGCAGCATCCAAATAATCAAAACAATCCATCACAAAATGTGCAACACCAACAATGTCCAACTGCCACATGAATTGCTGCATCGTCACAATGGCTGCACCAAACAGCCCAGGATATCTGTCCCGAACAGATTGCAAGGCAGGGCACTCAAACACAAGGTGGCGCTCATCCCCAATAACCTGCTGGGCACAACGCATGCACAAACGCTGGGGCCGGGGAATCCTTGCCCAGCGGCCCGAGACATTGGGCAGACTATGACAACCCATCCTGAACTTCAACAGTATACGCAAGCAACGGGCACTCAAAGGCTGCTGTAAGAGCTGGCAAGGGTGGCGCACACAAGCTGGCCTAGCAAACCATCTGTGATATGTACACAAGGTGGCATTGCTGGACGGGCAGGTCCTAGGGCAAATGTCAATGTCATCCCAAACCTGCAGTGCTTGCGCATCTAGCAGCTGCATCACAGCATCAACTTCCACAGGAACAAGGGTGTCAAACCGAATAACAAACTCATACCCAATCCGGCGCAAGCCCCGCATGAAGGCCCAAGCCCAATTCGTAACATTACGGGTTATGGCATCCCAACAATCAGCAAGGGCCACTTGCCTGTGAAAATTATTTGCAGGCAAGGCAGCCAAATTGTTCCAGAACTTGATAATGCGCCGCCACCACACACAATCAAGGGTCTGCTGATTCAACTCCTTAAGCAAGATGGCACCATGCACAGAGGTGGGGACGCCAGCAATGTCTCTCAGAATTTTCAGGTGAGAGGAGGCCAAGGCAGCCCGGCCCCGCCGGCTGTCGCCACCAGGAAGGCTGCGCAGGCCCCACACCTCACAACCGTAGGAGGCAGTCGGCGGCACACATGCATCATATAGGCGCAACAACAGGCCAGCTGACATGCTGCAATGCAACTTCCCATATTGCTGCCTGAGCTGTGCCCACGCACCCCACATGTTCCTGTGAAGCTTGCCAAAGGTGAGGTTAATGCCTTGGGCACCGTCAAAAAGGGCACCCAGGTACTGAAACTGCTGAACCCAATGTAAAGGCGCACCACCACAAAGCCATTGAAAAGGTCCTGGCAAACTTGAAGAGAACACCACAATCTTTGTTTTGTCAACACTGATGACCATTCCCGTTTGTTCACAAAACTCAGCAGCTGCATCAATCAAGCGTTGCAAATGAGCAGGTGTGGTGGCGAGCAAAGCAAAGTCATCGGCATAGCCTAGATCTGGTACACAACTGCCAGGACGCAACTGCGGGCCAACCCCAGGGCACCTCTGCAGCAAGTGCCTGTGCAGGCCATCTGCAAACAAGCCAAACAGCGTTGGGCTAAGGGGGCAACCCTGCTTCAATCCTGTCTCAGAGGGCAAACTAGGACCCTTCCTGCTCCCAATCTTAATGGCAACCGTAGAATTGGCATACAAAGACTGAATGGCAGAGAGCAGGCGGCCATCAATGCCCAGGCGACGCAGACTCTCCCAGAGCAACACCCGATTCACTCTGTCATAAGCACCCTTCAGATCAAGAAAGCAACAATACAAGGGCTGCTTAGCATGGTTTTGCCGGTCGATAAAATGCTGCAAGGTGAATAGCTGGTGGGCCGTAGACAGTTTTGGCCTAAAGCCAGCCTGTGTGGCTGCACGCAATCCAGCCCCCTCTGTGTACTTCAGAATACGAGAATTCAATATGCCAGCATACAAGCGCATGATGGGCTCAGTAACGGCAATGGGTCTATAATTGAGCATGTCAAGCTTGCTGCCTTTCTTGTGCACAGGGGTGATCAGGCTACCATTCACAGAGGGTGGCACTTGCCCAGCCACAAATGCAGAGTTCAGCACAGCCACCAAAGCAGGCGCCAGGACATTTTCCAGAGGAGGCATGCCTGGCGCCCGCTCATCTTTTGCATACCGAAACAGCTCAGCTGGTAAACCTTGCACTCCGGTGGCACGACCATTGTGTAAACTTTTGAGCCCAGCAAGCACCTCCCCAAGAGAGATGGGTGCATTGAGAGCATCAACATGGGCAACAGGAGCACTGGGCTGGACAGGGAAAGACAAGTGGGGCAGCTCAGCAATGAGTGGCAACTGCAAGTTTGCAACCCGCTTGAGATAGCCAGCCCACAATTGCACTGGCTTGAGCTGCTCAGGTATATCAGACTGCTGAGACTTGAGCCGCTTCCAGAAGGCTCGGGGGTCACTGTGCAAATCATCAAGCAGGCGGCGCAGTTGCGCGAGCCGGTGAGCGCGCCGTTTGTGGCGGACGGTGTTGTGGTAGGCACGCTCCAGCGCGCGCACTTCGGCTGGATCGCCCCCGCACCGCGCGCGGGCGCGGACGTCCCGTTTAAGCTGGCGGCACTCCGAATCGAAGAAGGGCGCGTCGGCACGCGCCTTGCGCTGATGGCGCCCGGTGCGGGCCGGCATGCTGTTCGCGGCTGCGGCCTCCCGGATCCCCGCCTCCAGGGTCTGAAAGGCTGCATCAAGTTCCCCAGCCACAGCATGGCCTGTGCAGGCGTCAAGACTTGCACTGGCAACATTGCGCAAAGCAGCAGCATACGCATTCCTAGCACTGGGCTGCCATTTCACTCGTGACAATGGCGCCCCAATACATGGTAAGGGAACACTGGCAGCCACATTCACTTGCAACGTCATCTCAATAGGATGATGATCAGAGTCTTTTCTACCAGTGTTCACAACAAGATGAGAAATCAAGGGGAGCGCATCAGCGGAAACGAGAACATGATCAGGTCTAGTTGCCTGAGTATGGGTTCTGGCCTTAAAGGTAGGCACTGCTTCAAGGTCTCCTAGCACTCTGCCAGAGCATATGAGCATGTCAGTTTCCTTGCAAAAATCTAACAGGCGCAGCCCATGAGCATTGACACCTTCATCAGTGCAGCCTCAAGTATTGCTGTCATCAGCGTCAGGCAAATTTGACACACGAGCATTGAAGTCTCCTGCCAGGATCACATTGCCCTGAGCACGAGCGGCAACAACTTCTGCACATAAGCCCGTAAATCGACTGGTCAGGTCCACAGTCTGCAATTGCCGGGAACCCGCTGGAGGCACATAGCTGGAGCCAATCAGCAGCGGTGTAGAGTCCCCCTCAAACTGCACTTTCACCCATAAGGCACTGTCAGTGTCTGACACCCAGTCTTGTGCGTGGTAATCACGGTGCTTCCGAACCGCAACAACAATGCCTTCACCCGCCTTGCCCTCTTCACTAGCAGCCGTGAAAGTCACAGAGTGGTGAGGCAAGATCGAGTCATCCCAGGTCAAGCAACGGGCCTCAGTCAGAAGTACAATATCGAACTGGTCAAGATAGGCTGCCGTGTCCCACAAGGATATTTTGCTAGCATGTAAGCCATTGACATTCCAGGACAATATACGCAGCGATAGGCGGCTGGAGACTTCCTAGCGGCGCACTGCTTCGGCGTAGGAGTCGGCGCGGCCGGGGGAGGAAGGCGCGGCCTGAGAGGGCCCGGCAGTGGCAGCACCCGGGGCGGCAGCGGCGCCCGGCGCGGCAGCCGGGGGAGGCCCAGGCACAGGCATGTGCTCACGCACGCGGTCGCCCTCCCGGACGAAGAGGCGCTCCTCGCGCCAGAAGGGCTGCTTGCCGGCTGTCTTCAGGGCGACATAGTGTGGGCGCATGCTGACGCGGATGCGCTGCTGCTGCGGGGTGAGGTCGGGATCCAGGAAAATCTGGCGCTGGCGCAGGGCTTTGCTGTGCTTGAGGGCAGCGTGCTTGGCTGCCACGCCGCTGAAGCTGATGAGCACGGGGCGCGGCTTGGTGCGCGTGGCGCTGGGGGCACCGAGGCGGCGAGCTTCGCTGACAACAGCAGGGGGCCCGCTGTTGCTGTCAAACAGCGCTGCCACGCGGGCTGAGACATTCTCTGTGTTGTCCTCTGCCAGACCATGGCAGATCAGGTTGGCACTCCTGGCTTGGCGGGCCTGAGACTCCACCACAGACTCCAGATGGTGCACTTTGTTCACCACTGCTTCATCGTTGGAGGCGGCTCTGGTCTGCGTGTCCTTGGCCAGCTCAGCGCGCAGGAGAGGCAGCAGCTCTGCCTTCAGCTCAGCCACCACCTCATCCTTCAGCTCGGTTTTCAGCTCTGCCTTGAGCTCTGCCTTCAGCTGAGGGAAGAGGGCCCCAAATTTCTCGTCCAGCTTACTGTCAAGCTTGCTTTCCAGGCCGTGGATCATAGACTCGACCTTTGCAAGAAGGAGATCGTGGAGGGGCGGCTCCATCTCCTCATCTGACTGCCCTGGGCTGCCCTGCGCTGGGCGCTTCGACTGACTTCTGGTTCCCTGACTCATCGCAAGATCGCAGATCAAGATGGAATGGAGCATGCAAAGGTTGGAGGGCAGACCAGTCGAGGATGGCGTTCCTGTGGATCCTCGAACAGGTTCACGACGTCCCAGTTTGCAATAATGGGAACCTGCAGAAAGGTACTATGCCTGCATTAGACAAGCTTTTAGCGTATCCTTAGTATCATCTGATAAGTTCAGAGGGGCATGAGATAGTTGCCAGTTGTAAACACCTTCGATCGGGCTCTTACGATGCCAGCTACTGATCTTCTCAAGCAGTTTGGGCTTAGTCGCAATCCTTTCACGGATCGGACAGCCGAGAAGACATCACTTGATACTACTTCTCTATATGTCCACAGTGATCTACAGGGATTTGTACCTTCAGGTACATTTTTGGACTTCTACTGATGATGCACTTGCTTGAGCGGGCATGCTTCGCTAGTATACCAAACACGACTGTGGTCTGTTAATTTCTGTGTGGATTCACAACGCATGTTCTTATGTCCTGCAGAGACCACCTATGTCATCTTTGGAAGGCGGGGCTCTGGGAAGACAACCATCCGTTTGCAGGTGAGTACTAGATCTTGTAGTCTGTGATCCTTCTTATGCATTCTTTCTGTTGTTGTTTGAAGGCGCTGCATACGATTTGGGATGCAGTCTCGTGTGGTGGTGTCATGCAGATGCAACATGCCTATGATGACTACAATGAACGTGCTCGCGCCACAAACAAGTCCAGAGGGCACTTCATGGTGGACTTGTGTCGGCCTGGACATATGACAGCATGCCTGCGCAATTTCCAAGAAGCCACACGCTGCACAGATGACAACTGGGAGTCACAGTTCGGTGAGCGGAATTCTCTTACTGAGTCACTCGCTGCTTCTATCAAGCACTGTGCAATTGGATTATTATGTTGTATCCCACAAAGAGAGCCTGCTGTTTGTTTTCAATATGCTCATGTCAAGGCGTGTTGCATGTGGCAGGTGAGCTGTGGACCTCTGCAGATATGGTGGACTGCATACTGGCATATGCTGCCACCGTGCTTGTGGACAAGATGACAGATCCCAAGTCAGCAGAGGGCCGTGAGATGCTTGACCTGGTGAAGCTAGATGCTAGAGCATCCAAGCAGTTCCTCCTCCTGGCTCACCTGTACGCTCTTTTCTTAAAGCCCAAGATGGTACCAACATCTAGCAATGTGTTGTTGTCAACCAGCTCATATCTCAATGCTATTCCAATTTAGGTCGTTGTGCTCTTGATATAGTTCCCCTGCAAAGTCAGAACAATTGCATGCAGTGGTGAAGGTTTGTCGGGTGCCATGCAGATATGCCAAGACAGACGCCGCAAGCCTTGCGTACCTCAGACGAGAGCTTTTGAGGCCCCGCTACAGTGCCATCGAGACAGCAATCGGGGTCACAGTTGTTGGCACAGTTGCAGCAGGTTTGTTCCTCCTCCTAGATGTGCCTGTTGCTCCCTCTGAGTCACGGTGCGGTCTTAGGGAGGTATGTGTAAATCACAATGTTGGTGGAGCCATAGGCAAGATGACTGGCCACAGTTTGTTTTAGAGGGACCACCTCGATTTTCAGCTTCCTTTTAGTCTGCCCGATCTGGAGGAGCACAAGAGAAAAGTGGGACACCGTTGGCCAAGCACTGTATGGACTGCCCAAATGCAAATTGAGGCAAATCAGGTGCTGGGGAGCTGGAAATATTAGCAAATTCACAGCAGGATGAAGAGTAGAGACTGAAAAGTTTTCAAGCATTGCCTTTTTGCGGACTACTCTAGTCTCAAACCTTCCCTGCTTGTCATGAGCAGGGGCCATTGCAGCAGCAAGGGACCCCGGGGTGGCAGATGCCTTGAGCAGCCCCTTTGCGCGCCTGTGGGACGACTTGGGCCGCGCAGCGCCCAGCATCACCAACCACCCGCGCGTCACTCTGGCTGCCGTCAGCATTGCAAGCGCCGCAGCTGTCTCCTACATGTGGCGGTGTGTGCCACCCCAGTCGCGTTCTTCCTTAATACACCCGATATTTGCATGCCCGTGAAATGATCTTCAGGCCTCATTCAGTGGTACTTGGTGTGCTTGGTATTCGCACAGCACAGCAGGTTGCAAGGCCACCTGTCATGCTCACCGTTAAGGTTTGCGCCAAAGTTTCATCGCTGTGTGCTGCAGGAATTCCACAACAAGGGGATTGGAAAGAGCACAGAATCTCATGCGCTCCATCCGGGTCGCTAAGCAGCAGCCGCCCCCTCTCATGGCCGCCTTGCTGGACCGCCTCTTCAGCCCCCAGGTGTGGCACTCTACCTTCTAGCTGAAGCTGTCTGCAATCTTAACGTGCTCATGGTCACAATGAAGCCCATCGATATAAAAAGTTGGCCTGCTGCCATCGGTCACAGAGGGCAAACAGAAGAGTCAGGAAAAGTTCAGCGCAATGTCAGCCGCGCAGGCTTCATCTGAGACATGCTGTGCGCAGGATCGAGTGAGCACCATCAGGAGCCTGTGCATTGGCATCAGCGCCCACCAGAAGCTGGACAACCTCTCCGCCCTGGTGCGCCTGCTCGGCTATGAGTCCCTCGCCGTTTTCGGAGACTGCTTTGACGAGGTGAGCAGCCCTCCCCTACCACCACTACAGCCCTCAACACAATGCTCGCAACCCTACAGTTTTTCCTGCTGAAAACATGAGCAGAGCTTCTGAACAACTGTGCAGACTACACCAGGCGAAGCCGCATGACCTGGTAAAGTTTTGATTCTTATAGTATTGTCACCTGTGACTAGAGCCGTCGCTTCGGTGCATGTTTTCAGCAGTGAAACACTTTCGGTGCATTTGGGCTAAACTAGTGAGCATGTTACGTGGGATGGCTGCTTCTAAGCCCACTGGTTCGTTGAACTGTGAGATTGTGAACTGTCGCTCTGGTGCAGGTGAGCCTGCTAGACCCGGTGTCCTACCCGGGCGCCATCAAGGCGTTTGCCAAGGAGGTCTGCCGCAACGACCTGCTCAACTTTGGGCGCCTGCACTTCTTCTTCCCAGACTCCCGCCTCGCCCTCGACCTCAACACAGACAAGACCCTCAAGGTGAGCTTGCCACTCCTGCTAGGCAGCAATTCAAATATTATATCCGCCGGTGCAGACACAGTGGCCTCTCTCACTGCTTCATGTCCCAACAAGGATCATACGGTCCAGCAGGTTGAACGTCTCAAGTCAGATAGCTTCCTCGTTCCTTATGCTGCTGCAAAGTCACACTAAATGGCACAGCATTGCATTGATCTGATGTGGGGTGAGATAGCTACAGAAATGCTGAGCGTGGCTGCATGCTTGGCGCAGGAGGCGCGCTTTGACCGGCACTTCGTGAGGGACCTGACGTGGAGCCGGCACCAGCTGGAGGAACTGGCCGAGCGCCGATTTGTGGCGGCCCAGCGAGCGGCCGGCAGCCGCCTCGCCGCACCCTCCCACGACGGCGCCTGGACCGGGGACGCCTCCGACGCCATTCCCACCTCCTTCAACGACCTCTTCAAGCAGGTGCGCCGCCCTGCACTCAGCCGTGCTGCTGGCATTGCACGATTGTGTGCAAACTTTTACTTCACAGTGATCTTTGACATGTTGCAATTTTGCTGACCTTCCTTGCAGATTGGTCTGAGCTCCACTTCTGCACCTTGCAAGCATACATTGAACGAGTTTTCCATGGGTTCAGTGTGTGCTGAGCATTCTACATTAAATATTCTTTGTGGAGGGTTGATTCGAAGAGTGTCACTCATCTTCTCACCCTTGAGCAACGGCGTGCAGGTCAAGGTGGAGGATTTCAGCAGCTACCTGGCCAAGCTGTCCACACCGCGGGAGCTAATGATCATGATGACGGAGATGCTGGCGCGCATCGAGGCCAATCCAGAGAAGGGCCTCGAGGCGCAGGACATGGAGATTGCCGTGAATAAAGCCTTAGAGCAGGCCGTCTAGTAGACGGTCAAATTTGACAGTAGCTAGCAGTTGTTTGACAGTGCTTTGACAAGGGAATAACATAGTCATATTCTGTGGTTCTGTTATGTGCCAATGATAGAGAGCAAGTGTAACCACAACGTCATGAAGAAACTTCCTCTCAGGAAGGGACTGTGCAGCTTCTCATCTGTCGGAAGCCAGGCAACACATGGAGAACCCCATCACTTGCCTTGGAGCATCATCTCTACACTCGTTTCTAGAAGGGAATACATCACAAAATAGAGAATTGTATAATTAGCGTCGTCCCAAAGAGACGAAGCACCTATCCTTTCGGTGTTGATCTGGGCACTGATGCACGCATCTTCGCTCGTGTCAACCAATCTGCTCGGAAATATCGCCAAGAGAAGCGACAATGAAATGATGGCATGGCTAAATCAGTGCATTTGTGGTATGTGGGTGCCATGAGTGTCCTTGTAGTGCTGGCAATTTCCAACACTGTAAGTGGAAACAAACCAAGGGATCTCTACTTGCATCAGTACATCCCCTTCCCTAGACTTCGCTTGATCAAACAGCAGAGAGAATTTTCATCGTCTCAATGTGGAATACCTCTGGAATTGGAGTGCAGCAGCTTGTTGGGGCCAGACTGTTTCTCCAAAGGTAGATCCTCACCAATAAAAGCCATATGGCCTGTGCACTGGGTTCCGCGTTCCTTCAAATCATATTCTTGTGCTCAAATCACCACAACCGCGACAATCTTTCCAAAATTATTCCAGGTGTCCCAGAGAAGCCAGCCTCAGCAGAACACACACAAGGACTTCCTGCTAGGCCTGCAGCTGCCAAGGTGCGCCACATCACTAATGCTTGGTCTTGATCTTTGCACAGCAACATTCAATCATTAGCGCGCTGCCCTGTGCAGGCAGTAAAGAGTGCCAGTGGGGGCATCATGGAGCAGTACATGGAGGCCAGCCAGACCTTGCTTGGCAGAGCGCAGAGTGGCAGCTGGGGCTCACCAGAGGAGGGGCAGGGGAGGCAGATAGGTGGCACAGCAGGCCAGCGGTTGGATGACGTGGTTGTTGTAAAGGTTGGGAGGAGCGTCAGGTCAGTGTACGATGATGAAGATGATCGATCTCAAGAAGCTGCAGGGGTAAGCTGCTTGTACAGCTGGACCCAAGACACTGCTGGCACAGCATGACCTGCATGCGGCTTCACCTAAGGAGGGGTCTTTTGAACATAAGGGATTGCATGCAGGGGGATGATATGGCTATGGGGTCAGTCAGGGAGCCTGAACCCAGCAGAGGTGAAGATGGGGGAGCGGAGTCTGCTGATGCAGATATTGAGGGCCAATGTGGAAGTGGGTTGGGAGATGGCGGCGAGGGTGAGCAACTAGATGCGGGGCCATTCAGCGCCCTGAAGGACTTAGATACGACTGAACATCTCAAGCAGCATGATGCAGATGATCTGGTACAAGAACACGAGTACTATGATCACTACTTCAACTCGTCTACTCTTGACCCAGACGATGAGTACTATGGTGCATATGACGATGCATACTACCTTCCTGCAGAGTGAGCAGCATTGCGAGAGGCTGCCTTCTCACTTGTAAAACATGGCAAAAGCTTGATGAGGTACAAGGTGTTCTGAGGGCAGCCTGCTATATTGGTCTTAAGTCTGATCTGCTTAAACACAACACTGACGAATTGCTCACCTGCGAGCAGCATGCATGCCAAGACTACATGCCAGGAGATTGATACAACTCAACACCTTCAACCCCCATGCTTGTCGAGAGGGGCAATGGCACCCACGTCTAGGGGCCAGAGCTGTAGGATGAGCCACGCATATGCAGCAGACACTGCCACACATATATCCTGGTGGGACAGCCAGGCAGCTTCAATCATTGCTCTCATGACTTAAGCATCATGCAAGTCCACTACCCGTTCAACAATGTCCAGGCATTTTCAAGGAGCATGTCATGATAAGTCATGGCAGCTGTCACGCCGTTGGGAGCAGTTTTGAGTTGCCGGCGCCGCGAGGGTTGTCATCCTTCCAATCGTCCCATGCGCGCTGCCGCAGCGTCTCCGCCTCTCCATCCTTGTCCTCTGCTTTCGCATTGGCTCGCGCGGCCTCTGCTCGCGTCCGCGCCTCCGCCGCCCTCTGCGCACTCGCAATCTCGCGCTCTGCCTGCACAAGATTTTCCTCTTTCATGAAGGGCATCGTTTAGGTCCATGCACAACCACTTGCGCTTGCTTGCACGCAGTGAGACTTAACTGCAGCCGTGCACTGCAAATCTAGCTTGCAAAAGAGTCCTGAGCACGACGGTGAGACTTGAGTGGCACGAACCTCATGCATACATGCACTGCTTAACAGGGCGTCTAGTGTCGCTCTATGCTGCGCTGAACAGCCGTGCAATTTCCCTTTTCCGTGATGCATGCAACAGATATATGACAGTGCTGAGTCAGCCTGGCTCACCTGTTGCGCCAGGGTGACGGTTGGCAGGATGTGGCTGGGCCGGAACACGTTTGTGCGCATCTGCTGTGCGTCTGACTTGATGCTGAGCGCCGCGGCTGCCGTGTGCAGCTCCTGCATCAGCGCTGCAGGCGGCGGCTGAGCCGGCCGCTCGCGCAAGTCCTCCGGCAGACTCGCTGCATGACTCAGCAGCTCGATCTCCTGCTTGGCAGACCAGAATCTTCTTGCCGGTTCCAACAAATGCGCGAAGTCACTTTGTGTGCATTTCAAAGAGTGGCATGTAAGGGGCCAGGGGTGTGCCAATATGCCCACCTGCTTCAGAGACCCCAGTAGATTTGCTGCCTTCATGGTGCGCAGCTGTATTTGTGTCGACCAAACGTCCCTCTCCATGTCCTCATCAACGCTGTCTTGCGCCTCCTCTGCCTCCAGCTCGCTCACTCTCTTCCTTCGCAGATCCTGCACAAGAGTTGCAGCAAACTGAAGGTATGCAATGGGTTGTATTGCCGACTGCCGACTGCCATCCAAACGATGTTGATGTCCACACAGGGCACATGCAGGGGTGATGCCTGATGGGTATCAATGCACCTGCATCCTGAGCGCATCCAGCTTTGCCCGAGCAGCCTTCTCCAGCCTGATCCGCGCGATCTTTTGGGTGCGCCGAGTTCCGGGATCAATAGAGCCCTGGCCCTGAGCTTCCATTAGCGCAGACTTCTCGTCGGGCCCCAGCAGCCCATACTCGCTGCACTGCTCCAAAAACCTGCAACGCCACAATTTACATTGGCAATTGCTATGCAGGATGTCAACCACGTTTTGAAGAGCTGCTTGCTCAGTATCCTGGGTGGCTCATCCCATGATGTGTGAGGAAGATTGGCTGCAGGCTCAGTGCCCACCCTCGCAGGAGCTCAGAGGCATTGCTGAGGAGCTGCACGCGCTTGCTGAGGTCTTGCGTCCTGCTGCGTGACAGCAGGTCCCCCCACAGGTACGGCACCAGGAGGTACTTGAGGTCAGCTGTCGCGATGTCCTCGGCCTGCTCGTTGGAGGAGAACAGGCCGAGGGCTGCCACCATTCTACTGCAGGACTGCAGCCATCGCACGGCTTCCTGTGGATGCCCACGGGTTGCTCAGCGATCCTTTCATCGCTTTAAAAACATCCCAAGGTTCAATGCGCAATCAACACGGTGACTCAGACCAAACGGTGATCTGCCTCTCAGTGGGTCAGAACAAAAGATTGGACGACCTTCGGGTTACCGTACCTCTATTTGATCATCTGTGAGGGAATCGCTGTTGTCGTGAGCGTCCCAAGATTTCTGGAAAAGAGCTGGCAGGGACAGGTCCTGCAGCAAGGTTGATGAAGGAGTCAGCAGGGACAGGTCAACACTGCTCATCAAGCAAGGAAAGTCCACAATAATACATATGCATCGCACCTCGTCAGTCGAGACAGCCATATTCTGACAGGCTTGAGAGGCGCAGAGGGCTTTGATCCAATGGAGCCTGATGTATGTCTTTATTCAGGATCTGCAACAGGCAGCCTTAAAGCTGGTAATGGAGCAAAGACACTGACCCTGAAAACGTTGTTACATCCTTGCATGACGACCGATCGTTTAGGTGTCCTGATCATCAGATTGCCTCGGTTCATGGCTGTCGAGGGGTGCTGACCTGGCAGTGTACTGGAAGCTTTTGAAGGGACAGTACACATTGAGGGATATCAAGGCCAGAATCCCGCCTGATCTTGATTGTCTGCTGGCACGATAGCTGTCAGAGGTCACCTTAAAGCGAAGATATCAAACAAGCTAGTGGACACGCCCCACCGGCCGGTTCCTGCGTTGACACCTTGCTTTTAATCACCGTCGTTGTCGCTTGAGGGCTGCGGCCAATCGTGCGCCATACCTGTGCTGCACATAGATAGTAGAGTGATTGCAAAGGATCGATTGCCCGCTGAAGGTTGCTGGACGAAGATCTGCTGCCTTCTGTCGGGGTGCGTGATGAAGCTGGGAAGGGATTTGTCGGCTCGTGATTTTACAGGCATGTTTTTACACCTAAACTAGCTCGTGAACGTTCAGAACTGCTTTTTGGAATAGTTAATGGGGTACTGCAAGCGTTGAAAGCTGAGCCGCTGCCTGACAGACGCCCGGCATCCGAGTCGGTGACATGGGAAGCCGAGTAAGCGGCGCGTAACGCACAGAAGGAAGGTAACATGGATCATGCATGCCCAAAACGATGCGTAACACTGCATAAGGCCCCACTGTGCGGAGTACGTCTTTGAGTATTGCGTGGGGGCGGGACCATCAAGCTAAACAGTCTCGAGACGTCCGGGTGCAAGCCCTGCTTCCTCCTCGAAGCCTAGAGCTTGTGTGACGCATCCAGGAGGTGATGCTGACAGCTTTCTATTTTCATGTGCAGGCTGTCCCCACAAAAGAAAGCAGCAGCGGTCCGCTTCCCTGCGAATGTCCGCGAGGGATACCTCCAGCGAGACTTCACCCGAGCCCGACATCTACCGCGCCGATCCCCGGTTGAATTCTCACTTGGATGCCATCAATGCCTTCCATTCCGGAGCGACCGCGCACCAGCAAGCACTGATGCGCCAGGCATGCACCACTCCCTCTGCTGCTACCCGATCTTGATTTTTTGAAGGGGCCTACAATTTTGCACCCGTACAGAATTGGTGCAAGCTGTTCTCCATGGGGATGCCCTGTGACACAGCGATGGTGCCACAGGTGCAGCTGGAAAACGGGCACATGACCCCACCCACGCTGCCTGACAATCCCATGCGTTCCCATGCACATGTCGGTGGCCAGCAGCGAAGCGAGGGCATGGCCTGGGCCGGCATGCAGGGCTTGGACGGCCGCAGGGGCGAGGCATTCGCCAGCCTGGGCTCTCAGAGCTACAACCCCGCGCAGCGCCAGCAGTTCCTGCAGCCGCTGTCCATGCACAACACCGTGACCAGTGGCATGCCCCTCCCAGAGCAGGCCCTGCCGGAGCACCGCCTGGACCTGGGCAGCCTGGAGAGCGCGCAGTTCGCGGGCAATGGCCTCGGCGGCCGCGCCGGCGCGCTGGCCAGCCTGAACTCGGCGACAGGGAACGCCATCTGCCGCACAGCGCTATTCAACCAGCCCAATGGCCGGACGGCTGCGCGCAACATTGTGCTGAAGGTCGCGCCAACGTCGGCCGCTTCGCCGGGGCCGGCGAACCGGGGCTCTAAGGCCTTGGCCGTGGATATGGAGACGATGCCGTCCGCAGAGTCGCAGAAGGCCCCAGAGCCGCCCCCGGCAGCCGCCGCGTATGCGCCGCAGCAGCCGAGCGGCGTTGCCACGCGGGGCCTGCGGCAGGGCGCGCGGCGCAACCCGCCTCGCTACTCCGACTTCACCGACGACCTGTCCGACACCGACAGCCAGGAGCTGTCCTACAACGAGGACGAGGACCTGGGTGCGTTCAGCGAGGAGGAGGACAACAGCAGCCGCCGCTTGGGCCTGCGCTCGCGCGGCAGCAGCCTGCAGAGCGCAGACGCGAGCCAATTCCTCAGCGCCATGTCCGGCGGGGCGGACTCCGGCGGCGGGGGCGCGCGCCGCGGGGGCGTCGCGCCGAAGCGGCCGCGCTCCAAGACGCTGCTGTGCGAGCAGGACCCCGAAGCGCCCGGCCTCACCCTCGACCAGCGCCGCAAGATCCGCAGGTGGTGCCCTGTCACCGTATTGATTGTTTCCTTGAAACACTCAAGTCTGTAAGGAAAGAGAATGTGGGTGAATGATTGGCCAGGAGCCTTGGACATCTTGCATGGATGGCAAAGCTGGGAGGTGTCTCCTTGCAGCTGTCATCACACCAGGCATGTTTAATCGAGGCTGACTTTCAAATGATGCTTGTTTGCAGGCGCATCAACAACCGCGCATCTGCCAGGCGTGTGCGGCAGAAACGGGAGGAAGAGCTGCACAGGATCTCAGCGCAGGTCAGGCTCCCATCCCCTTTGCTGCAATATTCTGGGCACCAAGGATGCAAAGTCAGTTCTAGCAATCCACCTTCTTTAGCCCTTTGCAGAGGGCCAGCCGTGCTCACATGCTTCCATGCATGGAAAGAGGCTATGCTCTGCTCACATTCATGCAGTGAAGTCATCATCAAGGTAAATTTGTTTGAGCTTTTGACCGTGTGCAGGTGGCAAAGTTGGATCAGGAGAAGCAGATGCTGTCGGCCAGGGTGATGCAGTCGCAGACAGGCTGCTCGCAGCTGGCCATGCAGCTCAAGGAGATCCGTGAGCGCTGGCAGCTCACCTGCATCACCAATGCCACCCTCCACAAGGAGCTCATGGGCCTCCGCCAAGTGTGGCAGGTACTCCCACAAACACCCTTCTGCGCTGTTTCAAACGAAGGAAAGCAGTTCTAAGGGCTGTTTTCCTACTAGTCAAAATGCTAAGTTGCACAGTATTGTATGGCAAGAGTACTCCTGTACAAGCGTCTCTGGTCCCAATGGAGGACATGTTTCCTCATGAGCTGTTCAGCTCTTTGCTGCGCTGCCTCATGCATTCCATGCACATGACAGCAGGCAAAGTCATGCATTTCAATGTGGGTTATCAGCTCACGGATGTTGCTAATCGCAGAGGGCGAGAGGAGCGGCCATAGCCGCAAGCCAGCAGCCGCCAGCTTCAAGCATGGGGCCGCCACCGGCAGCAATTGGAGCGTCAACGGCCACCTGCCTACCGGGCAGAATGGGCGGGCGGCCCAGCTTCAGCAACCTGGCTTCCCTGGACCTGGGCACCTTTCTGGCCAACTGAGTGGGCTACACTTCCCAGCCTGACGCAGCTTCCTCGTAGCTTCCCTCGAGGCGACCACTAGAAGCTTTGGCCAAGGGTCGTAAAAGCTCATGAGGACAGTAGCTGAGTGGGCAGCTGAAAGCATTCAGGGACCACTAGTGGCTTCTTTGCCAATCTACAGCCTCTTTCTAAGCAGACCGCTGCTGTAAAAATAAGGAACGAAATTTTTTGTACTGCTCTTGCAATCTGAGGTGCTCTGCATGTAGTGGCACCCGCCATTTGCGGGACTCAGCAGTGACGGTGTTGCCTGTACAGCTGTGCCTGTACAATTTCAGCCTGCTGCATACCGTCACAGCAGCACAAGGTGTACATCCTTCATAGGCCTGTTCTTTGCGCTTTGAGCGCGTCTCTTTTGCTCTGCTTCATTCTTGGTGTCAAAATGCGTGTCAAGAGTGTGATGCGACACGATTGAGACACATCTGCAAATTTTATACGGTCTGCTCTCCTGGTTTGTTGCCAGCCTGCTTTCTTTGGATCTTCTGTGGACATATCAAGCCCTGCTTTCGTGAGTCATTGCATTGAAGTGCTTTTCCTTGAGCTCTGGCCTGTCTTTGGGCAAGAATGGTCTTTGCAGGCCTCTTTGCTACCCTGGATATGTAGAGTGCAAGGGAGATGATGTGCTCTGGCAGGACAACTATCCTTCTTGATTTTGATATTATGCAAGATGACTAAGACGGTGAAGAAGTGTGAATAAGGTTTTTCTTGGATCCAGCAACGTTTTCTTGGATCCAGCAATGTTGTGCGTGTGCAACGTGGAGATGTCGCATTGAAATTGGGATGCAAAAGAACATAAATTTGTCCTTCTGTACATCATGCGCGTATCTCTTGTGTGTGCAACATCAAGCTGTTTTAAAAAACTGCACGTGAAAAGTCAGAACAGATGGAACACATGTGTAGCTGTAGAACAATCAACCCCTTTTATTTTGTAGTCAGAGACAAATGTGGATGCTAGTTATGTTGCCTTGCATGGCTCCTGACAGGCCACAAGACTCTCCACACAGAGGGTGCTGATTCTGGTTTGTGTTCTGCCTCGGTGTTGCCTGGCATGTCGGATGAGAGATTGTGTGTGTAGATATGTAGATATCTGCTCCTCAGCTAACTTGTAGAGGTCTGATGGTGATCGTGAAATGAGTCTAAAAGTCTGTCACAGTGATTTCTGCAGAAGGTCACAACCTTCCCAGTCAACTTTCAGCAACTCGCTCTGCAAACATGCATGCAACGTTATAAGAGCACATGCTGTTCTGTCAAGTCGACAATCAAAAGTCATTGTCATTTATGTCACCCCCACCTGCCTTGGAGCTTGCTATTCGCATCAAAGGTCTAAACTGCCTGTACAAGCCCATTCAGATTTATAATCGAAAGCATCATGCTCTGCATCCTTGTCTGCGCTCTCACTTGTTCTGATCCAACAAAATATGCAAGCTGATCCTGGCACAGGTGCTGATTGCCTGTCCCATTACATTCTCATTATCACAAATTTGCCGACTGAATTTCTCATTCCTCTGCCATGCTGTTGTCATCGGTTCTTGCTTAGGCTTGCTGGCATCCTCTGCATTTTGTAGATTGCAGGAACACAGCAATGAGCCCACCTAAAACGCTGCCAGCATCGTTGGCCCCACAAGGAAAGTGTGCCAGTGATCATTGTTGTACACCAGAAAGACTGGTCATGTATCATCAAAGAAACCGTCATGATCAGAAAAGCTGTCCGGCAACGCTGCAGTTTGGGCCATACAAATGGCATTTGCAGTCTCTCCGCGCCAGCCATGGGGCTCCCTGCTGAGTCAGTAGGATGATACACCTGCCAAGGGTCCTCGAATGCGCCGCGCCAGCTGCAAATCTTTCGGCACTGTACACACCAGAAAACATTTCAGTAAAATTGGCGTGCGTGGGTTTCAATGGAAAGATCAATAACCAAGATATGTGGGAAAAGCACAGCAAGATCATGCAGCATTGTGGCAGTGACAATCTCGGCCAGGGACTCACTGATGGTCACGCGCTTTGCGTGGATGGCACACAAATTGCAGTCTTCTAGCAGGTGCACCATGAAGTCCTCTGTGGCCTGTGCACAAGACAGACAGCTTCTTGCCCAACAGCATTCAACATACCTGAAAATTGATTGGCGTATGAAGGAATGTGATCAAAGGTTAAGGTCATCTCCCCAGCTTCCATACCTCTTGCATGGCAAGCAAAGCCTCTGCTGTCCACCTGAAGGGCTCCGGAGCGAAAATGTTTGTGATCTCGCGGCACTGCAAATTTGAACCGCGCCTTGTCAGACAGCCTGTTCAGCTCTATGTCCTTCAGGCCTTGGCACATGCAACTGAGCAAGTGGTGAGGCACACCCACCAGGCGTGCAAACGGTAGCTTCCTGATGAGAAGCTCTGTACTCCTTTGATATTTTCTGATTTCCCTCAAAGCAACGGTGCCTGGTCGAAATCTGTGCGTCCCTGCAAAGGATGGATTATTGACATTTGATATGCAGGGGTGTCGTCAAAGGCACTTGGTCAACACCACAAAGATTTTCAAATCTCACTGACGCGCTGTCTTGACCCCAGAGGCAGAGCTTACTAGTCACAGTGCCTGCTGCAGCTCCTCTTCCTCCTGGAGAGCGCACTCCTTTGCTTCCCCCTCGATTCTTATTTGGAGTTACTCTAGCCACTGAACGTCTCCCGGTCTCCTGAAATTGCACAGACAGGCCGTCTTGCACGCAGGCACCATAGAGTAACGTTTGCCAGACTCCCAATTTGCCAGAATTAACAACTCACTGGACGCCGCTGCTTCGTCCTCGCCATGCCAGCGTATGTCAGTGCCCTTCGTCGTCAGTCATGGCACTTATTAAAGCACGACCTCTCGCAAGGACGACAATCAACCACACATCCTCCAACGCCAAGACGAGGTTTCGGAGCTCATCTCGTGGCGCGGGAAACCTCCTGCCCTTAAATTCCCAAAAATTAGGGTCGTTGATGTGACGAGGAAAACCCTACCCTAGATTGCACCCAGAAAATCTCGGCCTAATCTTCTTCTGGGAGCCATTGGAGGAGGAGTTGTCCGACGAGTCTGTGAGTGAAATAACCAATTACTGTGCCCCTTTTGCTTCAAGAAGCGAAAGAAAGGGAGAAGCGGCTCGTTGGTCCGGCAGACCGGTCCCCCTCGCCTGATCGTAGCCCACATCGTTCGGGCACGCGCTGCGCTCGTGTGGAGTGCATTGATAGATAAAACAATTTGAGACGGATAAACGTGCGCCATCTCTGCTCAAATCACGATAAAATTGAGCGCGCTGCTTGAACAGCGTCTTTTTTATGAAACGGCATCTAGTCATCAAGTCCCTGGGTTGAGAAAGGAGTGGTGTGATGCCACAGGTGCAAACCCCATTACGGTACACGTCGTAAAGTCGTAACCTCCGGGACATTATCAGCAGAGATGCAGAGCTTGTTGCAAGGACGAACGCAGTTGAGGCCTTTCCTGCCAGCGCCATCAAAACAGAAAAGGGGAGCTGTCAGGGCAGCAAGCACATGCAGGTGCAGCATGGAGAGCTCTACGGCAGATCGTCGTACATTGCTGGTCGCTCTCTTATCCCTAGGCTTTGCAGCTCAGGCTGAGGCCAAGACAGCTGCTGCACCAGCTAAGAGGGATGCGTACGAGGTGAGCTTGGAGAGCTGTTGGTCATTCCACATAATATCAGCAGATCTGCACTTCCAACTGCCCAGCAAGCACTTGAATGAAGGGGGTGTTATATTCCTATGGTGCGCCACAGGAGTTGCAGGAGATTGTCAAGGGCCGTGGCGGGTCAACATCACTCCTGAAGTCCTTCAAGCCGGAAGCTGTCCAGAAGACAGTGCAGAAGGGCATTGTTGCCCCCCTCACGAGCTCGCCACAGAAGGCCGCCCTTGCGAAGCCGGCTGTCGCTGCAGGCTCAGGTGCTCCTTCGGTGCCACTGTCCTAAATTACAATCCTGTTACAAGCATGTCATGACAAAGCAGCTCATGCTATTTTCTCTCTGACAGGCGGACCCAGCGCGGAGGTCTTGGGCGGGCTTGGGCTGCTGGGCCTGATTGGGGCAGTCACAGCCAGCAACAGTGGCAAGTCCAAGGCGCCGGCAGCTGGCAAGGTGGGGGCATCTGCTCGCATCCCTTTGCTCTGCCTGACCTGCAAGTGCAGTAATTGCGTGCGCATCTGGCTGTACTCATCCCTACAGCTCGTTGCTATCATAAGCACTGAATTTGGCAGCAGGAAACAGATCATGCACATCCTCAAGCTACAAGAAGGCCTGATGAATGACTGAGCTCTTGGCCAGACTCATGAAAGGCTGATGCACTGGGGGCAACAGTGATAGGAACAGTGGTGTTGCTCGTTACATCTGTCCTCCTCTTTGGTGTCAATGCAATGCAATCTTGCACCGCAATCGATGAGGGGTGTGTGTGTGCTGCAGAAACCTGCACTGGGCACGCAGCGGATCAGCGCGGCACCGGCGCCGGCGAAGCAGGCCGCGCGCAAGGTGGCATCCGCGGGCACCAAGGTGCTCCGAACGCCTGCGCCAGTCAAGCAGGTGAAGAAGGCGGCGTCCAAGGCGCAGGCGGCCGCAAAGCCGTCCGGCGGCCTCTTCGGCACCCGCAAAGTGGGTCCTGCCTCAGGTGGGTTTCCTGCACTCGCTGCCGCAATACATCGTGGGGCAGCACAAAATATAAGGGGCTCTTGTAACAGAAAGGGCTCTTCCAGGGGATCCTGTTTTCCTCCCCCAATAAGTGTGCAGTCCAGGCAAGACAAACCGTTCAATGGATTGTGCTGGAGGTTGGCATGTTCATGTTGAAGGGGTTAACAAGCACTGAGCTTGTGGGAGTTTTTTAGGGCCTCGAAATGATCAGTGAGCAGAGTCGCAGAGTCTGCCAAATAGTTCCTCCCCAGTGATGCCACATCGCTCTACATAAGAAAGATGTAAGTCTGGGCTAGACTGACACAAAGTGGGTTGCTTTGACCTGCCAGGCACAACCAAGCTTGCCAACAAGGCCGCGGCACCAGCGCAGAAGGCGAAGCAGACCGCCCAGAAGGCGACCCGGCAGGCGACCAAGCAGGCGACGCGCAAGGTGCAGCAGGGGGCAGGCTCTGTCAAGGAGCTCCTCAATGAGGACACCAGCAGCACCATCGGCGCCGCTGGCATTTTCGGCCTCGCCGTGGTGGTGGCTGGCGCGCTCGTCCTGGGATGTAAGTCCCCCAGACCCTGCAGTTTTCCCCTTTGATTGTGGGCGCACAATGTCAATTTATTCGTATTTGGGTAATGTATTTAGTAGACGGTTGCTGGCAGCCTTGTCCTGGGATGTGAGCCTCCAGGCCCTTGCAATATTACCCTTCGATTATGGGCACACATGGTGATGAAAATATATTGTAACTAATTGTGAAGAATCGCTCCCTGGGGCCACAGCCCTCGGTGTTCTCAGAACATGCCAACAGCTATCTGCTCACTGGCCGGAAAGAGCACCTCATCCAGAGGAGTTGTAGTTTGCAAGTGAGGTACAGCAACAAAGTGACCCGCATCTTGAGCACGCAGACAGGAATTTGATTTCTATGTGTGCTGCAGCACCCAAGCCGGCACCCAAGCCGGCCGTGGCGGCACCGAAGGAATTGGCGCCCCGGCCGGTGAAGCGCGCACAGGAGACTGTACAGGCCGTTTTGAAAGAGGCCCCCAAGGTGGCTGACAAGGTCAAGCCGCCTAGCCTGCCCACTACCCCACCGCCGCCTCCAGTTACAGCTGAAAAGCCCAAGGTGGGAAAATGGCTCACAGAGCTACCTCTACTCCGTTTGGCTCAGAAACATCATAGAAGCACCTAGGGACAATGATCAAGCGTGAGCTCTGTTGAGGTTGCCTTGACCAGCAGCTTTGTACCAGCAGCGTTGCTCATATTACAGCCATATTGTGACACCCTGTCATACAAATGTCATCTTACATGATTCACTTGAGGAAGTCAACATCATGTTTCGCAGAGGTGACTGATTTGATGTGGCCAGGTGCCTTCTGGGCCGGATCTGATCCCGGACGCCGTGAAGAAGCCGCAGACGCCATCCACGCCGCCACCAACCTTCCCTAAGCCGAGCACCCCCTCCGGCCCCACCCTGCGCCCCCCACCCCCGGCATCAACCCAGGCCAAGGCACCCTCCGTAGTGGTACTCCCTGACTTGCTCGACACACTTGTTATCCCCTGCCATTTCAAAAAGGATGCAGTTGCCAAACATACAGCGCTGGATTTGGCAATGGTACTCATGCGGCCATCAAGCCTGCAATCTCGTGAGTGCGAACGCAAACTTAAAGTATACCAGTTGAACAATTAGAAACACCAGGTAACAGTACTCATGAGGAGAGAGGGCAATCTGCCCACAAAAGCGTCGTTTCGCTCTTTGAGTAGTTTACAGGACAAAAGACAATTCAATTCAAGTTGCCTGCCAGCTCCAGTGAATAGCCCACACTGTACGGCTGATTTCCATCCAGCCTGAGGGGGCCTTTGCACACCTCCGTTACCTTTTAGGAGGTGACTGCCCCAGTAGAAACTCCCACCTTGAATTGGCAAGTGTCCTGTTCTATGCAGAACCCGGCAGCGGCGGTGGCAGCGGCGCCCGCAGCGCCCTCGCCTGCAACCTACGGCATTCTGGCTCTCGCGGTGGCGGGCCTCGCAGGAGCCGCAGTGGCCACCTCGAAGAAGGACGGAGAGGAGGCCGCACCGGCCGCACCGGCCGCTGCGCCCACCACAGCCGCCAGCTCAGCGCCAGGTCAGCAACCATATCTCCCAGCTCCTTAAGTTCATTTGGCGCAGCTTCAGGTTAGGGGATATGGATGTAGGGTGCCGGGAGGGGGCTTTTTTACAATTTTTCAATTTGGGGAATGCCCACAAACGTGTGAAGCTGACTAACGCTCACAAAAGCAGGGTCAGTGGAAAGCCCACCGTCAGTGCCAGAGGAACCTGTCAAGCAGAAATGCACGCAAAAAAGCAGATGACAGATGAATTTACCTGGCCCGGTCTTTAGAAGTGTATCCACATTCAGAGCAGGATTGTACAAGAAGTAGGCAGGGAGTGTGAAATCTGCGCAAGGCCAATCTCTAGCACAGCAGACAAACGCCGGTCAGCTCCAGCTGGAATGCAATGGTGGACTTAGGGTTGATGACTCGTATGACCCTTCTAGGGGATATATCTAAAGACTGTAAATATTAAGGATAGGATCTCTCCCAGGGAGCCATGCAGACGTTGCAGGACAACTGCTGCCCAAATCTGCCTGGCATTTAGAACATTGAAATCTGCGCAGTGCAGCCAAAGACGGCAGATTCATGTGCTGAAGCTGAAGTGCTTTGTTGATGTGGTACAGATGAGAACACACCAGAGGCGCTCGCCCAGAGAAAGGCAGAGGTGCGGAAATGGATTGATGACTGGAGGGCGAAGCAGAAGTAGGGTTAATATTTTGCGCAGATACACTCACCCTGATGATAGATAGGCCTTTGTATGTCACGTGCCCAACAAGACTGGGTTTTGAATAAGGGCGACAGCTTCATCTGAAGCCAGGGTTGTTGCCATAAGGCACGCAGATTTATTGGAGGACTTCCTGATCTGACAATTAATCATTTGCTGCATGTTCATAGTGTCATTTTTTCTGCATGGCTCAGGACACTGAGCCGAATGCATGTGTGCGTGATTCACCAGAGTCAGACGAGAGTGCCCCTTTGGTTTTGTAAGTCAATGACCTCTCTTGTGACCTCTGTTATTGTTGTTTGGAAACCGAGCTCTCAATGCGTCTCCTGACCTATTGTGATTGCATCATTGGGGTGTCAGCTTGTGCTGTCTGCAGTTCCCACATTGGCACTGAATCCAGTTTCAGCCCGTTCATCTTATACGCTTATGAGACTCCGACCAATGCAGCAAAGGCAGCACAAACTTGGCTGGGCCCACTAAATAACAAATATCAACACCATTCCTTCAAGTCTAGCTTTCACATGGAATCAAACATGAGCAATTCACCTTGAGTCGATCTTTGTTAGTCAGCAGCACTTCATCCTTTGTCTGACTTCGAGCTGCTGTCATGCCCTTCAAGAAGGCAGACATGAATGTGCATGCAGACAAATTTTTGCTTCTGTTCATGCCTGCAAGTAAATACGGTACCAGCAGCAGACCACACTCACTACATCTAAAATAGCGAGTGTAATGTCCTGCTGCACACAACTGAAAAACAAAAACAACCATTACTAAGATCGAGCTCAAGTCGGCAAGGCAGCCGGTCATCGCTGGTGTCTGCTCTTGCCGTTGCTGCCGTTGAGCAAGTGGCTCTCTTCTGTGGCGTCCTGGGACGCAGATCTGTTCTGGTCCACAGATGCTCTGGAAGAGGATGCCCTGCCATGCTCGCTGGCAGCTGCATCCGCTGTCTCCTGCGCTAGCATTGCCTCCTCGCGTGCTGCAAACCTCTTGTCCCGTGAATATGTGAAGTGCAGCCCTGCGCATGCAACCCAACCCATGTTCATCACTTGCACCTGCAATCCTGGTGCATTTGGAGTCGAAAACTCTTTTTTCCCATGAAGGCTCCTTATTCAATTTACGTGAGCCGTCTTCAGCTGCTGTCGATTATGTGCCCGGCAACACACGAGACCAGGTGTCAAAAAAGCATTAAGTCTGCACTTTATTAATCAACAGCCTTGCACCTTTGCTGCACACAACAAATTTGACATCCCATACAGCTTGCATCAGAATGCGTCGATCATTGGCACGATTGGAGGCAGTCTGACCCTTTCCCGGGCCACACGATTGACGTTTACAAATATCTGCCATAGCTCTTCCACAATGCATCTAAAGAAATCCCCTTATTGGCACGGATAGTGTGAGCCTGCACCTGAGTAGAAGATGAGGCAGAGCGTCCAAGGCACGATGAGGAAAACGAGCAGGGAACTGCCTAAAGCCCTCGCCCTCTCCAGATCCTTGTTAACATCACCAGACCGCGTGGCAGCACCGGAGAAGCCAAACATCCTCTCCGCCAATTTTCCCACTAGCGGCGCGGCGCATGCAGCCAGCGCCCCTTCAAAACACCTGGACCCCAGTAAAAATTCCCAATCCACCCGCCCCTTATTCTTTTCTTCGGCTTCTTATGCAGGTTGTCAACAAAGCAGTCCTCTGCAAGACCACCTTGCGCCACAGCTGGTTTGCCAGGACTCTCGAATGGGAGCACTATGAGGAACGACACGTTACTGCAGGTGCAGATCAAAGGCAGCTTGCACGCAAAATGGGAAGGGGTGGTAGGACAGCATGGATTGTTCAGAAAGCCGCCGCGCACCTGTCAAAAGCGTAAACCATGTTGCGCATGTGAGCCGGCACGATCTCGGCAAAAATGGGGTTGTTGCAGCATGGCCCGGCCTGCATGGGGTGCACAAGCTTCAGCTATGACCACTATCATTGCAAGGCAGGAGCAGAGGCGAGAAGCACATGCAGTGCAAAGGGTACGGCTGGGGCACTCACCCAGCTTTTCAAGCAACCAAAAATGACAAGTACAACACCGTACAGATAGGCGGTGTGGGAGGCGCCATTCTCTGGGAGACCCTGCAACACCAGTCCTCCAAATCAACAACCACTCAAAATACTACTCCCTGCAAAAGGAAGCAATCCTTTTCTTCTCTTGCACACTTGGAGGTCGGTACGAGGTTGAGCTGGGAAGACAGAAGCACCTTCAAAATGAGCAACGAGAATGGTATGCCAATGGCGACACTGAACTGGCATGCCCAGATGCGGCCGTGATGGGGCCACCTCTGGGCAGCAAAATCGCCCACATAGCCCCCAAGCAGCCCACCCACAGCTGCACGCACACATTATTCCCATCTGTAAATGTTCAATGAATTATATGTTGCCCAGATTGCCTGTGAGAACTTATATCTTTTCAGGATGTTGCAGGATTGAGTGCCTCATTCCATGCAACGCATGATCTGTCATGATGGCACCTGGAGAAGACAAGCACTAGCTTCTGGTGACCAGGATTCGCAGGACATGCAGATAAGACAGAAGCTCTGAAGCAAAGTATATGCGGACCTGTCGATCCCAGGAACAAGGACATTAGCACGCTGGCCGCAAAGTCAGTCATGCCCAGCAGCTGCAGGTACAGCGTGAAGAACACCAGTGCAGTCCAGGGAATGCTTCCCACAATACCCTGTGCCACATTCAGCAGATTCTCAGGACTCTGAAGGCACCACTGCAATTGAGAGGTGTCTGGAGCTACATGATGTATCATGGACTGTGCCTGACGCGTGTAAAGAGGCACATTGTGCATGCAAGGAGGCATTATGGGACATTTGTAGTGAGTCACCTGCACGATGATGAGAGCAAAGGTGGGGATGCTCATCATCTTCCAGATCTGCTCCATCAGCTTCTGCATGGTGACGACCTTGGTGCTCTTCTTTGCAGGGCTGTCGAACACCGGGTCCTTCCCAATCAACAGGTTGCAAACGCCTATGAAGAGACTGCAGCACCCAAAATCAAAAAGTTCGAGTCATACTCTTCATTAGTAAAAAGTAATTTCTACTGCACATGCATGCAGCGCACACGCACCTCACAGCTGCAACGATAAAGAATGTCAGACGCCATCCTGGAATGCCACCAATCTCCAGCTCCCCTGCGCAGCATATAAGGCACATGAAGCAGAGCAGAGTTGCTTATGTTGTTTTAAGGTCTGCGCTCCAGCTGCCTACACCAATCTAGGCGCACAGTGGATCTTACCCAAGTTTGTCGCGAAGAATGACCCTCCCATTCCCCCGAGTGCGCTTGTGAGGTACAGGGCTCCAAATGCGCTGCCACGGGAGGCGGCAGGATAGTAGTCTGCCACCAGACTCTGGCCGCTGGGAATCACCAGTGCTAGCCCTGCAAACAGCACCTCGCCGTTAAGTAGATCGGCATCCTGGAAAACAGGGCAGCTTCATGACTAGCTCTGCAAATGAGGAGAATGCTGCGGATCTGCTCACCGATGCCGTTCATCCCCCAGAAGAAGATGCCTTGCGGCACCGAGGAACACAGGCCAAAGCCGGCTGTCATGCAACCCCAGAGCAGGCATCCATATGCCGTCACCTTTATTCTGTTCATGTAGTGACCTGCACGTATCACAGTGCAAAGGGTCCCTGTGCTCCTGGACAAAGCACTTACATGGTAGCAACTTAGCAAGAAAACTGCATCGTGCTCATGAAGATGTGTGACCACACCTGCTACTCCCCCAAGAGGCGAGGCACATGCCTGCACCAGGGCCCTTGACAGAGTCAAATAGCCTAATTCCGTTGGTGAGGCGTCAAACGCTTTGCCCAGAGCGTTATAAAGCGCGGGAAGTATCTGCAATGCAGAGAGAGAGGTCAGCAGATCCTACATCCATTGAAAACTACCGGATTCTTCAGTGAAAAAGGCGTGTCACTACGCCCGAACCTGCTCATCCATACGCTCCATCATTCCAGCAAGATTTATGAGAGCTACTGTCCGAATTCTCTGTGATTTGAAGTCCTTCTCATCGACGGTTGGCTCGCCCTGTGCTCCTGCTGAAGGAGGTGGTGGAGATATGAACCTGACCGCCTCTTCCGCATCGCTATCCATTTTTCGCATCTTCAGGCTTCCTTTTAATGAGGCAGATGCAGATTCAATATTCATGGCGGAAAACAGGCAGCGTGCAGCAATGCCGAAACATCACAGCACCAACATTCCAAGCCTACGTCATTTGGGAGATACAAGACGTTGCACAACCCATTCTTGGCACCCTTGAAACTTCTGATCTGCAGAAGAGAAGGGTTTTGTCTCTAGATCGCGATGCGCTGTGGGCTCGAGCCAAAGGCTGTTCGCATTTTCAAGGCACCGAAATGAGTCATCATGCCAGGGTGGAGAGCTTGAATTTACGGTCTCGTCCCGCCGTAGCTGTGTAGCAGAGCCCTAAATGGTAGCCGTAGCTGTCGCACCCAGAGCCGATGTCATCTGCCCAGAGCCAACGTCATCTGCTCATTTTTGCATGAAGAGGCAGTGATCATTGCCGTCCATAATTTATGGTAAGTGTTGAAACTTCCCAAGGAGATCATTTACTGTTCTAGAGCCTTTTCGCACTCTTCTTGCTCTCGCCTGCACTTTCGAGACGCACAGGTATCAGCTCATTTCATCAATGCTTAGAGCAGATCTCATGTAATATAGCTACATCAAATCGCCACCAGTTCCGATCAATGAAGCTGTGCGCAAAGCCAATCAAAAAATCCATCCTTGATCGTTTCTACTTGCGTGCCTTCTGTGTGTGACGAATCCTCGATCTTCTGAGTTTCGTGCTGGGTTGCTAGCATGGGGGCTGGCTCGTGTTTCTACTTCTGTCAACCCCTCGGATACTGGTTTGATGAAAGTGCCCATGAGACCACTGATCTACCGACTGACAGCAGAAACTTGTGGTGGCGCAACCCGCTCTGGGGTGCGTCAGCGACTGAATAGAACACTATCACGTGCCTTTACAGCCATGTTCCCTTTGGAAAGTTATTTTCACCTTGTGCCAGACCAGATGGCTGCTTGCTGCTCTTCAGCAGCTGCACCTGAGAGGAGAGGCCAGACAGAGCATGCAGTCCTCACCTATTCACAAGCTGTCCCAAGATGTGCTCTGTGTGCTAGGCAGGGTGCCGCACCCAAACGCACAACAAAAGTCCAACTGTGAAGGAATTGCCAGTGGCATGTGCATGGCACTCTTTGCAAGCTTCACAGATGGCCTGTTGTGACCTGCAGGTGGATGCTCGGAGGGTGTCACCCCTGCCTAAGCCCCATTCCCCCCGCAACAGCTATACCGCTGTAGACATGATATCATGATGATGGTAAGCTCCAGCTATCATTGCATGCACACTCTCCCACATCAGTTACATCGGTGCGTCTACCCAGCAATACGTTGCTCTGAAGTATGCAGATTAAATGGCACAGAGTGAGCAATACTGGCAGATGCCAGACGGCACCAGGTTGCCTTTGGCCGATATCAAGAAATCCAACGTTGAACATAAAGCGGCCAGGAGAAAAGTAATGGAGGTAAGTGATGAGTTACCAGGCTCTGACAAAATGCTTTGACCCACTTAGTCAGCCTGAGCTGAGCATGACATCTCATCAATTCATTCCGTTGGTGTTGCAAGCAACCTCTGAGAGGCTCTTGTCTTGCACAAGCCCATTATTTAAGGTTTGCAGGCTCGAGCTCGTCTCCGCATGCCATCTGATGATGCTGACAGACCTGCAGCTATTGGCATCATACCAAAGGCGGCTGCTTCTGGTGAGTGCATGCAGAAGGCCAAACTCTGTGCTAGATCACTGTTCATGCTTCAATGCAGTATTGACAATGTTATATTATTGTGTGTTAGTAGTACGCCCTTGAAAGTTTCTAAGACTGACTCAGCCTGACCGGCAGTGAGGATCACCACAGCATAAAATTGTTTGCGTGGCGTGGTTTGGCAAAAGCGAGTCTGGAAAAATTTGAAGATGTTTCAACAACAGATAAGCTGTGTCAAAATCATATGACAATGCATTGACAGAAGCATGTTTTATGAAATGCTTGCAGGTCTGTGGTTTCCGGGCATGCTCTTCTTTCTTCTTGTAGCCCTGGATCTCGGCCTAGTACAATGTGCTTTACAATGGCCCCCAAGTAATTAACATCACCGATGGACAGCAGGTCCATGACCAAATTGCTGCGATGCACTGAGGCACTGCCGCAGTGCATTGCCAGTGAAGGTCTTAGTTGCAGTCAAGTATTGCACCATAAATGAGGGGCACCTTCCAAGTTGGCAAAGGCGCGTGCAGCCCAAATTTGGTCCACAAGTCACTCAGGATTGGCCAAGCTGGCACGGCATGCCAGCTGCGCTGTAAAAGCTATTGAGTGAGCTGTATCTTGCATGCCCGTGCACAGTAAAGACCATGCAGATTCAAGCGGTGTATACATACATGATGGGTTGCAGATTTAGTGGATACAGCCATTTGTTTGCAGAGCACATGTGACAGAAATCTCATAGGACATGTGTGATATGTATCCAGAAGCTAGCTTCTAGTGGACAGATCCGAACGTTCACTAGCAGCGCTGCAGCTGGCTTTTATGGCCGGACGGGAGCCTGGTGATATAGACCCAGATTTTGTCTTGCAGTTTCATGGAGGATTGGTGTCTAGCTATTACAGTATGGTGTTGCAGCCTGTCTTAATAATTGTGGGTAACAGAAACATCAACTCCACCTTCCTGAACCCCTGCTTTCATACAGTGACTCATCATATGCATGATGTCACAAGCACATGAACATGACAATGCACTCTTCCAAAAATTTAATCAGACGGGCTTATGGTCTGGTACAGTGCAAGCAAAGACACGAAGTCTTTGTCTTCCAAAAACGAGGACTGTTATTAAACAGTCACAAGCTTGAGTTGCACTTCAGCTGTTGCGATGCGGTGGTTACAGTGCTCTGCCACTGCTTTTCAGAGCCCCCCATCAGCCAGAATGGGTCATGTAACAACTGTGGTAGACGCTCGAGAGTCTTGGGGCGAAGAGTTCATGATTGTGCATGGTGGTCTGAGCGAAGAGAAGTATGCAATGGACGATCTGACCGTGCTACAGGCCACTAGCGCAGCCTGGTTCCACCCAGAAGTCCCAAATACCATAAGACCTCCGTCCAGAGCATTCCACTGTGGAGCAGCCCTCGGCAGAAAGGTTTACATCTTTGGTGGGCACGTCTGGGTCAAGGCGATGCGGGGTCTCCAAAAGTTCAACGATCTCTGGACCTTGGACACGGTGAGGAACGTAAGGAGTACTTTAGTGTGACTTTTGGTGCCTCCCCAAGGCCACCTGATTCATTTCTGCGGACTGCACCGTTTCTATGGGAGCGCAAACTCTTGAGGGTAGACCTTGTCTCTAGTATTGCAAACTTTTCGGTTCCTACGTTGAAGAGGACTCCTTGGGCAGGACACATGGGAGTGGGCACCAGTGGAGCTGCTGCAGAATGCGGTCAGGCCCTCGCCCAGAGACTTTGCCTCGATGGTAGACCTCCCTGGGGGCAAGCTCCTGCTGTTTGGAGGCCTGGACGCCTCAGAGAAGCGCCTGGACGACACCTGGATCTTTGACACCATCACGTGAGACTTCTGCCTCACCCCTGTACAGAGCAGATCACCCTTGTGCAGCCATGGCCAACCACTTATTTCCAAGTAGGAAGAAGAGTATTCACCAGAAGGGCACTGATGCATGCAGGTCATCCTGGACAGAGCTGAAGATTGAGCGCAGCCGCCCAAAAGCACGCTATGCGCACTCCCTGGCTCGCATGGACAACCGGGTGTTTTTGTTTGGCGGCGAGACCAACACAGGTGCCTCCCTCTCCCTTCATTGCACTCTGTCAATCTGCACTCTAAGCAGCGCCTTCTGCCTTTGTGTTCAGGGTCAATGTCACGAAGTCACACCCTTTCGCAATGATGCAGTGTTAGTCACACATGCTAGGTGCTGCGCTTCGTCTGTCAAGGACAAGCTGTAATACCTGGACATTATCCTCTGAGACTAAGAAATCTATTTATAGATCATGACTGGGGGATGAGTGGCCATACATAGGGCTGGTGGCGGACCTGTGGACGCTGAGAGGGGCCACTACTGACCCTGAGGAGGGTGCAACTGCCTGGATCCCGCTGGAGCTGCCCGGCCCCAGTCCTGCGCCGCGCAAGGGCGCCGCCGTCGCAGGTGAAGAACACATTCACCCCTGCACATTCTCCCAATGATCTGCTGCTACAAATCTTGCCGCGCCCGTCTTCATGCCTTTCACCGTGCAGAAATACTTTGCAGAAGAGGAAACTGCTTTTAATCTACTCACCGTGCATAAACCAAGCTTAGCTATCGCTTACGGGGGGCTGTAGTGCATTGTTCCCCCTTGGCAGGCCACCACAGTATCTGGCCACTATCAGGCAGTGCAGACACACTTGAGATGGCAGGGCTCTCACCATTTAGAACCCGAATCTCTATCCAGCTATCACTTACATCAATGTCCCAGGCTTTATTTTTTCATTCATATATTTTTTCCCCAATGCAGCACATTGCCCACGATGATGGACATGCCTTAATTGTTACTGCGGCCCTGGGCAGGCGCGAGCAACTCTCTGGTGTTGTCAGGTGGCTCCCAACATGTCTCTGCATGTAATCATAAGTCAGCATCAGGTATGACTAGTAGTTCATATCATTGTTACTGTGGCCCTGCGCAGGCGTGAGCAACTGGCTGGTGGTGATGGGCGGGCGCACGGCGGAGCTAGGCTGGTTCCGGACGCGCACCGACACCTTCCACAATGACGTGGCGCTGGTGGACTGCGAGGCCGGAGCGCTCCAATGGCGCGCGCCCCCCGTCGCGGGGGAGGCCCCCACCCCGCGCGAATTCCACACCCTTGCCGCCCTCTCCGGCGGCCGCCTCCTGCTCTTCGGCGGTAAAATCCTGCTTCTTTGAAATAGATTCACTGTCACTTCTGCTCCCTTCTAGCATTCTCCTGTGCTGTGCATTGCTAGCTCTTCAACAGTGATTTCTCCCCGTTCCTTCATGAAAGTGTGACTGTCTTGACTTGTTCTCCATCGTCCTGCTTCCTTCTGGCATTCTCCTGTGCTGTGTATCTCTAGGTGTTCGATGATCCCCCTGCTCCCTTCTTTCTTTCACTCCTCTGTGAGCATCAGATGGAGGGGACCGATCAAGGACCCACATTGTGGGAATGCCCGCAGACGCTTTCTCTGTCCTGTCAAATCTCATGCCCTGCCAGAGGAATCTTGAACATGTCTTGGGTGAAATATGAAGCCGTGCAACACATGGATTGCTGTAATGGTTGATAGCAGTAGGGATATCTTCCATAAATAGCTAATTAGCAACACATAGCGAACCATATATCTTAAGATGTAAACGATTACGTTGTCTTGCCTGATCTCCACCAGTGCGAGCTTGCAGCCTGAACGTCTAAGGCTGCTCGCAGGCATTCCTGAGATTATGTGATGGGGTGCAGGCGGCAATGGCAAGCAGATATTTGGGGATGCCTGGTGGCTGGAGCCCGAGCGAGCGTCCGGTATTCCCGGAGCACTGGCTGCCGAGGCATCCAATGCCTCAGCCGTTGCTCCTTTCGCCCAGCTGAGTGGCTTTCCAGGTATTGAACCCTTGTCTTTTCTCAAGTATTCAGTTGCACATGGTGCCGGTACACTTCATGTGAACTTGGTACCATCAAGGCCTTTTCTGCACGCCCACTTGGTCATCATGAATCCTGGTGAAAGGAATTGCTGTTGGCGATGCAGGCGGCACTGGGACACCGCTGAGCGCTGTGTCACTGGATGGCAATTTTGATAATGTGGCACGCAGCAGCAGCATGCACGATGCTGACTCAGTGGAGGCTGCCCAAGCTGCCGAGGTAAGCAAGCATCCTGAGGTCTCTTCAGACCAATGCTGAGAGCATTCATCAAGAGCGTGTGCATGTTTCCGGCCATTCGTCGTCTTGCCATGTCATGCTGAATAGAGAGCGCATGCATGTCTGGCGAATTTTCTTCTTGCCATGTCATGCTATACAGAGGGTATGACGCAGGAGAAGACCTTGCAGTCTGGTGACCTATTTGTAAAATTTGTGTTTGATGCTGCTGTAGATTGCCAGTGCCACCGCCGCCAGAGTTAATTCCAGCGCACAGGCAAGCGGCTCCCGGCCCTCAGCCACATGGTGGGAAGGTGAGTTCCGTTTTTTCTGCAGTGCTTGCCATGTGTATCCATTGAGAATACTCTGCCGAGTGAAAAGGTGAGGAAGCTCCATCAGATTATCAGCGGGAAATCTGCATTCGATGGTAGATGGTGAGGGTGGACTGACGAGGGTCCGCCTTTGTCGCTTGACCCCAAAGGTTGCGCCGGCAGGTACCCAGGATGCAGATGGCTTTGTTCGTCTGAGGAGCAGCTTGGGGCTTCCGCGTGACTCGAGCGCTGCAGCCGTCTCTCAAATCAGCAGCAATCATGCTCCTGGAATGCTTGAAACACAGAGTCTGGTCCCAGTGAGCTCCTGGCAACAGGTCTCCCCTGCGGTGAGACTTACAACCCTTTGCATGCTCTCAGATGCTTGGAAATCAGCTGTCTCTTCTGCGGTTCAGGTAATTAGTGTCATGATAAAACATCTGCTGATTTGTCCAGGACCAGCAACGCATAAATTTTCCTGGATGCGCAGGCTCTGCGGATGAAGGATGTGGGTCCTCTGCTGAACGAATACCAACAGTTGAGGCCACTGGCAGTGGCAAAGGCAGCAGCAGATTTTGGAGCCCTGGAAGCCGCGCCTTTCCTTTGGGGCAAGGCTGCACTTGATGCTGAGTCCATGGGCCGTTACAGCCATTTCAGAGCACAGGACCTCAGAGTCGGGGATATTCCTGGCCTGCAACTTGACTTCATCCGTCTTTCAGCATCCAGTGCAAATCTATAGGTATTATGCGGTGCTATGAAAAATGAAGGTATCAGTAGGATTTTTTAGTGATGAGATGGAGTTGCGTTTATCAGGGCAGATCAATTCCAGATGAGGGCCTGCAAGTTGGGGATGACTCATCCATGGCTTATGGTTTGTCGAGTTTGAATTCATAATGTGGATTGAAAACAAGAGAAAGCGTTTCGAGAAGAACAACCCTGACCAATTTATAAAAGTTTATCTCAGAAAACAGTGTGAGGTATTCACCAGAAGCCCAATTTGCAAAGAGCATGGCCATGCCAGATCCTCATCAGCAGATTGGACTTGAATGCAAAAGCTATTGGTGCGACAAGATCCTTTGTGACGCGAAAAGTATCGAGCTCAGGCAGTACCCCCTGCCAAGTGAATTCTTCGGTAAGATTTGACGGTTCCCATGACTGATGGTTCCGCTGCTGAAAGAAGCGATGCTGTACGCCATACTCGGACGTAGTCTAGGAAAGTGTGACTTCTGATAACTGCGAAAAATCAATAACAAAATTGTTGTGCTGCAGATCACGACATTTGGCTTTTGGCCTCGGGAGGTGAGGATGGTGTGGCATCCCTTGGTGACAGTGTGGAAGCTGGTTCCAGTGCGGCAACCGTGGTAAGATCCAGCACATTGTACAGCAATCACGCAATCAATTGTTTCATCAAGGAGTGCTGATGCCACTTGGGCCCAGCAGGTGGGATGGGTGAGGTTCTCAGGCAACAAGGAATACCACTACTCAGCAGAGTGGGAGGCCGATGAACAATACCACCATGTCCCAAAGGGCTCTCCATATGGCTGGAAGCATGGTGAGTCCATGCTGCTTTCCGTGCGCTTAAGGTCACGTCTCTAAAGGACAGTGCATGCAAGACAAATTGAGACCCAGGTTTGCCGCTGTGCGCAGGCAAAACCAGCGTGATCTATGGCTGGGTAGTAAAAGCAGCAGAGCGTTTGCCAAGCCCAGTGCAGATGCCAGCAGCGACACGGATGAAGAGATCGTTGTTTTTGCTGCATGGAGACCCAAGGCAGACACCACCAGGTGCATAGAGTGTGTATATTACCAACATTGTGCTTTCCTTTTTTATAGGCAAAGATGGCTTACAGTTTCTCATGAGTACTGAAAATTAATTCAATGGCATCTTTGACAATTCTGTGGATCATCGTCACGGGCAGTTCAATCCATCCACATGGAACTTGTGAAGAAGCCTGATCCAGTGCGCGTTCAACCATAGCAGCAGCATGAAGTCAACTGTTGATGGCAACATCAGAAAGATTGGATCATCTGGATCGGGACTAACTGCACAACTGCATGCATGCAACGAGTAAAATTATTTTCAGGTCTCCTTGGACACAGAGGCATCACTGTTGGCTTCATTATGAGGTCCATCACTATTGGTGCCATTGTCTGTCGGCAGCGGCCGCTCCTCCTTGAGACCTGAGAAAGACAGGAAAACACACGACGTATCACTTCGACCGCTTAATACCAATGGGAAGTACCGGCAACATTTAAAGTAACAGGAGCTTCTTGGGAAACTTCTAAATCAGCAGAATGCATACATGAAATTTGGTGCGACCGCCAAAGCAGGGAGGAAGGCTGCACTGCAATGTGAACAGGGTACATCGGACAAACAAACATCTCCCGGCCCAAGAGCTCTACTGATCACATTTTATACTGACTGCATATAGTGCACATTGGCAGCGAATGACATTGCAGAGCACTGAAGAGAGTTGTCAGCCTCATGGGCCCCTTCAGAGCCAAACAATTTTGCAAGAGTGAGAATGGGCGATTGGCACATGAAGTGCTGCTTCTGCTACCTGAGGGTTCGCTGCGCATGCTGCCCACGCTTGCCAGCCGCGTGATGTCTGCAGGCGTTCCCTCCTCCTGCGCCGCCATCATCTGCAGCGTGCTGGCAATCCACGAGAACGTCCGCGCAAAGTCCCTGTGACGCACACAGACGGCACATGTCAAGAAATGACATCATCCCACATACGGTGCCGTACAATATCTCACGCAGCAAGGCAGCACTTTCACCTTACACTGGCGCTCAGACTCCCCATCATGTCTTCATTACGATAATATGGATTTAACCTCTAATACAGCTCTCCAGGCGCTGCTATCATTCAAAATGCATTCAGATCTGTTCAGCTGATGGTACCTTCTTGTGAGATTCCCATGCTTTAATGGCTGCTGTTACATGTGTATCACACTTTCGCAGAGTCAAAGCACAGGCCAAAACAGGAAGTTGAGGAGGTACCTGAAGCTGAGCACAGCCAGCGTCCCCTTCCCGAGCGCATCTTTGAGCCCATCGCGGATGCATGCCACGTCTGCCTCGCTTCTGCCATTCCGCATCAGCCAATCCTGCACACCAGCGCAAGCGTCAGAGCTGCCGTCACCATCTCATGTTTCTTTTGTGCCTTAAAACACGTCTTTGCCCAGTAGGAGCTTTGGCTCAGTATGGCAGAGCCTTCGGCATCACTTTTGAAGGTAGTCCAGGTGTAAATTGAGGGAGCTTCGACCGTTCAATTGGAGTCACAGCCATGCCGGCATGTCCATGTCTACTCTCATCATGATGTGCCGAGCTTCTACATTCAAGAAAATGGAATCAGGGTAATGAAGAACGAGTGGCGTGCTGGCTTACCTGCAGCTCCAGGAATGTGACATCCCCTTTGCCAGGCCTCCGCATCATGCTGTTGAACAGCTTGAACGCCGCTTGCACATTCCGGAGCTTTTTTGCCTGCATCCCAAGAATCACATATCAGTCATCCCTTATGTGAAGAAATTAGCAGCTAGACCAGATTTGAAGCAAATACCGCCAATTGTCTCTGTGAATAGAATGAAATCACTTCGTCCTCTGTGAACATGAGCTTTCCATGCTGTATGCACTTCCCCATGCAAAAGCACTTCCAAGCAAAACACAATACGCTATCAGCAGGATGGGCTGCGCACTTGCAGGTGGGACAGTCTGAGCTCGTCGCGCATCTCCTGATCCGTGAGGTCCAGGATATCGCCGCCATTCAGCCCGTGCGCCGTTATGCAGTCTGTGTCCCGGAATCCAATGCTGCTCAGAAGCTCCACTGTCTCCTCCACTGTGTACCTGCAGAGCAAATTGCAGATCTCAGCAGCGGCATCACACAATCTCTCAGGACCGTCAGACAAACGCACTTCCGATGCTCCCATGCAGAGGAGCATTGAATCAAACCCCCTAGCATCTGCGGGATGTGGAAAGCTGGGGATTGCATGGCGATTACAGCCACAAGAAATTGACTACTGCGCCCAAAGACAGTATCCGGACACAGAGAAACCACCACATGCCATTGAACTGACGGCCATCTTGTTGAATTTGACGGTCAGCAAGGGACAACAGAGCAGCAGCAGGAGAACTAGAGTGGTCCGCGCGTAGGCACTTGCTTGAACATCTAGTAGTCTCTAATCGTTTTTCATCTGTGATTTTGCTTTTCCCAGCCCAGATTTTGCAGCTCGATTTACATTCGACAGGCCATAATACGATTGGGCCCATTTCCTCAGGTGCTCAGGGGCGGACTAACAATACTGTGGTGCGGCACCTGGTGAAGGGCTTGGACTCGGTCTTTTCTGAGGTGCTGGCGGGCGCGCTCTTCTGTCTTTCAGCGGCCTCAGCGGCGGCCGCGTGCCGGCCGCGTGCATCGGCGTCGGCCGCGGCCGATCGCTGCGCCTCCAGGCCGTCCACGTACCGCAACGTGTCTAGGATCGCATTGCGCTCCGCGCCCGACACGTTCAGCCGCCGCAGCGCACCCTCCGCCGCTGACAGCACCTGCCGAGAACAGGGAAAATATTCCTGAGTGAGGCTCACAATTCAGTGCAAGTTTCTTGACCAGAACTGTTGATCTCAAGAGGAGCCCAAGTGGAAATGATACAAGCCTACAGAGCCACAGAACAAAGATGGAAGTCTTACACAGACGAATGGCCACTAGTGAATATTGCCTACCCATTGCAGATTGGATGGGTGCTGAATGCAACATGGCCACCTCCACATAAGCTTTTCCTGCATTAAATATCTGCAGCATTCATCTTCCGGCTTGCAACAAGAGACGGCATCTCTCCTTTGGTGAATAGCCACAGGTCACCCACAATCGCCGCACCTGGTCGGTGGGTTTGAGCGTGAGCAGCCGCATGAGCGGGGGGATGCCGCCAGAGAGCCGAATGGCCGTCTGGTTGGACTCGTGCACCGCCAAATTGGACAGCGTTTTGGCGGCGATCTCTGTCACGCGCGACTGCGGCCCGGCTTCAAGTAGATCCACCAGCCGCTGCGTGGTGCCGGCCTCGCGGATGGCTGGAAAGAAGTCCTGGGTGCTCGACAAGTTGCCCACCACCGCCGCTGCCCTCTCTACGATCACCTGCCACATGTCATTCACCCCCTGGGTCATGTTTGGACCAGGGCCCCGACTTGATGCACTGCAACAGACCGCGTTCTGTGTGATAAGGACAGGCCCGGCATCCCATTGCCTGGCAAATGCACACCCTGGAGAGGTGCGATTTATATGCTTTTTGTGTCCACAAAACTTAGCACATTCGAGAGTGTGCCTATAATTAGCACACTCACGAATAGCAAGCATGCTCATTGTGCATGGAAGGCATTGCTGACTTTTAAAAGCTTCTATGTGCTGTGAGCAAAGGAGATGGCACGCACCGAGGGCTGCTGGCTGTCCATGAGGCGCACGAGGGAAGACATGGCGGGGGGGGTGCTGAAGAGGGCTGCCTTGTTGGCCTCATTGCCCGTCGTCAGTATCCTGAGGCAATCCACCGCCTTGCCCACCAGGACTGGGTCCACCTGGTCAGACCCAAACACTCATTGACAAAGACACAGCGCCAAACAGTGCACATGCATATGGTGCAAGACAGTGGCCAACAAATGTGGCTTTCGTGTCATATCCTGCAGCCTGGTCTCACTGTGCTCTCCGCACGTCTGCGCAAAGTTTTGAGACAGAGAGGTGTTGCAGTGTGCAAGAAAATGCCGAGTGATGATGCAGGCGTTGTGCTGGGATTGCACAGGATTCGTTAGACAAAGGCAAATTGATGGAGACTCATACCTCGGGTCCCAGCAGTTTGACGAGCTGCGGCAAAGCCCATGCCTCGCGCACGGCAATCTTGTTGGCGTCGTTATTTAGCGCCACTGCGCGCACCAAATCCGCAGCAGCCGATGTCACCGGCGCCTCCTTAGGCCCCTCCAGCATCTTCACAATGGGCGCAATCCCATACCCATCCCTGTACAGGGTTCTCAAGCATTCAGATCATACCCTTGGACGTGCGGCAGGAGTTCCTAAAAACAACAGAACATCTGCCGTCCAGTGCGCAGTGTCCTGTCATGGCATGGACTAGGCGCTAAAAATTCCCTACAAGCAGCCGGTGATGTGCATGCATTGCTTTATAAGACATTTGGGCACTATCTCTGTGCAGGACCCGTGCAACAGGCTTCTGCATGTGTGAGCATTGACCGTTTGTACCCCACTCGCTGCAGCCCAGAAGCGCTGCACCCCCGTCTCCAAGCTTTTGGTGCAATACCTTCCCGCATCCTGATCAAGCACCCCAGTGACATGCAGGCACTGCACTGACCTGATTGCGTCCTGGTTGAGCTCGTTGTTGACGGCGAGCACGGTGAGGGACACAGCCACGGTCTCGGCCAGCCGCGGCTCCAGCTTGGACCCCTGCCCCGGCTGCAGCAGCTTGAGCAGCGCTGTGATGCCGTGCGCATCGCGCACCGAGTCCTTTATCGTGCGGTTGTACGCCAGCCGCCCTATCAGCTTCGCCGCCTGCTCCACCGTTGCCTGCAGCACATGTTTTGTCGTTTCATCGAACAATCTGTCGTTTCGATGAATGGTTCATTGCTCTGCCGGACGGGTTTGAAGGCCATGCATTGCAATGCAACCCGGCCAACAAGGGCCGGCCCGTGAATCCAACTAGAGCCTTCGGCCCCATTCGGCGTTTCGATAACAAGCCGATCACGAAGTGGTGGTCCACCGACGAAAATATCCAAACAGCAGTTTATCACGTACATGAGGCACCGCTTTTCAGGTGCATTCCCCTTATCCTCCTCATGCCCCTCATGCCTCCGAGACAGACAGTATCCTCTGTGGCAACATGCCAGAAGATTGACCGAACACGGATCATGGCAAGCTTACCCAGGACCAATGTGACGCATGCAGTCATCTAGGGCCAAGAGAAAGTCACCATAATCTGTGCTGAGGTGCACTGAATCAATTTCTTTCTACAGCATTTGTGCCAATTTCAATTCCGTAGAGCCTTGTCATGAAGGTGTGCACCCACCGGATCGCCCTTGGTGCCCAGGAGCTGCACGAGGACTGGCACGACGCCAGCGGAGTAGGCCACCACTCTGTTGGGCTCATCCACCGCCAGCGCCAGCAGCACTGACAGCAGGACGGACCGCAGGCTGCGCGCTGCGTCTGATGCTGTGGCCGCATTCAGGGCCTTTAGCAAGCTCACCAGGTTCTCAATCCCGCCAGCCGCCCTGCAAATTGAACGTATTTGAGTCCTGATATTGGACAACGTACAACAACTATGTTGAGATCAGGTGAGACACATGGCACAAGAGATACAGAATGGTTTTCATGCATGTCTCTGCCTGCATGCAATGGGACACTGCTGTTGTCATGTCCACATGCATGCAACGATTGAGCCTCTGCACCTGATGGAGTCTCTGTTGGTGTCGCATTCAGAGAGCAAACCCAGTGCTTGGGTGGCGGTCTGTGTAAGGGCGAGCGTGGCTGGGCTTGGGGGGACTGCACTGTCAAGAAGGCCCAGAAGAGGGGTGATAGCGCTCGCAAAGGCAGGCCGGTACACTTCCTTTTCGGCACATAGATCCCTGTACCATGATCATTGCAAATTATGCAAGTTGTAGCGGGTTTAATCAATCTCGATGCAGATATCTACAGTACTGTGAGGCTCACACAAGAGAATGACAATGTACCTGATGTGAGTTGCAGCAGAGGCCTGCTGCTCTTTGTCTCCAGTCAGGAGCTGATCGATCAAGTCTTTCACCACTCCTTGCTCGATCATGATGGACTACCTTGAAACAAGAGAAGCTGATGCAACTGGCTCCCGGCCTTATGCAACAATAATCTACCTGGATAGCTCAACTCTGGAAGATCCCTTGAACTCAAATCTTCAAAATTCTCAGTGACAGAATTTTATGATCAATACGATAGTGTTCTAGTAAGACGTTGTTGTACACATCATCTAGCTGTGTCAAAGATGAAAGTGCCATACAGACACCTTAGATATTTCAAACAACTCGATACGCAACGTTCGTTGTGCTACTTATTTTTGTTCGCGCAATCGAAGTGCGGAAGAAGTTGAATGCTTGTTTGAGGGAGATTTTACTGTCCCCTTGGACTGCTTAGTCAACCTTGTCAAACCTTGGAGCAGATTATTCATCGTCAGAGCAGTGATCACTTCATTGAAGACTGCACAGGACATAACTCTTATATTTGTTGTAAGACCGATCGTTGTTAATTTGTATTAGTTCGAGACATGGTGCTGGAAACTGGCTCTCTGCTCCTTCATGCTATCTGGTTGCCATCACTTATGAAATCAAATCATAGTCTTTTGTGAAAGCAATCCACAAAATAGGTTGTATTGGCATTACTTTCTAGTGGCTTGTGCTGTTAGAATGCCGATCTGATCCTCTTCTAAGAAGGAGATGACAGGATCTTGCACTCCAGGATGCCTACAAAAAATTGCAATTCTGACTTTAATTTGCACCAGCAGCCGTATAAGCGCGGAGAAAAATGACAGATTGCACTGCAAATCACAAGTACGCATGAACGCTGCCCTATAGAACTAGTGTGCAGAGGTCTTCACAGTGGCAAGCGGTCAGTAAGAAGCATCTCGAGACACAAGCTTGATGTCAATACCGAGCGGTATTCAACGATCTTGCCGCTTTGTAGGGGCCCTTGAAAGTCCAGGAGGGCAAATTTCCCTCTTCAGTGCGTCTTCCCTTCTGCCAGCAGTACAGCAACTGCACCTGCTGCGAAAGAAGGCACGCCCAAGCATTTGGGCTTAAAACCCAATCAAGTCTGGACGCCGGCTCTTTGTCCGAGGGATGCAAGGAGATGACGGCAAAGCTGGCCTGCAGGTATGTGCAGGGGCACTTGTAATTGGAACAGAATTGCTAAAGCTTGTGTAATTTTGCCAACGTCTTAGTTGTTGATCCTCAAGGGCTGCACAGATCCAAATCCAGATAAAGAGTTTGAATTGATCATGTCCAGGATCAAGGTCGAAGCTGTTTTGCAATGCAGGCTGTGCGATCCAGAGGTTGGCGTGGGACTGAAAGGGGGAGTGTGCGAAGAGACATGTGACGCATGGCATGAGCTCTGCCGCGATGATTTCTTTGAGTACCACTCCCTCTCGAAGGAGCTCATGCCTTGCAGCGACAACTCGCTGGTCTGCAGCCAGTTGAGAGAGCTTGCAGCCGACGGCGCAGACCTGTGCAGGAAAGCCGGCCTGAGAGTGTCGGGCAGCGGGTCAGGAAAGAAGTGCTTTGACGGCAGCGTGCCTGACTTGTTGGAGACATGCAAGGCAAAAGCGAAGCCCAGGCCTGACAGATGGAAGGCGATTATGAGCAAAGCCCAGCCTTTGTTGCTTCTTTTGATGGTTTTGGCTGTATGTGGGGGCATCCTGGCGCTGTTCTTCAGTGCCCATAACATGCAATCCACAGCACTTGAGAGGACACAACAGCCAGCTGACTTGCCACCCGCCAGGGCTGCAGGCATTGCAGCCATTGAGCGCCACAATAGAAAACAGTCGTGATGACAGCATGCAAGCCCGGTGTCTTCTACCTTTTTCTTCATTATCAGTGTGTTACATCGCAGATTGAAAGCATGAGCGTGAACTTCTTAAATCAACCTTATTGAATTGTCTGAGACAAAGCAGCTACCTATGAGCCAAGAATCAGATAGGTACAAGAAGATCTTTGTAATAGCGCAGTGATTAAAGCAGGGACTATCTGGCCCATTGGGGAGGCAAGCTACTCATGTTGGACAGTTTTGCATGCGACCACTGTCGAGCCTTGGCAATGCGGCTGTTCTGTGTGGGCACCAACTTGGGCAAAGATGTGGGTGACAGTGCCGTTTCAGGGGACATGGGTCCGCTGTAAATGCTCTGAGGTGATTCTGTAATGACCACATCATCCGTCTGTTTTGGCGCCTGATAGCTGGCTGCTGGCTGCACCCCATGCTGAGGCATGCTTTGCGCCTGCAAACCACATACCTCTGTCATTTTTTCTTGCCAAGCCTTCCTTTTGTGCAAGTCCTGAGAGCCATACTCGGAATCACTGTGAATCATACATTTTAGCGCTCATGCAGACTTTCACTGAGCGCATAAATCTGTGCGAAATTAAATGCACATTTCATGCATATTATGTGCAATGTTGGCTCACTTCAAGCTCACATGCATATTGATCCCCGCACCTGCTGCTTTGTCGCCTGGCGCGTGTCCACACGTTGTCGCTGGAAGGGCCTTGTGTCAAGGCTGGCTGCAGCAGAGTTGCCGCCCGGCCTGCGTGTGGGCTGCAGGGGAGCACTGCCTTCTGACCTGCTGTTTGGCGCCGGCTGCTTGGCTGCTCTACCCTGCCCTATGCGGCACAAATTCCCTTTCTTGCAGATATACATGGGGAGTTTACACCTCGGGCCCAGTCACTGCTGATGTGTTAAGCTTGATGCTTAGCTCACGGCAGCGCATTGTGTGGCATGACATTGCAGGGTAGGTGAAAAGAGCCTCACAGGTCATCTCCGGTCGGGAATCATTACTGTGATGGGCACTCGGCAATCCGCTAGCTCTGTCAAGCATGACCCGACTCTCCAAGCCAGCGGCTGCCGCACCATTCGGCTGATGCACATGTGCTTTGGGCTCGGGCTCTTGTTGGATGCCCCTCTGTGACACCCCTGTCACCAGAAAGCAGATTCAGGTCAGTCAGCATCCCCATAAATGCTTCTTAAGACATGCATATGGCTCAATTGTGTTGCTCTGGGCCGCATTACAAGTGTGGCACGTGAAGACTAGAGGTTGAGGAAGAGATGCACCTTCTAATGCGCTGTATCGCTGCTCAAGAAAGGTGTCAACCCTCGCCATTGCTTCTGAAGCGCGCATGCCCACATCTTGGAAGACTGCGCCATCAGCATGAGAGATCTCAAACATGCATATCCATGGCGCTCAAATCATTGCATTTGTGGTGTGCGAGCTCTGCAAAATCTACTCCACATGGATTGATCTACCTTTGACGGCCAGGCACAGCTGCTCCAAGCCCGCCCTGGCCAGCAGCAGATCCGCCTCCACACTCTGGCACAAATCTGTCACATTCTGTGGGCCGTTCTGCAAGAGAGGGACAGCACTGCCATTAAACTGCTGCCGCTCTGGGGCTAACACCTGCTTGTGTGCTTGCCGAGCAGAAGCCAGTCTCGCCTCAGCCTCCACTCTTGCAGCCTTCTCTTCCTGCTTGACAGCACACAGGAGTCTGAGGACCTGAAGAGCATCTCAATTTGGGCCAGATTGCGCCAACAATTTGCATCTAGATCTCAGGGTCCAGATGTACTAATCTTTGCATTGGATCTAGGAAGGCTGTGTCTGCTTGGCCATGCCAGAATTGGCTTGGGAGTGGCATGCCTGAAAGTGATGCTCGATGCGGCTGAGCATGCTCTCAAGCTCCAGGCGAGCCAAGATGCCCGGCTGTCGCTGTGCTTGCTCCTGCTGACAAGGCTCCTGCCCACATAAGCTTGGTTTTACAACACCGCGGTTTGTGACTGCCTTTTGTCGCATACAGGCTTCCCAGACTGCTTCAGTTAGCATCCCATCTGGAGTAGATATCTTTTTGATCCAAGCACAAGTGCACGTGCCCTACATTGGAAGAGCATACCGCTGGTGACATGCTTGGTTTATCAGAACTGGTCTGCTGGTTGCTGCATTGCTTTGCAGCTGCATCTGCGGTTAAATCTTGTGACATCTTTATGCCTGATGCGCTGCGCTGCCCATTGTGGCTATTCCCGTTTTGTTCCACAATCCAAGCTGATGTGCTGGGAAGAGCGATGCTGTCCACCAGTGGATGGTTTGGTGCCACTTCTGTTGGGATGGAATGACTTTCAGCTGAATTTGCAACAGCAGCTGCGCTGCGATCCGATCTGCTGGAGGGTATTTGGGGCCACAGTGTGGCACCATTGCTCTGGGTCTCAGCTGGATTTGCAGTATTGATACCTGACTCGGAGCCTGAGGGCCCATTGTTCGCATCCTTCAGGCCCAATATTGATGATCTCCTCCTTTCCCGCAGTGACTGAAGCTTCTGCAAGGCAGCATCCGCAATCGCATTCCTGTTATATTCGCTGTTAGTTTGTGGGCTGACGATGGGAATAAGATGCTCGGCAGACGCTCTGCTGACATCCTCGTTACGCTTGTGGTTTCTGGGGCTTTCGATCTCGGGACAGCCTCCCTCCGGAGGATTAGATGCTGTTTCACTGCTGTGTGATGCACTGTCTGAGTACTCACTCCCCGAACTGCTCTCGCTATCACTATCACTGAAACTCTCACCGTCGGCGCGGTGTTCCGTCCTTCGCATAACGTTCAGGGACACTCCAAAAGAGTGATGCAGGAGGATGGGGACTTGAGATGAAGAAGAACAATATGTTAAGGAGATGATTTGAGAAGCAACAAAGACTTGTAAAGGTAACGAGTGCTGTAGGAGACAAGTAACGCCGCCAGCAAACGCAGGTACCCAGCCGAAGGAAGTTGGGAGGTTCAGACAAGGCCATCTTGTATTCATTGCACAGATTTAGGCTGGCCTCCTTGGTTGATGATACAAAGTACACATTTCGAATGCCCCTGTAAAGCGGTCTTCACACCCAAGGGCAACTCTGTGCCTCTAGGTGTTTACAGCTGCTTCCAAGCCCGGTCTACACACATTCTTGCAAGCCAAGGGCAGACAGATCTTTTTCATGGATGACTCTGCAATGGGCAATCGAGAAAGTCATGTCCTGAGCACTTTGCTACAAAGAACAGGCTGCACTCTGCTTATGATATTGGCAGAAACGCTGTTCCCACCCCTTGCCTGGGATCTGCATACAGAGAAAGTTGTGGTACATTGCTACCCGGCTCAATCATAGGTCCTGGCCACAGAGCAGATCTTCCAATCATCTGCCTCAACAGTGTCCTTCAGGCCTCTAGTACCGGCAATGCTGACACCAACACGATTATGCACCGACGCTGCCAATTCCTGTGCATCAACAGTGTTGATTCAACACTGTCCAAAATGAGCATCAACGAAACATTGTACCAAGTGCAGCGCGGTACCCAGGCCACAAAGTTACATACAGGAATTCGCCAGCAGGCATAGGCACGGCAAAGTGATTTTTCAACACATTGCGTGCAAGCATGCACCAGCCCTTTTGGCCTGGTCAGCCCTTACAGTTTCAGGCTCATGCCTTCTTCACACCCAACCTCAACACATCACTCAGCCCCAGCATTACCCTCTCCCTCACCCTCAACATTCCCCTCGCCCTGCTCATTAATCACCCCCTCTCCATCGCCATCCTCTCCCTCTCCATCGCCATCCTCTCCCTCGCCCTCCCCATCATCCCCCTCACCATCGCCATCCTCACCCTCGCCGCCGCCGCCGGCATGCCCGGTCTCGTAATTCTCCTGGTATTCCGCCGACAGAGTGAAGTCGAGGGAGCGCAGCACCCGCTCGATCGCCTCTGCCTCCGGCCCGGGAGCACCCATGCAGCGCCAGCGTGAGTCATCAATCTCATGCCCCGGCGCCTCAAGTGCAGTCACCCGCACGCCAGCCTCTTCAGCCCCCAGAAGTCTCTCATCCAGGCTTCCGACGTACATGTGTACGATGTTCGGCGTCGGCTCTGCGGCTTCGGCCGCAGCGTTGACGCCGGCCGGGATGTCTTGCACCGGGTACAGCCACACCTGCAGTATAATGGAAGGCATATTAGATTATGATGGTGTTGAAATAACACTGGTGGGCTCCACAGAGGGCTTTACTCCTGCCGCTTAGTCACTGGTACAGGTGCAGTCCAGTCAGCAGTCCACTGTGACTGTTGCATGCATGCCCAATGACACTGCTCTGCACTGTCTCCAGACATCCCTGCCCTGAGTGTCATGTGTTAGATTGCCCCACCTATAGGTCATCTGTGGCCTTAGTGTCCTGAGGAATACACATCGTGTGAAGGATGCCATGCGCAGAGTTTTGGACAACTGTCTGTAAGTATTTCTGGACCCAGGAATTGCTGGGGATATGCTCATCCGGGAACTTGCCGCCGCATGCACAGATTAATAGGACAGGGAATTTGGGAAGATATTTATAGAGGTGCTACTGAAGCGCACCTAGCCTTGGAAGGCTTAATAAGTGTGTGTAAATTTAATACTGCACAGATCGCATGTTCTGCAAGTTCTGAGAGGCTCAAGGAGCACCGGAATAATTCACTTCTTTTTTTATAAAATTTCATTTTCACATTTTGCATTTTTTTTGGCAGCAGCTCACCTGGGACAGCTGTGGGAAGGTCTGGTTCTGCTTGAAGATTTTGAGGGGCCTCCAGATCTGGGATCTCAAGTCAATCGCCTCCGACTCGGATTCTGCTGTCAGCTGAAAGTGCGGCCAGCGGCTGCAGCAGTTGCAGGAGGTCAGGTAGAGGCCAATTTCCTGCAGCTTTGGCCATGCGGAGTTCGCCTCGTCAGCCTTGATCAGAAATAGCTCCACCTGCAAGGAAGATTGGCGTGCGTTGGCATAATTTGGGTGGGCACGCGCATCTGATCTCACTGGCCAATGTGCAAATAAAGATCCCTGGCTGTTTCCAGCCTTCTTGTTGGGTGCTGCCTTTTAGATGGCAGCTTCCTTTTAAAGGCCCGCAATACCTTCCGGATTAGAAGCCAAGGTTTGGCGCATGCCATGTAATCTTGCCGGGACAGCTGACACAAGGGATGTAGTATGCCAACTGCATCGTTAAGTTGCAAACAAAAGCGCTGCTCAGCAGATTATTGGTGGCCAAAGAAGGCCAGGAAACATGATGGCAAAATTTGCTCAGCCAAAGTGGTGTTCACCACACGCATTGAAGGCCTGTCCCTCGAGATGTCAGGATGCGTGCAATGACAAGTCAAACGCCTTCAGCATAATGATTAGCTGCAAGAGAGGTAGCCACAAGCTCCGGGAAGGCCTGGCAAGACTGGCAAAAGCCTTGCACATTTGAAACCCGGCTGGCTACGGCTGGCGGGGGCCGGTGTAAATACTGAGCACCGTGCCCATGGTTGATTGGGGTCTAGCTTGGATCTGGTGAGTCCATCAAAGGGTAGGATTACGGTAGCCTTTACATGCAATTTGTCTGCAGACGCACCTTGGTTCCGGCAGGAAAATATTAGGGATATGAAGCCTGCTGAAACAAAGGGCGCAGAATGTGAACTTTGGGGCAGAGGTGTCACCGTTCCGTGGATGTGTTCTGTCTGGAACGCTGAGAAGATGATCTTGAGGGTGGTCAGCCCCTGAGCAGCTTTCAGGCCCTGCCAGAATTTCGTTGCCTGCTCCATTTCCGGCATTCCAGCCTGGATCTTTATCTGCACATTGGCCAGCAAGGCCGACATGGGCAGCTGCGCAAACTGCTGTCCCCACATGTGGCCCCCATTGCCGTTCATCACCAAGGTTTTCAGCTGAGGGCACCTGTGCATGTAGCCCACAGTCAGCCCCTTTTGCCTTTTGTGCCACATTGACTCATTGTCCAGATGACTCTGTCTCCATGTGCATGTAAAATTGGGCACTGCAGGTCCAGCAAAAGGGTATATATTTGTAATATACCTCAAGCCGAGTGGTACCATGGTTGCTGACAGGTCCTCAACTCCCAAAATCTCCAAATTTGGCAGCTCCAACATGCTCATTGCATCCTGCAAGAAAGCATCTCACATGTTGACTGAAGCCCCTCCGCTAATTCCCTCTCCCACTGTGCATAATATGTATTCACCAGCAGTGACGTGGACATGTTCATAAATGTGTGACAAGCGAACTTTATTATTTCAGTTTTCATCGCTATAGTGAGTTCGCTGGTGCTGCGATCTGCCCAGCAACAGTATCTACATTTGGATTTGGATTTGGGCAGGCTACAAAACGTGCACGCACATTGGCGAGCACCTCTGCAGGGTTGGGCATATTTACCATGCAGAGTGACTATAAAGGGGAGATAAGCTGTGAAGCAGGTAAGGTCTACCGCTTCTTCCTCAACCCTTTTGCCTTAGGCAATCCTACACTTAGCCAAGCCTCAACTGCTTCTGCACCGGCTACATCGGCCGCTCAACAGATAGCCCAACCTGCTCGAGAAGTTTCGCAGGCTGCGCAAGAGGTTTCAACAGCTCTTGGGGGGTGTGAGGGAAAGGTGCTCACCGGGGAGACAAAGCCACTGGGGCTGATGAGGTCCAGAACCAGGATGCGAAGGTTCTCGAGGCAGGGCCACATCTGGACAAAATTCATGGGCTTCTCAGCAGGAACTCTGAAGGGCGCCAGGTACAGCTCCTCCAGATGTGGGCACCCAGCAAGCACGGACACCAGCTCCCCATCAAAGTGCCTTGAGAAATTATGCAGCGCCAGGATGCGCAGAGACTTCCCAGCTGCCAGGATCCCTGACAGCACATGGGCTTTGCCTCAGGTCAGTAAATTAATCACCTTCATCAAAGCTGTCACAATGCTGACAGACGGCCAGACTGGGAACAGGGATGTCCACATGCACTTAAATAGGCAGCATCTTCAAGGAGCAGACCAAAAAAGGAGAAGCACAGATGGGTTGTAACAGAAATTGCAAAAGTTATTTGGGTTCACAAGTGTGAGGCAACAGACACCCAAGCAGAAAGTCCCACCTGGGGTCTTGGGGGGCTCAGAGGGAGGGTAGAAATCGTAATCATCGAGCTGCAAAAGCTGTAGACCGGCTGATGGGCTCGCGGCAATCTCTGCCAGAAACTCATCACTGCATGCCACAAAATCAACATTTTAGAGCAGAGATAACAAAGCTTTATTTCATCTGGCACCGAGTGACTATTGAGAGATTGGGACGCTTGATACTTGAAGAGGTCGGCCAGTGCTGGATCGAGCAATTTAAGAGTGCTGATACAAGCCACAGAATTCCAAGAAGAGCATGCAAGGTAAAGGTCAAGGCAAGGGATGTTTTGATCACCTGAAAAAGAGGGGGCCCGGTGCGACATTTCTGCCAATCTCCTTCCATTGCAGTATGGCCAAACTGGGCATCGAATCAATCACGAGGTCAACAACCTTGTCGCAGACTTCGCAGTGCTGCTCCTGTACAACTTGGACCTTGAAGTGGAGATGCCTCAGCTGCTCGCAGCATACTGTCATGGTCTGGAAAGAAGACATCCACAGGATAATTTTAGTCCAAGGCTTTTGTGTAACGGTCAGACAGGACTGCTGACTGGACTGCACCTCCACCAGTGACTAAGCGGCAGGAGTAAACAAAGTGTGGAGCCCAACCGGTGTGATTTGAACACCAACACAAGGAACTTAATTGTCACAGGATTAATATGAGACCTTTACAAGGTGTCTGATAAGTTTGGTCAACTTGCCAAAAGTCAAGATAACCATATCAATATCACAGGTTCGAGCTCTTCAGATGGAAGTCTTGAAGTTGATGACTCACCAGGATGGGTGTGATCTCTTCTCGGCTCTTCAGAGCGCCAGGCAGTAAGTCAGGGAAGTAGATATTCTCCAGCTTCAGCGTAGTCAGTGTGCGATAACAACTACTGACTGCCAGGCTGATGGAGCAGAGCAGCTTTAGTGGCGCTGGGGATGCTTCATCTGCAATGTTTGCAACAGATACGGCTCGCTTCGAAATTGTTTAGGCATAAATTAGACTGCTGGCAGGCACATATCGGCTCTAATAAAGGCGTCCTTGCACAATATTCGGGAGGTGCAGAAGATCACCTGGTATATGCAGGCACAATGCCAGGCGTTTCACCTGCAGTGATACGTCTGCTCAGCATGATGTATAGCAGCACTAGGATCACGTTCACTTGTGAAGAAGTACAGGATGTGATCTTCGGGCAGTAAAAGTTGGTCACCTTCATGCCATCGTTGGTGTGGGCAAGCATGAATTTGGCCAGGGAAAAAGCGTGCTGTTCCCCATGAAGAACGGTTTCCACTGTCTCAACAGCAGATGCGTACTTCCAGAAATCCTTGCAGGTGCTGGCAGCACTACAGAGATCCGCCCCTCCCAGTTGTCGGAAAATCTTATTTGTCATATCAACGGATAAATCTTCAAATGTTCCACGAGGTGAGTCCATTGTTGCACCTAAACAACGCACGCATCAATCAGGAAGAGCAGTAGAACAGGACTGCGCAATAGAAATCGCCGGTGTGCAGTCACGAACTCAACCCTCACTTTCATCTGAGGTCCTAAGCATGTGCAATCACACTCGCAGGAATGCACAATCGACCCGATGAAAGGAAAAGCGCTTGACCTGTTTGTTCCGAATATGCCTTGGAAGCAACACTAGCGCCCACCTTATCGTAGCAACAACATCACAACTTCAATGTTTCGGGCCAGTAATCGAAAACTTTTTCATCCGTAATGTTTTCGACGATTGCTTTCCTGACTCACGAATGAGATGACGGGCCCCTACAGAAATGTGGGGGCCTTAGCAAAAGTTGGGAGCTGCCTGGGAGCTGCCAAATCTGAAACTGCCAGGATGCATGAGATCAAAACGAGGAATTGGGAACACGACCTTACGGATGATGTGTACAAGAGCATTAGACACCTCTTTATGCATGCAACCACCGAAGTTGCAGTGACTGCAAGTAGGACTGGCATGGCAACAGCCATGCCGCACTCGGCGTCTTGGCAGACTGGCTGATTATCCCTGCTTGACTGGTCTGCGTCTCTTCCTACACACAATTGCAGTTGATGAGAGGCTTGGTTGCATGGCTTATAAGATTAGGTAAGAAGGCAGATGAATTTCAGTGATCACTTTCATGAAGCATGCCGCAGCGGTTGCACCGGAGTTGTGCAAGCGCAGTCGCTACACATAGGAGCCCCAGTCATGCACACTTCAAAAGGTAGATCGTCTTGAAGAGTCCATCTGGCTGTTGACTGTGGACATGATTTGTCAGCCCGCTCTTATGCTTCACAAGACTGTGAGACAAGGTGTATCTCCTACTGGAAGTCGAGGACAGCTCTAGCACAAAACTGCTTTTCCGGCGGCAACCTGTGCAGCCAGCCTTGCTGACTCACTAGGCCCCAACATCACCCTCTGCAATCCCCTCACCGCCCTCGTCAACCGCATCATGACCCCCCTCACCCTCATCATTCCCCTGCCCCCCCTCCTCCACCGCATCATCAACCCCCGGACCCTCTTCATTCCCCTCGCCTGCATCATCACCCCCTTCACCATCTTCACCATCAGAGCCGCCTTGATCAGGATCCGCCTGAGTCATGTCCAGGCAGCGCAGCGCGCAGCCGACGGCTTCGGCCTCCGGCCCGGGGGCACCCATGCAGCGCCAGCCGCAGTCCCCGATCTCATGCCCCGGCGCCTCGAGCGCAGTCACCCGGACGCCAATGAGATTCAGCGAATCGACCATCAGTGTCCCAGTTTCGGGCGCCACCTCCCCCTCGCCGGTGAAGGGCTCCCACAGCACCGGATACAAATTCACCTGCGAGAGAACAGCGCAGCCGAGCATCAGCTTGTAGCTTTTTTTTACAGGCAGAAAACGAACAAGAGAACTGTGTTCCGCATGCTTCTTTTTAGCCTCCATGGCATGTGTTTGAGGAGACAGCTACTTGCTTGAACTGAGGCACTCTGGGATCCAAGGAGACTGCAGCTACTTGCTTGAGGAAGCCGGTCTGGTAAGAAGGAGACCACGAAAGGTACAGGTAATAATGAGCTGATTTTCTTTTCAATCGAAGGCATTCCTTGAAGGTAACCTGAGACAGCGCCGGGAAGAAGCCGTACTGCTTGAGGATTTGTATCGATGACCAAACATGTCCGGTGTCCAGCAAATCCGGTTTGCAGATGTCAGATTGCATGAAATGCGGCTGCATGCTGGTGTACTTGCAGGGGGCCAAATAGAGGCCCAGCTCCTGGAGGTTTGGCCATCTGAAATTTTGAAACGAAGCGTTCCTGAGAAATGCCTCCACCTACGCGTCAGCACACACCGGCTTCTACATCTGATCCGGAACACAGCATGCATTTGTGCCCTTCCTAAGATAGCTAAGAGCCATCATGTTGGCTTAGGTAAGGGCCTTTGAGTCTGGCATGATTTTTTTGCACAATGACAGGCCAGTCTTTGTTATTATATATGTGCAAAGAGGATCTAAGTAACTTGCATTGCAGAATGATTATTCACCACCCAGTGACGGGTCTTGCATATGAAATCATTTAGGGCAAAGATTACCATGCAAGGAGCCTATTAATCTGTGCAACAAGCGACATGAAAGAGTGCAGAGGCACATTTGTTCTGCTGAGATCGCACCTGATTGTGGACGCCCTCCTGCTGGAACGCTGAGAAGACGAGTTTGAGCGTGGACAAGTTGCGAGCAGCACCCAGCACTTGCCAGAACTCAGGAATGTGGTCCGACTCAGGGTGGTAGGTTGTACCCTGGATCATCAGCTGCACGTTCACCAGGGTGGATGACAAGGGCAGCTGCGCAAACTGCTGCACCCAATCATAGCTCCCGCTGCAGTTGAAGGCCAATGTTTTGAGCTGAGGGCACCTGTGCATGCAGCGGCAGTTCTCAATTTTCCTGCTTGTTGGTATGTGCTCTAACAGGAGTTGCTCTTGACCCAAGTGCACTTTGCAGCTCATTCAGCGACAAAATAAGAGGTGGAGGGATAGGGCATCGCTATAAGTACCTTATGCCAAGAGGTGGCAAGTTTGCGTACAGGTCATCAATCGCCAGGATCTCCAAGTTTGGCAATTCCAACATGCCGCCTGCATCCTGCGAGGTTGTGAAACCACATCTGGCCTTCAGCATGTGGCATGCATGAAGGGCAGAATGAAACTCCATCAAATTGTCCTGCAGTTCAGCGCTGCTTCTTTGAGCAAAAAGAAGCCTTGGGACCTCATTGGGGAAACAAATCCGGTGGGGTTGAAGAGGGTGAGAGCGAGCAAGCGAAGGCTTTGTAGGCAGGGCTGCAAGAGCTCACTGAAGACAAATGGCTTGTCCTGATCGGATGTTTGGAAAGGCGCCAAATAGAGTTCCTCCAGATTTGGGTACCCAGCTAGAAGTTGCCCCAAGTCTTGATTAAACTCCATATCATTGTTGTGCAGCGCCAAGCACCGCATGGACTGCCCAGCTAACTCTTTAGAGATCCCTGGCGCATCATATTTTTCTTCTCATTCTTGTACATGACTTGGGCAGCCACTTCTTTGCACAAGGCCACAGTTTCCCCAAAAGCGGGCAAGAGGTGAACAGAGTGCCACACCTGAAGGTCTTTCGTGATTTTCTATCAAGGTAGAGGTGTAGTTGTCGGTCTGCAGCAGCTGAAGGCCATTTGGTGGGCCGGCTACTAGATCAGCCAAGAAGTCCTCGCTGCAAATACATAGGGCAACTATGCCTTCGTTCAAGCACCTTCTGGAATGGCTTTGCAGGGATGCTGACAAGTACAGAATGCAAAGGAGTCTTAAGTACCCCTTGGACTCAAAAAGTCTGTCAAAAATTTATTGAAGGGACAAATCACCTGAAGAACAGTGGCCCTGGGCAAATATCGCTCCCTGCTGCCTTCCATTGCAAAATGGTGAGCTTGGGCATGTTGTCCTGTATGATGGTGATTAAACTGTCGTACATAATGCTTGGAGTTTCCCACACTTCAATGCAAATGTGAAGATGCCTCAGCTCTTGGCAGGCCATGATGGCAACCTGTAAGGAGGCACACAAAATACCTCACTGCACTCAGAGCAATCTAGAATACAGTGTCTGCAACTGACTTGGCAGACTATCAAAAAATTATGTTGCTTTTGTGAGGACTGGCTCATGAAAATGGGTTGTGTGCTACTCACCAGTATGTTGCACACTCTCTTTCCACGTCTGAGCGTTTCTGGCAGTAGATCGGGGCAGTAGATGTTCTCCAGCTTCAGCGTGGTAAGGGTGAACATACAGGGGACCAGAGCCAAACTGACGGACCCAATCAGTTTGGGATTTCTTGGCGCGCATTTTTCTTCTGGTGTACCGAGCGGTTCATCTGCAACCATTATGACCCATGTCATGCTCACTTTGGAACATTGCCATGCATGTAGCAGTACGGTGTGTCCCGCCGGCTGACAAACAAATTACTTGCATGTGCGCCAAGGACTGGCGCTCCTTGCCAGTGTCATCAAGTTTGGGCTGCGCTGGATTCCTCACCTGATGGTTTGAGGGTCATGCGCAAGTGCTTGACCTGCATACAGAACTTGTCCTCTCAATCTGCTGATAGAAGGAGCAGCAGCAAGAGTAATCATTGCATGGGTCGTGGGCTCAGCTTTGTCCAGCTTAGAGAGATAGGAGAGCAATTGTATATGAGCGAATTACCCTCATGCCATGGTTGACGGAGTGCCTCCTTATGAAGTTTTCCAGGGACAAAGCGTGGGACTCGTCACGCAGAAAGGCCTCGAGTCTGTCAGTAGCGGAAGCACACTTCCAGAGTTCCTTGCAGGTGCTGGTTGCGTTGCAAAGGTCCTGATGATCCAGATGACGGAATATTTTCCTTGTCACATCCAGGGGCAGTAGGCTGAAGATGCTCTTGCGCGGGCCCATTCTAGTGCCTGATCACCATGTTATGGTTAGCACTTTGTGAAAAAAGCAGTGCCGTAAATTTTGCTACAATGGCGGACGATGGCATCAATCAATCGAAGAGTGGATAACGATATATTTGTTATTGGGCTTCAGCATTACCCACTTGCTCTCGAATCGGTTTCAGTCTCAAGTTGCCAAAGGGGATCTCCGTAAGCTAGGTCCAACATGGACACCAATTCTTGCTCTTCACTCATGCTGCCACACGTCAGATAGTCCCCCAGTGATCAAATGCTCGGCCTTAGATATACTACGTGGAGCCACAAAGGACTATGAAATTCTGAAACTCACGAATGGAGTCAGCAAGCGACCCCTACAAAAGCTTGGGGGACCGTTCTGGGCCTCAATTAACCGCCCGATTTAATCGGTTTGGAACCCCTTCACCAAGAAGAATTGCGGCGAAGTAGTAAGCACGCTTGATAAAGGCACAGTATGAACTGCCAGTCTGCTACAAAAGCACCTAAGTGTGCAGGGAGCCTGGGCTGATCTCGGCAGATCTGCGCGAGATTGACCCTTGCTGGCAGTAGAATTGTGGCGCGCTCGCTGGTGTGACATAAAAAATCTTGTTGAGGCGTCTAAAACTCCCTCTCCAATCTTCAAAGCAGGTGTTAATAGAACACAGAGCAGGCGTTACAAACCCTATTAGCCCTAATAAGTTTGTCCTTTGCGATATTCCCTCTCTGCGTAGGGAAAGAATGTCATGATACAGCACTCAAATTGATTATTATTTGCATCTGAAGAGGACGGTGAAGGGCATGTGTGCACTTAGAGCATGAGTTGTTTGGGCACGCTTGATCAACCTTTGATCAACTGACGGAATGACGGTCGATATAACGGACCCCACAGTGGCCAGTGAGACTCAATTGAAAGACATAGAAAGGTTCCATGGGGCTTCCTTGCACGAGACTCCGACCGAGCTGTTGCAATTCGTTGTCGATCAGTCCAAAACCGCTGGCAACCAGGCATTCCGGGACAAGCGATACCAGGGTGAGCCTATAACAACCGGTATTTTAATTTGCTGGTTGTACAAGCTATGTGGCTTAATGTATAAATCCTTTACCAAGGATTCGTCAATGCATTGTTGCAGAGGCTATAAAACTGTACAGCCAAGCCATCGCTGGAGCACCGAAAGACGCATCGCTGTTTGCGAATCGCTCAGCAGCCTATTTGATGTTGGCTGCGAAGCAAGAAGCCCGGAACGACGCTGTGAAGGCCACGAGCTTGAAGCCGGACTGGCCAAAGGGCTTCTTCAGGTATCCCCTTTGTCCATCCTCCCAGCTGAACTCCTCAACTTGTCAACTTGATTCTCAGGCCCAGAAATCACACTGCTCAGTCACACTCACAGAGCCAATAGCCAGCCTCCAAGCAACGCAGGCCTCAGTATTCGTCAAAACAGGTGCTCTGGTTTGTTTGGAATGGGTCTCTAAACCAGTAGTGTCATCTAGAATTGTGATGGATCTGTGTTGCAGGTTAGGCATGACATGCCTGGCTATGTATCAGTATGGCCCAGCTGCCGCTGCTTTTGCCAGAGGGCTTTCCTTGGACCCCAGCAACAAGGAATTGGCTGCCAGAAAGGCCACAGCGGAGGCGCACAAATTGTACGAAGACGCCTGTCTCAAGGCTCAGCTGGGCGCGCATCGCCGCAACCTCGTCCTGAAGCTCCGAGCGGTGCGATCTTTAATCTCAATTCCAAATTTTGAACTTTACATCTTTGCGCTGACCCCAGCTGGCGGAGGACTGAGGTAAAAAGCTGAGCACCGTGCCCGCGGTTGATTGGGTCTTGCTTGGATCTGGGGAGTCCATCAAGGGGTAGGATGTGCGGCAGCCTTTACCTGCAGCTCGTCTGCAGACGCACCTTGGCTCTTGCAGGAACAGCCTGTCACAATAGTCCTTGTGCTAAGCTCTTGCTGTGCCAGCATGGTGGCTCCCTTTTGGCTGCCTTACAATGTCTCCTCTACTGTGCATGGAAGAATTATAGGGATGGCCTGCCCACCCTACAGGTGGAAGTCAATGCGTCTTTTCAAGGCAGCAATGCATTTCTCAATGCTGCCATTGAGGGGTGAAGGGTCAAGAAAGTAATACTGCGTCATGCGGGTTGTGTTGGGCAGCTTGTGGTGTGAGCAGGGCAGCTGCTGTTGCAGGTCAGGCGGCGCGAGCTGCAGGAGGGAATGGAGCGGCAATTCAAGCAGAGCATGACCGCTCCAGACTGGGACATGGAAGACTATGAATGGCAAGTCCCTCAATCCACATGCATTCCTGCTTTGCATGCTGTGATAGGTGGCTGCAGATAGAGGTCATCTGCTTGCTCAAGACCGGAGCCTGCTGTGATGGCCCTCGTTGCACAGTCACGTGGAATGTAAAAGATATTGGGGATTTCTGGTTGTATATGGAAAGTCTATTTATGCTGGCACCTGTCTTGCTTCAAGCGGCCTGCCTGCCTGTTGTGGCATATTTGTGCGTCGCTTGCATGGCCTAGAGGCACAGAACTGACCTTCTGCTTGATACACCATATTCTGCTCGTAAAGTGCAAAGCGCCCGTAGTTGCAGATAAGAGAGACAAATTAATAACAGGATGAAATGTATCGTTTTGCATGATGACTGCTGTGCAGGCGCCCGACCCTCTTCCCAGGCAGCAAGCTGAAGCGACTGGACAAGGCGCGATTCATGGCGGATCCCAGGGCGCGCATGCTCATGGGGTGCGCATGCCTTTCCATAATTGCAGCCCCTTGAACTGAATAAATAACATAAAAATAATGAAAAAAGAATAAGCACACACAAGACTGTGCAAGGCAGTGCGTATCTGAATCAGAAGTGCAGTCTGCCACCACTGTAACATACAGCATTGTGGTATTATCCCCACATTGTTTTGGTAGCAAAGCATGCCCAAGTGGAGTCAAGATGTGAAGAAATGATGGGGAATACTCAGCACCGTCCCTATTGCGCTGCGGCGGTCTGCAGGTATGTTAGTGCTCTGGCGGACCTAGCAAATCCAAAGGCAGCGCTGCCGCTGCTTGCTGATGAGCGCCGGCTGGCCGCCTATGAAGCCGCCATTGCTGCAGCCCTGATCGAGCAGCCAGGTGCGGGCAGGCGCCTTGTGTTTGAATTTCTGAGGACAGATTTGACTGCGAGGAAAAGAAGCATGCCAGTGCCCAGAAGGCAGTACCTTTACGCTGCGACAAAGATCCAATACCTGGGCAATATAAGCATGGCCTACATTATATTGGACTGCTTCGTGAGCAGCAGCGTCCCGTTATCACTGGCTTCCTCGCCACTCCAACCATCGCCACTCAAACCATCGCCACTTTGCTGATGCAAGCATGATGACTGAGCTTGTCAGTGATGCTCTAGCACTCACACACTGTTGCTGGGCGCTGGCAGGAGGTTTCATCTCACGCTTCAGCTTGGCTTCACTGAAGCCAGTATTTTCCCTGCCGAAGGAACACAATCACAATCTTCTGCTATCAAATGTCACGCAATGGATTATCTTCTGCTCTACAGGCGCGCACATTCTAGTGCTGGGAGCTGGCAGCGGCCTCCTCGCACTGATGGCGGCTCGCGCTGGTGCCGGCCGGGTGACAGCCGTTGAGCGCAGCCGCATGCTCTACAGAATGGCCCGGCAGGCGCTGGACGCCAATTTAGACGCGCCGGGAGCCGCCAATGTGCGCATTGTGGACTGCCCGCTGCGCTGCATCGGCGTGCAAGGTGTGCTCGGCAGGTCTACAATATCATGGAAAAGTTACCTTTACAGGGGGGACACTGTCGTTATCAGTAATAGCTACTTTTCCATCCTTCAAGGACTAGGTACGTCAAGCAACACCTGAATTCACAGGGTGACATTCCCTATGCTCAATGTTGTCAGCTGCATGAGGATGGAATGCTGTTTACGAAGACACTAGTCACGCGGAAAGTCTGCCTGGAGGTACTTGCGAGTCACAGGCATGGAGTCAAGCAGTGTTATTTCTAGTCCATGCGGTGACTTAGCGGGCCTTCGCTATGTGTGCGCGAGAAATCTAATAATCATTTATGGGTCAGCAGCATGTGGTTGCTGATATATTTCAGGCGAGGAGCTCCCTCCAGATGTGCAACAAGCTCTGGACGAGGAGATGAAGCATCATTCCAGCCGGGATGCAGCAGGTGCAGACAGTGCCAGTGCACCGGGTCCCCCCGCTGCAGCTGGGGCGGCTGCGGCTGCGGCGGCTAAGATCAAAGATGCAGCCGTCCTGCTGCCAGAGCGCGCAGATGTGCTTGTCACTGACCTGCTAGACCACAGGTGTACTGCAACCCTTCCACTGCTGCATGGAGAATTTCCAGGCTATTTGCTCTTTACCGACCAGGCTCATCCAACTTTGAGTTTCCGGGTGCAATGGCATGCATTCTTGGAGCACGTTATGATGGCTCTGAGATTCCTTTAAGAGTCAAGAAAGAGCCGAGAAAGACCAGCTTTGCATTGGAAAGGCCTGCAGACTCCATATAATTCTGCTAAGGCAGATCCTGACCAATGCAAGATATTTTATTAGCTGACTTTGGACGATGCTGTTTTGCTGCAGCGTGCTGGGCATGGGGTTGCTGATTGCACTGGACTATGCCAGCATCCACCTGCTGAAAAGGGGCGCGCGAGTGACTCCCACATTCCTGAGGGTGAGCAGAACTGTTCTGCCATCTACCTGCTGAGAAATTGCAACACAAACTACCATTACTATTTTTGTCATTACACGCCTTTCCTGCCAAAAGGCAAGGTACGTCCTGCAGACAAGCTGCAGTTAGTGGCTGCCCACAACCCTACCCCTTGTTGGACTCGCCAGATCCAAGCAAGACCGATTAGATCCAATCAGCCGTGGGCACAGTGCTCAGTATTTGTGCCGCCCCCCGCCAGCCGGGGCCTACGTTAAAAAAGAAACCCCCCAGTGACTGTCCAATCCTGAATCAGAGTTTTGCCCAATTGCTGCTCACAGCATCCTGACTTGCTGCTCATGCAGTGTGAAGCTTGGATCAAGTCATCCTTGTGTACAGCTGCATCACTATTCCTGGCGTGCTGTGCGCAGGTGAGGGCCATGTTGGTGGAGATGCGAATCAGTGATGTGTCAGGCTTTGACCTGTCGGGCCTCAACCGCTACCGCTGGAATGGCCACGAGAAGATTGACCTCAGCAGGTCCGACCAGGAATTAAATTCCCAATTCCCCCCTTCTCACACGTAATGACAGGGGACTAAAGACTACCCCTGTAGTCTATAGTACCCCCTGGTCATGAGCACTTCTGAATCAAATACTTGCAACTCTTGGTGAGCGCCATGATAGGCATCCGGCGTTGAACAAGGGTTTTGAGAATGCAAGTAGAGAGCTGCCAGTAGTGCACATTTACCAAAAAGCGCATAAAAGAATAGTTTCAAATATAGGAAAACAATGGCAAGTCCAATTTGACTACATGATTTCAAAGGTTTGCACTTTTGCAGGGTGCCGCACAAACAGCTGTCCAGTGCTTTCACAGCGATTGACTTGGACGTTCAGAGGCGCGTTGACTCGCTCTCAGGAGGCTGCTTGGGAGATGATGCCCTGCCTGACATCCTGTGGGAGTCTGACCGTACGCTCAAAGTCCCAGCAACCTGCAGCGGCCGGTGGAACGCTGTTGTCTTCTGGTTCAAGGTGGGATGCTCGCCTGTGAGGCATGCCACCTGCATGCTCCATTTTCTTTTCTTCTAGGCAGGCAAAGCAAGGAATGAGACCCTGGGGTAACTGCACAGATGGCCCAGGAAGGTGGCACCCACTGAGAATAAGCTGCATGACACGGGGCATGCAGATTCTGTCATGCCCAACACTTTGCACTTTGCAACGTGTGTAGGCTTCAGGCTGAGTGATATTGCGTGATGTGGTTTGCAGGTGACAACGCACGGAGACAGTCTGATCAGCACATGGAGCGAGGAGGGCGCGTCTGCAAAGGCGTGCACATCCTGGCAGCAGTGCGTGCAGTACCTTGACGAGACGCCCGTTACAAAGGTGCCACTCCAGTCTCCCCCTTGAGTATTGCAGCGTTCTCACCCATAAAACACACTTGTTTGTTGAACGGCTCTTCCTGACCTGTTGCCATATTATGAACCCCTTCTCTGCAAGTGCTATTTTGGCAAAGTACTCATCTTGGCAGCCATGACACGTGATTATTGCAGAAATTGGAGGGAGCCTGCATCCCTCGGTGCATTTCTTTGTCCGAGAGAGCATCACAATGGCGTAATAGTACAGCCTGAGTGAGTTTTATATGTTGTGGCAGGGATCAAAGGTGCCCGTGCGAGTGCGGCAGGACACAGGGCAGCTGCATTTTGCGGCAGAGGGCGGAGCAAAACGGCCTCGCCATGCTTGGGTGCCCCGCTGGCACTTTGACATGGTCCTGGACGGGTGAGTCATCTCTTTCTTCATGCAACCAATGCAGCTCTCAATCTGCGTGCATATTCGTGATCATAAGAAATTTAACTCTTCTCTTGTCAGTCTTTCGATGAGGATCTTTTCATAGCTGGCTGGCATAGTCTGCCAAGATGCATCGCGCCATAATAATATGTGCACTTGACGACTTAAGAGCTGCATAGCAGATCCCTACAAGTCTGCACCATGTAATATTCACACGCTGCACACGTCTGTGGCATTGTCACAATCTTGTGGCCACTGTTGTGCAGGATGAGGAATGAAGCGTATGAGAGGGCCATCACGCGGGCGATTGAGATCAAGCGCGGGCTCGGGGCCAAAAAAGTGAATGTGCTCGACATCGGCGCTGGATCCGGCATCCTCTCACTCATGGCCGACAGGTGATGCATTTTACTCTAATCTGAATAGCATGCAATCGTTTTCCTTCTTTTACATGCTGGAGATGCTGGCCCCGGCTGGCGGGGGGCGGTACAAATACTGAGCACCGTGCCCACAGTTGATTGGGTCTTGCTTGGATCTGGCGAGTCCAACAAGGGGTGGGATTGTGGCAGCCTTTAACTGCAGCTTGTCTGCAGGACGCACCTTGCCTCTTGGAAGAAATAGCGTGTAATAATACTAATAATAACATGCTGGAGATGAGGCCAGGTGCATGCGCACGCTGTGGGCGTTCACCGAGGCTGCCAGTTATTTGACCCTTGAATGACAATATCTGCGAACGTAAAAACCTTCCTTAAATGATTGAAGTGTGAGCAAAACTGACAAGGAAGACTTGCATCTCACATATTGTCTATCTTGCAGAGTGACAGATTGCTCGATTCTGACGGGTGTGCATGCATGCATTTAGGGCTGGCGCGGACAGAGTCATAGGGGCGGAGATCGGGCAGCACATGTGCGACGTGGCAGCGGAGGCAGTGGTCATGAACGGCTACGGAGCCAAGTGCCTGATGATCAACGAGGACGTGCGCCGCATCGATGCGGCTGCTAAACCGGATGGCACGCCGCCTGACTTGGAGCAGAAGGCCAACGTGTGCGTCTTTGAGGTCGGCACATGCCCGCACAAGCCACTATTATTATTATTATTACTATTGTTGTTGTTGTTATTATTATTATTATTATTACAAGCCACTATTGAGACACTTAATTCATCTACTGTAATCACTTGCGTCCTGAGCTACTTTATGTAGCCTCATTGAGTTGCCAAAATATCGGTCTCATAGTCTCAAAAGTACCCAGGGTGATAGGGCGGTGACTTGTAAGCTGGCAAGCCTGCTGACCACGAAATGTGCTCATTCTTGTCTTAACAGCAAGCGCTCCTGTGCAACACAATTTTTTATAAAAAATAATATAAGTAAATAAATAAATAAAGCAAATAAAATTTATATAAAATGTCATGCTTGTAGAGGTGGTTGAGAGCAGTAGAGCTCTATGGCTGCAGGTTTTTGACTCGGGGCTGCTAGGAGAGGGCGTGCTGCACCTGCTCTCCTGGGCCCATGCGCGCTTGCTCACCCCTGACTGCACCCTGGCAAGTTGTCCTCTACTTTGTTCTTGTTGTGAACTCTGCAAGCTTGTATTTGTCACACAACCTGCGTGAATGCCTCACCATTAAGCGCAGTGCAGATTTTGTACTAGCATCAGGCCTCACTTCAAGATACTGAGATGTTTGACAGACCTTGGTCATGCACAAATGACTGGTCGCTCGGACGCCCAATCAGTGAAATTGTTTTAAAAACTTGCTGGTGCAGAAAGGGCGCAGCAACAATATTTTGGCAGCGTAACACATCCAATTATGACCAACAAAATGACCTGGCATATGCGCAGTTGCCCACGCCTGCATCAACCTTCATTGCTGTTATCTAAGGAGTCGCATGAGAAAGATGAGAAAAATTTGAGAGGGTGAAAGACATGCAAGACATGCGAGCGCCAATCAGGGAATAACTTGCTTTGGGGCGGTAGATACGCTTGTGATTTTTGTTGGTGTGCAGGTGCCGATGGCAGCCACGGTGTACTGCCAGCCAATACAGATGCGCACAGAGCGCGTGCTGGGCTTTGACATGGCACAGGCTAACCAGTGGAGATGGCGCCCCGAGTATGAGGGCCTGGATCTGGCCCACATCAGGCAAGAAAACAGCTTTTTACCGAAAAAAGGGCATGACGATGAAGAGCTCGCTGTTGGTGTTGCAGTCTTGATGACATTCGATCATGCCTATATGATCATGCAATGCAATGACTGAACATTGACTAGGGTGTTGCCGCAAGAGGGGGTTGCACGCCACGAAAGCAAAATTGGTTGAGGGCTTGTCCTAAATTGACCCGGTCTGGGGCATCTGCGCAGGTCGCAGTGGAAGGCTCTTGGTTGTGTGACAGAGGTGTTTGCATTCGACTTCCATGAGGCAGAAGCCAACATGCAGGCGGCTGAGGTGGCCCTGCACATGACAGCGCACACCGGAGGCACATGCAACGCCGTCGCCTTCTGGTTCACCCTGCAGCTGGACGAGGAGACCGAACTGCACACCAGCCCCTACACAGACAAGGTGCTTTTCTTTTTGAAATGCAAATTCTAGCTCTGCATTTTCATGACGCACCTTGTCTTCTTGGCAGGAAGAGCGCGCATTATTGATGATCGTACCAATCATGCACGCACTTCTGCCCCTTTTTAAATGTGAAATTCATGGCAGTTTAGAGGAAACTTTTGAACGCACATTCTACTGCTTGCGTCCACCTGGCCAGGCTCTGGAGAAAGTAGTTTTCTTAAAGATTTTGCGTTTGTCTTTTCGAGTACTTGTTAAGTTGGGTGCAGCACTCACCCATTCTTCGTCCAGAATTGGAAGACCTGATTGACAAAGACAAGAGGGACAAAGACTGACAAACCAAAATGTGCGTGTTTTCAGGGACCCACATGGCAGCAGGCGGTGCAGTGGGTGGCAGAAGTACCTCTCGTGCCCGGGCAGCGGTTCACAGTGGTGGCAAAGCACGACACCTATGGCATCTCCTTTGCCTTGCAGAGGGATCAGCCTGCCGCAAACGCTGTCACAGCGAGAGGAATTGAGAGTGCGTCACCCTTGTGGGTAAGCAGCTCCCAGTACTTTTCAGAGTTCTAAAACCCCTGTCAAACACACTTGTCATCACACAGATTCTTGGATTACTGCTGCACTATATGAGAACCTGAATGAGGCTCTCTCTGGCCAGTGTGAAATCATTTGATTCAGGAGGGGAAGTTCCTTAAATTGATTTGTTTTCTGGGGATAATCCATGGGTTTTAAATATGCAGTTGTTGCTAGGCGAACCCTTTCCTTCAGGACTGGAACACATGTGATAATGAAAGGTGGGAGAGGAAGTATTTATTCTGCAGAGAATGACAGATTGTCTGGAGCGCAGGACCCTTGGTGGAAGGCAACCTTTGATGAGGTGGGTAAGGTGAACGAGAAGATCTCAAGGGCGGCAGTGCAGAATCCCCTGGAATACAGGGCCACAGCGCTGGCCGCAGTTCAGATCGGCAGCCGGCCCCACGATCTGGGCTTGGATGCTGAGCAGGCAGCCGCCTTCTGCACTCGTTTCATGAGTTGACTGGCCTTGTTATAAGCTGAGGGCATAGTATGCCCAAAGGGCAGCCTCATATTGAAGTCACTGTGAAGGACTCTCATTATGCTAATCTTGACCCAAACAGTTCCATCTGTCGACTGTGAAACGGAGCTGCATGCTGTTGTCCGCAGTTCTTGATCAGCATCACTTCTTGGATGGTGCCGTTCTGGATAGATGTAGAGTGCCTGCAAAATGAGCTGGAACTTACAAGGATGTGACAGGGTCGAGAGTTCGTCTGTCAGTGCTATGATCTCACCGCAGTCTGCATCAAAGGGCCATCGATGCAGATATCTGCATCCGGATCTGCTCATCCACTGTGGCACATGTGTACACCTTGTGACATCAAATGAAAATTTAAAAGCCGCAGAAAAAGGGCGCACGCCGGCTAGCACAGTGGTTGCAGATGTGAATGGCATCATCGCAGGATTGGAGCTACAATCAGGCTGAATCAGCCTATTTTAGGTGCCATGAAAGCGAGCTATGATGCATGTTGCACAACATTTCCCATTGGCTGCATGCCAAACCCAATACGGCATCGACCCTAGTAAAGGGGTGTTAACATCGAAGACCGACAGCTCAGCTGACTGGGGTTTGTTGCTTCTAAACAAAGTGGCCTGGGCTGGGCGTCCTTTGTCCTGAGGAGAGCTGTATTGGCCGGCATAGAAGGTGCATCGTGTGCGGCGTTCATGTAGGTGGAAGGGGGAGTTGTTTCCATATCAGTAGAGCCCTGATGGTGGGATTGCCAACGGGCAGCTTGGAGCTTGCAGCCTTTGGCGCTTCAAAACTGGGTCTTGACAAGGAGTTGGAGGCATGCCTGAACAAGGAGCCCGGAGCACTGAACCGTCGGGACGAAAAGGGTGAGAGTCGCACCTTGACCAAAGAGTGCGCGCGTTGCAAGACAGTGGCGGCTTCTCTCCACGGGCTAGGAGTCAGTGACGGCACGCTTGGAATCAGACATGTGCATGTACTTGGGGCTCTTCAATGCACCGCCCAAGTGTACCTCACCCTCCAACCCAGTGAGCGTTTGTATCTATTTATTGGAAGCCCTATAGAGACAACAGAATATCTCGGGGTCCCTTACGCCAAAGGTGGACAGTGAATTACATTTCAAGATATCATTAGTTCTCTAGAAACACTGATGGTTCTGCTATCTATGGTTATGGTAGGGGCAGACTAGGATGGATGTCACCTACCAGAAGCTGCTTGAGAATGCTGCTCAGTGACCTCAATTTTAAATCTGTTGAGGACGTAGCAGTTTGAAAAGCAGTCAAAACTTGCAGGAGAGGCGTATACGCAGTGTGGACATCTGGTGTTTGACACGTCTGATTGGGCTTGACCTGACTGTATGATGGGTGCAGGGCGGGCTTGCCTGCATCATACTGCGAGCTACGGGTTCGAACACTGCCTAGACGTCCTGTTGGGCCGCCCAGACATCGAAACAGATGCAAAGGACTGCTTGGGGGACACAGCGCTGCACCTAGCAGCTATCAATGGCTTCCCTATGTGTGCCTTCAACCTCACAAAAGCCGCACCTGAAACCTGCCTCATCGCCAACAACGCGGGGCAGACGGCTATAGATGTGTCAGTAGCAAACGACCGAGGAGAGGTGCGCCCTGTTGCTTTCGTTTTCTCACCAGTCTCCTGGAGGATGGCGTTGTCACTTCATAAATCATGCATGTTGCAAGGTGTGCCAGGTACTCTCTTGTTACATAACGAAGGCTAATATGCTAATTGGCTTGGCAGGTCTTGAACGCGATGCTACTGGCGTGCGCTGGGATAAATTCAGCTGAGGCAGTCGAGTCCATCTCCGCCCTGCTGGAGGCTGGTGCAGTGCCAGACACCTGGGCGCCCAATGGAAGCTCGGTGCGTTTCCATGGCATTGATGATGTTCTCAATTCTGTCTAACATTTGTACCCCTCACTTGAGGCTGCTACACTGCTATGTCACTAGCTTCTTGTCCAACGTGCTGTCCCAAGATCGAGGATACGAAAGCAGATACACTTTTTTCCCTCAGAGATTTTCACGATTGTGTTTGCTGGATCTGTTCAGGCACTGATGCTGGCGGCGGCTGTGGACAGTGTAAATGCTCTCCAGGTGCTGCTGAAGAACGGCGCCACTGTCGAACTCCAGGTAATACAACACTGTCTTTTCTGCAGCATTTGTCTGCACCGAAGTTGTTTGGATGAAGCAGATTGTAGCAGAGGGCGCAAACCACCATCTGCTGTGATCACTTTGTCTGTGTTGGAGGAGTGCATCGTGAAATTCCTGCTTCGCTTCACTGGGATGGAGGCCATGCAAGACCCAGTGATCAGGGTCACATCTGCAGCTAGGAAACCTCCTCCTGCGTACACATAAACGTTCATCTCAACAGTGTCAAGCAGCGCTCCACTCCCAGGTGTTGGAGCCTTGAGAGTTGTGATGGAATGTCTCAGAGCTGTGCGGCGTGACTCACAGCTGTGCGTTGTGAAATCGCAGGATGCCCTGGGGCGGACAGCGCTGATGTTTGCAGCGGGCAGCGGCGCAGTCGGGGCGCTCAAGGCGTTGCTGGATGCCGGGGCCTCGCTGGCAGCGCGCGACCGGCGGGGCAAGGGCATCCTGGACTATGCGCCCCCAGAGTCTCCAGTCCGCACCATCCTGGAAGACAGGTCAGCGCTTTTTTAGCCCTCCTGTAAATGCTCTCACCGGGTGTTTCACGTGCATCTGTATGTCGGACACAACGCATCTCTTCCATCCTCCTTCAGAGGAGTCATCGATGTTGATAAGTTTCATGGGAGATGTGGCCTCTTTGAAAATGAAGAGGACACAAGGATTGCAACGTCAACATTGAATGAAGTATCTTGGGGGCTGCCAGTGGCGCATGACATGTCGGTGCCAATTAGGTGTTTTATCAATTGGGCGTGTGTGAGATTGGATGACATGGCTGCGCAGGATGAAGGTGCTGGAGGCGGCTGCCGAGCAGCTGCAGGCGGCGCTGCTGGCCAGCCTGGACGAGGAGTCCTCCAGCAAGGCGCAGCAGGCGGCAGCCTCCAAGGCCAAGCGCAAGGGTGGCAAGAAGGGCAAAAAGGGCAAGAAGGACGGCGCCACCACACCGGCCGCACAGCCGCCGCCCAGCGCAGAACCCACTGCCCCCCAAGAGGAGTCAAAAGAGCTGCCTGCCTCCAAGGAAGAGGCACAGAAGGCAGGTCTCAGTGGGCGGCCAGAGGAGCCGCAGTCAGAGGCAGAGTCGGACAGCACAGCGGCGGAGGATGACAGGGGGACAGTAACAACTGCGGCCGCGTGTATTTCACTTGAGGCCCTGGGCCTGCACAAGGATGCCCGAGCAAGCACGAGCGAAGATGAGGAGGACTGGAAGGTGCGGCGATCTCCTTTGCCCATCTGCTGTCCAGCACTTCAAGTATAGCGTATATTCATGTTTGGTGGTGCTGGAATTTAGTCATATTGCAACGTTCAGCTGGACGCTACTGGGGTGGGAGGGCCGTGCATTGCGAGGCAATGCATGTGTGAAGCACTAAGAACTACTTTCAAGATATTTTCTGCACAAATTGCACTGCCCAGGGCTTTGGAGTACCAAGATAATAATAGACATATTTGCATGTTGCAGGTGGTTGGCAAATCGGCACGCAAGCTCCACGGGAAGGGCACGGTCCTGGCGGCGCAGCCGTCGACGCAACAGCCGCAGCCGTCATCCCAGCAGCAGCTGACCGGCACAGCGACTCCCCCGCAGCAGCGGCCGGCGCCGTACAAACGCTGTCCTTCCGCCACGTCCCTCTCCGACTCCACATGCTCCGTAGAGTCCGAGCAGTCCATGGCCAGCGCCTCCGGCCCCTTGCACCATCATCACACAGCGCAGCAACACCATGTACCCTCCCAGCAGCAGCAGCAGCATCAGCAGCAGCAGCAGAGCGGCGCCTCGTCGCAAGCCGCCGCAGCACCGGCACGGCCCGCGGCGGCGACCCCGCCAAAGCCGGCCCCACCGCGCGCAGCGAGTCTGCTGGCCAAGCACAATGCGGGCGCTGCCACGCATGCAGGCAGCAGCAGGGGCGGCCCGGCCTCCACTGCTGGGCCAACCGGCAAGCAGACAGTCAGTCCCCAGGTGGCATCTCCCCAGCAGAGGGCGGACACCTGGGCGGGGAAGGTGGCCGGCACGTCGCCCAAGCCAAGCAATGCAGCAGGGAGTGCGACAGGGGAGCAGTGTACCACCAGCCAGCCCAGCCACCAGAGAGATCCGCCCTGCGCCAAGCCGCAGTCGCGGACTCCAACGGCGTGCGGCGCGGCCGGCCGCTCGACGTCGCTGCCGGCCCTGGACGTGGCGCCGCAGCCGACGGCGGCCAATGAGCTGGCGGCCGCGCGCGCGGATGCGGCGGTGGCGCGGCGCGAGTGCCTGCTGCTGGCTGCGGAGGTGGAGAGGCTGCAGACGGCGCTGGCGTGCAGCGAGGCCGCTCGGCAGCAGGAAGTGGCCCGGCTGTTGCAGAAGGCCGCGCACCATGAGTCGCTGGTGCGCCGCAGCCCGCTGGTTATTCTTATATATGAAGGTATTCAGTGTGTGTGTGTATGTGTGTGTAGGTGTGCTGTAAGTATGTGCAGCTTTCCGACATCCGATCATCTCTGCATGCAGATGTCATGTGTAGCATGTCCATGAAACAGAGGAGGGCATCCTGTTCCTGCCTGCATCTCCTTAAATTGCTACAGTGTCCCCCACCTGCAATTAGCTTGTGTCCTCCGACTGTCAAGACAGGGTTCAGACAGGCAAAATCTAATGGATGAGCTCATTTCTTTTTGAAAAGCCTTTGTTTCAGGCGGTGGAGGAGGCGGTGCGACAGGAGAAGGCTGCGATGACGGGGCGGCTGCTGAGCACCTTTGAGAGCCTCAAGGGCCTGAACGTGCTCCCAGGCCAGCCGGCCGCCACCGCGCCGGCCGCTCCCAAGGGCCTGATGGGAACGCTGCTGGACGTTCAGTGCGGCGCCGTCATCGGTAGTCATCGCGCGCAGCCGCCCGCGGGGATCCCTCCCGCCGAGCCCTTCAGCGCGTTCGGCTCACCCCCCAGGGCAGGCCACAACATGGCGGGCGCCGCCAGTCTAGGCGCGGAGCTCAGCTCGCTGCTGTGCGGCATGGGCGCGGGTCTCGCGGCGATTCCACCGCCTCTCAACGGCTCGACGCCCCCGGAAGTGTTTGCCCCGGCGCCCCTCGGCCGCTGCAACTCTGCTGCGCAACCCGCGGCCGAGCCCTTCTCCTTTTTTAACGGATCTAGCAGCATCTGGAAGTGAATGTCAAAGGTCAAAGGTTCAAGGCAAGATGGAGCAGTCCCTGTGAGCAGTTCATGAATCGACAAGAGAGTTTTGGGGCAGGGGTTGTGTCATCTTGCAAAAATAGGAGTATCTTGCACCGTGCCAAACGCATGTTTGTACCAAGAAAGCCCGAACGGAATTCAAGCCATCCAAGCAGTTCTCGGTGTCTGCACCACGCTGGAGTGAGCACCTGGAGTGAGGTGCTTCTTCTGGCTGGCTGTCCAGTAATTATCTTAGGGCAAGGCAGCACCGGCGATTCAAGCGTTGCATAGCATTTTATTGCCAGATCTTGGCGTGTACAGAAGCAGCCCATTCGTTTCTTTTCAGAAGCCAGTGTTTTCCCCACTCTGTTCTCGTTTGTCTAGGGCATTTTGCTGTCCTTCGAGGCAGGCTGAGAGTGTCTAGGCAAGTGTTGGAACAGAAACTACCTGTACAGTAAGCCTTGCAGGGTGGATGTACCTTTGTATATCAGCTGCAAGTTGGACCAAAATCCTAGCTTGGCTGTGTACTTGTATGTTTGTTTGTATCCTGCCATCTTTAGTGTGTCAGGTGCTTAGTACCTGTTTGCAATGACTTGCATGCTAGCAGTATTTGCGCTCGATCAGCTTCAAGCAAGTTGTGTTGTTTGCACTTTGAGTCTCTCTCCCTTGTGAGCTTCAAGCATCTTGAGGATCAGGGGTGTGCTAGACTTTCCAAGAGACAGAAGGTAGCATTGATGCCTTGCTGGGCCTGAAAAACGAGTCCCAGATAGTGAAATTGCGCCACCCACTCAAGAGGCTGCCCATTGCACACCCATTCAGAAAGGGCCAGGCCACACCTGGGAGAACACTAGAACTTTTGTCTTCTCAACACTGATGAGCATGCCAGTTGCCGCAAAAATTTGCACAGTACCTTCAATAAGAACTTGCAATTTGCAAGTTGCAAAGCCAAAGACATTCAATTGGAATGGGAACTACAGAAAGTGACTAAGCGCCACGTCATCATTGTCAGCTTGAAAATGAGATGCACAGCTGAGTAGTGATTCACTACTAGTGAAGTCATTTCACCCTGACAGACTTCACGGTGCGTGAACACAAATCAGAGCAACATCGGGAAGCGGCAGCAGAAGTATAACATGTAGCTCAAGCTTCTAACGCAATGCATGCTCTGCTGGCCACTATTGCGGTGACACTGCTTCTGTGCACATCTTTTGTGCACTGCGCTTCTGCGACCTCTGCAGAAGTTCTTCCACTTCCAAACCCAGGAAATGCTTTCACTTTTGACCATTCTCTCCAGGTGGGCCGTGGACGACGTCTGATGTACAGATGTAGAAATTCAAATTCAGTCTTCATTTGCCAGAAGAAGTCCTACCGTAGAGTTGCAGTACCATGCTGCTCATATAAACATCAAAGTAATACCTAGGACAGTGATGAGGCAAAGAATTTGGAAGATAACAATACGAGGCGCAGGGTCTGGCGGACAAGTTGAAGGAAGCTTTGTTGGAGCTGCAACACAAGAAACTGAAACAGGTACGTCAGTCCTCGTCACAATGTTATTAAGATATCTGATAGCGAGTTCATCAGATAGACTGTACAGGAGCAGCAGGTGAAGTGCAGTATTCCCATCAGGGCACTCAATATGTGAAGGTGGCATAGGTGGTATCAATATGCAATAAATCTTTTCCAATCGTTTTTGTAGACTCTGTTGGACCCATATGTCCATTGTCCTGTGCTCACACTTTGACACAAACTGTTGTTTACGGCTTGGTCTGCTTGCAAACAAACATTAAGTCAGGACAGTGAAGGAAAACTTGCTATTGTGCTCAGGTGACCACAACACCTTCACCAGAATGGACAACTCCAGCAGCTGCGCTTGAGACATCCACCCCTGCACCCTCAACCCCGCCGCCAAGCACCCCTGCAACCCTAAGCACAACCGCGCTACCCCTGCCTACATCCACTCCAGCTCCCTCCACCAATCCCCCAACCACCCCACCAACGCCGTCATCGTCAGCCGCTGCTGCCACAACAAGTGCAACCCAGCCGCAGACAAGCGCCGCACTTGTCACAACGCTAACACCCGTCCCGACATCCTCTGGAACCTGCATCCCCGGTGGCGGCTCCTGTGCTTCAAACTCAAGTACTAATGGCCAGGTTTGCTGCAGCGGAATCTGCCGGCCGGGCACTGCGAATGGCACTATTCTGCCGCGGTGTGCTTAAGATCGACCATGGTCTGCGGGCCTGATGAGGTTGTAATTGGGATGGCCAGCCCATGCATGACAACTAGCTTGCTTTGTGATTGGCTTGTCACATCTAGGGTGCCTTGCGCAATGTGATACCTTGTGTACTGTGCGGGAGACTCTTTGTGAAAATGATTGCCATGGTGGCCAAGGAACTTCCGGGGTCTTGTATATCTTGTATATCAGCTGCAACCGCGCGCAACCCCTTTCTGCTCATTTGCATCTTTAAGTAATTAAAGGATGCCGCTACACCGATTTCACACCCACAAACACGCGTAGCAAAGCTTTCAGACGTCATTGTACACCCTTGACACACCCAGTTTGTCACCACCGTGTCCAACGTGTCAAAAATTACACGTCGGACACGCACACCCAGTTCGTCATCACCTCCCAGCCAGCGTGTCCATCGCGATCGTGTCAGCAATTACACGTCCGACACGCGTGTCACCCACGTGTCCACCCCCTCTCATCCGCTTTCCACCCACTGCATCACAATGTGATGCAGTGGGTGATGATCACATGTGTCCAATGAGGTGTAATCTGCACGTGTCAAGAGGTGTTCAATTGAAGCTGTGGATGCTTGCAAGCTATGGATGATCTGAGCTCGCGAGACCTGTTTGGCATGCAGTGATGCACTCGTATGCCATTGGAGGTATTGACCGGGCGTGGCAAGCGACACCTGCGATTGTCAAGCTTGGCGGAAACGTAGCTGTGAAACCTTGTAACTAACTGCTTGAAGCATGGCGAGACACAAAATGTTCAGACCTATGTCACGTGACGGGCACAAGTGAAGGAAGGAAGGAAGATTACATCACTCTCCAGCCGCCTAGGGCTGATTGGATGAACTGGCAGCATCCAAATAATCAAAACAATCCATCACAAAATGTGCAACACCAACAATGTCCAACTGCCACATGAATTGCTGCATCGTCACAATGGCTGCACCAAACAGCCCAGGATATCTGTCCCGAACAGATTGCAAGGCAGGGCACTCAAACACAAGGTGGCGCTCATCCCCAATAACCCCCAGTGACCTCCATGAAATGGTAGATCGTACCAGGGTTTAACAGGGGTCCTAGGAAATGTCAGGCCAGCCCCTAAATAGGGCAAGGGGGCTGCTATAATAGTAGCTGAAACTTCGGGGCGTCCCTGAGGTTCCCCAGGGTTTTCAACAGGGAGGAGCAGGTTTTCCCTTCAATCTCGCCTCCAAGTGCCACCAGTGGTTCATATTGCCTGAATAGTCAGGGGAGCCCCTGAGTCACACCCACGTGGTTTCGGGGCGTTGCCCTGATGCCATTTGGCCAAATCTGAGTTTATCCCGGGGTTGCCCTGAAACCTTGCCCCCAACCCTGCCAGGAGGAGGTGGGCCTCCAGTGGAGCAGGTGGGCCAATCCCTTGGGGGGCCCTGGGGGGCTGTCAAACCCTGGATCTCACTGCCACACGAGATTAGGAAGTGTCGCAAGTCTCCATTAACCCCTTTGATTTGAATCAAACTGACCCAGCAGCCTCAGTGACACCAGCGATCAGTGCTGAAATGTGTACACCACTGCGTCACGATCATGTGAACAGGCTTTCTCTTCCGCCGCAGAAAGTCTCTCCTACCGCACCGGGGGATGTGGTATGCAATGGTTGAAATCAATATTACTGCAATCCTGTCTAAGAAAGCACAAAGTATATGCAGAGAAGTCTGCGCTGGAGTTGCCTCATTAGACACTTCGGGAAGGCAGGTAGATCTCAGATCCCGTTTGTTTCTCATGTCACCCTGGCCCAAACCTCCACCCTCCCTGGATCCTGCCCACGATAAGGACGACTGTTGATCCACAGTGAACCGTTTCTTATCATTATAAGCAGGCAATGTGCTAGCAGGTAAAAGTCCGAAGCTCTTCGCGTGCTGTCTCGTAGAACAGAAGGCTTTACTAGGTATATTTCTTTCAAGTAGACAAGAATTGATTGTACTATTTGGTTTGATCATTCTGAATCTTTGTGTTGCTTTGACCATTTGTGGTCGGAAAGACACGGAGGTGTCCCTGAGTCGGGATCAGTGGTACGACAGGTCCGTAAAGAGCAGCCGTGTTCCTGCCAATAAAAACCCATTCTTAAAGTGGGATATTGAGTTCAGCATATTATAGGACCTTCAATGCATGCCCTGCTCAGTAGAGCACTCCTTCGAGTGAAGTGGTCTGCGGATAAGGTTTCGGCATGCTTCTCTACCGTCAGACGTGCAGGATCTTACAACAAACTTATGTGTCATGCACCAGGCTGATAATCGTGTTTTAAACCGGCCGTCCCCCCTCTACTTGTGCCGGTACATCGCCCCAAGACTACCGGATGGAACCCTTGATGGCACAACCGCATGTACGTCACCTGCTTTGCGAATGAACAAAGCCATTGTTGCTCCATTGCTCAACTCATGGATGATTTATTGCCATGAGCCTCAAATCTCTTACGATGTAAGTGTACAGATCTGTAGCTTATAAGCAAGTGAGCATCCACGTGCAACAATAGGCAGACTGGGCCCATAAAATGCCTCAATCGCTGAAGAATAAATTTGCGACTCAAAGATATGCCTAACATACTCCTCTTCTTGTCTATCAGCAGGCGGTGGTTGACATTGCCACCATGCCTGCACCTGATCAAGTGCCAGAGCCCACATCTCTCCTCCCACGCCCTGCTGTAAAGGTGCGTAGCCTCCATACTGCACATGAATTCAAATTCGATTTCAAATTGAAACACACAACGGGCAATTGTGCAACCTGCACAGGTTGCATGCGCTGAGAATGCACTGCTGAGAGAAGTGGTGAGCTATTTGCAGGGTGGGACTAATGCACAGTATGGCCCTGCCTGGACGGGCATGCATCCTCCAGACACCGACCCGGCAACAGTGGACAGGCATCCCAGTGGCATCATGGTTGAAGACCTCATGAGGGAGGTGGTCAAGTGTGTGCCTCATCCTTTGGCAGAGGCCTTGCTTTTGATAGTGCCGGCGCATGTCCAGAGCAAGCAAGGTCATGTGTGTGAAGTGCAAGCTGTGTTCTGAGAAGTGTTATCTGGTTTCACCCATTGTGACCTAGGCACCCAATATGACATTTTGCACTGATCTGCAGGTATGGGGAATTGTGTCAGGTGACTTACGACAATTTCATACGCTTTGGTGAGTCCTGGACTGCCCATTTCCTATGGTGTGGATTGAAAAACAATTATGCCCACTTGGCTTGAAGCGCTGCATTGCTTCAGGCCATGCATGCAGGGCCCAAGTGGCATGCTTGACCTTTCTGCCCTTGTACAACATTGATGATGCCTTTGAGATGAGCACGTGACCGGTGGAACAGGGGATGGACTGCCTCTGCACCCAAATCCAGCAAACCTTCTGGCAGACAGACAGGTGAGAACTATTGACATCTGGTGAGGTCCTGCCCATGTACGACACAATTTTGATTTTGATTTGGACTCGGACGATGGCCAATACAACTTCAAGTTGGTTTGGAAAAATTCTGGGAATCTTGCTAGGAGTGCCTCGATGCATCAGACCCTGAGTTTGACGGTAATAATGCACAGCCCATGGTTTGCTGCTGCAGCAGTTTCTCAGACAAGGCACATCAGGGTGGGAGGCTCACACCCTGCGAGCAACATATATTGGCCTTGGATCGCACTTCATGCCAATTATATGGCAGTGGCTATTATATTGAGCAGATGCGAATGGTGACTGATCCTGATGGACTTTGGGAGTTCCATTATGGGGTAGAGTATGTTGCAGCTTTACAAGCAGCTTTTCTGCAGCTGCACCTTGCCTCTTGCCAGAAAGCACATGTGGAAACAAAGACATTCTTGAATTTTTTAAAGACTGTTGAGCCTGGTTTGCATGCTGTGCAGCTGGAGTGGATTGACCCCAACACCTCAGCAGTGTATGACTACTCGATGGACGCTGACAAGGCTTACTACCTGACTGCCACCTCTGGCTTCTACCCTGGCGAGTTTGGCTTCTTCAGCCGCGGCAGACAGACCACCAACTGGATTGGTGCGCCTGCCCTCTGCTCCTAATGGATATTTGAGTAATATTTTAGAGTAAATTTAATTCAACACGCTAATCTTGTCAGAGACATGGTGTGTCTGCCAACAAGCTGCAGCTTGAACTCTACCATTGCGTTCCATGCATTTTTTTCACCTTTGCGCCCTTCATTCATGCGCTGCACTCCCATCTATGCGCCTTATTAGAGCAGAAATTTGGACACCTCAATTCTGTGTTCGTAGCTTGAGACCTTAGGATCCAGAGAATAAAGATATACAAATACAAAAAGCGTGCCCACAAGGTTAGCAGGGGGTGGTACAGAGAGTAGTCTTTACTAACCCCCTGAGGTCTTTGCTTCAAGGGTGAATGCAGGGTTTGCATGCAGGCTACGTGGCCATTTCCAAGCCTCTGGGGGAGAAGAGGAAGCGGGACATTGCAGTGGTCTTCAGAGGCACACAGGCCAAGACAGAGTGGGCGTCCGACTTTGTGTGGGAGATGCAGCCCTGGAGCGACCTGCAGACTGGACGGCACAATGTCAAGGTGGCCAAGGTGAGGCATGAAGCGCAACTGCATGTTTGCATTTTGCAGTCGAACAATTGCAAATCGTGCATGCACGCATCTGTAGTGAGAGCACGAGAAGTGTACCCCGGAAATTTCTGCGGAGGTGCATGGGATATAGCTCCATCACACTGTTCATCATGGAGCTTCCATGCTGCTGCTGCAGGGTCCCAGCATCTTTTGAGGAAGTTGAGGGGGCAGAAAATTTGAATATCTTTTGTGCCGCGCAGGGGTTTGAGACCATGTACAGGCGCTTTGCTTCCACACCAGGAAACACCCTCTCCATCCAGGTGCTGTTCTCAATTTGCCTCTCTCCTGCTGCCTCCTGTAGAAACAGTCATGCTGCGACAACTATCGCACGATTAGTAACGGCGCTATCCTGAAGAACATGCTTAGCACGTAAGGGAAGACATGCATCTCGGAACAGAACGTGGCACACTTTGCCGGAGGCGCCAATACAGCAAACACAGGAAACAGCTGTTCCATCTGCATCTTTGGTGCTTTAATGGCGGATTTGTGTTGTCTGTTCAGGGTCAGGTGCACGTGGCGCTGAGCAAGCTGCTGACTCAGTACGGGGACGAGATCGGCTCCATTACTACTACGGGCCACTCCCTCGGCGGCGCTCTGGCGTCCCTGTGCGCGTTTGACATCGCCTGGTCGCGCATCAACCGAGTGGAGGACAAACCGGGGGGCGCCCTCATCCCTGTGACTGCCTTCACCTTCGAGGCTCCGCGCGTAGGTGCGCCCCTTTTCAGGGCTACTCAGGGGACTCTAGATCAATTTAAGTCAACTCCCGGGCTACTGCCTCGCAGGGGTTTTATAAGCGCAGAAGATTTTAGATTATGTAGGCCACCTGGAAACAGAGTGAAGTAGCGCTGCAGGATAAAGGCAATTTCCGGGTGTCTGATGGGCAATGGCCGAATGAAGTTCTGCGCCACATCCCCGTGAGTGCCTTCCCCTTTGAGGCGCTACGGGTTGGTTTTGGAGCTGCAGCCAGGGGAATCTTGATAGACTCTAATAGGCTAGCTAGACCTTTGTTCTGCCTTCCTGTGTCATCCATAAATGAATACTAGCCTGTCTGGAGCGTGTGCAGCAGACAGAGGAGCAGCAGTACAATCTGCCGTCCGGGCCTCCGAGTCCTGCAAGGCAGACATGCAAACTATGTCAAACTATAACTAAATCACAAACAGTGACCTGGCCCGTCTCTAAGAGGGTATTCAGAGAGTGTCTTGCTGCAGCCTGACAGAAGACAATTACCAGGTGTCTTATGCGCAATTCTAATCATGTCTGCACTGCGCCACATGGCGCTTTGCTCACGAGGCAGGACAGGTGGCAACCGCCCACAGGCCAAGGACTATCACCGTGACTCATGCATATTGCCTGAGGCATGACAAGTCACGCAGGCAATGCGGCGTACGCAGCAACCTTTGATGGAGACTACAGCCCGGACAACCCTCCTGCCGACCTCAACAGCGTCAAGTATGTGAAGATGCTGCGCGTCGTCAACGTACCTGACATCGTCCCCAAGGTGAATTGTCCTTCAGCAATCCACATGCGCCTTGCTTGGATCTGGCGAGTCCATCAAGGGGTAGGATTTTGCAGCCTTTACTGCAGCTTGTCTGCAGACGCACCTTGCTTCCGGCAGGAAAAGCGTGTAATAATAAGAATAATAATCCACATGCGCCTTTCAGCCAGCGCGGTCCATCTCCACTCTGCACAGTGCTTGCATGGCCCACTGTCATGAGCTGGCCTCCACCAGAGCTGGCATGCCAGCACTGCTTTGCATCTAGATCTCCTTTTTCTGTGTGTTAGTTCTAAGCGTATAGTGACCGAGCAACATCCCCGCCTCTAGATTAATCTTGCTCAGGTCCTCATCCTTTCGATTGGAAGACAGATTAGTGCTTCTCTTGGACTGCAGCTTGTCTGCCGAAGTCGGCTGGCCATGCAAATAGCTGGAAATATCACTCTTCAGCCGCCCAATCAGCCCATTGTTGGCCGGCAGAAGTCTAATGATAATCTTTGGTGCGATTGCAGGCGCCGCGCACCGGATTTCGCCGCCAGTTCCTGCTGCCGTGGCGCTGGCCTCAGCTGGTGTTCTGGGCAGGCGCAACCGCGGCCGGTGTCCTGATTCCGTCCCTGCGAAACCGCGAGCTCGGCTATGTGCACGGCGGATTCGAGTGAGCGATTCCCACCACTTTGGCAGATGTATTTTCCACGTGTCAGTCACAATCATATCCACGCTGCGATGCACTCAAGCTTAGCGCGCATGGAAAACCGCTGTGCTGTGCAACTGAGTGCATGATGCCAAATCTTGCGAGTTCTGCTTCTGGCAGCAAGCCTCAGAAAGCGGGTGGTTGCTGGGAGGACTGCATGGGACAGTGGGTTTTTGGCAATTACAGAGCTGCACACTTTGCCACACCGGTAAAGAATCCTCTCCGTAAAGTCTTTGGCTCGCACAACGCCTTGCTAACACAGGAAAGTTCCCGTGCAGGTTCAATTTGAACTCGATTCCCCTGGAGGCTGAAGGCATCATCCGGGACATGAGGAACGACCACTGGCCTTGCCACATCAAGACCAAGATCGGCCAGTGGCACGATCTGCTCATGGCGCTATACCTCATTGACGACACGCGCCCCATTGGGGATCTGAACCCCCATCTGCCAGCTAACCAGCCATGAGGTCTTTGACATTCCAGAGGCATGCCCTTTATTAATTTTTTAAAGGCACATTCTGCAAAGTACACAGCAGAGCAACAAATGCACACGGAGAAATGGTGCTGCTAGGCTGCTAGCCGATGTCAGCTGATGTCAACTTTTACAGGAAAACAAAAGCTGCTGGGATAGCTTGGCACCATGATAATGAGATGTCAGATCATTATCTTCCTCGAGAACAGCGTAGGCTTTGCGGGATATTACAAGTATTGACATGATTAAAGGCTGGTTTGAACTTGCTCCCCATATCAGATGGTTCAAATGTGCTCTGACTGACATCCAAAGTACTTTTCATATTTCTATACATTGTCCAAACAGGCAGCAGCTAAGATGTGGCTCCAGAGATTGTACATCAGCATGAAACCAATTCATCCATCAATAAGACCAGTGGTGTAAAAGCAGTCAAGACGCATCGTTACGAGAAATCGAGCGGCACATTGTGGTCAGCGTCATTCTCCGGCGCTCAAGTCATTGTGCATCGTCTTGCTAAGCTAACAATCAAAGCTCGTCACGTCATAGAATGAGGCAGGTGTTGTATCAGGTCAAGCTGCTGCATGACTGGCACCACCATTATATGCATGGTGCTGCGCTCATGGCAGCGCAGGCAGCTCTTTTGTCACCACTGAGCCGCCAATGTTGAGCGGCCCGACCGGGTTGTAGACTGTCTTCACGGGCGCGATGGCGATTAGCGCGGGCGCAATATTGAGCCCCTGCCATGCGTACTCTACATGTCAGCATGCCGCCCATCAGGAGAGTTGCTGGATGTATTCTGCACAAATTCAGTGAAGCATTACAAGCATGTAGACCACACCACAAACAAACATTGCACGCTACACTTCAAAGGCAAACACCTAGCAAGGGAACAAGAACAAAAGTGCTGGCAAGTGGACAGAGCACCCACCTGGCCAGCGATGGTGGTATCGAAGGGCGCAACGACGATGACGGAGGGTGAAATACTCAACCCAAAGGGGTTGACGTTGACGCCTGTTGGCGCCACTGAGATGCCCTGAGGCGAGATGTTGATGCCGGTCGCGCCTATTGCCACAGCCGTGGGGTTGATGACCACCGCGCAAGGCTCGTACTTCATTCCTTTTCAGCTGAGGTCCAAGAACTTGGCTGCACATACATAACCGAGGACTCACTTATAAAAAAACTGACAAGATGCTGGCATCTTTGTCAAGGCATCAATGTGACCATCCCACTTATGATCAGCGTCTCCCAGTATCAACATGCACAAATGATCCTGGGGTCATCATTGGCAATGATTCATTGCAGAGACCTCCCTTGAGGATGATGGCCACTTACCGGAAGATTTTCCAACTCTTGGAGAGTTGTCAAAGAACACAGGTGCGTCAATCTGCATTTTCGGCTTGAGAAATTTCTCAATGAGCGACGTGAAGTTGCCGTGGCTGGCATCCGTGAACAGCTGGCCCTGCAAGAAAGCACCACATGATTGTCATTGCCTGGGATCCCAATGCTCAGAGGTAACAAGTTTTGCTCACGCGTGCCGGCATCTGCCTAGTCAGTGATCTATAGCCCATTACCCTTAGGGGTATTATACAATCCAAAGTGTGTAATTCCTTGGTCAGGGCTGAAGGGGAGGTCCCAGCGGCCAGGCCGGGGGGACCAGCGCTAAGCTGCGCTGGTCAGACCGGGGGATTCTGCAATGTGCAGACCAATATGATCCGGTCAAACACGTCCAGAGCTACAGAGACCTGGTCGCCTAGCAGAACCAAACCATCGACGCTTTATGCTCTCACTTGCTAATTAGCTCATAAGCCAAAAACTTCGTTACATCAGATGTTTACTTGGCCATTCTATCAGTATCTCCTTATGAACACAATTGGCAAGCTGACTCTTTGCAGCATCTACATTACAGTCGAAGTTTTAATTTTGTCAGCGACACCGATTCTCAATGATGTCTCTCGTCCAGACTTACTTGCTTGTGCAGATGGCGTGTTGCCAGGTCTTGGAAGCTCTTCAGAGCTTCCAAGCTCTCCTCCTGGGATTTGCCACCATAGCTCATCGCTGAGGCCACGATGTCGGTCCACATGCCGAAGCCCGACGTTGCCACCGGCAGGTCGATGGTCTCGGCTGCGCCCCATCCCACCAGCATCACGGTCACAAGCACGAACAAGCACCTACGGCACACACAAGAAAGGTTTTTCGCCGTTAAACTCCATGAAGACACATAACTTTGACCTTTCATGATTTGGGTATGATTGCCGGGGCTCCAACTTGTGAATCCGGAATGACGTATCAAGGTCCTTTCGTTCGCGCCTCTTTGACCCACTGTCCTTTCACCGACATGTGCTGCTACAAGACATCCCATGGCAAAGTTTGTGAGTTTGTGGATAGAAAACCCTTTCAAAGGGCAGCAGACTCGTGCTATAGAGTACAAGGCCTTGTGACGCCTTGCTTGGGTCACAGTGCACAATGCTCTCCCACAACACATCTGTCTGTTCTCCCCAGTGCACCTTCTAGAGTATTCGCTGTACGAACTAACCTGATTGCTTATTCACCTTAAACGTGTATATTCAGGAGTAGTGTCCCACCTCTTTAAGGCCATTTTGACGATACTTGAGAGAGGTTGCTCACGCAAGTGTCCCAGAAGGCTGCGGCAATTTCTCGAGGAAAGGTATCTTAATGGACTACAATGTCCTTGGATACTTTTGAATGATCTGTGCGAAAGTTTTGAAGCAGAACAATCCTTCTCGTGGGGATACTATACCGGACGAATCAGCTGGGTTACGTGGAAAGTGCTTGATTAGGCCAAAGGCTGGACCCCTAAGCGCTGTGCGCATTGGGAAGATATCGCTGTTGGCGATCCCACAACAGCGTCTTAAACACCTACAGGTGCACCGCCGGCCATCATCCTAATCTTATTCCCCCTTCATTCACACCAGGCAGCCGAGACACCGTGGTCTTGTTGAAGCTACCTTTCCACTTGGCAGCAGTCCCTGTGTCAAGAAAGGACTTAAGATGACTGCACTGGAGCATGCTGGTCAGTGACCAGTGGTCACATGCTTCTGCAAACTGCTTCCCCAGCTGGTACCGTAGCAGTGACTGTGTGCATGCGCCGTGTTGCCATGCAAGACAGTGAAGGTCTGAGGAGGCTTTTGCTTCTGCAGCACTGACCACGTTGTTCAAGATGATGCACTGCGCCCCAGGCTTGCATCAGGATCACCAAATCATGATATCGATGCATCTGCATGCATCATGATGCGCATCAACACTGCCGCTCTCGAGAAACATGTGTTTCCAGAAGAATGCCCTTAAGACTTTATAGATGCAAAGTAAATATATGGGTTCGTTTGAAAGGCAATGATCAACTGCCAATGTGACTTGGGCACTAAGATAAAACTGCCATCCTAAGCAAGGGGACAGCCAGACTAGGCTAGCTGCAATTTGGAGCATGAGGGCAATCATATGGTGGCCAATGTTCGCCAAAGACGTCTTGGAAAGTCTGTTAGAGACCTAGAATGATATAAAAAACGGAAGAGATCACCTCTCCCCGACATTTCTGAGAAGAGGAAGGATTGATGAGTGACTGATGGTGGCTTCTCAGGCAGATTTGGTTGCGAAACTCGGGGCAGCGGATGCCGATGCGCGATTGCATGCCATCAGAGATGTTAAGAATCAGATCATCGGTAATAAGTCGAGAAAGCTGTCCTACATAAAGCTGGGAGCTGTTCCCAGAGTTGTTGAACTACTAGCTTCATCAAACGCAGAGCTTTCAGTGCGCATCCAATGTGCGGCAACAGTAGGCAGTTTTGCTTACGGCTTAGACGATGGACTGAAGGCTGTGATGGAAAGTGGGGGTGTGTTACAGCTCATTCAGATGCTCTCCAGCCTGGATGACTGTGTGGTAGAGGCTGGCGTAAGGGCTCTGAAGATGGTCTACCGGGTGACAAACATTCTCTGCAATTTGATGCTGTTCGCATGACCTGAATTTCGCGCTCGGTGATTCATGTACTGAGTACCAGGTACTGCTGGTCAAGGGGTAACCATAGACGAGTGCAAGGCCACATCAGAACAACTGAATAATTTCTGTTGCTTTGATGCAGTCTCCTGAGGCTCCCAAGGCTCACCGCCTGACAGCAGACGCCTTGCAGCGCTTGGTGGTGCTCCTCTCATCAGACAACCGCAGCGTGGCTGAAGTGGCAGCGCGGGTCTTGGCTCGCTGCTGCGATTCCCCAGAGCAGGTGTGCAGCTACTCCATCTTCTGACAGAGCTTTCCTTGCTCCCATCTCAGGGATGAGGCAGTCAAGGAGGCATGATTGCTGGCATTAGCTGCCTCGATTGATATTCCCAACTCTTAGATCCGCATTTTGAGGCCACATGCCAGGAAAGTCAAAATCGTGGGCACTGCAAGTCAATCCTGGGTGGGCCGAGTCCCCAGGGAACTTTCGTCCATGCATGGACTCCAGGTCTAAGTCCGGCAGCTGACGTTGGCTGCGCGGGGGTTCCAGAAAATGATGGTGGCGGAGGCGGGGGGACTGGAGGGGTTACTACGGCTGATGGCAACGGGGGAGTTGCCGCGAAAAGAGGCGGCGGTAGACGCGCTGGCGACGCTGACATCAGGCAGCGATGACATCAGCCGCCGCGTCGCTGACTCAGCGCACGTGACATCACAGCTGCTGCCGCTGCTCAAATCGCCGTCCGCGCGCGTGCGCTTCCTGGCCGCCTGCTGCCTCACCAACCTTGCCCCCGCCCTGCCCTCCACCAGCTCGGCGCCCTCCCAGTCCGAAGAGGTGATTGTCCCTCAAAACTCTATGAAGGAATTAGGAAACATAGAGGAATTTCTGCTCAGGAACACCTTGAAAGCCGGCTTCCCTGTTATTGAACTATCGAGCCGTTATCCCTCATCAAAGCGCTCGCCTGGGTGGCCTGGCATTCCTGATCCTTGTGATACTGATTGGAAAAATATCACCAGCACCAGGATTATCGCCTGGCAAGCGCATTGTATCAAGCATGAAGAGCCGGTGATGTGATGTGGGTGCTGAGAGTCTGGCATGCTGAACTAGGGATACAATTTTTGTATGGGGTGATGAGACAATTATGGTGTGGACTACCCATGGAGAGGGGAAGAATCTTTGGATGGGATGATGAATGGGTGGGCAATCTTTCAAACTAATCAATGGGTTTGATGACATCAGCCAATTTTAGGGAGGTGTAGGATAGCTTTGTCCTGCAGCCTCCCTGCAGATGCACCTTGCCCTCTGGCAGGAACACCATGCAGCAACAGTAAGAGTATTTATAACAGGAATAGAAATGGTACACTAAGCATGACAGTGATGTCAGAATAATCTGGAGCGTCACGGGGCGGCAGCATGTGTGGCAGCCTTGACCTGCACCTGATCTGCAGAAGCTCATTGCCTTCTTTGCAGGAACAGCGTGTCCAAAAGCAAGCACAGAAATGATTGACAATGCTAGAGTGTTACTGGGCTGGCAGGAAGTGAGGCGGGCGGTGCTGCCTGTACTGGCGAAGCTGCTGGGTGAGGTTGAGGTGTGGGAGGAGGTGCCGCATGTGCTCAGCCGCCTGCTGGCCGACAACCCCCAGCTGCAGGCAGCCGCGGCCGACGCCGACGCCGTCTCCAAACTCGCCAGCTTCCTGCGCTGCGACGACTGCAGCCAGCGCCTCAAGGTGCCGGGGGCCCCAGAGTATACTGTGAGATTTTCCTTGAGATTATGCGGCCCTGCAGGGGAGACGGCAGGGCAGGTCAATAGCGACGCAGCAGATTTGGGATGCCGCCATCCGTGAGTCCCCGCAAGGGAAACAGCTGGGCAGGGGAGTTGCACATGGGCGATGCAGCGTTGCAGGAAAGCTGAGGGACGTGAAAGCGATATAAGAACTGCATCTAGATGCGAGCCTGGCAAGACAAAAGCAGACTTCAGGCAAGGACAAGCTGAAATGGAACACCAAGTTTAAGAAGTAGATGTAAGACAGCACTGGACAGATTCATTCTTCGTGGGATGCTGCATGCTGTGTGCTTGCTATGGCGCAGGAAGGAACGCTGCGAGCGCTGAGCACACTGTGTGCTGACCGGGAGGCCAGCAGGCGCCAGCTCATCGACGCAGAAGCCATGGGCGCCATAGTGCGGGCGCTCGATGACACATCCCCACAGGTGCCACATTTTCCCTGTCACTGAAACACCACCGATTTATCAAAACCACACCAGAAGCAAAAGGAGCACGGACCCTCAGAAAGTGTGTGAGCATTCAACAGTACACCTGGGTGTGTAGTAATGCTGCAACACTGAGTGCGTGTATGAGCATCCAAGGGTGCATAAATGGCATTAAACATCTTTGGCACAGCCGTACTGGTACATGCATGCGACGTGCTCTGTTCACGGCCTCTCCTGGCACAGCCTGAATTGGCGCAGCCTGATCCGGCACTGGCCTAACTACTAATAAGTACGTGGCCTGTCTTGGTGGAACCTCGTCTGATAGTTACAGCTCGCCAGCTGTGGCACAACCCAATTGTTGAATTCTCGCTGCCTGAATGCTTGCATGCCTGATCTGGCACGGCCTGATCTGACAGCATGCACGTGCCAAAATAGGTGCGACTGGCGGCGTGCGGCTGCGTGCGCGCAATGTCGCGAAGTGCCAAGTCCCTGCGGGCATCGCTGGTGGAGCATGACGTGGCGGCGCCGCTTTTTCGAAATTTGAACGATGCCGACCGCGACGTGCGCATCATCGCGTCCGCCACCCTCTGCAACCTCGTCCTTGATTTCTCCCCCGTGAAGGTGCGCGCATGCATGTAGAAGAGCAGATTTGATGACGCAGTTCATTTCCCAGTTCGTCAATGAAGGGCTCTCAAATTATACCCAACCCATGACTATGATGGCTGCGGTCATAGACCCCCAAAAGGGGTGTCTTACAAATTGATGCGGCAGGACATCAACCTCATGGGTTGCGGCTATCAAGGCAAATTTAGGAGGGAGACTTGGACAATATACAGCGCTGCTGGTTGCATTGTCCAGGCAAAGCATACATAATCATCTTGCATGGCAGTAGCAACTTCGACTCTGGATGTTCATGCCGGAAATTTGTACGGGGTGAACTTTACTATGTTTTTACATAGCTGCTGCCTCCTCACTGGTTGGACTGCAGGGTCTGACAGTATGTTGTGTGGCTGGCGCGCAGCAAGCGGTGCTGTCGGCCGGCTGCATTCCGGCGCTGGCGGCCCTGGCGGCCAGCCCGGACGCGGAGCTGCGCCTGAACGCGGTGTGGGCGCTCCAGAATCTGGTCTACACCGCCCCGGCCGAAGTGCGCGCTGCTGTCTGCAACGCGCTGAGCTGGCGCGCCGTCGTTGACCTCACCAATGACATGCAGACCGAGGTGCAGGTGGGCTGCTGCTACTCTGGGCACTTTTGAGATTCTGTCTGCCATCTTGTTGTGTTCTTTGGCAGCGAATTTCAATCATGCACATTGCGCAGGCATGGGTCACAAAGTGAAGGAATGCCGTCAAACCGGCCTTTGTCACCTATATGGAAAGGACTAGCTCCCATTCCTTCCTGCAGTGATGTCCAGCCTGTTGCTCCCATGAATAAGGCTACTGACCGCGCAACGTACAGAAGGGACTGCCAGGGGTGCTTAATTCGCATGGAACAGGCCTTCCAGCTTCTCACTGTCAAATATGCACAAAACTGCCACTGCCCTGTGGAGACCTTGCTTCGGATTTTTATCCAATTTTGCTTCCAAAAGTGGAGCAAGAAGTGAGCCTATTCTGCCGACTGCTGTAGGAGCGAGCGCTCAACATGCTGCGCAACCAGTGCGCCAATCTGCCGGACAGAGACGCAGCCAAGCTGGTGGATATGTTGCTCAACTGGAGCGGCGGCGAGCTGTCTGGCCTGCTGATTGCGCGCTCGGACCCTGCCGCCTCACACCCAGTCTCCCACCGCGTTCAGGCTCTCTACACCCTCTGCAACATTGCCGGGGCCGGTGCGACCCCCCTGCCGCTACCTGTTTCCCATTACTCAAATTCCACTTTTGCGGGGGACTTGGGTCCCCCCGGTGGTAAGAGGCGGGATCCCCCGGCGGTGGTGTCAGATCCCCTAGCGTGGTGGCGGCTTGGCCACGCATGAAAGCTCTGCAAGTGTGTGTGATGTGCTCATAAGATGTTACAGAGGAAGGCTTGGACCACACATCTTGCATTGGAGCGCAAGGCATGCAAGGGGAGACACGTAGAGATGGAAAGTTAATACCTTATACAACACCAGCAGCTAGGATGTGCCCAAGTGTAGGCACCTCGAGAGACCTACCGCCACGCGCAGAGGCAGGAGAAGGCCTGCATGTTTGACAATGCCTCCACTATCATTTGATGATGGAGCCTCGCAAGAGAATCGTACGCCCATCAATTCGTGCTCTGCCATGCAGGGGAGGAGAATTCGCGCGACGGCATGATGGCGGCTGGCTTGGGCCCACACTTGGGGCGGCTGCTGGCGGAAGGCGGCGAGGAGGTGCGCCTGGCCGCAGTGTGGGCCGTCATCAATCTGACCAGCGCCGACGACGCGCGGCCGGGAGCGGCCAAGCGCGTCGCCGCCCTGCGCGAGGCCGGCGTGTCCGCGGTGCGCTGCCGCTGAGACCTGCGTTCAAGTCTTGCGCGCGCACTCCATTTATTTTTCGGTTCTTATTCGGTCTACGAGCGCTCTTTTTGCTGTCTGTGCGCATTGTGTGGGAGCAACTTTTGCCTGCATAATGCAATTCTATTGGCACAGTCAAGCTGGCCCTCTGCATCTGAGACCCAAGTTGCAGTCCCCTCGTGCAAGCACCTGGCATTTTGGAGCTTGTTTACGGATATCTCTCTGCTGTCTGTGCACTTTGCAGAGTGCAAGGTCTGAGAGGTCGAGCTTGCTGCTTTTCCTCAATGCCGGGAGTGCCAGTTTGAACAGAATATGGAATGGCTGATTGTGAACAGTGACTGCCACAGCGCGTCACTTTTGCTGCCTCTGTAGAAACGAAAAGAAAGATGCAAATTTGTTATTTCTTCTGACTGGAGTGTGCTGATTATGACAGGTGCTTGCAAACCTGTCGCAGCAGTCTGAGGATCTGGGCATCGACCTGAGGGAGCGGCTGAAGACAGCGCTGGACAACTTTGTTGCGCATGACATGTTCACAGAGTAGTCTGGAAGGTCGTTGAACCCCATGGAAAGAAGCCTCCTGTGACAATTTCACCAATCTTTGTATGGTGTCTTGCCATAGCAGGGGATTTGGACTGGTGCATGTGCATGCACTGTCAGCACTTTTGATATCATCATTGGTTTGCGGTGAATGTCTGTAGCACCAACTGCAGTTAGCAATACTCTAGATTTTTATCCTTTCCACAATGGATAAACATGGTGTACCCTCGGTGTTGGAAGACAGGCACACACACACCCGTAGATGTACCCTGCACTGGCAGCCTACATATGGCAAACTGCTTAAGGATACTTGCCAAGAGACTGAATTTCTTGTCCACATGGATTGGGGGCAGGTGCATACTAAGCTCAGTAGGTACTGCGCCTGCGGTACCTGCCTAATTGGGCATCACATATGCCTCTTGATGTACAGTGATATCAGTTTCATTTCCATGCACTCATCTCTGTAATCACTGCTCAGGTGTCACTTCCGGCCCTTCGGGAGAATCTTCGCTGCCAGCAGACTCTTCACTGCTTGAGTCTGTTGTGAATGCGCTCTCCACTGCCAGCCTAGCCCTCAAGTAATTCACACTCCCCTCCAGCACTCCCTTCTCATCCTTGAGCCTCTGCAGCGTGCTGTTCTCCTGCAGCAGGTCCATTGCACACATTAGAGCGGTACATATCAAGAATGAATGACCGTTTCCCTGAAATTTCTGCATTACGTATCTCAACCTGTAATCTGCGCCAGAAGACAGCGCTCTGAATGCTGCTGTCTTGACAGTTGTTTGTGCCACAGCCTCTGGGTCTAAACTCAATAAGGCCAAAGGCAGGACAGTCACTTTTATTCCTATACATACACATGCAGCTGTGTATTAAGAGTAATGCAGTGGCTGCTGTGTAATAAGTGTAATGCAGTGCTGGGATTTGCCTGCAGGAGGATCTGCTGGTGCTGAGGCATTTCTCTGAAGTTTGAGGCAATCCAGTAGGACAGGTCTCTGGGTCCCAAGTCCTTCAGCTCCTCTGGCTCATACTGCTCATCACCAACCTATGCAGACAATGCCAGCCAGCTGCTCTTACTTGTCACAAAAGATTCCTGATTTACCCTCAATCCTACATCGATTCTGGCAGGCGAATGGTCCCACACAGGAGACTGGTCCTACTGGCAAGACAGTGATCCCACAGAGGACTGAACAAGCACAACATTCGACGAAGTGTTGTAGAGGGCTGAAGCCTGCAGAACAAAGTATGCAACCATGCTAAGAATTGCTTGAGCTCAATCAAGTGGGAAAATTAATACCTTGATGGTCCCCTTTCTGACGTGCAGCCGTATGAGTGTCCGGAAGAGCTCCCTCACTTCATCGGCCTCCGCCTGAACCTGCACAACATGCCATGCAGTTACTAATGCAGAGTGGTCAGGGATGCTTGCATGCCTCGCCTCTACCCCATTTGTCCAATTTTGCTCTTGCCTGAGACACCCCCAAGTCATGTCAAGCGTCAGTGCTGCCTTGACAACTTGTCAATGACAAGGGATGTCAGTCAGCATCTGTAGCTTGATTAAACAGCCAAAGGGTCTGATTGTGTTTACCTCTGGGAGAGAGTCATCATCTTCATCTAGCACCTCCACTTCGCAGATCAGCACTGGCCGCTCCTCACAGATGCGCAGCACCTTGAACCGCTCTATCCCTGCATGGCCGCACAGTCTCTTCCTCCTGAGAGCCTCAACTCAGCAGTGGAGAGGGGTCTGGCAATCTTTACCGACTGCTTGCCAAAGCATGCATCTGCAGATGTTCTGTTTCACACACAAGATGCTCGGCAAGATGAAATGATCATCAGCGTACCTTTGTTCTCGATGCCTAACCTGCCGTCATCCATGCGCATGTGGCTCTCAATCAGTAGTGTGGTCCCTATCGCTGCTATGGCGCCCTTGGAGTCCGACTGCAGGCATCAACACACACTCAATATGAGGACACAAGTTGAAAAAAGCTTGACAATCTCTGTGCAGCAGGAGAAGTGTAGTAGATTGGCATGTTATGCAGTGGTGCGGGAAAAGCTTACCCAGCACATTCCAAAGCGCCTTGTTCCGGCATAGGGACTGTCATCTTGAATCAAGCCCTCCTCAAGTCTGCAAGCCACGAAGATTCAGTATCAGACGTCAAGTGGAGTTCTCACACTTCTCTGTCAGATGAAACAACTGAGAGCCTTTCAAAGAAGTCAAGGGCGTGGAGCTCACCCATCCGCTCCTTTAAGCAGTGTATTGAAGAGGACACGGTACCTGTAACCCCATGGGCAATCTTCAAGGGAGGAACGATGTAAAAAGCAAGCATCCACGTGGGCATGTGCAGGGGCAAGCTCACCTCGCTTCGAAGATATGAAGAGGAAATGCGGCAGCTGGAAATGCAACAGTGTTGAGTGGAAAAATAGGAATTGTCTTGATCTGGGAACTGGCGAACGTCCTGATTGTCCCTTGCCTCCTGAAGCTGCATCTCCTAGGACATCTGTTTCCTAGCAACCCTGTACTAAAAGACTGCATCCCGCATTCGCGTGGATTTAGTCGCGCATTAAGAGATCTGCTAGATGTATGGCACTGAAACGGTTCAATGCTCACAGACTGCGTCCTTGTTGTTGAGAGAGGGCAGTGATGTGCTTTCGTGCTCCCAACACTAGGTGGTGAAGCGACGCCACAATACATGTCAACTCAAACGCACTTGAAGTAACTTTACCTTAGCACGTCTCTGCATGGAGTTTGTGAATCTCAAGAAACGTGGAGTAAAGATCTGTGTCCTCCTGAGCTGGCGTTCGGTTGCCTAGTTAGACGGATACTTGGTGGCCTGCATGTTGCTGCATGCTTGTGAATTTGACATTGACGTGCGCATACTGTCAACAACTTATGAACTTTTAGTCTGCTCTACAACCGTGTGCATGAGCGCTCTTCCTGGAATTTGCAAGTGCCAGCAGGCACGCAACAGCCTGAGTCCCTAATAAGGACACTTAGCACTTTAAAGGAAGTGTCTCCGAGCTGCATTCTTGCTTGGGTAGGGCCCTATAGGGCCACAGTCACATGCTTGCCTGCTTTCAACATGGCATTGGCACAAAAAATGTTTATCTCACATAGGCAATACTCGTATAGTATGTCAGTATCTGATCCGCGGATTTCAAGACTATCTCGTGATCAGCTTCTGGTGCTCCTCCCTTCTGCACTGACGGCAGCTCAGGCGGTTGTTCACGTTCCAACTCCCAACACGATCGTTTGTTGCAGCTTGCCAATCATGCACTTGACCTGTCAGCTCACTGACATGCTGCCACCACACGATGTCATGACTGTAAGCACCATGTTGATCTGGTCGCTTGTCACCGTTGCGCGTGGGATGCCACTGCGCAGCAACCTCCGGCGCCTTCACAGCAATGGAGTTGCACGGGCACACCACACGCCCATAGCAAAAGGGGCAGCCAGCTCCCTCCCGCTTTGCATTGCCAGTGCGGTCACCAATTCGAGCACTCCATTCATGGGCATGGGTGCATCCAGGAGGAGCGTTCTTGCGGTCATGGCACACCCACACCGCCTTCTTTCCACTGCCGCTGGTGAGCTTGTCGAGATCCAGGTGCTCATTCTTGGTGAGGTGCAGCTGCGCAACCAACTCCGGGTGCTCATCCTTCAGCAGGCCCCGCCTTGAACGGTTTTTGGCACAATTTACCTGCCGGCACTTTGGACAGCCAGTACCAGCAACTCTATTATATACTCTTGCCAGCCAGGGGCCATGCTGGGGGCACATCCAGGACACCTTCTTATGGGAGCTGACGCCAATCTGCTCAGGGTCCAGGCTTTCATTGGCTGCATAATCCCAATGCGCCATCAAGTCAGGCTTTGTGGTTGCCAATGAGCTGCAGGTGCAAATGCCTTGCCCACAGCAGAAGGGACAGCCGGTCGGGTTGCCTGCCTTTGCGCGGTGTGATATTCTTGCCTCCCACTCATGTGCTTTGCCGCATGACGAGCAGGGCGTTGGGCACAGCCACCAGACCTTGGCATTGCTTCCTGCAGTGAAATCTTCAGGCCACTTCTCGCCGTTCTTGGTGGGGTGCCACTGGCAGGCAAGCTCCGGGTGAGTGACTGTCAGGGAAGGCTTCTTGGGCAGTGGAATCCTCTGTGATGCTGCTGATGCTGCATCAAGACATGAAAGCACATTCAGCACTATGTGGCTAGCCTTGCTCTAGTTAGGGGTAGAGAGGTCCAAAGAAGGGAGCATGCATCAAATCTATCTTTTTGTCTTGTTCCTAGCACACCTGTACAGCTGGTTGTCATCCTGCTTCTGCATCTGCCTGATCTGAGCGAGAAGCACGTATTCGTTCCCTGGCCTGCAAACGCATGCAAACGTCACAGGAATCATTCACGATATTTTTTACGATTTTCCAGTACATGTCTTTTGTAGAAATCGCACCGAGCCGTCGCGGGAATATGGCAGCGGGATGGGCTGTCAATGCCCTGAAGTTCAAAGCAAAGCTGAAAACTCCTTATTGAGCAGCATTCTTGACCTCAGCACATACAAGTATTCAACAAGTACGGAAGCACTATCGGGGTTATCTTAACGCCGTTCTCCCTTGCCCGAGCAAAAGTATTTCTTAGAGATGATGGAGCACGTGGAGCTCATGTGCTGCATGTGACCAGGACTGAGGTGTGATTGTACTGAATCAGATCTACGGGTGCGGGTCAACCTTTTTGCGATTGCCCTCGGATTCCGGGTGATGTGAACACCTGGTGCTTTACTAGTGCCACTGCCTCTACCTATCAATAGGCCAATATGAAACTCAGGCATGTGCGTGCATGCATATGGGTCACCATGAGACTGTTGCACAGGGGACTTGACCTGTCAGCTCACTGACATGCTGCCACACCATGCTGTACGGAAGCACTATCGGGGTTCTCTCAACGCCGTTCTCCCTTGCCCGGCAAAATGCTACACCAGACTCCACCATATATGCACTCATCTCAGGAGAACCATCCTGTGCCACAGTGTGACTCATGAGCATCCCAAAGTGGCAGGATTTTGCAGAAGCTCACAGAATCCTTTCTTGCTTAAAGCTCTAAAGCTCGGCATGCATGCCGGACCTGGAGAAGTCCAAGTCATCCTCCTCCTCTTCCCCTTCCCCATCATCATCATAGTAGAACACTTCCTCGTCTGGATCCCTCTCCGGTGGCGCCGGGGGCCCCACCACAGACTCTCTGTTCCCCTTCTCTGCTGTGATCTTTGGCTCCTCAGCGTTAACAGGCTCCGAGGCTGCCTCGGCCGCGCTCTGCGCCGCGGCAGCCGCCTTCTGGCCGGCAGCAACCTGATCCGCCACCCCGCCATCCGTGTTGATCAGGGCGCTCTCCAGCAACGACGTGTTGACCCCCAGTCCCTCGCCGACGTCCTTTATGGCCTGCTGCAGGTCCGCCATCGAGCTTTCGGGGGAGGACCCCCCCTCCGCCGCCACCGCCGGATCCTCCTCACCACTGGGTGGGGGATCCGCCTCCCCCTCGACGGCAGCCCCGCCGTCGCCGTCCCCCTGCGCCGCGACAGCCGCGGCAGCGGCGGCCGCCGCTGAGTCAGCGGCCAGCGTGCAGAGCACGTGGTGCACGGGGGCCTGAGGGGCGCGGAAGGCCGGGTGGGTGCAGAGTTTAGGGGTGGAGAAGGTGAGCCGGTACTGGCAGGTGGCCGTCTCGCGCATGCCGGTGATGCCTTCCTTGCTGGCCTCGCTGCACACGAAGCGCACCTCCGTCTCGCGCGGCTCCCCCGTGATGTCGCACGGCTCCCCGCCCTTGTACACCTGTTCAGCACAAAAAAATAACGTAAAGTAATTGATGCACTACCCTTTCGTGCACCACCAAACATCTGCCCCACATAAAGCTGGCATTCCTGACTTGCTCTTCAAGATTTTGGGTTACCCGTCAAGGTTGCTGCCATTGACCCGCTTAAGGAGGCATAAGCGCGCAGTATGCACAGAGGATTGCTACAAGCAAGATAGTGTCTGCTAAATCATGCGCATGCATTCGCAGCCGGTCTGAAAGTCAAGGAATGGAGCTATTTGCCCACCTGTTTGATGTACTTTGAGCTCACGCCGGCGACTGAGCTATCCTCATGCACCTCATCCATGTCTGAATCCTCCTCACTGTACTCCCCCAAGGTGTACTCTGCCACCACCTGATAGCAAAGGGAAATCCCAATGATTTAAGAGTACCTCTTAATGACGTGGTGCCAACAGCAGAAAGACCAGACTCAATGCCGCCATGGAATTTGCTTGAATGTGATCCCATCTCATCTGGTCGACACTTAAAAGAGTATGGGCAGAAGGAATGAGTTCATCAGTCTTCATCTATCACCGCATGGAACACTGCAAGAGGTTAAAGGCATGCGTCCAGATACATCAAGCCAAAAGCGCGGACAGAGCTGGTGCTGCTTTCTTTCTTTGGGAAGGCCAGGTTTCAATACAAGGCGCGCACCTTGTCAATTTCTTTGTGGAACTGACGCACGTGTCTTTTGTAGCACAGCTCGTACGTCCACCAATCGTCTATGCGGTACAGGCACAGCGTGTCCAGCGCCGACAGCAACTCCGAAGGACTCTTCTGCACAGCCGCCCCTCCCGCAATCGCCTGGGACAGATATTGTCACTGAAGAGCAGTGCAGGCCAGTGTGTGGGCCTAAATTCCTTTGCTGAGGTGCTCATTTTGCTTCTTCGTCACCACTTTTGTCACCAAAACCCTTAATTCGAGATTGCATATGCTCTGCAATTTAGAACAAAATTGTAGCTTGTGATTGTACTGTGTGTTTTACATCGTGGATCCCAAGACCGGCACTCAAGGTGCATGGTTCTCTCACCAAGCTGTCTGCGTTGCCCGTGTCATCCCCATCAGTGGAGTCGACCTCGGGGATGCGGCAGCTGAACTTGCGGCCATGCTTGTCCTTCATCGCCAGCACTCGGGCCCATCCGGGCGCCGGTCTCTCGCTCCCCCCTCGGCCCACATCCAGGGCCACTACGTACTGTGGGTCCGTGACCTCAGACGAATAGCTCGGCAGAGTGTCTGCATCAAAGGTGTCGCATTTAATGTGGGTCGACCGTGCTTCACCTGTGTTCATCTTGTAGAAAGTCGTGGGATCAAGTGGAGACAATCACCTGTGAATGTCTCCACCGTCTGGAGGATGGTAGCAGACCGACATACGAATAGGATACAGCTGGTGATCAGCATACATCCTATGATGCCAGGTGGGCCTCCCAAGCATACTTGTCTGAAGGCCATGTGTTTGCATCCACTCAAGCGGCGCTTGTTTGTAGCGTTGGACACACCAATGCAAGCAAGCGCCTCAGAATATCACCATCGCGTCCTTACAATGATCATAATTTCCTCGGGTACAGACAGGACAGAGCATTTGGGATATTAGCAGAAACGATGGTCTCAGTAGAGATCACGATGTCAAACCATTTGGTGTAAATCAACCAAATCCGGCGTTGGGAAGCATAATCAATGTCTCAATTGGACACTCTTCAGATGCAAGGAGAGCAACGCACAGGGAAGCCTGCTTCCCACCACCTGCTCACGTCACTGCCACATCACCGCCAGCGTGGCACATGATCGTCTTGTCCGCCCATCACAGCAACTTTCGAGAAGAAATTTAGCAAAGAAGCTTGTGCCAGAAGACCTTTAATAATAGATTTAAGCAGCTATCATCATGCAGACCTCTTCTTTGCAGTGCACGCACAGCGAGCTGGTTTCAACACCTAGCCGCAGTGTTCGTATTCTTCCCTCGGCATTCATGCCTCGCAAGGTATGGCACAGAGACTTACTTTTGTTTACATTAAATTGATCAATTGCAATTGAAGGAAGTTTGGTCGCGCGGTCTGACATGGAATTTCTTGACAATGCGCAGGCTTGCAGCTCTGGAAGACCGAAAGTTCTGGCTCGGGTTGCACAACCGTCAGTGGTAATAACCCAACACAGAAAACGTGACACCGAATGCTTACAACATGTTTGAGGTTCCAGGCCTCCACCTTGTATTTACGATGCCCCTCCCTGCTCCAGGGGAACGCCCAAGCCTTGGAGAGCGCGGTGCTTCAGCAGAGGGAACAGAACAGCGCAGAGGTGGATGAGCAAGCAAAAAGCAATGCCTCCACAAGCGGCACTGATGGAGAAGATCTGGCTGTTGAGCTCGCAAAGATAGCAAATGATGTGAAGGTAGCTCGCAGCTAAGACTATCATCATGACATTGCTCCCTTGGCACGTATTAGAGATCCGTGCCACCTGCATTGAAAGCATGGATCCTCTTAAGAGCAGTCGCTAAATCACAGCTGTCACTTTGCAGGGAGAAGAGATTTCAGTGCTTCACGTGGCCCCCTTGGTCTACTGGACATCCTATCTTGTAAGCTCCTCACCTTTGGGGCTTTTGCGTCTTCTGAATGAATTTTGAAGATGGCACATGCCTGTCTGCATGCTCTTATGCCTGAAATGAGGTGTCTATCGTGCAGGTGCTTGTGACTGTGAATTCCAGGCCGCAGCTGCAGGCCGTCATTGCCAGGATGGAACGCAGAGCCAAGGAGCTGGATAGAGAGTCGAGCTTTGTGTCACGTGGAAGGTGCGTGCTTGCCTGATAAAAAAGCTTAGCGCTGGACACCTCGTTGCTTTCTGATGTCAGTGTTAGTCCTCACCTCTACTCCGCATCAGACACCAGTTAATAGGGAAGCTAGCTTGAGTAAGACAGCGCCGAAGCGTAGTGCTGTCTGCATCAAGGGCATTCTGTGCAGGCAATTTGTGGCTGACAGATCATGTGCAGAACAAAGCAATAAGTCCAGCTTGGGCTGCCGCATGCGGAATTAGCAATGTAGATTTTCTGGCGTGCAGCATGTGATGTGGTGTGGCTTGTGTACAGGAGTGCTTGGGAGGTGCTGGACTTTGGGGATGTGGTCGTGCACATTTTTACTCCGGACCAGCGCGAGTACTATGATCTTGAAAGCTTTTACGGCGCAGCCGAGGAAGTTTCACTGCCATTCATTTCAGAGCAGCGTTCAAGCCCTGACTGGGCAAGCCAGCTGCGCTAGATCTGTTTCACAATGGATGATGTTTGGACAACCCTGTGGGAATGCAGGAACTTCTAGAATCAAGATCTTGAAGGCAATCGTCTTTTTGCATGACCAGGCCAACGCATGACTGTAGTCTGCATTTGTTTTGTGGATGGGCATCCTCTAGAATTTGAGAACAGAAACAACACTAACACTGATAAAAAAATTATGGAGATGCCAGATGCCTAATCTGCATGTCCTCCATCTTGGGCCAGTTGCTCCCGTTGCTGTTCTTGCATCAACTGCACCAAGGCTCGCTGCGTCCGCCGTTCCAGCTTTGCCAGCTTCTTTTCCACGTCTCGCCTCAGATCCCAGTTGGCCTTCTTTGGCACTACATTTAACAGGACATCGCCCTGCAAGGCAGAAACCCCAGTTGGATCCAACTGTAGGAAGACAAGCACATCATACCAACAAAGTGAAGAGCATGCAAAACTCGTGTGGCTCCTTCCAAAGAGCAAGTAGATTTACCTCTCCTTGTACTTCCTGAACAATGCTCGGCTCTGGGACGGGCTCCTGGTACTCTGGTGCCTGTGCTGCCTCGATTGTCTGGTGCTCTATCCTGTTGTCTTTTACTGCGTAATTCCTGAATTTCAAAACTGGCTCATCTCCTTGTGCTGCTGAAGTGGATGGCTCTGTGGCGTCTGCTGATGCAGCTGCATCTCTGAGAGCTTTCAATCTGGCTTTCCTCTCTCCAGGTGTTTCGGCCATTGTGTAAAATACAAAGCTCCTCGCAACTGATCAGTGCTGTCACCGATGAAAACAAACTCACACTATGAGAGAGGCTGTCGTCAATGCTGCTTTGAGATGCAGTTGTAAACTTAAGAAAGAGAGTCTGTCTTGCGAAAACCTAGAAGGGTGATAATAGTTTCAAAGTGACCTGGGGGGTCTAATCCTGGGCCTTATGCCATTCGATTCACGGCAGGCACTTGCCATCAACTCCTGCTCAAGGGGACGTCAGAGCTTGAGTCCTCCCTTGTTGGTCTGGTTCAGGTCATATTTGTCGATTCTATAGATGCGTTGACCATTCTTGTCCCGGAAAAAAGACGACTTTTTAGCTGAAAAAGTCAACGACGTGTCGGTGGAGACCAAGGGACGTGAGAGTGACGATCTGCGCCGGGTCGAGGGTTGAGGATCCACTTTAAGGTTTGTCAACACAAGATCGTGAGCCAAGGCAGCGTGTTTTCGCCGCTATGTTGAACGCAAGCGAGCTTCTTCTTGGTACCGCAGGACTGGTACGGGCCCTCCATGGCTTAAGTATACGATCTTTCTATCCAATGCATACTATTATAAGTTGATTGTCTATCTGACTGGCACTCGTATGCCCTGTTGAGTTTGGAGTTCCGCGTTTCGGATCCGCCGGCAGGATGAATAAGCTACAGTACTGTGAGTACCGCTATGACGTAAAAGCACTTCTAATGCGATCACACTGGCATGTAGGAACTGATGCAATGGACTACCACGAATGACACGGTAATGGTTTCGGGCAAGCCACCATTACGCGATTTGGGCTCTCCATCCATCAGCTACTGGAAGCTCGCAATGGCGCTCGTAGTGCTCTTTCTCACATGGGAGCAAGCATATTTTCTTGCCAAAAGGTGCTGCACATGTAGATCCGAGCACTGCGCACGCCTCAAATGTCACACCAGCAGCTTGTATTGTTTTCACTGAATCCTGCCCTGTGCTGATGCAACCTGAGCAAGGTCTCCGGACACACACTTGGCGCATGTCTCAGTGATGCATTGTTGCCTGCTTAATTTTGCTCTGTGCAGGACTTCACCAGATCTTGCAGGGGCTTGCCCGGTGTCTCGGGCATGTGCTGAGGAGCTTAAGTTGAGTGCATGCACATGTTGAGTGATGACATGATTGATAGGCTGCAGATTTTTGTAGGCCCCGCGGAAGTGGATGCAGACGCTCTGCGTGTATGCCCTATGGCCTCTGGCTTTGGATTCGCCGACCTTGTAATAATAATAATGAGTGCAGGAGGCGGAGGTCTGGCAAGATGCTGCCGGGGCCGTCATACGCAGTGCCGCTGGTGGGGGGCGTCGTACAAATGGTGCTGGACCCCTACAAGTTCTGGGAGGACCAGCGCAAGGCCGCCTTCCCTGGTGCGCGCCCTCAACTGCTGCCCCGGCTCCCACACATTTCTGTGGCAGCCCATCATCACCTGACTTTAATTAGTTAGCCCGACTAGGATAGCACCTGAGAATATGGGGCCAAAGAGATGCGCCCTGCGCAAAATCAAATTGAGCAGCAGAGTGTGGTTCTGGGGAGCTTGAAACAAGAGCGAAGTCAAAGATAACTTGGATTAGCGACTAGAAATTCTTCAAGGAAGCACTTACGTGCAGACCACTCTAGTTTGCAATGAAAGCACTGCTGAATGTGCAGGCACTGAGTAGCAGAAAGTGTTGCCAGTGCCATTTCATTTTTGCAATCCTTCCAAGGCATGCGCATGGCGCAGTGGGGAATAACCTCTTCTCTTTCACCGATTGACAGGCCGGCCAATACTCGCGCGCAGGGCTGTCGTACAACTCCATCCTGGGCAAGCTGATGGTGTTCAGCACGGACGTGGACGTGTCGCGGCGCATGCTGTCGGTCAACGACGAGTCATCCTTACTAATGGCCGTGCACCCCTCGGCCAAGGCCATCCTGGGCCCCAACAATCTGGCCTTCATGCATGGCCCCGCGCACAAGGCCATCCGCAAATCTTTCCTCGCGCTCTTCACGCGCAAGGCGCTTGGGACTTATGTGGAGCTGCAAGACGGCGTGGTGCGTGCCCATATCGCCGACTGGCTCGCGGCCGCGCAGGGCCGGGAGATCGAGATCCGCCACTTCATCAGGTGGGGTGCTGCCTCCAACGTCCCTCTTGAAGCTTGTGACTGCATGCTGGATTGCTGCTCTTGTGCACGTTTGGTGTTCTGCAGGTCTGTGCCCTGGCATTGTTGGAATGCCTCCCTTAGATTCGACCGCCCATGCAGACGAGCTTTCTGGTCCAGCTCAAGCAGTATGTGATAGGTCACATAGGCTCAGGACCTCCGGCGAGTGCCAGATTCAGCAGGAGCCTGGACAGTAGAGTGCACAAGGAAGGAGCTGCGCAGATTGGTAAGATTATGGAATCTGCGCAGGGACATGAACGCGGCGACGTCGCAGCACGTGTTTGCCGGGCCGTACTTGGACGACGGCGCGGAGAGGGAGAAATTCAGCGCAGCTTTCATGGACATGACTCAGGTGCCTGTCTCTTCTCCCAGCCTGCTCTGAACTTGGGAACACTCTCAAAGACTCATCTGCTTGTGTGCCTGAAAGCTTGCTGCACCAGCAATGCAACCAAAACACTCAGCTTTTCTTCACCTGGGCACGATCAGAAGAGAATTTCACATCCATAGCTTGTGGGTTCATCAGACAGCCTCTTTGTCCATTGCAGCTGCTGTTGGCAATTTGGTGAGTAACTTGAAAATTAAAGTGAAAATTTTTGAATCTGGATTCGAAATTCTGCAGGGGTTCCTGGCGTTTCCGCTGTGCCTGCCAGGCACTCAGGTGTGGAAGGGCAAGCAGGGGCGGCTGTTCATCCTGGGCGTCCTGCGAAAGGCAGCCGCACGCAGCAAGGCCGCACTGCAGGTGCAGCATCCACTCAGCACTTTCACTCGTAGGCCCTCGGTTGTGGAAAAGCCAAGCATGCACGTGCACTGTACATTTGTTCGGCAGGTCATCGGCATTCTGCATGTAAGATTAGCAATGAAGTGTCACCCCCTCCACGTTTTTGCATTGCAAGGTTTGGTTGTGTGCGATTTTAGATTGTGTGCACTCCTGGCATGAGCTATTGACTCCAAATTACATTTTTTCGCTCATCTCTATCAAATGCAAAAAATAAATGGGAGCAGGCATTGCTGGGATGGCCTCCAACGCTGTGCGCAAAGTGTCCAGTGGCACCTTTAGCAATTTCTACATGCTCGCACTGCAGAGCTCCTGAGTTGGGCTTGACAGGACCAGCAAGGCATCCTTTAAGGGATCCAACAGAAGTTTGTACAGGCACCTCTGAGAACCAGCATACATTGGGCGCACTTATAAGCTGGGGGTTGTGATGCAGGCTGGAGTGGAGCCGCGGTGCCTGATGGACTTCTGGGCGCTGCGCTGCCTGGAGGAGATTGCAGAGTCCGAGGCGGCCGGAGAGGCGCCCCCCGGACACACTAGCGATGAGGCAATGGCGGACACTATCATGGACTTTCTGTTTGCCAGCCAGGACGCGTCCACCGCCTCGCTCGTCTGGCTCACTGCCATCCTCGCCCAGCGCCCAGACGTCCTCCAAAAGGTGCGCGCATGCTGTTTTTGGCTTATGTCATTATTCTGCGCCAAACTAGCCAAATTCGGCATGGGAGCAGGCTATTCCTTTAGCGCTGGAGATGCAAATGGCAATTCCTGCACATGGAACGCCCTGTGCACATCTGCAAAGCCTATCAAAGCACCAATCTCCAGATCTTTGCCCCTCTTGCTGCCTGTTGTTGCCAATCAAAGCTCCCATGTCATTGGAAGCTGAACACGCTTGCGCACAGTCCTGGGCAGTGCGCTGCGCAATGCAGCCCCTTCTATAGGGGGTCTGTATCTGACACAGCCGCCTGTTTGTGGCAGGTGAGGGAGGAGCAGGCGCGGCTGAGGCCAGAGGCGAGTGCCACGATTACGGGCGATGTGCTGAATCAGATGACATACTCGCGCCAGGTCGTGAAAGAGGTGCTGCGCTACCGGCCGCCCGCCCCCATGGTGCCCCAGGTGACTCATCTTACTACTTTATGACACTAACAAGGCTGATCATAGCATACTCATACTCATGTGTGGCCCCGGATGGTGGGCGGTGTAGTACTGAGCTTCGTGCCCACGGTTGACTGGGTCTTGCGTGGACCTGACGAGTCCATCACCACGGGCAGAATGTGTGGCAGCCGTTACGAAGGCCGTCTACAGACGCACCTTGCCCCTGGCAGGAACAGCGTGCATTGTCATACTTCTACAGCATTACCGCTAATGTGATTGGTATCCCCCGACTCCTTATACATTTAGTGAAGGCCACTACTCTGGCGTGGTCCCGCCCTGTGCATGCCATAGATTGCGGCTGAGGCTGTCCCCATGGGTGGCAATGCACATGAATCCATAGTGCACTAGGTGCTCTTCCATGCCAGCCTGAAATATGACCACAACGGCACCATCATACCATGTGGTTGTGCGGAGACACCCGATTGGCATGCTGAGTGACCTGTGCTTGTAGGAAGATTGAGGCTTTGTGTAGAGTTAAGGGTGTTTTGTGCTGCCTGCGCAGATCACTCAGGCGGAGTTCCCTCTGACTGAGGACTACACCGCTCCCAAGGGGGCGCTGCTCATGCCATCCCTCATTGCTGCCTCCATGCAGGTATATCTTGCAGCTTCTTGTGAAGTTTCAAGGGACTGATGAGGGCTTGCTCATTGTGCTGTGGAAGACAGCACATAAGACCCGCAGCTCTGCTGGAGCAGTGGATCCCTGAAGCGACAATGTGCAAGTTTGCGATTGTGCGCAGTTGCTGCTGATCTATCTGAAGGAAGTTTGGCGTGCTGCATCCTGAAGCAAGATGCGGCGTGTCGCGGGCACTTTTTTGAGATTTGTGGTACCTGAGTCGCATTTTGAAGCAGGAAAGTGAAGCAGGAAGTTGCCAGTCAGCAAGGGTTGAGGGCCTTGTGCCGTAATTCCTTTTGGTCATCTCCTGTGTGAGGAAACTCATTCTCTGTTCGTCCAGCTAAAGAGCCTTCCTTCTGCACTCTCTATGAAGTCCCTGCTGGAAAGTGAGTGAGTGAAATTGAGGACTCAGAAGGAAAAGGCTGCGATGCAAGAAAACTCACATGTCTCGGTCTCGTTACTAGAAGAATGGCATGAATGGTCCAGTTCAGTCAGCCGAGTCCCTGCCAGCGTCTCGTCACACTGTGTCTGCAAATTCCAATGCAACTTCAACTTCAACTTCAACTTCAACTTCAAATTCAAATTCAAATTCAAATTCAAAGCGTGGGTTGCTGCGCAGGGCTTCACGGACGCGCACGCGTTTGACCCGGACCGCTTTGGACCCGAGCGCAAGGAGGACATGACGTGCGCCAAGAACTTTCTGACGTTTGGGTGTGGGCCGCACTACTGCGTGGGCCGCGAGTACGCCTCCAACCACCTCATCGTCTACCTGGCAATACTGGCCACCAGGTGCGCCCCATTCAAATGAGTGATATTGGTGTAGAGCACGTGACTAAAAGCAGGATGAGAAGAAAAGGTACCTCCAGTGCCAAAAAAAGCTGCCCAGGCAGACATGCAAGCAACAATGCGGCTGGCATACCTGGTTTGGTCTCCAGGAGTGTATCAACAATTTACATGCAATGTTGCACAACGCAACTACCATCAGCACAAAGTTTCCTCTGCCAGAGGCAAGGTGCGTCTGCAGACAAGCTGCATGTGAAGGTAGCGGTGCCACAATTCCTGCACCTTGCTGGACTTGCCAGATCAATGCATACTGTGATTATATAATTTGATGTGTGACACACCCCAGCAGTCAAACACCTGATACCACCAGGATAGATATCATACTCCTCACAGTGCAATACCTAGTTTAGCTGTGACACAGTGTAGCAGTCAAACAGCCTGGCCTTGCTCTTCATGGGCTATTCTTCCAATGTTGAATTCTTTATTTTTATGGGTTCCCAGCATCTCAACGCCAGGTGCGCTGCGGAACGCCAGTTGTATACCAGGCTGTGAATGTGTAGCCCTTCTCCTGTTGTTGAGAGCGGGCAATTTTCAGCCATGGCTTACGCTTACGATGGCATCCGTCCTGTAGAGATGGACCAGGCGTTGCACATTCATAGTCTCATACGTGGCTGCGGGACTCGCGACGAGTGACCTCTACTGCAGACAATTCATTTGGGAGTCAAAAAATGTCATAGCACCGTCAAGGCCATTCCTAAGATGTGGGTGCTTGCGTGGCTGCTGCAGCTGCGACTGGACGAGGCGCAGGACTGAGGCATCGGCGGATGACGCCAGCAACTGGCTCTACCTACCCACCATCTACCCCCATGACTCCCTCATAACCCTGCACCCTAGAGGGGCACTGAGCGCTTGAATGGGCCATTTTTGGGCCTGCTCCACAGCAGATACTTTAGAAGACATGCAGCAATACTGAAGCGTGCACTCTCTCAGCTGGCTGTCCTGGAAAGGGGTCATGGCAGCCTCTGAAAATGACAGTATGGGGCAGAAGAGGAGTTGGCAAATTCACACTGGAGGCAGAGGCCCTGCATCGGCAGATGAAGCAGACTGGTACTGATATCACTTGAGAGTGGGAACCAGCACGCGTGAGGACAGATGATTAGCCTGTTCAGTAGATTGCGCCTCTAATATCTGGCTCGCGCCAAGCATGGTACTTCCCTGGACTGCTGCTTGAAGCACATATATATATCGGCATGTTCTATGCTGGCAAGGATCAGGCTTGTTCTGGTGCTTTGGGCGTGCTGCCCTCCTGCATTTTATTAAAAGAAAGACGCTGAGCAAAGACACAGTACTTTTCAGCTTCCACCTATTTTTGCACGGTGAGAACTGGCCACAGGCTGATAACAGCTGTTCGTATGACGGGGACACTGCACGCCCCCTTCTTGAAGGTCTCGGACAGCTGACTGAATTACCTAAGAGCTGCTGTTATGGCAAGTGGTTATTTTTAAGGCCTGGCGCCTTTTGGCAGCCTTGCACGTAGCAGAATTGAGACACATAATCAGTGATTTTGATATTCGAGTGGTCGGCCACATGCTGGCTTATTGTGACAGCAATGCGAGATCATCTGGACGTCCAGGGAGCAGGTACAATTCTGAGATATTCCTTTATCAGGTGGTGGCATGATGTGGCGATGATTATGGACAGTCATGCCTGCACAGCCCTCTTTGGGGCATTGCAGAGGTGTCAAAGCACACATTGGTGCACAAACCATAATTTATTGCGCATATTCTTTCTACGTGGGGTGGATCTTGACGTTGATGAGCAAAAACTGCTGTCTCAGGAGTTTAAAAAAATTGTTATTTAGTTTTGTTAAGTGGTTGTCCCCAATGTTCTAGTGTAGATTTAGATGACGTTCCCATCAGGACAAAGTGAACTTGTTGGCAAGACTGGCTTCCTTATGCGAAGAGTATGTCGTGCTCATGGTTTTGGGCAACAAAGTGCCGTCCATGTATACATAGCCGATGAGACCATGTGAGCATGCATGACTGTAGCAGACGTTGAGTGGGTTTGTGCCATGCCTTTTTGTCTATATATCTAGTCGAGGTCGAGCATGGTCCTGAAGTCAAAGACATGTGATGTTGCCAATCGATATCTTTGGTAGCGTAGCTTGGCAGGACCTTTGCATGCATGCGACCCAGTACTGACTAGCATGCCAGTTGGAGCCTGCACACAGCGTGTTTGGGGTTGACAGTTCAAACTTGCAGACCAGCACCTATGCCAAAAACCACTTCTTTGTAGTCTAAAGAAGCAGGTGCAAGGTAGTGTGATTGTCAGCTTAATAAGGTGTTACAGATTGAATAGACATCCTATTGGCATGCATGCAGTCATGAGGATCAACTACTGCAATGTGCATCCCTGCCCTAAACTCCAAACAACTCAAATCACATTCACAGCTAGCTCACACGAAGTGTGAAATCCAGTGCCTTCTTGATGTCAACTTCAGCGAGTCCAGATTCAAGCTATCAGAAATTGCAGTGCGATGGAGTTCCAAGAAAAGTGCTGGGACATGTTTTGCGCACACTTTCCAAAATCTATTGTTAATTGACACACAGAAATTTTGAGGACTTGCCTACTTACCATAAAACACTGGACCAGCACATGGTGGCCAAAAAATCCTTGAGACCTAGATTATTCCATCCTGCCAAATGGGCACCTCAGGGGACATTTGATGATCCATCCCAATACATTGATATGTGCCACGCCTTACAAAATGCTACACGTGGATTGTTGCAAGCCCAGCAGAGACAGGACTCCCTGCACCTTATCCTACCATATTTTACAGAACATTACAAATGTTACAAGGCCACCTCGTACGTAGAAAGCCCATTCCAGAATCAGATTTGCCTAAAAGGGGGATTTTAAATCACCAGATCACCAGCCCCGAATGGGCGGCACTGGGTGCAAAGAACATCCTCACGCATATACGGCAAAGAAGCCCAACCCCAGCACTAAGCTTGTCAAGAGCCTTGCTACGAGCGTCAAAAACGGGACTGCAAAGATGAACTTCATGCAAGCTTGTCAAGAGCCTTGCTAGGAGAGTGCCACACAGCACTGCAAGCAGGGAACCCCATGCAAGCTTTTAAGCGATTACTGAGAGCGCGCCAATGCAGGACTGCAAGCGGGAAACCCCATGCACGCTAACTAAGAGCCTTACTGGGAGCGTGCCAAAACAAACTCCATGCGAGCCAGGGGTTGATGCCGGGGGAAATGGCTAGATGTACAGGCGCTGGCGGCGCAGGATTTCCTTGCGGCAGACGGGGCAGCGGGAGAGGCGACGGCTGCAGCGGCGGCACATGCATGCGTGGCCGCAGGGGATCAGCGCCACCTGGACGTTGCGGATCATGCACACGTTGCACTCCCGGCCGGGCACGCCCAGCTGCCCGGCTTTTCGCCTGCCGGGCAGCCCCTCCTTCTCCACCACATCCACCATCCCATCAGCCGCCGGCGCAGGCTCCTCGGTCCCTTGCTCCCCCGGCAACGCACCCTCGCCGCTGTCTGCGAGCGACGGCTGCACCGCGGCGCCGGCGCGCTCGGCTCCAGGGGCGTTCCCGTCTGCGGCAGGTGCCGGCAGGTGCTGACGGTCCTCCAACTGTGTGAGCCCCCCGAAACCCTCATCCAGCACCCCTGCCTCCAGCGCCGCTGCCACCGCTGGCGCTCCCTCGTTCTCATCAGCTTCCAACTCTGCAGGCAGCAAAGACGTATGACAATTGCGATATGGGATGGCCTTGTGAATTGTCAGTCTTTTTTATCCTAAGTGACCACCAGGCAGCCCTCCCTTTCTTTGGAGGTCCTGGGCATCCGGCCTGCTGACATTCGGTATGTCAGGCAGTGCCTTTGTGTAAATGATGCCCTGGAAACTCATTGGGCGAGCTAGTGCTCAGCTTCTTGTCTTCTTGAGCTTGGTAAGCACCCAACACTGCCCGCAAAAACAATGCTATGCCTCAAAATGCCAGCTGCTGAATTACTCTGCGGAATATTGGTAGTCGTGCCCACTTGAAAAGGACCCTGTAGCATCCAAGACCCCAAGCAGCCAATATCCAGTGCGACTGACTATCACAAAGAAGAGGTGCAGCACCTGCGGCCATTTGGCTGGCGCGCTCGTCGCCGCTGTCTTCGCAGTCGGTTGTGTCCTCGGAGCCCACGCTGCCGTCGTCATCGCCGTCGATCTGCAGCACCAGCGGCTCCCGCAGCTGCTCCCCGTTTTCGCTCCCCTCGTTCTCTGCGACCCCCCATTTACTTTCTCAACACCCCCCTTGCAGCTCTACCCTAGGGGGACTCACTTCTGCCATCACCGATCCAGCAGGGCACTCTGCTGTGCCAATTGGTGGTCCCAAGGAGAGCAGCACACAGCAAGATGCAGGGGTACAAGAGGTCACGGGTTCAAGTCCCGAGGTTGTGCGTCTTTTTAAATTATTTTTTGAAGTGAGCGAAGCGCGCCTGCGGAGCGCATCTGGAAGAAGCGGATGAGGCGGTTGATGGCCAGCATGAGGAGCGAGAGCGCGGCGCAGCTGCTCATGATGATGACTGACACCAGCCACTGCGGCAGGCCATGATTCATGCCGCCTCCCTACAATATACAACCACCCCACCCTTCAGCAATCCAGGCGCTCTGCCAACATCTGCTGCATGCCTCTTCCCAGGAGTTCTACTGCATGCCATATAAGGCGCTTTTTGCATGTGAAAACCAGGCACCCCTCGGGCATAACAAAATCCCGATGGAGTGCAGATAACGGGCTTATCTTGCAGCGTTAGCATGATGATGTTGGCATCCCCTTGTCCTCCGACTTGTCTTCGTGCATGCCTATTTTTGCCTTCGGTCCAGGGTGCAAAGATATAACCGCCGGGGGTAATAATCAACGTATTAGATAATGTCCACCCCTGTTGTCGGAGTCTCCAGGGAACAAACAGCATCGAGAGAGGGTGTAGGGGGCGCGCACAGGGATGCCGCAGTCGGGGCCGGCCCAGCCGGGGCGGCACTGGCAGGAGCCGAGCGTGCAGATGCCGTGGCCGGAGCAGAAGTTGAGGTCGTCGCACAAGTCCATCGGGTGCACAGTATCTGACAGGCACATCTTGCAGCACTGCGCCGGCCCTATCGGCACAAAGTCCCCCGTCCGCGTTATCCTGCGCCTCACATGATACATTAACACCTCACCAGACATGGTGAATTGTGTCCGCATCCTCACATTGCATGGACCTAGCTGTGCGCTGCAGTGGAGCCATGCAAAGAGATAGAAGCACTGGAGGCATAGGCACCCTTCTCGTGCTTCCAAAGTACCTTTGCAGCGCTCCAGAGCCATCTGCCTCTGCTATGCATTTTACCTTCTTTCTCACCTCGTCTTTTCCCTTTTCTATTTTATGTCCTGATAGCAGCGCCACCAGCAAACAAAGGAGACTGAGAAAAAGATAGGAGGCCGCACCGCCAGTGGTCGAAGCCGAAGAGGAGGCGGTGCGTGGAGAGCCCGCCGCAGTTGATGTCATTGGAGGCCACGCAGTCGCAGCGCTCAAACTCCCACGCGTCCCCCGTCTCCAGCAGCAGCGAGGGGGTGCAGCACGCCGCGCCCCCCATCGGATAGTACGCGTCGATGCTGCTCGACACCAACACCGCCTGCTCCCACCCTGCAGCACACCGCATACGGCATATATTTCAGCTTGATCTGTAACAATGGATATCGCAAGTTGCCAGCGTTTCTTGGCAAACTGACATGTTGCGAGCCGCCCTCGAAAGAGGGTGCGCTTGCAGCAATAAAATGTCAAACTCACCTGTGTGGCAGGTGTGCCCTTGTAAAACCAGAGCAGGTTGGGTCGGAAGCATGCATGCAGCTCCAGGCATGCATGCATGACAGGTAAGGCAGACAGAGGTTGGCTCCTGCGCAGTATGAGTACAAATTTACAGGAGGGGCCTTGAAGGGCACCTGTGACAATGCTGCTGCCCTGCTCCTCGCACTTGAGCGCCCAGGGGCCGCTGCCAGAAGACGCGTGGCAGCCGATGGACATGACCGCGACGGCATTGGCGTCAGGGGCGATGGGGGCCGCCGTCTTGGGCAGCTCTGAGGGCAGGCACGGTCGGCAGCAGATTGCATGGGACAGCGGCACCAGACCTCCGCCACTCAGCTGCAGACATTGCAGACACCCTTGCTTAGCCAGATGGAGTGGACATAGTGGTATCAGCACTTCTCAAATGGGTTACGCAAGCCATATCTGGAATAGTAGCGGCAGGAACAACCTGCAGCTCCACTACGGATAGCAGAGTTGCAAAGGGACAAAAGTCCGGTTGGATTCCTGGATGGGAATTGGAGTTGTGTATGCAGTGATTAAGGTGAGATTGACAAGAGATCGCACCCAAGATCCTTCACGCTCAAAGCTGGAGATGAACCAGCCTTCCTTGTCACAGGACAGGCCGTTTGGAGCTCCCCCAGCTTTTTCGCACTCACAGAGTGTCATTTCTGTGGATATGCCGACGTCTGCATGCACAAAAGCACCTTACACAAGTAATGACACCCAACGAAGTTGGGCTAAAACTGTAAGAGAAGGTGACGACATCAAGGGGTATAGCTTTCGCACCTGTCTGATTCGAAAATGGGGAGAGGCTCTCTGAAAGCGATTTCACATCCATTGGAATGACAACGTCATCGTCTGCTGCGCGGACTACGAGGATACAGATGAGCAAGCCCAAGCAAGACAAGGCCAGAGGGTTTTGAGTTCGAAATGGCTGCTTCAAGATAAAACACACTTTGCCTGGCATTGATTGCCTCATAGTCGCCAACTATGTCTTCCAAGATGGCCTCTTGCCAGGCCAGGTTTGCAGACACACCCGCGATCAATGCTTGAACAGAACGGCTCCCAGAGGTCCAATTTTGGCGTTGGCTGGACCTTCATGCAGACACCTCGAAGTTCCCTTGCGGACGCCAGATCCATCCCAAAAGCAAGTTCCTACATCCCTGTGTACACTTTCTGTGTGTTCTGGAGTCGCTCAATAATCGGGCATTCGTGTTAAAGGCAAGTCTTCAGGGAGCAGGTATAGAATCCAGGGGGACCCAGGGACTTGATAGGGCACGGGGACAAGGACCTGTAGAGTCAAAATAGTATCACACAATTTTGTGGCACTCACTAAGCATCCGGGCGGTGCGTGCCGCCAGCCCATCCCTGGGAAGAAGACAATGAGGCTTTGTGAACTTATGTAAAGGGGGCTTCTTGCTCATTGAGCCTCATGCTGGCCAGTGAACCCTTGCCTGCCCCAGAAAAGGCCAGAGTGGGTCGAGATCTTCAGCGATACAGCGCTGATGGGGAGCGACTGCTTGCTGGGTAAGCTTTCATTCCTTTTCAATGCCCTGGAAGCTAGCAGTTTGTCTTACAAAGCTGTTTTACTAGCGATCAATTCAAGCATAATAATAATTACGGGTTTTGTTAGACTTGATGGACATTGATCTTTGTCCTGTGGCTGTCATGTCCTTGTGAACAACTCTTTGGTCTGATGACAACCCAGATTTGTGTGGATCCCTTGCAGGTGCATACCCATCCGTATCACTTCCGCCAAAGACGGGATGGCAGGGGTGGAAGTGCTGTTGGTGAGCAGCAGGGGAAGCAGCAAGGGCCTCGTCTTCCCCAAGGTCTGTCGTCCAGCATCTGCCTTTGGAAGCTCTACTTTTTCTCTAGAGCTTTTCCCTGATGTCACTGTTACTTAACCTGGAGTAATGGAGCTGCTTTGAGTGCCAGTCTGGTGTACCCTGGATGAGAGGCGTGATCGGCCCAAACATCGGTGCAGGGAGGCTGGGAAACGGATGAGGATGTTGAGGCAGCAGCAGCTCGGGAGACAATTGAGGAAGCTGGAGTCCGCGGCAGATTGGAGGTGTGCTGCTCAGACTTCTGCACATACTTTGGGGACGCCTTGCATGTTTGCATGCATAGCTCTTCCCGTACATTTCTCCTGCTGATCGCCAATCGGATTCTTCACCTTGTCTAAATCCATTTCCCAACATGTAGAAGTTGCAAGATGGAAGTTTCATCATCAGATGGGGCATAAATGTGCTTCTCAGGAATGCACGAGTGACGTCTGTTCCGCTGCAGACATGTGATGATGGGCATGCATACGCAGGTCCCGATGCTGGGCAGGTTCCGGTATGTGGGCAAGCCAGACAGGCAGCACAGCGCAGGCACGCAGGTGGCGTGCGTCGTGCACATGTTTGTCATGCATGTCGCAGAGGAGCTTCGCACATGGCCAGAGCAGGAACAGCGGCAGCGGCACTGGGTGCGCTGCCTTGCAATCATCTTGTGAAAGAAGGAATATGGCGTCACAGGTGCAGTGCAGTTGTACGCATTGCCTTGTAGAGCTTCTGTGCATGTTAGTGAAAATGATGGAGCCATTGAGATTGGTGAGCATGCTGTGGGTTGCTGGCATGCCACCCAACAAGCAAGCTTGGACGGATTCTTATATGCTATCGGGTGCTGACACTCTGGTAATGCAAGCGGGTGGCTCAGTGTTGTGTATGTGTGTGCGGTAGTGTTCTGTGGAGGAGGCATGCGCCAAGTGCCGGCACGAGTGGATGCGAGAAGCGCTGCTGACCTGGCTGCAGCAGCAGGGGTGGTCGCTGCCAGCTCAGATGCCACCTGGCACGCAGCCGCCCCTGGATCAACCCCAGAGTGCATGCAATGGGCAGGTCAATGGGCTGCCCGTGGCGTCGTGAGACGGCCCCAGCGGCCAGTGTTTCTCTGTGATGCAAGAGCCCTGCCATGTATGAGCGGAGTAGTTGTCTTATCCAGTCTGGATGTTTCTTTCTTGGTCTGAGAAGATCAATGTGTTGAAGTCTCTTTTTCAAGCTCCCTTTCTGCACCACATGGGGGCCTTGAAGCACAGGGAGCATCCGTCAGCTGACAAGTGCAAAAGGATGAGTTAATTGGAATATTCTGCATCAAAGAATTCATAGATGGGCTACACGCTACTCTAGTGTAAGTACACGCTACACGTACACGCACTGTACTCTAGCGTAGGAATTTCCTGGCCTAATACACGCATTCCACACGCAAACTCCTATTTATGGGGGTTTGGAGCACTTCTAGGGCACCAAACATGGGTAAGATGTCATGGTAGGCGTTCCCAAGCCTGGAGAGCTCATTCAAGCATGCTTGGGTATTAAGAATTATAGATTTTCCCCACCAATGGCTCTTGACTAGACGGGGTGGAGCCGAGGAGGATACCCTCTATAATTCTTCCTCATCTAAAAGAAGCATTCATGCACACTGTAAATGGCCCTATAGCATTGTAAGACTTCCCACAGCATGTTGAAAGGTTTGGTGATCCTTCTACTATGAATTTGGCGGGTTTTGAGCTATTTTTGACGGTTTCTGAGTGATTACGTAATCGGGCACGTGACCCAAGCCTACACGCACGTGTACAGCACGTGTAGACATTTTGGCAGTTAACGCGCAAGTGTTTGCGTGTGAGATTTCCTGACCATGCGTGTAGCCCATCTATGCTGTGCAGGGATGATTATCTTGTCAGATCACGTTAAGTGTCAATCAGTTTGTCACAAAGTGGTGTTCAGATATGTTACAAAGTCTCTAGATTACAATGGTGGATCCGGAATGCACATCCTTTTAAAGGACTCTCCTCGTCAAGCAGTCACTTTATCCAGCAGCACTAAAGAGTCATTTCAAGCTGTAGACATCTGCTACTATGTGCATGCATGACTCAGCAGAAAATGCATCAGGAGCAGGGCAGCAAAAGATCTGAAATGTCATCTATTACAGCTGCCGCTGTACACGCAGGTCAGTATGGTTCATCAACTTTCCCCCCAAATCAGATCTGGTGTCAATCGTGGATTTTATTATGACGACGTTAGATAGCATCTTGCCTAAGAATATAAAGTGCTCTTGCATGCATCAGCGCTGTGCACTTGTTTGCTGGGTGCTGTCACTGATGTGTGCCATGATCTCCTGGAACTTGTCTGTGGTCAGAGGATCCACAGCAATCAGCCTCACATTCGCGTCCGCGTGCTTTGCCTGCAGACCATGCCAATGCATCAGCGCTTGTACTTTTCCCTCTTTGATCAATTCCTCTTTATGCCTGATTCTGCAAACGACACGCAGCATGCAAACGCTCACAGCAAGGCGGCCCGCCCTCCCTACTTTGGGGCTCGCACTGGCTTTTATGTATGCATCCACTCATGGTTAAAAGCCTGGCAGCCGTTTGCTTGTTACTCTCTGAACAACAGGCGCGCACCAATTTGTGCCCGATCAATGCAGTCGTGAGGTAGGGGGTACTCCGGCTGATCTGCAGCAGCTTGGTGCCAAGGTTGCCCAGCACCATAAGCTCCTCCACACCGTCAATTTTGGCCTGCAAACAAAACCCCCTTGCTCATCTCCAATTTGAGACTAAGAGCTCCACGCGGTCGTTTTGCACTGGATTAGTGTGCAGTCCCTTCCCTGCTCTTCATCCTTTGCAAAAGTATTGGCACATTGCACCGCATGCTAAAGCATACTGGAACGCTGACGAAAAGTATCCCGCCGGTCTTCACTCTAGATGACTGTGATGTCAAATGCCATTACTAATCAAAGCACCACATCAGAGTCATTATACAACTTCCACGTGTGCGAGAAAAGCACACAATTCTTTGGCGTTCCTTTTCCTTTTCCTGTACTGGATCTGGCCAGGCCATCAAGGGTTGTGGCAGCACTTACCTACAGCTGGTCTACAGAACTTTCCCTCCTATCAGGAACAATATGCAATAATCTCAAAAAAAAATTATCTGAGGTGGCACCAGGCAGGCTCGGCCCTCACCCGCAGCTGGGAGTCCTGCAGCAACTGCCCTTCCTGCAACGGTGCGCTCGCAAAAACACCGACCCCCAGCCGCGCAGCCGCCTCCATGAAGGTCTTGTTCTGTGCGGTCCCCTCAACCTCCACCGCCTGCCACCGCTGCTCCCACGCCTCCCGCAGCCGCGCATTGATCGGCAGCTGCACATACCTGCGCGCAGTAACAAGTGTGAGTCAGCATTGGCATTGATTTGAAATCAAAAAGGGAACAATCAACTCTCTGTGGGGGCTGAGCAAAGAGGAAAGTCTGAGAGCTTCTTGCAGCTGTTGGACCAGCCCTTCATATATGTTTGGATTCCAGCTCATAAAAGCACACGATAGCGCCAATGTGAAAAGGTGAGGTTGGCATCTTGCTGGCTGGATTTACAGGACAATCTATGTTGGTGGGGCTGTAGGAACTTCTTGCCTGAATCCATGATTCCTGCCGCCGACTGACTCTGCCAGCTTGACTATGTCCTGCAGCTGCAAGCCCCCACTCTCAGGCGCCTTCCTGAAGCAGTCCCATGTTGCCTGCACACATTGCCAACACTTGTCTCACCAAATTTAACCACAACTCATCCAGTCTGCTTCATTCTGCAAATGCGCAGGGCTCGCAAGACAGATAAGGTGCCATCCATGCGTTCCTCAGTTCACTAAAACCTCTTAGCCTGGAGACGTGGTTGGTGTGTTGGAGGAAGGGGAATAGCTCACCATTCCATAAGCGGCAATTTTCCCCTCCTTCCTGGCTTTTTCCAGCCATACAAACGCCTCCTTCAGCTTCTTGAGGAAGGCCTGATCCCCCGGCCCATCCATCTGGGACTCCGCTGCGTTGTGCAGGTACAAAATGTCCACCTACAACATCCCCCTTTCAGTCAGCAGTGAGATCACCTGTCCGAGCGCCACTTGCTAACTATGCAGTAAGTAGGGCTCGATGACAAAGCGTTTAAAATTATACATTTATTCACATACCAAGCTACTAGAGAACTTTTTGTGCATCATCAGACGGCGAACAGAAGGTGACATGATGGAGAGCAGGAGTCATGCAGGGATCTCGTACCGTTTCCAAGTTCAGGGCGGACAGGCTGCGCTTGAGGCTGGCATCTAGGCAGTTGGGGTGGATGCAGCTGCCTCCCATGATGTCATCCCGGGCTATGCCCCCACTCCTGGCGCCCTTGATCATGAGGTTGTCGGCAATGTCATCTGCAATGTACCCCGCCTTTGTGCTGCACCAGCAAGAACAAAACACAACCTCAGATCCTGCCAGTCTTGGCAAGGACTCCTTAATACCGGTATGCGTTAGCAAACTGCCTTTGCACGTCACTTTCAAGCTTTCACGCAGAAACTCTGCTCTGAAAACCAGGATCTCGGTACCTCTTGCCCTGGTTGTTGAAGAGAATGCGCAGAAGGATTCTGGAATGCATGCATGGAGATGGGATGCTCACCTGACGAGGAGCATGTCACGAGTGATGCCAACGTTGCCGCTGAAGAGAGCGTTCAGGGCTGCACCGACGGACCTCTCTGCCCGGCTGTTGCGGTAGTTTGAGGCGGTGTCTATGCAGTTCCACCCGCGATTCACACTGTGCACACATCCAGCCAAGATCAGAATCAACGGAAACTCCTTCAGCCCTGCCTTGTGGTCTTTCATGTGATAAGATCAGATCCTGCTGGATTGTGGCGTAGCAATGAAACAAGGAGAAAAGGAATGAGAATTGTCTGCACCTTGCTATGATGGATGTTGTCACCTGGAAGCAGCACGCAGATCTCATCAGTACATTCTAGGTAGTTTATGAGCTTGCCTCAAAGTGAGGAATGGGAAGAAGAAAAAAGAACCAAACCCACCAGCTCATCTGTTTGCAAATCTGTGTCTCCCAGGTATGTCCCGATTCCCAGGGAGCTCAGATGAAGCCAGGGAGCTCCTCTCATCCGCTGCCCTGCACATAGAAAGGAGGCCTATTGCTTGCTATGCTTGAATGATCTTGGCTCAGGAACAGCAAGACAAGAAGTTCGGGATTGCATGCCTTCAAGGAAATATTCCCCCATTGCCACGTCTCTCCGCCAGTGATGCTCTGAGGCATGATAAGCACCCGGGTACATTGTAGAGAAAAGCCCTGCTCCACAGGAGGTCCAGTCAAGAAAAGGTGCTTGGCAGGGGAGTTTCTCACTTTCCACACATTCATTGGAAGGCTCAGATCATGTTGAAAGTTAGGGAGTGTTTGAAAGCAGGTGATCTCACTTGTGCCATCTGCGGTTGCCCGGCCAGCCCAAGGTTTGGGCTCAGCAGGCGTGCAGTCTGGAGTTGCTCCGCAAGACTGCATACGTGACAATGATGTACAAATTAAGATCGACACATCAAGATGCAAGCAACGGCATAAATAACCTGCCAGAAAACCAAAGTCACCTTTGCACAGTTTTCTCGCATGAAGTATGCATTCTCTAGGCATTGATTGTTCTTGGCCCATTTATCGCAGTCTGGCTTTAAGTCTGCGCAACTGCTAGTCTTTTCTTCGTATCCAATAAAAGCGTCATCACGACTGCATGTGCCGATCAGAAGAAGGAAAGGAACCACAAAGAGAGTGCGTGACACAACGATAAACAGTGACATGGCCATCTGTTATATTTTGTTGCAGAAATCTGCATCGGAAACTCCCATCTGGGAGAGCAGACTGGGTCTCTTGGACCAGCATGTGCGTGCACGTGCTTCAACTGCCACCATCTTGCAGGCAAAGAAAATATATTTCTCAGCATCATTGGTCATTTCAGGTCAGGAGCAATGCCAATTGTCCCAGGTGACAATCAGTGAGCTGTGCAGAAGCGGGAGATCACACTGAACATGATCTAATCATTGCATGCAAATCCAAACTGCGATTTGCAGGCCCCCGGGCCGGGCATTGCATTGCATTGGCAGGCTTGCGCAATTCACTCAGTTGCGCAAAATTGTCATAAGCAGTACATTACAATTACAAGAATGTAATTTCTCGAAACATCTGTATAATGGGTACGTAATGTATACAAGAGCAGAAAGAGAGCCGCCACAGTGTGGCCACTGGCAATGAAGAGTGCTATGTGGGCCCAGAAATACTGCGTGCAATCCGGGTCAGAAACCAACATACAAATTTTTACGTTCACAGCCGTGATGTCGCAGAAGAATGCCCTCTAAGCTGTCACAAGAATGTGCTCGCGCCCTCAACCTGCCCAGAAACATAAACCACATTCTGTAAGATGCAGCTCCAAAAATTTCCTTCATTGCCGAGATATATCTTAAACAGTCACTGACCCTGTGCAGGAGTCATGCCCCCATTGCTAAATGTTCGACATACACCGCCCTATCAGAAGCTTTAGATGCGCACTTGCTGCAGCAAAGACATACAACCGGCTTTCACTTGTCAGATACCATGATAATGATTACTCACCTTGATGTCAGGCATGACCGCCATCGGCCGTCCATTCATGCCCAGGCTCCCATCGACGATGTCCGCCATAGTGAGCAGCTGCGACACTACTTGCGGAAGTGGCACCCCGGATGCCAGCTGGCTGACACACTGCAGATAATCACAGACAGTGTTGTGAGCTCTGCAGGGTGCACCTTGGGTGCATCTTTGCGTTCATCTTTCAAGGCGATGCCAAGAGCTACCTGCAAGGCAAGGCAGCATCTGCCATGCAAAAGTGAAGCTTGCCAAGCAGATGCATCCTAAGCTACCCTTCAAGAGAGCTTGGTTTCCAATGAGTGGACCCAACCTCAAAGATTAGATGGAAGTCCTAATCCTGGATTTGGGGCCCAAGTCAAAGATTGCCACAATTTACAGCTTCTGTCGAGGCCTATTCAGATATTGCATGCTTACTGATGGGTTGCTTGCTGGTACTTGATTCATGAATATAGACCTCATGAATATAGACCTCATGAATATAGACCTCAGCGCATCGATCACCGTCATGTAATCAACACGCACACTTTCACAAATTGCACACACAACAGCTACAGGCAGAGCCTCATACCTGTAGGAGGCCGGCTGCCGAGGCGCCGCCGCCGGAGAGTAGCGAAAGCGGGGAGGGCTGCTCGCGTGACAGCTCCACCAGAGCAACGGCCTCGCCGTCCGGGATGGCCAACTCGCGCTTTGCAATGGCTACCGCTCGAGATAGGCCTCCCAACGCGTCCACCAGACCCACCTCCAATGCGCGCTTGCCGCTCCACACCCGTCCCTGGGGGAATAGCTTAGAGCTTAATGCATCCATCTCACCAATACAAAAAAGATGCCCGCCCCTTGCATTAGTCTGACCCGCCATAGTGGACCAATGATACCCGCCCCTGGCGATCAGATTGAACCGCTCGTTTCACGGTGAGCAAAGGACACTTGCCCCTGGCTATCAGGTTCCATTGCTAATCTGACAGTGAACAAACGGCACCCGCCCTGGCAAACAGATTGAACTGCTCAACTTAGAGAGGACAAAAGATTGAATTTAGGTAGCTCGAGAAGACAATGCCATTGGTGCATGGCCCTGGTGTCTGCGGTCGCCTGGTGCATCCTCGGTTGCTTACTACACAGGGGACAAGACTTATTGCTGTTCCTCATGCTGCCTACAAATGCCCCAACAGCAGCACCAATCAAGGAGGATGCTGCTTCTGCAAGGCTGCTGCTTTGCACAGACTGCTGCATTGGCCCAGTCCAACCATCCACAGAAATATGCTGAAAAGCTCTGAATGTACACCCGACAAGCTCCAGAATGATCAAAGGGAGGCATGATTCACGGGGAACACACCTGCGCAACCTCCTGCATCGTCTCTATGGGCAGGCCACGGCTGAGCGCTGCCTTGTTCCTGAAGCTCTCGTACGCATACTGCGCCTGCTCTGCAAAGTACTTGTCCTCCTCCTCCGAGAAGCCCCGGTTGTCAGCCAGTAGCTCTGCATACCTGGACAACCACTCGCTCTTCGACACACCATGCTCCTCACCAATGATAATATGACTCTTTACTCAATCAAGCTCCTACATTTCCAAATCAGGCCTCCTTGCCGATAAGGTGGGCTGAATCTTCCTACCTTCTGATCTTGAATGTTTAACTACATTAAATACATGGCCGTCAGTTTCTGGGATTTGTGCAGCGGGCTCCCTACCTGCCCTTGGAAATGACCTCCTTGGCATAGCCGACCTTGTTGTACAGTCCCTCCAGGCTGAACTTGCCAGTGATGACCCCAATTGACCCTGATCATGACAAAAACCTCTCCTTAGAGACCCATTCTACTTGTTCACGAGGAAGAACTGGACAGCTGGATGCATCAATTGCAAAGGCTGCCTGAGCAGGCGTTACACCTGTGATGGTCAGCTGCTCGGCAACCACTTTTCTCGCCGCCATTGAGAGGTAGTAGCCGCCTGAAAACAAGCACAGACACCTCTTCAGCAACAGATACCTCATTTTCACTGCAGCAGGGAAGAGCAAGCATGGGGCTCTGGCAACACTGCAATCTTAAGCGATGCCAGGCCACATGGAATTTGAGGTTATACTGCAATTGTATGCCAGACCTGAAGCTGCCACGTCCCCCATGGAAGCTATGACTGGCTTCTTCTCTGCTAGAACCCTCAGCTCACGCCAGATCAGGTCCGATGCCAGCGCATCACCGCCTGCAGAACAAGACAATTTTATTTTTCAATGCTGCAAAAATAAAAGAGTCACACAATTGTCACATAATCCAAGTTTTGGTAAGAAAAAGCTCAAGTCTCGACACACTGCACAATTCAGGATAAACGAAGGAATTTGTAGCACCCGGCGAGTTGCAAGCAGTGTTGTCAAAGTCGTGCTGCAAAACAGTCAGCCAGCTGCAACAGACGTAGTGACACATCTCAACAAGAATGTGGTGGTAGGGTCTGACCTGGAGAGTCAACTCTGAGGACAAGCCCAACAAAGGCCTTATTTTCCGCTACCAGGCGAATCTGTGCTATCAAGTCTTCGGATGTGATGTTGCCACTCGTCCTGCATATGACAGGTAGGCACCTTGAGCCCGCCCCTCACATACTTGCAATGACCAGTCCTTGTGTATTCCAGTCCCTGACAATCTGTAATGACCAGTCATGCGCATTCCAGTCAGACACAGTGCACTGGCATGGCTTGCTGTGCACACCCCATCCCATTGCATGCATGATGAAGATAAGTTTGCGGTCGTGCGCAAAAATTGGCATCTGTGCATTTTGTGAAGCACGACGCATTGCTGTGCACACCTCAAAGCAATGCGTCCTGTTGCATGCATGGTGAAAGAACTTTGCATGCGTGCGCAATGAATGGCACCTAACGGAGGATGAACCGCATCACTTTTATGCGCGAGTGGTGCAGCAGTGGGAAGCACTCACCGGCCGCCGCTGCCGCCAACAATGGCGCCGGCCGCTCTGATGACAGCAATGCGCTTGCGGCCTACCATTCCAAACGCCGTGGGAGAGACTGACGAATATTTCTTCAAGCCCACCTGCACACACATCGGCAACAAGTAAAGACCTTCACATATGTTGTAGCTTGTGTGTTTCTGCATTGTCAAGGCAGCCCTTCCTCCTTGCTGTTGGCGCTTGCTCTGCTATCATGTCAGCATTTCATTCCCTCTAATATGTAGCCAACAACACATTAGAACACCAAAATCCTGGCAACAATCCATAATGATGACAGCAGCTGCCTATCAGCCTCATGAGATGGGGTACTTGATGTGTTGTGACAGATGCAAGTCAAGTAATGAAGAGTGCAGAGTGGTAGGGCGCTCACTGCTTTGAGCTTGTTGGGTTTGCTCTCTGTGCGCTTCTCAAGGTCTGCAAGGATTTCGTCCTCGTACTTCAATCCTGTGAGCCAGCCAGACTCCACGTAGCGCTCCATCTTAAAGATGCCCTCATCCAGCATCTCCTCTGCCTGGTTTGCAAGAGTGAAAGAAACTGAAATACGTAAAAACAAAAGTATATAACAGCTTCGCAAGGGTGCCGCGCAGTTGCATGGACTGCATCTCAATTTCATGCGTGGCTCGAGCAGGGTATGTGGTTTTGCAGAACAAGTGCAAGTAATGACGTGCTATGGAGATGCTTGAAAAAGCATGGGAATGCAAGAAATGCAGACCTCTTGTGTGGTTTTGCCGCGGCTTTGGGCGATGCCCTGAGTGAAGCCCTCGTAGATATCTTCCAGAATGGCAGTCAGCTGCTCACGCTGCGCCTCTGACATGTCCTTCCTCAGCAGCTGGTCGCCTGAATACAGCACAATGAGCTTTGCATGCATGATACATACCATTCATGATTGACAAGCATGCAATCGACATGCTAAAGGGGATGTCCTTAGATGACTTGCGCGCACTTGGGGGCCCAGCAAAAAAGGAGGTTCTGCAACATATAAGTTTGCCTTGTGGATTTCGAAATTGCAAAAGGGAAAATTGATGGCTTGCCTGCGCTCTTGTACTTCCCAATCCGGATGATGTTGGGGTCCACACCAACCTTCTCTAGGGCAGTCCTCAGGAAAGTGCCTGCACAGCATGCATCAGTGAAAATCCTGGTGAAATGCACAGAGGCGCACACAATTCCAGCAGAGCAGTGCATGCAAATCCGAAAGCAACATACAAGCAAGCTGTCGGCCAATCCTGGTCATCCAAGGAAGAAACAAGCCTGGCACAGGACAAAGCAACGATGGCGATAAAGGGTATCAAGTTTCCATGGCAGAAGAAGTGGCACCTGAGACAGCCAGGCCGCGAAGGCTGAGGGAGCCTGAAGGTGGCACATACACCTCCTGGCATGCGCTGGCCACATAGAACTCCTTCTCTCCACCAGCCGCCATGTATGCTATGCTGTACTTGCCGCTCTGCCGGAAGAAGTCAATGTATTGCCTGGCACAGTCAGTGAACGTATTAGAACTCCTACGCTCACCACACGATGTTCCATAACAGAGGTAGGGTCATCAGTACCATGATGCTGAAAATATGGGTGAAGTGATCAGGGCAGAAGGACAATAAGGGAGGCAGTGATTGGTTGGTGCACACCTGATCTCCTGCAGCTTTGCCCATCCAGCGGACAGTGGGGAGATCTTAAAGAGAACCCCGCTCACACGGGGGTCATACGCCGCTTTCTTCAGTGCCCCTGTGATCTGCGGCATTGAGTTTGCGCCCGCAAATCGCCCCTGCCTCTTCTCTGTGATCCCGCCCCCGAGCTGCACCCCACAGCTCCTCTTCAACACATTGCACGCAACGGTATACTCAAGAAGCAGTCATGCAACCTTACAAGTTGCATGACAAGGGCAGCCTTGGGAAAATACCTGGATCTGCTAGAGCATAAGCAGACGCATTTTGTGGTGCAGATACATCACTTCTTGCAGGGGTAATTGCTGCAGGAGCTCACCTCAATGACCAGAACTGACCCTTTCTTGAATCTCCTCCAAGGGAGGGCGCGTGCCAGTTTTGTGGATGTCACAAACTTCTGAAAGCCTGTCAGAGGAGTGAACACCAGATCTCCGCTGGGTAGAGGTTCTGCTCCATTGTCAGACGCCTGCAAAGAGTTTCTTTCTGTTGCAGGGCACTCCTTTTATAACCAAGGCAGATGCCATGACCGAGACTTTCAGAGCGAAAACAACACCCAGATCCAACATTCACCTTCCCATCACTCGTATTTGAAGGCGTTGATTCCGTCTTTCCCGTCTCGTTCACCACAGTTGTGTCAGCTTCTGCTCGGCATCTCAGATGGTCTGTCCTGCGACTTTGTCGATAGCTCCTTCGGACACCTGGATGACCGAATACAGTTAGTTGTGGATTGGAGGTTTTAAAATGACTGTAGTGGGATCGATGCAATTTCCTCTGTTCAGGCAGATCACCAAGATCAACGGGCAGAACGAAATCCTCTGTAGCCAGAAAGAGCTCGATGCGCACCTCCCGATTGCTGTAGCAATGTGTTCTGACGACAACTCAGTGGAAGAGGTCGCGACAGTGTAGACACCGTGTGCTGATGCACATGAAGAGTGCAGATGTGAAGGACTACCATATTTCAAAGGCTCGTAAACAGCTAACGTCAATAGACAGGCTCTTAAAGGATAATATAAAGAATAGAAGCTCTTTCAATTTTCTTTTTCGGGTTCTGAGAAGCGCGCGCCTGGCTGTCCTTCTACTTTAATTGCGTGGCGCCACAACGCGCACTGATGATGTCACTGCATGCATGCAGGACAGCTGGCCAATCAACACCAGGATCTTCTTGATCTGCGATCTTGCTGCGATGAGTCAGGGAACCAGAAGTCAGTCGAAGCGCCCAGCGCAGGGCAGCCCAGGGCAGTCAGATGAGGAGATGGAGCCGCCCCTCCACGATCTCCTTCTTGCAAAGGTCGAGTCTATGATCCACGGCCTGGAAAGCAAGCTTGACAGTAAGCTGGACGAGAAATTTGGGGCCCTCTTCCCTCAGCTGAAGGCAGAGCTCAAGGCAGAGCTGAAAACCGAGCTGAAGGATGAGGTGGTGGCTGAGCTGAAGGCAGAGCTGCTGCCTCTCCTGCGCGCTGAGCTGGCCAAGGACACGCAGACCAGAGCCGCCTCCAACGATGAAGCAGTGGTGAACAAAGTGCACCATCTGGAGTCTGTGGTGGAGTCTCAGGCCCGCCAAGCCAGGAGTGCCAACCTGATCTGCCATGGTCTGGCAGAGGACAACACAGAGAATGTCTCAGCCCGCGTGGCAGCGCTGTTTGACAGCAACAGCGGGCCCCCTGCTGTTGTCAGCGAAGCTCGCCGCCTCGGTGCCCCCAGCGCCACGCGCACCAAGCCGCGCCCCGTGCTCATCAGCTTCAGCGGCGTGGCAGCCAAGCACGCTGCCCTCAAGCACAGCAAAGCCCTGCGCCAGCGCCAGATTTTCCTGGATCCCGACCTCACCCCGCAGCAGCAGCGCATCCGCGTCAGCATGCGCCCACACTATGTCGCCCTGAAGACAGCCGGCAAGCAGCCCTTCTGGCGCGAGGAGCGCCTCTTCGTCCGGGAGGGCGACCGCGTGCGTGAGCACATGCCTGTGCCTGGGCCTCCCCCGGCTGCCGCGCCGGGCGCCGCTGCCGCCCCGGGTGCTGCCACTGCCGGGCCCTCTCAGGCCGCGCCTTCCTCCCCCGGCCGCGCCGACTCCTACGCCGAAGCAGTGCGCCGCTAGGAAGTCTCCAGCCGCCTATCGCTGCGTATATTGTCCTGGAATGTCAATGGCTTACATGCTAGCAAAATATCCTTGTGGGACACGGCAGCCTATCTTGACCAGTTCGATATTGTACTTCTGACTGAGGCCCGTTGCTTGACCTGGGATGACTCGATCTTGCCTCACCACTCTGTGACTTTCACGGCTGCTAGTGAAGAGGGCAAGGCGGGTGAAGGCATTGTTGTTGCGGTTCGGAAGCACCGTGATTACCACGCACAAGACTGGGTGTCAGACACTGACAGTGCCTTATGGGTGAAAGTGCAGTTTGAGGGGGACTCTACACCGCTGCTGATTGGCTCCAGCTATGTGCCTCCAGCGGGTTCCCGGCAATTGCAGACTGTGGACCTGACCAGTCGATTTACGGGCTTATGTGCAGAAGTTGTTGCCGCTCGTGCTCAGGGCAATGTGATCCTGGCAGGAGACTTCAATGCTCGTGTGTCAAATTTGCCTGACGCTGATGACAGCAATACTCGAGGCTGCACTGATGAAGGTGTCAATGCTCATGGGCTGCGCCTGTTAGATTTTTGCAAGGAAACTGACATGCTCATATGCTCTGGCAGAGTGCTAGGAGACCTTGAAGCAGTGCCTACCTTTAAGGCCAGAACCCATACTCAGGCAACTAGACCTGATCATGTTCTCGTTTCCGCTGATGCGCTCCCCTTGATTTCTCATCTTGTTGTGAACACTGGTAGAAAAGACTCTGATCATCATCCTATTGAGATGACGTTGCAAGTGAATGTGGCTGCCAGTGTTCCCTTACCATGTATTGGGGCGCCATTGTCACGAGTGAAATGGCAGCCCAGTGCTAGGAATGCGTATGCTGCTGCTTTGCGCAATGTTGCCAGTGCAAGTCTTGACGCCTGCACAGGCCATGCTGTGGCTGGGGAACTTGATGCAGCCTTTCAGACCCTGGAGGCGGGGATCCGGGAGGCCGCAGCCGCGAACAGCATGCCGGCCCGCACCGGGCGCCATCAGCGCAAGGCGCGTGCCGACGCGCCCTTCTTCGATTCGGAGTGCCGCCAGCTTAAACGGGACGTCCGCGCCCGCGCGCGGTGCGGGGGCGATCCAGCCGAAGTGCGCGCGCTGGAGCGTGCCTACCACAACACCGTCCGCCACAAACGGCGCGCTCACCGGCTCGCGCAACTGCGCCGCCTGCTTGATGATTTGCACAGTGACCCCCGAGCCTTCTGGAAGCGGCTCAAGTCTCAGCAGTCTGATATACCTGAGCAGCTCAAGCCAGTGCAATTGTGGGCTGGCTATCTCAAGCGGGTTGCAAACTTGCAGTTGCCACTCATTGCTGAGCTGCCCCACTTGTCTTTCCCTGTCCAGCCCAGTGCTCCTGTTGCCCATGTTGATGCTCTCAATGCACCCATCTCTCTTGGGGAGGTGCTTGCTGGGCTCAAAAGTTTACACAATGGTCGTGCCACCGGAGTGCAAGGTTTACCAGCTGAGCTGTTTCGGTATGCAAAAGATGAGCGGGCGCCAGGCATGCCTCCTCTGGAAAATGTCCTGGCGCCTGCTTTGGTGGCTGTGCTGAACTCTGCATTTGTGGCTGGGCAAGTGCCACCCTCTGTGAATGGTAGCCTGATCACCCCTGTGCACAAGAAAGGCAGCAAGCTTGACATGCTCAATTATAGACCCATTGCCGTTACTGAGCCCATCATGCGCTTGTATGCTGGCATATTGAATTCTCGTATTCTGAAGTACACAGAGGGGGCTGGATTGCGTGCAGCCACACAGGCTGGCTTTAGGCCAAAACTGTCTACGGCCCACCAGCTATTCACCTTGCAGCATTTTATCGACCGGCAAAACCATGCTAAGCAGCCCTTGTATTGTTGCTTTCTTGATCTGAAGGGTGCTTATGACAGAGTGAATCGGGTGTTGCTCTGGGAGAGTCTGCGTCGCCTGGGCATTGATGGCCGCCTGCTCTCTGCCATTCAGTCTTTGTATGCCAATTCTACGGTTGCCATTAAGATTGGGAGCAGGAAGGGTCCTAGTTTGCCCTCTGAGACAGGATTGAAGCAGGGTTGCCCCCTTAGCCCAACGCTGTTTGGCTTGTTTGCAGATGGCCTGCACAGGCACTTGCTGCAGAGGTGCCCTGGGGTTGGCCCGCAGTTGCGTCCTGGCAGTTGTGTACCAGATCTAGGCTATGCCGATGACTTTGCTTTGCTCGCCACCACACCTGCTCATTTGCAACGCTTGATTGATGCAGCTGCTGAGTTTTGTGAACAAACGGGAATGGTCATCAGTGTTGACAAAACAAAGATTGTGGTGTTCTCTTCAAGTTTGCCAGGACCTTTTCAATGGCTTTGTGGTGGTGCGCCTTTACATTGGGTTCAGCAGTTTGAGTACCTGGGTGCCCTTTTTGACGGTGCCCAAGGCATTAACCTCACCTTTGGCAAGCTTCACAGGAACATGTGGGGTGCGTGGGCACAGCTCAGGCAGCAATATGGGAAGTTGCATTGCAGCATGTCAGCTGGCCTGTTGTTGCGCCTATATGATGCATGTGTGCCGCCGACTGCCTCCTACGGTTGTGAGGTGTGGGGCCTGCGCAGCCTTCCTGGTGGCGACAGCCGGCGGGGCCGGGCTGCCTTGGCCTCCTCTCACCTGAAAATTCTGAGAGACATTGCTGGCGTCCCCACCTCTGTGCATGGTGCCATCTTGCTTAAGGAGTTGAATCAGCAGACCCTTGATTGTGTGTGGTGGCGGCGCATTATCAAGTTCTGGAACAATTTGGCTGCCTTGCCTGCAAATAATTTTCACAGGCAAGTGGCCCTTGCTGATTGTTGGGATGCCATAACCCGTAATGTTACGAATTGGGCTTGGGCCTTCATGCGGGGCTTGCGCCGGATTGGGTATGAGTTTGTTATTCGGTTTGACACCCTTGTTCCTGTGGAAGTTGATGCTGTGATGCAGCTGCTAGATGCGCAAGCACTGCAGGTTTGGGATGACATTGACATTTGCCCTAGGACCTGCCCGTCCAGCAATGCCACCTTGTGTACATATCACAGATGGTTTGCTAGGCCAGCTTGTGTGCGCCACCCTTGCCAGCTCTTACAGCAGCCTTTGAGTGCCCGTTGCTTGCGTATACTGTTGAAGTTCAGGATGGGTTGTCATAGTCTGCCCAATGTCTCGGGCCGCTGGGCAAGGATTCCCCGGCCCCAGCGTTTGTGCATGCGTTGTGCCCAGCAGGTTATTGGGGATGAGCGCCACCTTGTGTTTGAGTGCCCTGCCTTGCAATCTGTTCGGGACAGATATCCTGGGCTGTTTGGTGCAGCCATTGTGACGATGCAGCAATTCATGTGGCAGTTGGACATTGTTGGTGTTGCACATTTTGTGATGGATTGTTTTGATTATTTGGATGCTGCCAGTTCATCCAATCAGCCCTAGGCGGCTGGAGTGATGTAATCTTCCTTCCTTCCTTCCTTCCAGGTACACCAGTGTTTGCCCAATTATATTGGCAATAGGCGATCAAAATCCATCAAGTCCTAAAATCACGATGTCAGCATCATCCTGGATCAGAGGGCCACTGGTGTGCTTGATAGTTGCCTTTCTTCTTGTCCTGATCAGGGAAATTACCAATTTCAAATACGTATCTAGTAAAAAATTTCTGTATTCTCAAATCTGGTTACACACAGCGCGGCATCTAAACTCAGAATCACAATGTGACTGCAATCAATGGTGCTGCAAGAATCCACTTTGGTACTGCAAGAATTCTCTCTGTCAAAATGTCACAGACAGTGTCCCTGTGCTGCCGGACAAACATTGAACACAAGGCATTTTGCCGGCTCTCTTTTTCACCTCTCCAAAAGTCCCTTGACAAGCTCCTTACCCTTCTCATTGAGCCCAAGCTCTTTGCTCAACCTCATCATCTCCTCTTCTGGCCCTTCACAGAGAATGTCTGTGACTGAATCATCATCAGCTGTTACCATCTTCACCTGTACCACCCACAGAAAATCTATGAAGACTATATTTGGGAGTAGCACTGCTTGTCAGAATTGCACAGATACAGACGTATATAACCAGAGTGACTGTGACCTGCTAAGCTGACTCGTTTTAAAGGCAGCATCAGAAAGCCTGAAGTGTTTTACGCACCTGGACTTCTTCGACCCTTGTGCCTCGCTGCCAGTAGTACAAGCCTGAGAGCGGACTGAGCAGCGTCAGGTAATACCAGTTGCTGCCTCCGAATGGAGCTGCTATGCTGAGTACCAAGGCTGTGCTTGCCAGTCCTGCACCCCAAACAATTCCATGAGCCATCTCCCAAATTGATTCCCGGTGAACATATAGAGCTACACTCAGCAGTCTGCATAGTTGGCTGAAGCTTGTAGTAGATCAGAGCCTTGACGTGACACTCATATGGGTCTTGCAGTCAAGGACCATCCTTATAGAGGCTGGACTCACCACAGAAGACATAGAAGATGAGAGCGGCAGCTTGGCCACGGCTGGCCTGGTAAGTCCCTGAGAACTTGATGACGTCCCCTGTTTGGGCTATATCATAGTTGTACTTCTTGAAATACTGGAAGACCTGGCGCGCTCTCTGATCCAAGGGCATGGCATCTGGGTTGCCAGGGCCGGGCACTTCAAAAGTTTTCCTCACTTTCTTTGCCTTCGGCGCTCTCTTGATCTGAGACCAGAGCCCTGCAATTGCGAGATTCTTTAGTATTGCGCTGCTTCAACTCACGCCACTCATTGAACAGGCACCGGGACAGTCGCAGATGTCTACAAACTCAGAGGCTTTGAGCAGATCGAAAGTGCTCACCAGGCAATGATATGAGGAAAAGTCCTAGCGTCACATAGTAGCTCTCCTTAGCAAATCCTCCCTTCGAAAAGTCCACTGTATCCTCGGCAAGCGCTGGGAGTGCACTAAGAAGCCACAGAGCGACGCTTGATGTGCTCGCTGTCAGGACAGCGTCTTGTCGTGAATTCTCGCTGCTGGCACAGATCCTGCTTGACTTTGCACATCTACTGTAGGTTTTACAATTCGCAACGTGTTTTCGTTGTGACAGCTCAGGCCTAGCTACCCTGCTCAGTAGCTGTGGACGGTGCAGACCAAAAGCACCTCGAGCAGTCACACCAGTCTGCATCTGGACTCCGCAGGTTTTATGACACTGCATATTTCGCTTGTTAACAGAAGGTATCAATGATCGAAGAAATCTGCAATGCAATTTGCAATCATGAGGAAAGTCTCTCCAAGCAGGTGAAATCAAAGCCTGACGTGGCACTGCGCCCATTGGATCACCGCCTTCAGCTGCCCAACACTGGGCAGTGCTCAATACGAGCAGCTCAAAATTATAGAGATAGTGACATCTCTCCTGGATAGGGAGTGCAAACTGTGCCTGATCAAGGTGAACATGTTATTTTCGTGTTCTTGTCATAAAAGAATGCCCGGCAAATTTGGCAGGCATGCGCATGTGCATGCCTACACTCATTTTGAATGACAACTTGAATGACTTGAAGTCACTGTAAACATGCACTCTTCAAACAGCAGCCGCTGCAAGGCAAGCAGAGCATGTATGAGGCTTGCTCAAGCTTCGATAGCATCCCCCATGCCCACAGTAGATGAACCGGGCAAAAATGAATTCGGGAGAAAGATACAAAGCAACATACAGCACTTTTTGTGAAAATTAGCAGTCCGGCTCTACGTGCACAACAGTGAGACAGTACTGTGTACATTCGCCTCGTAAGGCAGGCCGTCAGCAAAAGAAGTGCACCCCGCTCACCAGCCTGCATTGACTATTGCACAGATCCCCGCGAGCCCCTCCAAGGACCTTGCTTGCCCTAAAGACTCAGCATTTGGAATTTGGATGCAAGTGTGCAAATGCCGCTGTTGCGCAAAGTCCGATCTCACAGCAAGCAGTCACATCCGCACATCCTCGCAGAGGCGGTTTCTAAGGTCTCATACTGCGACGCGGCCGCATGCCGGGTGCAAGTACAAAAGAGACAGGCAGAAACTCAAAATCTGCAGATGCACACAACACTGGGCTGCTCAGAGGGCCATCCTCCAGACAAAAAACAACAACAACAATTCTGGAGGTTACTTTTGCGGTCCTCCTAGATTTGCAGTCCTCCTAAAGGGAGTGCAGGAGGCAGAGCTCGGGGCAGGAGGCCGTTCGCTTGGGCGGCCGGGCCTTTGAGCGAGTGCGCGGAAGCAGCACATAGCCCAAGTCCAGGTAGCCCAGGTCCATCGTGGCAGCCCTCACCAGCTGCAGTCACCGACAGAAGCATAGCTCAGTGTATGTGTGCATGTCAAGTGTAGGGGAACGCCGTGTTGGCTCCAACCCCCCAAAAGGAACAATTAAAGTGATCAAACCTTGAAATTGTCATGTGCTGCAATGATCAGGAGAGGGAGGGAGGGTCTGTGCATGCATGCATGCACACATCAGCATGACTCTCCGATGCGAGGCATCCGGCTGGTGACTGTCACTGCAGTTAAAAGTGGGATCAATTTCCGTTATGACCACCAGATCTACATTATTTTCAAGCACACTTCAAATCACAAGTATGGTGGAAAGTCAAGGCGCACATCTTCATTGACGGGCTCCATCTGCGCCAGGAACAGAGCGCGGCGCTTGTCGCGCGGATATGTGTAGTGCAGACCTGTGCAGGGCACAGCCTTTTGATAAGGAGCAGCTTCTCACAGACTGTACTTGATGGTGCGGCATCGGAAAGGTCATCTGTGCATCAATGGAAGCTTTTGACACAGCACAGCCAAGGAGATATGGTCATGAAGATCTGATAGGTTGCTGGTTCCACACCCAAGCAGCAGAAACCAGAAGAGTCAAGGACGAAATTGATTGCTGCAGCAGCGCTCGAGCAGAGTATTACTGAAGCAGCATTGCTCAAGCAGAGCATTGGCGTATCAGCAAAAGTGCGGGACCAGGTGTCAGTGGTCGTGCCTGTGTAGATGATAACGCAGAGGGCCCATGGGACGGCCATGCAGCAGAGCAGCGCATTGCCCAGCGCACGAGCTTTGCTCAGGTTCTGATCCACGTCACCCGGATCTATCTCCGCCGCACCCTGCACCAAACACACAACAATTACTTGTTTGTCATATTGCTACTGCTATGCGTGCAGTCTTCCAAGATGTGGGCATGCGCGCTTCAGAAGCAATGGCGAGGGTTGACAGCTTTCTTGCGCACGCCAGTATACTTGTCAGACCGCAAGTATCCATGACTGGGAGCTTGTACATTTGCCACCCGGCTGATACAATGAGATGCCCTGCTTTGAAGAACAGAATGTGCGCACCACTGGCATATTCAAGTCTGCTAAACCCAAGGCTCCAAGGACATGCTGGCATGCTAGTCAGTTAACAAGCTTCTTCAGCGCCAGTCAGACTTGCAGCAATTGTTTGGAGGTAATGCTTGCAGAGGTTGTGCATTTAAAATTTCAGTATGTGAACGGCTTGGTGGCTTGTGAGCTTCAGGGACGGACTCAGTGCAAATGTTGACATAGGATGGGTGTGGCCCTACCTTGAAGCCAAAGACCCGCTCTGCCAGGATGCCCACCAGGGGTGCACCGCACGCTGCAATTGCGCCCTCGAACGATCGGTCAAAGGCATAGATCTGCGCACCAAGCCACAGATTCCTATACAGCCCCCCTTTTGTAAAACTCAGAATAGAGAACAGAGTGTGATGACCTTAATGTAATGAACCATGGCAGGAGATACCTCTCAGTTGAGGTGGCATTTCCTTGGTTGACCACTTTACCACATAACATGTTCCGGGGCATGGAACTGCGTCCAAGGCTGCTATCTTGATGCAATTAAGTACAAATCTAGCCCTGCTGTACTGGGATGGTGCAAATCAATTTTCTGCTGGATTTAAGGAGGAGGCCGTACCATGTTGCGCAGTTCCGGCGGCACGATCTCGGCAAAGACGGGGTTATTGCATGCTGGTGCTGCTGCGGCAATGCAGAGGCCCATAAAGAACAGCAGGACCGCGTAAACGGCCACCACCAGCGGATCGGATCCATCCATCGGCAGGTACTGCATGCGCGCATCCACCTCAGCCTCAACTTTGTCTTTATTATTATTGTTGTTATTTATTATTACACGCTCTTTCTGCCAGAAGCAAGGTGCGTCTGCAGACAAGCTGCAGTAAAGGCTGCCAAAATCCTACCCCTTGATGGACTCGCAAGATCCAAGCAAGACCCCATCAACCGTGGGCACGGTGCTCAGTATTTATACCGCACCCCCCCAGCCGGGGCCAATGTTTTTGTCTTTGAGCCTGCCCTTTCTACTGCAAAGTCCTTTTATGTAAGGTGGACTGGTGAGGACCTGCGTTTGGCAAGGTTCTGGGAACCTCATCCAGTGCATGGGCATGCATGCATGGGCACCAGCATGAATATATGTCCAAGGATTGAAGGCATGCCAGCAGACTTGTGAGATACATGTGGAGCATGCATAATCATTGTGAGCTGCAGGATTGCCGCATGAAAACATGCGTACTGTCAGCTCAATTCATATGGCACAACCAATGTGGCACAACCACGAAGACTCAAAGACGTCCGAGGCCCTGTGAGTATATACTTCCTAGCTAGCATCGTGATGAAAATTGACCTCATGGGGTGCAGTGAGGCCACTGTAGCTGATTATAAGTTCCCGGGCACGGACTGAGCATTTACGGTGCATGCAGAAGTAGATGTCAGGCTGCAAGATCGCACCTTGAACAGGACAAAGGAGAAGGGAACTCCTGCAAAGACGCTGAGCTGGCAGACGATGATGCGGCCGTGGTAGGGCGAGATGCGCTCGGCCCAGTCCCCCAGGAGTCCCCCCAGCAGGCCCCCCAGAGCGGACCCCCCCAGGAACAGCGCCATCAGAGAGCTGGACGCTGCATCCCCCATTCCCAGCAGCTGCAGGTACAGCGTCAGGAATACGATGGCGTTCCTGAGACCACACAAAATATAGTCATGAGTTATATGTCAATCACTGTCTGCCTTCCTGCAAGGCAGAGCTCCCTTGCAATCTGCATTCCTGAGCACTTTGAGGGCTGCCATGCGCATACAGCCTCGCAGGCAGGTCAGGCAACACATCTCTCAGCCAGTCGGCCTTTTTACATAACAAAGCTCTACACAAGGCTGCAAGGCAGCGCTTAGCAGGAGAAGATTCCAGGGATGAAGTGAGGGCCGGGTCAAACTCACCAGGGTGCCGAGCCCACGATGCCCTGCAGCACAGAGAGCAGTGTTAGGCACCACAACAGCTGCAGAGCTGAGCACTATCACCCGGCTGACAGATGCTTCCATACAGACCGCTGTCCAGATGTGCTTGCAGAGGTTGTCTGCTTCGTTATCATGTGTTCAGAGGGAGGCCTACAGTAAGAGAATCCCGCAATCTAACACAGCTCACAACACAACGCTGAATGCAGCATTTAATATATATTTACCTGGAAGACATGGTGCAATGCAGTACACAGAGAGGAATGCCAGAAAACACAGCACCGGCGCAGACTAGAGCACAAGGATCACTGTAACAAATGTTCCTCACAGATGGTTGATAATGACCTGGAACACGATGATGAGGAAGGTGGGAATCGTGCAGACGATGCCCAGCTCCTCCAGAAGGCCCCAGAAGCTGGGCTGCTCCGCCTCCGCGTCCTCATCCGCAACCGCTATCGCGCTGTCGTCCTCAAAGCGCGGATCGTGCCCAAACAGGAACGTCAGAATTCCTGCGCCAGCGAGGCAGACACTAATCACTCATGCAAGTTGTAACCACACATACGCAAGGACATGCAAGGCAAAGTGCTCTACATGTGTTCTCACCAAGAAATATTGGATTGTTACAACACAGCAAGTGCGCAACATACGACACACCAGTCTGGGATGACAGTTGTAAGAAAGGTTTCGCAGTAATTTTCAATCAGGAGTTCCTGAGTGCCCAAGAGCTGGAGTCTGGCACATTTTAAATAGCAGGTGGGGAAGGAGTAGGGGTGGGTGCGCGCCTATTGTGGCGCTGAGCAGGCCGACAGAGAGGAAGGCAAAGCGCCAGCCCTCGATGCCCAGCGGATGCAGCGCGCCTATATTGGTCGCGTACAGCGCACCTGCGCGCATGCATGCATGCTAATATCACGGCTACACCCCAATACACGTGACCACTCTTCAGCAAGCAAGGTGACCTTTGAAACAGCACCGACGGACAGTCGGGTTTTCATTACCAGGGGGCAAATATCCTGCAGAATTCTGCGCGAGTTTGTGGCTGATCAGAGAGAAGAACACAAGTAATGGAGAGAGAGGGAGTTGAGTAAATTAGAAAGGGAGATGAGAGAGCACCCAGCATGGCTCCAATTGCGCCAGTGAGGTAGAGGGCGCCGAATGCAGCCCCTCTGCGCTCCTCGGGATAGTAATCCGCCACCATGCTCTGCCCGCTGGGAATCACCATCGACAGCCCGATGCCATTGATCCCTACAAGGTGAACACGAGCCTGAAATTTCCCATTTACCATTAAGCACCATTTTCCACGAAGATTCCCATCTCCCATGAGGCACAGCTCTGCAGTCACTGTCACCCTCATAAAGGTTGTGAGGACTGGGCTTGTCTTGCAAGAGAAACCTCGATCACTTCTTCGACATGTTCTTTTGAACACGCCAAGGATTTGATATGGGTAAGTTTTGCAAGAGCTCAGAGAAAGCATGTGCCATGACCTTTCGATTGGAAAATCAGAAGGGTAGGGGCCACTCACCCCAGAATATGTAGCCCTGCGCGACGGTGTGGCAGCTGGCAAAGGCTCCAGTCATGATGCCCCAGAGCAAGCAGCCAAAGGTGATGACCCAGATCCGGTTGTAATAGTGCCCTTCAGCAGAGAAGTCGAACAATCACTAAAATGTGTGTAAGCTGTACCAGTAATGCCACATCGTTTTTCAACTTGTAATCTTCAAGGCTATCTGAGCGTATCTCCACAACACGCTGATGGACCTGTGGCTCAAGCAAAATATGAGATACATGTGCTCACCTAGGAAGCCTCCCACTGGGGAGACGATAGCTTGCACCACGGCTCTGGAGAGGGTCAAGTACCCAAGCTGACTCGGCGACGCCTGTTTCAGACCATAGAGACATCATGAATACCGCTGTAACCCAAGGTGTGCAACAAGGTCAGGAGTGAGGAAGTCAGGCAGCAGTGCTGAGTCGTAGGTACGTGCCCCTGCAATTTCTGTCTCTCATTAGAAATCTGGACCACCTGAAAGCTTGCTCCCACAAAACGGTAGACTGCTGGAAGCAGCTGCTCGTCCGTGCGTTCCATGATGGCAGAGAGGTTGATGAGGATCGTGGTGACAAGCCTTTGTCGAGCCTTATCACTGTCATCTCCGTCCAGATGCCTGGAGCTCTCCATGGACGCATCATGGCTGTCCGCCCCATCCATGGAGCCTTTGAGAAGAAGGGCATCTGTCTCACCAGATGGTCCTCGCTCTATATCTGCTTCCTCGATCGGGGATACACTGAGGGTCGTATCCCGATGACGCTGAAGTGTATTATTCATATTTGACGAATTCAGGATAATAGAATGCGATTCTTCTGATCACATAACAGATCTACAGTCACATCTGTTGCGTGCACTTCCAACTGTTGGAAGCCCAGACTCCAAATGCAGCAGCAAAGGCTGGCACGCAAAAAGAGCAGCACACAGTCAAATATCAATGTCAGCTCATTCCCGAGCCGCAAGTGATCTGCATGATTGAAAGCGGGAGTACATCCACAGGCCATGCGAGCATGGCACAATAGTGCATCAGTTGCGTTCTGCAATGCATAGAAATTTCTGCCTCACTTCATCATAACTCTACGCTATGATTACAGGAATATTAATGGGTACACATGCAGGATAGTTGTGGGACTTTTGCTTCGTCAGGCAAGTGTCGGACAATCACTCAGATGGCGTTCCCGATGCGGAGAGCCAGATCTGGCAACGACACCTGTCGTCTTTCAAAACCTCGACTGCACAGCCAAAGCATGGGCATTTCATGGGCAGGCATCCTGAACAAGCCTCATGCACTCCTCTGATGACAAGCCCTCAGGAGTCCTGACAAGTTGCTCATTGCGTTATATGCCGACCATTACCGAGCCGTACTGCATACCAACGAGGTGCTGCAAAAAACCTTGTGAAGAGACTGCACTTTGCTTTGTAAAACTAGGTGAAGCACAAAGTAACAGTGGATGCAGCATCTGAGAGGCGATGGGAAAGGTGGGCATGCTTCAGAATCCTTTAAAAATGGTTTTCTTGTAGAATCGTCAAGATTTGCAACTGACCAGGCAGGCTATTGCTGGGATACAGAAAGCAGCTTTGGCGAAGAAGCCTCCAAATATACATAATATTAAAAAGTTTTTTGATCGGAAGATCGTCAAGGTACGTGTGATTGTGTCTCCCATTTGGGCAACAGTCATATGCTTCAGCTGTGTACTGGCTGATGTGGGGAGGACTGACGTGGGGTGATGTGCCCTGCGTACAGAAACCTCAGCAGCCTCAGCAAGCACATATAATTGACCTATCACAGCTTGATAACGACGACAAAGGTAATAACAATGTGTTTTCCCGTGAGATGGCAGGTGTGCGGTGGTCTTGGTGCAAGTCACACCCCAGCCCTTGACCTTCGTTTTGTATCGCAGATTCAACACATACTCACGCCCAGATCTCTTCACAGAAGCAGCAGAGCAGGAGCCCATCTCCCTTTGTCAACCAGAAGCAGCTAACAAGCCCTGCTAGGTCGCCACCCTATGCAAAGCTTGCCCATATCGAGGTGCTCGCCCCTTACCACTCCGCCTCAGATTAACACCACACTGCTCTCAAGAGTCTGAAGTCACTCTTCAGATATCAGAGTACTGACAAGTTGGTGCCAGGAAGCCAGGAGCCTGCAGGATGCAGTGGATCTCTGAAAGTCTCTTGCACATTGCTCTGCTACCCAGACGAAACTTGTCCTCACAATTAAAGCTGCGGGTTTGGGAGGCATCTGATTGGGGTTATGTGATCACTGGTCGCCAGGTGGCAGAGGACGATGAGTCAGAGGACCAGCGGGTTGTCTACCGCGACTCACCCTGGCAGGAGGATGCCAGCGGGCCGCAGCACAGCGTGCACAGCGCGGCCGCCAGTGCGCCTCAGTCAGACTTGGACCTGATACGGCGGCGCCTGATTTCGGCTGTGCAGCGGCCGCACGCGCCATCCACCGCTGTCGGGGTGATCACTGGCACACCGGGTAGACGGCATGGGACGCCATCTGCCGACCTGCTGTCTTTCAGGTACCCCGCATTTGCGTTGGAGAAACGAGCCTGGGCACAGAAATTTAGCGCGATCTGACCGTGGAGTTACGGAGGTGCCCACTGTTTAAGGTTTGAAACAAGTGGCATGCTGGGCGCATGCTGCTGGGGACTGAGACACTGAAAGCTTTCATTTTGCGGCTGTGTGATCTCATCTTTGAGAATTAGTAGGAGGCTGCAGGCACCACCACCGCATGGATGTGGTTTTTGCAAGTCAGGGGATCAGTTGGGCATTTCAGGGAGGAGGCTGCGAGGGGGGGCGCGCTTGAGGAACCCAGTGGCTAGGTGCATGCACTCAGTGAATACATGCAGCTTATCTTACTAGCACAAGCGGTGAGTCAGAGGCTGCCTGGTCGCAGCAGGCCGGAGGCTGCAAGGAGGGGCACGGCAGGAACGCCCCGGGACAGCGTGGCGCCGGCGCCCGCCGGGCGCAGCGCGGGCAGCGCAACGCCGTCGCGCAAGTCGACGTCCAAGACGCCCAGCGAGCAGATCCGCTCCGGCAGCGCCGTCAAGCGCAAGTTCGCGCCCTGCGGCGGCCACCTTGCGGCCTCCCCCGGGTCCGTGCAACAGCGCGCCTCCGCCGCCCACGCCGCCTCCGGCCTGCATGTACGGTTCCTTCTCTTGTTGTTTTGTATCCTCGTTCCTTGCAACACGGGCTCACCATTTGTGCGCAGTTCTGCTTTCTCCTCCCACTATTTGGTAGCTGACAACAAAAAGCGCCAAGCCAGATCAATGGTGGTGACAGCAGTGTGCCTTAGCCTGCACCGCCCATCCGCCTTGCACTGCTGATTTAACAGCGAAGTCGATTGTTATTGACCAAAAATGCGGTGATTGGGGCAGCATGCCTTAAGGAAAGGACAAGGGGTATGACTGGGCTGGTATGACGTTGCTCGCAGCGTGGCAGCAGCGATGAGAAGGCGGCCGGGCCGAGCACGCGCAAGCGCCAGGCCTCGCGCAAGAGGCGCGCCCTGCTGGACATCCTCGAACAGGTGCAGCTCCATGGATCTGCCCTGAAACCGTCCTGTGCGCAAAACATCATGTCAGAACGCAGATGACAGCCCTGTACAGGAGCAACCCACCCTGCTTGTTTGAGTACCAGTGTCAGCTCCTGCTGCATGGGGTGGACTATCAAGCAAGCCGAATTTCATGAGGCAGCAGCAGAGTACAGTCATAACGCCCAGATAGCTTATGTCTGTTACCGTGATGATTTTCCCACTGGATCAGGGTTAGAACATGCGGCTGAGGGAGCAAGGGAGTCTGTGCGCAGGTGGAGGTGGTGGTGCAGAGCCACAAGGAGGACAGCGCGGAGGAAGCCGGCCTGCAGCAGAGCCTCTCCACCTCCTTCGAGCGCACAAGCCAGGAGATCGAACGCGCCAGCCAGGACCTGGCCACAGCCAGGAGCCTCGGCAGCGGCCGACAGCCGTCAGTGCCCCTCCCCGACATGGCCGACATCCGCAGCCGCCCTGCTGCCGCCCCGGGGCCGGCCAGCCGGCAAGAGACCTGTGCAGCAGCCCGGGATGCATCGACACAGAGCGCGGCCAGTGCCCAAGCAATGTGCAGGGACAGCGGGAAAGAGAGGAGTGCTGTGAGCGTTCAGGAGGGTGTTGCGGGGGCGGACTCGGCAGCGCAGGAGAACCGAGGCAGCATGCGAGGAAAGGAGAACGATATACTACTAGCAGGAAAGCAGGGGGTTGAAGCAGGGCAGAGTCAGCAGCCAGCGGAGGGCAGAGCGCCAGATCAGTCGCTGCCGGATCTGTGGGCAGGCGACGACGGGGAGGATGACTGGGACGGTGACCTGGCGCAGCTCATGGAGTCGGCCGCCGCGCTGCGGCCGGCGGTGCAGGAGCCAAACCTGGCGCTGCAGCAGCCGCCGGCCGCCGGGCCAAGCGGCCGCGGCGCAGCCGCCCCGGCCGGGCCGGCCGCCTACGCGCCTGTGCGAGCGCAGCCGAGCCTCGCACAGCAGGTCGGTGCATCCAATAATGCTCCTGAGGCCACTGTACTGTACTGTACTGTACTGTACTGTACTGTACTGTACTGTACTGTACTGTACTGTACTGTACTTTACTGTAGGAAGTGTATTGTGTTTGCTGCTAAGCTCTAGATGCGCCGCATCTGTCATGCATGTGCTGTCACAGTGGGGTTGGCAGAAGCCAAGACAGCAGAAGTGCCTTGTATGCAAAATTGCCATTATTAGTGCTGGCACTGCAACACTTGCAAGAAATGGATCCTGGCTCCCAAGGTAGGCATCTTCTTCGCAGGTGCAAGGCGTGGCGCTAGGCGCTGCCGCGGAGCCACCTGTGCGATATATTGTGTTAGAGGTGCACGAGTCGCACTCGGAGAAAGTGCTCCGTGTTCTCGACGAACGCACCGGCAGCGAGCTGGCGGTGAGCAAAGATCCCCCAATTTTCACATGCATCATGGAGTATTTTGTTTGCACAGTCATGTGTATGCCTTTTGTGGCATGCTTTTGCAAGAGCCTCGCAGTGTGCAGAAGTGTTACATTTCTCACATGCCCATAATTTGTTCTGTCTATCATCAGCAGTGTTTCTGGCACCTTGCTGCTCAGACTGTCCTTCAGGGCCTCCGGAGGAGACACAGGCATTCATATCTTTTGTTTGTGGATTGAGGGTTTTAGTCGTATTTAGAGGTGCAAGATATATGACTGAGGGTGTATTCAGGTGCACCTGCGCGATGGGTGGATTAGCACGCCAGTGTACCAGGGCGACATCGTGCATGTGCTGGCACATGTCGACGTGGTGCAGGGCCAGGCCCACGCCATGTGCGACCACGCAACAGGTGCGCGTGCAACCAGCAAATTTTCACCGTTATGCATGATTTTTACCCGCGTGAAAATGACACAGCATGGCGGCATGTATAAAGGACCACGCATGCAGCATAGCAAGCAGTCATATCGTTCACCTTTGCCCCCTTCGTGAGAGCCTTTGAGCCGGGCCTGCCGCACCCGACTTTTCATTAAATGTAAGTTACAATTTTAAATCTCCGCAGGCATGCAGGGCCGCTGGTGCCTCAGCCTGGCATTCCCAGGCCCAGAGCGCCCAGTAGAGCCTATACAAAGTTTGAAGAAATCAGAACTTGCATTCAATCTGGCTATGGCATTATGCATGTATGCTCATGAGCAGGGCTGCCACTGACGCAGCATGTTGCATGCACCCCTAGGAGAGCCCAGGCTGTCGCGTTTGATTTTAAATTCGATTTAAATGGTGATCATGTCATGTGCAGGGTTGCTGGTGGTGCAGCCGGACGTGCTGCTTTCGGGGACGCGCGTGGCCGGCAGCTTCCGGTGCTCGCGCCAGGCCGTCCTCGAAGAGCGCCTCGGTGGCGACTCTGGGGCCAAGGCCGTGGAGGGAACGCTGCTGCACGAGCTCTTCCAGGTCAGCACAACTCCTGATCCCCACTTTTCTGCCTGCCACAATCCCCCCTTGTGGTTTTATCTATCAGAATTTTGCCGCCAAACATGGCATTTACATAAAACCCTCCAAGGGACAATGCCGTCTATTCTGTGCTTCGTGAAAGGTCTGCTACTTTGGCAATATATGGT